GATTAGTGCTGTGTTACAAGTACTTATGATACAGTATAAACAATGATAAAACTTGACATTATTATTTCTAGGTTTAAATTGCAGTCCAATTCTGAGATTAATGCTCAGGAAGTTGAATCAATAAAGAAACAGTTACAGAGGTTTGTACTGTAAATCTCACAAATAAATCTCTAATATTCATTCATCCACTAAACCTTTGTGTAACAAAAAATGTTTATAGGTAGGAAATAAATGTGAATCAAAATCAAAACAGTAAAATGTAAAAACATTTGACACTGATGTATAAACCAATTATTATTTAATATTAGATTCATTAAATTCTTCAACTGCATACTCATGTGTATGGTATTTAATCTTTTTAAGGTTCTTTTAAGGAATCAAATTTTGTGTCAAGGAAAAGTATCTTAAAAAGTAATTGCATGCTTGCTTCAGTATTTTTAGCTCAGTGCCAGTTGAGATATTTCTTTCTGATATCCTTGTTTGTAATATATTATTTAGGCTTGAGAAGTTGCAAACATCTATTGAGAGGCAACAAGGAATTCAAAGGAAGTGGACTGTGGCAAGTTCTTTGTACAAAGAAGTTCTTGCTCGCCTCAAGCTTAAACAAGGGTGTCAGTTACTCAAAAAACTACACCACCTAGCAGCGGAACGGATTTTTTGTTCTGGAAATGAAGAAAAAGTATGCAGGTAAATGATAGGTTCTTGATATGACATGATAATGGTGATAAACACTCTGAAGACCAGCTTTATGTGTGTGTCTTAGACAGGTGCACAGAATGATTAAAACAGAGGCTCAGGAAGTGTCTGGCTTATCTGGGTGTGGGCTTGGATAGATTGCAGTGTAATCATAATATTTATTTAATTGCTATTTATTTACCTTATTTTGTAATCTGTCTTTGCAGATGGACAAGCTATTGCTAAAAAGCTGAACAAAGAACTTACCAAGATAACAGCCAGTGTCAAACTGCTCATACCCCAACTGAAAGCTTTGAGAACAGCTCAGTTTGGTGATCTGTCAGATGATGAAGTTTTTGTTATAGTGAAAGATCCGCAATCAACCATTTACAGTGCAGTCAACGTGGATCCTCAACGTAACACCCTAGCCCATTCTACAAAAATACAAATCATAAATGTGTTTTTGTTGAAAAAAAGGGCCAACGAAGAAATCATTCTTCTTAAAGCAGAGGTTGAAAGGTTTCAGACCTTTCTTTCTGAGGAAGTTCAGAAAGTTGATTCTTGGATCGATAAGGCTTCCACTCAAAATAATCCAAGTCACAAGAACCTTCTTCTAGTGAAGAGAGCATCCTTAATCCAAGAACTAGCAAGCCTGCAAAGACTTTGGAAGGAAGAAGTCTTGTTTGAAACAGATTATGAAGAATTGCTGAAAAGAATTTTGGATGGAAGTGGAGAATCAACACTGTCTTTACTTGAAGATGAAGCTGCAAATGATAATGATGATGTTGATGATGTCAGTAGTGTTAGGGATGAAACTGAAGCTGATGAGAACGAACAAACAGACAATCTAGATCAATGATGGTGCATTTTCATTGTAAAAATTGTTGTTATGATAATAATAAGAAGCCATTTGGTGACGATGCATAGTCGATACCTCATAAAAGATGATATTTTATAACTATAATTACTAACTCACATGAATATTATAACAACATGACTTAAGTGAAACATTTGGGCCAATACAATTGCAGCTTCCATTGTAATGCAATAAAACCTCTTGTTCAGAGAACCTAGATTTTTTTCAAGTCAGCTTGAACAGGTTCCTAGTATATAAATGGTGCTTGACTGAAAATCAGGTTCGCTAGGTTCTTAAATAGGTTTCTTAATTCTCGCTAATAAAAAGTGTACTTGTATAAATGATTTGTTTTTCTGCTTTTTCATTACCTTTTTCTATCTCTTTCCTAATGTTCGCAAGGGCGGATACAGGGAGGGGGAACGGGGTGACTTGTCCCTCCCTCTTCCACATGAATTACAATAGGAATAACAATGCCTATCCCAAAAGAATGAGAGCTTTTGATCTTAATTAAAGAAAAGTCCCCCTATTGTGATTTTTTTTGCTGCATCCGCTACTGGTTCTACTCTTAAGAACCTGTCCGGATGAGCACACAGCTTTATATCCCTGTAGGATCGATGTTGGATAGCGTTAATGATTGAACGTTCATTTAGTATCTGTATAGTCTGAGTATGAATGGAAACTGAGACAAAGTCGGAAATAAAGTTGAATAGGATACCCTTCGCGAACCTTGAAAAAGCATACCGTGTTCAGTGGATCATCCCATACAGTCATATATGTCTTGAAAGTGACTTCTGCTGATAAGAAAGGTTGCGTCTGATTTGAAATAGCTAGATCAGAGGTGCATGCATCGCCACTTAGAAAATGAAAATACGCAAGTATTTGTAAAATGCGGTAGTCGCGTGCGATGTCTAATACTAGGGACTTTAAACAAACCACGACGGCTACGGGAACGAGAACGCGTGGAAAAACAGTAGATCTAATTGGCAGAACAATAGCCCAGTACGTGCGTTTTAAAACTTTGTACATTTCTTAGACGTCCTTTGCAAAACAACAACGTGAAATCACCAAAATTTGCGTCGTATGCGAAGCGAAACCGCGGCGAAAAATTCTTTTGGACCTCAACTCTACTTGTATGCGTTATGTTGAGTTTGAGATCTGGCGCCCTATGAGGCGGTAAACACATGCAGCCATTTTCGAAATTCTAACTAAAAGTAGAAACTCAGTTTTTAATCAACGTCTTCCGTGGCGTTGCCGTCCTGACTGCTTAAAGTCCCTACTGGGAGCTTTTCTACGGGTAATGTGTGTTAATATTAACATTGATTTTACTGTATACGTTTTAACATGATCAGCATGGGAAAATCACCTGTTCACGTTATGGTGATATACGATCCTGATCGATATGACTATGTTAGCATGTATTGACAAAGGACGTTATTACACGAAGATCGATAACAAAATTAGCACACTGAAAACAAAATTAGCACACATACAAAATCAGCACGTTAACACAAGAAAATCATTTGGAGCGAATTTCATCGACATATTTAAACCAAAAACAGTCTTTCAATATTTTTTGCTTTGTTAGCTATAATTGTTTTGCAAAAAATTAAGAGCTTTCGGAGGAATTGTGCAACGCTCGTACTTATGCCACGGGACTTGCGTTCAGTCAATACTGTTACATGAACCTTACCGACCAAACAGCGCAAATGATACGATATGTCCTTAAAACAATCTTTTATTAGGGCATCCTTTTTATTCGGTCTACACCATTTAATATTAAAGAACAAGCAATGAAAGACATATTTTTACTTTTAAAATATCAGTAACAAAATTGACACACACATACAAACATAGTTAGCCCAACTCAGTGATCTCAGGGTTGTTTCAGGTTGTGTCATATTAATCAAGACATACCAAATTGATAATATACGTAATGCGATATTGCAATTTTTAATGTCGATAGCCGAAAGGTTATAAATGTTTGGAATCAGCCATGCATCAAGCGTGCAATCTGTCGCATAATATCTAGTCCGGGCGCTAGTATTATGCACGGGACTCATGATATCTATTACGTACAATTAGAGCTTTAGAGTGCGAATGAAAATTGAACAGTCACCTTAGATGTGTCAGGATTTGTTAAAAAAAAAATAAAGCTTTCAGGGCCTTATAGGTAAAAACTTATATTTTAAAGATTATACGTTGCTTTACAGGTAGCCAGTGAAGCTCTTTAAGGACTGGCGCAATTCGGTCATATTTTCGAGTGGCCGGACCAACACTCAAGGCCGGACCAACAATCAAGGTCGGACCAACACGCAAGGTCTTAAAATAATTGAGAAGAATATGCTGCCTTTCTATAACATCAAGAAATGGTTTAGATATTCTAGTCTTCTCGGATAGGGACGAATAAATGGAGGTCCCGTCTCCTGCAGGGTTAGGGGTAGGAGACGTTAATTTCCCACGCACGAGATTATTGTGTGATGGATGTCCTCCCCTGGGGTGGGATGGGTGGGTGTTGTCTTGCGATTATATGAGCCTCTGGCTCGGGCAATATGGGCAACCATGCCCCACGCAAAGACATTAAACTTGATTACAGGGAGTGCAGGAGACGAGACGCACTGCAGCATTTTGTACCCGCTGAACCTTATCTAATAAGTATTGTGGCAATTCACCCAACAAAGAATTGCGATTGTCCAGCTTAGATGTAATAAAAGCATGCACTAACGTTTCAGTATCTTCCTGTGAGTAAGACATTTCTTGATTTTAGATCAATTGCGTATGTGAAAGAGAGCTACTTTAGAGATATTTTGAACTTGATGCTCGTGATTCATAACATCGTTAAACATTACTCCTATGTTTCTAGCTGACTCAGTTAAAACTACCCTGACACCAGCAATTTTGATGTCACATGTTGGTGGTCGTGGGCGATGTTTGGCATGTATAACCAAAAACTCAGTCTTATCGCGATTGATCCTAAGCCCATTACATGCCATCCATGCATAGATCTCTTTAGCGCAGGCCTCTATTTCCAACAGAGCAGCAGATTCATCATTAGGCATAAATGGCACATAAATTTGGCAATCATCGGCATACAGGTGGAACTTAAGGCCATGTTTTCGAATTATGTCACCAAGGGGGGCCGTATATAAGCTGTAAAGGATTGGACCCAGTACTGATCCTTGTGGCATAATAACCCAGAATGTTATTATATAAGGGCACGAAAAAAGGTAATTTGTAGCATCGTTGAGAAAGTTGAAAAACTTACGTTTCGGACCTTTGTCTTTCGTCGGAGTAAAAATGTGCGTAATATACGTACATTTTTCCGGGTCGTGTTGTCTGAATATTGCTTCTGGTTGTTAATAATTGTTGGTCAAAGAAAATGTAAACTGGGGGCATGGATGCTGGCCGAAAATGTTAACGCCCGCAAGAGAGACTTCTTTAGGTATCGCTGACCCAATAACTCGAAGGCTCTATTTCGATGGAATAGCAACGGCATCTACATGAGTGGAAGCAACATCCTAATTCCATCAAAATGTTTTTTAACTACAGGCCAAGGTTTGAGAACAGTGATTTCCTGGGACAGTTACGAGCTGAAAGAAGAGTTGCGAACGAAATAGGTCTAGACCTTCGTGCCAAATTCCTCAAAAATGTGGAAACGCTGTTACAGTCATTTCACCAAAGCGGCACATGTGATACACGCGATCTTAAGCCCACTAATGGCGATGCAATTGAAGTTATTAGAATGAAAATGAAGAGCGAGGCACAGAAAGTGCTCCGTGTACTCGATGGTCGGGTTGAAGATGATTTCTCAGAGTCAGAATTCGAAAAGCCACATGATGAAGAGTTAGAAGACACAAGCGCCAGATGCCACGTGGGTTCAGACTCACCAAAACAGCCTGGCTCGAAAAAGACGTATCGATACAAATGTCCAGTAAGTAATACTGTTTGTTATCAGCATAATACAGATTAATGTCGTCTCCGTAAGTTAAATCCAAAAAATTAATAAATAAGTCATCAAAAAGCAGTCATATATACAGTCGGGTTACCATGGTGATATTTAAAGCTGCATCACTTCTGTTGACTTATAGTTCATATCAAAGTTTGATTTTCTAGTGACATAATTTATGACTCGGTATATTATTTTGATTGCCATGCAAAGGGAATTGTTTGTTATTTTAGTGATTCATGGATGTGGAGCTCAGCATGTAGGTCCTGTAAAAATATTTTGTATTTTCCATAACTTTATTGTGTGTTTTATTCATTTTACAGATTTGTAACGAAAACTACACACACATTGCGAACCATTTGAAGTTTTTTCACAAACTCAAAAAGGAAGATGTCTCAAAAATAAGACTTCAAGAAAAGAGCAAAAGAATCAGGTGAGATACATGTATATAGTTGTGTCAATAAATAGATATCAGTGTGCATTGATCATTCATATTTGAAAACTTTTAGTAATATTTCCAAATTTGTTGATACAATGCATTGTTCTTAGTTGAACTATCTCTAAAAAATATTTATTTCATTGTTAAAGATATTCATTTCCTAAATTTTGTGGTTTTAAAACACATACAACTTCCAAAATTCCATGTATTGTACTTTTTTAAATAAAAAAACTTGGAAAAATGCTACTTTGCAAGCACTGTGACTGTACAGTGTGTGGTTCTTTCTGATGTAACATCCATGAGAATGTAATTGAATTTCTTACTTTTAATCTAAATTAGAAAAGTCCTAAGTAATCGGCAAGAGAAAAAAGTAATATCAAGATTATTACAGTAGCCCTACTCATCAGAACAAAGATTGTGATTCGCCCAAGCAACAAAGAAAGGCAGATAGAACAATGACTACAAAAAGGAAGAGGCATTGTTCGACATTATCCTGCTTTTCAATGATTTTATTCTTTTTGCCCTAGCACCAGCTTCATTCTAACAGTAGTGGGCGCCTCGATTATTACAATAGAAATGTAGTAAATAGTTTTTTTGGTATGTAATGTCCATGCTGCCTCATAATCACAAATAGTGAGTAAAATATTAAGCTGTTGTGAAAATGCAAATGTGGATGTTGTAAGGCCAATATGTTTTTTGTATATAAATTCATCTAAAACAGCCTATTCTTTGTATCAAGAAATCCCTTTTCACTAATCATATTATTCATCTTACATCTTCAGTAACAAACAGGTATTACAACCATTTTAAATTATTGTTTTCTCTTCTAGAGAAGCAAAGAGTGGAAATAAGAGGCCATTGCGACCTTGCCCAGTTAAGTCATGCAAGTGGGAAGGTTACCGAATGGATTATCATTTGCCACAGAAGCACAACATAAAGAAAGGGTCAAAAAGGTACAAGGCTCTTACCTCTCCATAATTTAACCAAAAATCAAAGACTGTACTGATGAGTCAGAGACTACATGCAAGCATACCTCAGGCTCATACAAAAAAGGGAAATAAAATGTATGTTTTACAGTAAGAATCACAAAACCATGACCAGACAAATATTTCAGGAATGGTTGTATCGTTCCTTGGCCAATCACAGACAAACAACATTCCTGAAAAATGTAATTGATTTGCACTGTAACGATAATGATAAGTAAATTCATAATACCATAATTAATGTACCTAAGTGCCAAGATCTATTTTATAGACTGACAAATTATTTCATTGTGTTGAAATATTTGAATATTGTTCAATTTTTGTTGTAGTGTACATGTTTTCAAAACCAAAAATAAACTGAAGTCAGATAGATTTATAGGTTATTTTGATAACACATATAGTTCATTTTCCACTGTTTCAGTGTATTTGTTTCACAAATAAGGATATTCTGCCATCTTGTAAGTCTGAGTATATTATGTTTTTATTGAAAGGAATGAAATTGTCTAGTTGTTCTTTAGTCATTGAAAGGAAATCTCTTTTACAGTTGTGAAAAGTTACTTTGAAATTCTCAAATTAATCATATATCAATGTAATAATATGAACTATCATAATAAATTATTCATAATTTTACTGATTTTTGATTGCATGCACAATTACAAAAACATTTATACAATAATTGTACGTCAGTAGAGCATTTTCACAAGTTCCATATTATTTATTACTTTAATATTGAACATCAAACAGTATCAACAAAATATATTGTTTTTCCCGTTACTACTGCAAAACGACCATTAATGCTGTATGCTAACATGAAAATAAGCTATGAAAATTTGTACATGCTTCCCAACTAGATTATGAGTAGTCTTATTAATATTTGCTGGTAAGATAAGAAACTTTCTTATCGCTGACAATGAGTTTAAAACGTCCACAGAAATAACATTTGGCAAATTCTGTTGATCCTGGCACTGCAGTTTTAATTTACAAAACTCAACAATTGCATTTGATGTGGCAATTAAAAGACCAACATCTGAACTATTCCTTGTCTTTTATTCTATTTAGATTGTTAATGTTAAATGAGCTCTAATAAAAAGTCAAATACTAAAATGGAAAGCACTGTTTGAGTGAATGATACCAATAGTGGCCAATAATTAATTGTGCAGCTGTGATCGGTTTATCATCTCCAGCCTTGAAATGATTCGTTGTCTGCAACCTTTATTATCACTATCCTTTCTAACTATGCACATTTCACACAACTACAGACAGTAGTCAAGTCCTAAAGAAAACATTGCACACTATTGAGGCTGGATATGGCAAACCCAATAGTGTAAATTGTGTGTTTTTAAGTAACCCGGGTATCAGAGGTCTGAGAGCTAGGGAGAGAGGAACCCCTTATCTCAATCTCATTCACAAGTACAGATGTATACTGACAAAGTGTTGGAAAAATATCCAAAATACTCCCAGACCAAAATATATCAATTAACAGCAAATTAAAAAAATAAAAAAACAAATAAATCAATACATATTGTTTTCAGCAATTAAATTTCACAATCAGGCATTCCTGTCAATCACAAAATGTATGAAAACCTTTTATAAAGAATAATGTGGACTGAAAAATATAGGAAATTTTGTACAATATTTGTGTAAGTTGCAGTTTTGAATGTTATAGTAACTTCCCAAAAGATATAATACATAGAGGCTTACAATAGAAGCTTAGACAGAAAAATGGAAATATTTAAAAACTTCAAATTAAAGTATTGTGTGTATAAAAGTAGGTGTTTCAGAGTTTTTATTTCCCTTACTCCAAAAGTGGAGATATCAATGAATCAATTTTTCTACAAATAACCAAATTTTGTTTAAAAAGTTAGAAATAAGTTAGCTACTGTAACAGTAGCTAGTTTTCAAAATAAGCAATAATAACCCATTGAAAATTGTTTTGCAAATTGTGAGAAACTGGTTCTAGAATGTTTTACAACCATGTTTGCTTATTATGAAAGTGGTACTCACTCACTCCCAGGTAACCATGCAAAGATACCCTCTCCTAGCTCTGTTGCCCAGGGGTACCAGATTAGCAATAAAACTGAGATACAAGGAAAGAATGCTTACCAATATAAAACATGTTGATCTTGACATTTTTTTAAAATTTTATAATCTCAGAAGAGTACATGTTGAAGGAACTAAAATTGAAATTGTGTAAATTTGCCTTTAACACAAACATTTAGTTCTCAAGCTTGATTTGTTGCATAAGAATTGATACATAACTAGTACTGCAATTATAATCTCAAAATAAATAAATTAAAAATCTTCAGGGTTGACTCGAGTTAATCTTCTTATGGCTTGCTCTATGGCAGTTTCGAACAATGCATCCAATTTGTATGTGCCATTTTGGGATGGCATTGCATAATACAAGTGGTAGAGAGGTGTGCCATTCTCGAGCTTGATGGCATTAAGCTTGGTGACACTGTTGGTCATGTCAGTGAGTAGTCGATATTCATTAGATGATGATGGAATCCTGTCTAGCCAGTGTCCTTTTAGTGCTTTGCCACTTGATGCTTTTAGAATAGTGCCCAATTTCAGCGAGCACAAAAAAAGCCAAAACTTCTCATCCTCTCCTCCACTCAGCACAGGAAGGATGACACCACCATCATGCTCTGTGTCATGTTGAACATTGTGCCAAAGCCCCTTCCATGCATCTGTATCAAAATATGTGATGCCAGATGACTGTAGGATCCACATTTCACGATTACTGAATGTGAGATCTACAACCTCGGTTTCTTCTTCTTTTATGACACCACCACCACTAAGTGCACGCCTTGACACTCTGTCTCCAGCAATATGGGCTAACAGGGATGCCAGTATTTGTTGAGTTGCTTCTGTTGGGATGGGCTCTTGTTCAATTGGAGTCTCAACAGCATCATCACTATGTCCTTGCAATGGGGCTGGTTTGAAGATGATGCTTTCTTTAGCCTCAAGAATTCTCCTCATTTGCATCCCGCCATACATGAAAGGCTTCCGAAAAGGCAAATCTTCAGGAAGTCCCTCAACCTCAAAACCACCCTTGAGGTATGGCACTCTTGAAGGTTTTCCAACCATTTGACCTAAAGGTAATGAGAAAACTAAGTCAGCATATAATAATTATGTGTGCATATGGATTTCATCATACAGGTGTTATTTTTGATGATTACAATACATTCTTCATGATCTTTTAATGGTAGCTAACATACATCATATTCATGATTCATACATGCACTTACAAACTCTCAAGAGAATTTTAACCTAAAAACAAGCTTCTGTATATAATAATTCTGTTTCTGTTGTGAATAGTCTATCAAAGAAAATATATGGGTAAGCAAATAAAAAGTTGAAGTTGAAAAACGAATTGATTACTACCAGTATTTGTGAACCTGTTCTTTTTTGCAATTTTAGCACTAAGATTTCGGAGAATGTAATAGTTTTCTAGGGCTGTTGAGACTTCCCAAAACTCGCCTATTTTGATGAAAATATTGTCTGGTGTATCCTTTTAGAGTTTTTTTGTGATATAGTTAGCATAACTCCATAGATACCCCTGATAACAATCATCTAAAGGCTTTCAATTGGCTGTACCATTAAAAGCAACTATAGAATGATTAAGAAACCTGTATCACTGAGAACAGAAAGTTTTATATAACATTGGAGGACCTCTAATAATTATTCACTATGGCTTGCCCTTATAGGAAAATAGCAATATGACATCATTAACATTTTTGAGTAATTATGATATTAATGATAATGTAAAAGCTAATATAAATATTCTCAAACCATAACAAGATTGAGTATATTGGTGGTATTTAATGATGTTGGTCCCAAGACCCAAACAACAATATCTTTTATAACATTTATGAATAATAATGTAGACTTTATAATAATTAACTAGTGGGGTATACTCCATGTGGACTTGAAAAGATTTAAAAGTGCTTGATTAGTATATAAAGCTATACTCTGAATGTGAAAGAAAAAAATTGGAAATGGATTTGAATAGTCAATACCCTGTTATTTGACACAGAGCTTGAAACCATTCCAACTTTTTGCATTCCAGCACAAACCTTTTCATTAATAACTATTAGTTAATTATCTGCGAGTGTGTACTCTCATATATTTGCTATGATAGCCAATATATGGGATTACACACTCCCAGAGAATTAACTAATAATTATTAATGAAGAGGTGTGTGCTGGAATCCAAAAAGTTGTAATCACAAAAACGTGCATGGAATGGAATCACACAAATGCATGCATACAATAATCATTGCAATCTTACTGTATTTTTGGTTGAATAGTGCTGTTATGTCTTTATATGTAACATCTTTGTTGTCTGCACCTGTAAATAAACATAATTTAGATGTTACTAACTACTCCGAGGGGATATTCCAACTGGTTTAGGGAATATGGGTGCTCCACAGGATCCTGATAATATTACCCTTGTGACAAATAAAAATATTTTTTGATAATAACCTATCAGATCCGAAAGAGTTTAATTCTTGGGTGGTGGTCACTGTAATTGAGGATAGTTGGTTATTTAGCATTGTAATGGTATGTGTATACCCTGAATTACTTGACAGGAACTGTAGACAAAGTTGGAAATGTAGTTCAAAAGGATACCCTATTTATGACTCAAAGCTTAAGCTTGAAAAACCATACCCTGTTCTGCAGATCATTCCCATATTCGGAAGTCAGTATATGGCACAACCCCCAGCATCTTACAATTTACTCATGAAACTTTATTACATGTGACCTACATGGAGGTGTTAGATTTTGCAGAACTCAAACAATAGTGCAGAAATACTGCAAAAAATTAGTGAAAAGCTTACCACCAAAATGGCTTTTGAATTTAAACATCAACTCGGGATTCCTTTGAAAAAAGTCTTGACCTGCAGGGGATCCAAAACCAAACAACTGTCCATCAGGATCTTTTTGTAGTACCGCAGTGCAACAGCCATATCCATCAAGAATGTTTACCTATAAGAGACAGTTCAACAGTTTCAAATGAACAGGCAAATATATTTTCAGCATTATGAAATAATGATGGAGTTTAAGAAGCTTATTTAAGCTGACAGGAAAGAATTTAACAACTCGATGATTAAGGATTTAATTCTGCGACTACTTTATTCTTTTTTCCTTCTTTCTTCCTCTTCTCCAACTTTCTATACTTCAATCTTTGTTTTTTACCGTATTCATATGGATTTTTTTTCTCTTTGTTCGTTTTTTATGCAAAATTTATATGCTCAATTACTAACAGGATCTATCGATGTGGGGATCTGAAGTTTAACTTTTCACATTTGCCCCGACCCGTGTTGTTGAAGTATTTTGAGAACTGATTGAAATAAGTCAATGGAATCAATGTGGAATATAATATTTTGACACTCGTCAAACGCCGAGGAATTGAAAATAATATAATATGACTCACCAGCTTAATTATTTGATCTCTTATCTTTTTGACGGTCCTTTCAATATCTTCGGGATTCAACTCGCCCGCTATATTCTGCGAACTCTTATATAAAATTTTTTCTTCAGCAGTGAGTTTCGCCCACTCTTTGGCAGCAAACGAATTTCTTTCTACCATAGAAAGGTTTCGACACTGATCTAGAATTTAAATACAAAGTGTGCATGAGCGTTTAGTTTAATTACTCTCTTGTTTAGCTCTAAACTACTTTTCCAATTACTAAAGAACGACAAAAACCCTACTCGATCAAGCATAGCTTGGATTAATTTCACTTTGAAAAGAAACATAAAGTTTAAAACGGGTTTAACTTCTGTGTTGTTTGTTCGTAATATTATGAATGGCGTAGAAGAATATTTCATAAACTTTTACCTTTGTTGAACAGCTCCTTACAAAAGTTATTGTATGACGTGGGAGCTCGTATGCAGGGGATGCTTTTTACGCTTTTTGCTGACGGTGCGGTATCTTGATCACTCGAAGTCGAACTTGCCGCTGCTTTTCTCTTCTTTCGTTCGCTTCCAATCCAATTCTAAATATTCAATCAAAAATAAAGAACTAATAGTAAATCGAATCGGTTTTTATTGAATTCAAAAGTGTATAACTAATTTATTTAATAGTAAAAACGCTTGGAAGATGTCACTACGGTGCGTGACATTCGCGGCAACCACCAGTAAAAGGGTCCGAAACACACGCCTTACCAGCGAGATGACAGAAAAGGATCCAAGCAACATTCCATATTTACGCTACTATCTAACATAAATATATGGAATCTATAAAAGCATTTTAACCAATAAAGTCTTACCTTTACAGTTTCCTTAGTCACTTTGGCTTCTGCACTGGCCTGTTCAATGAGATCGTTGTGGGCTTGACCCTTTCCAGTCATGCCTTGGTCAAAATACCGAGACAAAATGGATCTTTGAACATCAGTTAACAGATTATTTTTCCTTGATGAAGCCATGATTAAACGATTGGTACAATACTTAAGTCACGATTGACTATGATCTAGATTAGCTATGGTCACGATCAAACGCTGGATAGAGGATATGCGATCTCTTGAGAAAGATCAGCTCTTGTTGACATGGTAACAGAACGACCGAAATGAAATCTGGGAATGTTTGACAACGAGAATGCTAAGAATGTATTTTGAAGTGGGCTGAGCCCAGCAAGGGAAATTTCTTTCTCCGGGGTGAGCCCATTTCCTCCGAGTGAACCGGGTGGGTTATTTTCATGGAAACTCCCTTAGAATCGGCGTTATGTTATTGTGGGTTTCCAAACAGGGGCTTTTAACGACAGTAGTGTTTGGCGGTCATTTTAATTTGGGAAGGCTGTTGATTTGATTGATTTTTGGCTACACGCGTTCTCGACACCCTCCATGCTTCATGAGTACTGTAGAAGGCATGTTTCAGCAACTCATTAAAAAGACCTGTTACAGTGTTGACCTTTTTTTCACGGTTTAATGGTAATATTGTTTAATACGTGTGCATACCTGCAAGTTAAAGTGGATGGAAGAAAAAAGAAATGTCGTCAGGGCCTGGCAACAGCCTTTAGGGATTTGCATCATTATGTAATAATTGAGGGTGTTTTTACACATTAGACAATAGAGTGATTTAGCAAGAGGACGCAAACGTCATCTCAAAACGGCGCGCGCAGCAAAAATACCGATAAAAAACTGGGTCGAGAACGCCGTCATGTGAGCGGCGATGGAAAGGTTATGTTTAAGTTCCGCATGGCCTCCATTGGAGTCAGGTTTATTGGACTTTGTACTGACCTTGACATTGTGTAAACATATCTTAGTAGACGTTTTGGTGTCAAGTATCGATGAGTGCACCCACGACTACGTCTCGTGTCTCTCCCCACACTTCTTTCGTGCTATCGCCGTTTCGTGCGTGCTTTAAACCTGAACAGAGCACAGTTAAGGCTACTCTATTGTTTGACGGGGTTATGTGGAAATTTGCTGCACATCCAATCAGTTCCAAGGATATGTTACAGAAGAACCAACTAATGGCCTATCCCACAACACAGTTCTCTGTAATCAAGTAGTAGAGCATCGGAGCATAGGGATCGAATATCTTTGCTTATGTCGTGCCCGGCAATTACGACAGGAATAATCAACATCTTTAATAACTCCTTATTGCACGATGACAGGATAACACTCGCAAAACTCAGTACTTATGCGTTATTGACCAAGCGTGAGGTCGAGATGGCTGGATGTGGGCCGAGTCCCTTTTTGTCTATATCTAGCCATCTTGACCGAAGAACCGAGCTTAGTCAATAATTAATTTGTTATGTAGCAAAAAGATTTCGCTTTATCAAATGTAAGAATCAAGAATAACTTGTATATTTTGAACAAGGAAAGATAGCCATCTGTGTTTTTAACACAATATGAAACTCTCGAGTGCCGTATATGTTGTATTCGTTTTAATGTCTTCTGCCACTTTCTGCGACTCCATCGCCCTCCGGCGAGGAGTGGGTAGTAGGGACAAAGGCCCTTCACTTTCACAAAGCTTATACCTGTGCGCTTAGCTACAGGACAGGAATGAATTGATTTATTACTTTCCTCACCACTGATACACATAATTTCATTTTTCTCAGCTTGCCACATTCCACGTTCCTATTTCCTGTCTGCAGGAGGAAATTAGGGAAACAGCTCATCAAAGAAAATGTCCATTTTCGTTTTTGGTTATAATTATTTTTTCACACTCATAAGGAACTTACTATATGTCCTCAACTACAAACAAACAAAATGATAATGAGACATTGAATTCTTCACAAGTCGTCTACTTCAAGAAATATCTCGGTAGTCCAATGACCTGAGGACACAAACAAGAAATATTCAATCACATACGATCTGTTTGTTTCCCAACGGAATTCAATAACGCTGGAATCACTCGTCGAACGCGTCAATTCCGCCGAGCAAATGCACTCATCTTGCCGCTGTCAGACACTATTTGATTTGTGTACGAGTCTGTGCAGAATCTCCTCACCGATTTTCCTACGTTTATTGATTGTTGTTTGGTTTATTGGCCAATTATACGTCAGGCAAATTAGTGTTTCCTGATCTATAGCATTGACCAAAAAGATTGCGGTTTCTTAGGAACGAACAATCGATGCGCTCAGTAAAAGCGGTGATGTACGCTGCACTCTCCAGTTTGGGTGCTTGCTAAAGTCCAGTGGCAGAAAAGGAAAAAAGAGCCCCTTGCCCCGCTATAATTATCGGCATACGTGTATCTCTCGTTTTAAAATTCAGGGGCTCTTTTCACTAGCAAAAAACTACTCCCGTGTAAGTGTTCTTTTTCAATTTCCACTTTTAGCTAGTTTGCCGGGTTACTGCGTTATATAATAAGAATATCTGAAGTTCTTCACAGGAATACCAACCTTGTGAATCATAGCGAGTGGAACGGAGAGCAAGAGAGGCGCTATGTCCGACAGCTTTTCGTACGACTGTTCCTTAGCTTCAATCAGCCAACGAATCCATGCAAGACGTTTTTCTTCGTATGGCGGGTAACGGATGCTATCAGGAAAATGACAAACAAATGAGTGAACAGAAGCTGATGAGAATTAAGAGCTCTGATGAATCAAATGTTCGCCTTCAGAAAGGCGCTAAACGTAAAAACGTCAGTTTTGAACATTCTGTTTGATGGTTGATGGATCTCTACCAACGTTATGTTAACAAAAACGAAGCGAGTAATTACATTTTACATGTACGTATTTGGCCGAAAGTCAAAGCGCATTTTGACCGTCAGGTACTGTAATATAATAATATTGATAACCATCATCATCATCATCATCATCAACATTAAAAGAACACAGAAACAAAAACGATAATAAAAACAATAGTATTACTATTTATAATAATAATAATAATAATAATAATAATAGTGATAATGGTGATAGTAATGATTGATAAGAATAATACAAGAATAATAAGTAACATATAGAAGACATGAGAAGATCTAAACATCCAAGTGGATAACATATCAGAGGATAGAAAAGCACTTCTTATTGAGACAGATCACTTGCAGTTGAAGTGTTTTAAAGTATGCTGATTCCGTTCCTCCTCTTTGGTCAATGCTAAAACAAGGACGAATATAAAAAAAAAATTGAATACCTATTAAACGACTCCATGGCCTGTTTCTTGATGACACAGCCCTTCTTGTGCGAAAACGAATCAAACGAATTCTTGCCATGATAGTTTCCCATTCCACTCTCGCCAACACCGCCAAATGGAAGCGATTCAACTACCAGGAGATGAAAAAAATAAGATTTGGATTTTTTATCGAGCCATTAGAGCTAAGAAGAGGAGAGTTGTACATTGGGTAGAAATGGGAGACAGGAATGGTGCAATATTAAGAGCACAGGCGGACCAACCTATAAATGCTTTACCATGTGTGACAAACGGAAGAACTAATTATGAAGAAACGTGCGGTGATTACGGAAAAATCACGTATATAGCTGAAAAAATCGTGGTCTGAAAGACTCAATTAAGTAAAATGAAAAGTTATTACATTGAAATGCCTCTGTTTTTCCCCTTTCAGAGCAGCTTTAAAAAGTTTTTTTTTTCAAATCACTTTTGACCGTCAAATACGAGGCCTTTTAAACGGCCCGGAGAGGCAAAAAACCAGGAGAATTTAGCTCTACTAAATAAATTGAGATGTTAGTCCAAGATGCGAGGTGTCTTCGATACGTTGCTATTTTAGTGCAAGAATTCAAAATCGGCCTAGCATAAACACTTAAAAGGGGTCCATCATTTTAACCCAAACGAAACTAGCAAACTGAACTTATACTTACCACCAGCATGTACCACTGTATCATTCGCAAGAAATCCTCCCGAGGATGTACTGTCCATGAAGCGCTGAATCTTGGACTTGTCATTAGCGAAGATGTACAGGGCCAGCGGCCTGTCTCTACAAATAAACAACAATTGGAACAAAATACATAGTTCAGCGATACCCATCTTTAAGGTGGCTCTTACTTGTATGACGAAAACTTGGAGTGATGACAATGATAGAGAGAGGAAAACCGACCAACCCAGGAAAAAAAAACCTTAGTTACGTTTACAATAATATTGTATTGCCACATTATGGCCTCGTAATTCATTTCTCAGACACTTGGCCAGGGGTTCAGGTGCCTGTCTTTCGAAAGTCCCGCTTACTTTACGGGCCCTCAGCCATTTTGTCAAACCTCACACTGGGGAGTAGTCGTGCTAAAAAAAAGTTTAAGGAGATACATAAATTTTGCTTCCTTTCGCGATATTTCTATTGTTCAAGTTTGACCATTATCAGCAGCAGTAACCATGGCGACTTTCGAGAGACAGACCTCTACTCTGTAACAAGCCCAAACCGTTCTGTATTTCTTTACCAATATTCTTCCATTGTGTTACTTCTGTTATCATGGGGTCAGTATTATGTACATCACTGAAGCAGCAAAAGGCAGTCTCAGCTGGTTGATGTACACGTACATAGCTGAAGATGTAATTAAAACGAAGACTTCTTCAAGATTACCTGTCATTTATGAATTCTATGGCGTCGTCAAAAGATTCTACATTAACTATAGGCAACAGCGGACCAAACACCTGCAAAAAAAATTTAAACGTGAAGAAAAAGATAACTGGTTCATGCGCACAATGTTTGCCTCGAATGACATTGCCATGACAACAGTGTTTGTAGAATATTATTTCCAATCAGTTCCTCATTCTCTTCTTGAGGAAGAGGGATGATTGGCCGTTACTTGAACAGTGTTATTTCAAAAATAAATTTAAGTCTCAAGCAAACACTATGAGACTATAACTTTGAACGTGTTCACCCTTTGACCTCTTTACAGTGACCAGCATCTAGTTTCTCCTTACAATATCACCCCTTGATCAAACATTAAGGTTAAAAAGAATACATAAAATGACTTCCAACTACAGAAGCTCTTGGTTGTTCACCAAATTCTCCTTGTCAGCACCTTAGGAAATGTATAGAGAACAGTATGGAGAATATGCATACTGATGTTGGGCTATAAAGGGTTAGATGAGTGCCCCTACACAAAGACTCTCTGGTCATCTCGTAATACTAAGAGCCCCGGGTGGAAAAGTTACGCAAGAGATTGTACTGCACCTCATTTTCCATGATTGGGTCTGTTGGTTTCACACCAATCATTACAGTTGGTGAGATATAGTTTTCACTCTCGTCTGTCTCACCTCCAACTGCACATTCGCCACTGCTCAACAAGCTCTTTAAACGACTGTAAACAGGAAATCATTGACGTATTACTGTTTGACAGATATTAGGTATATAGCAACAATAATTCTTTTCATGATTCTCTGTCTAAGCACTGCTTCATTGTGTCTTCCATTTGTTTCCTTTGTTTTACAAGTAGTGTCATTAGATTATAACACAAAAGTTATGTCAAAAAAGTTAGTTGTCATAATTTATGTTTCAGAGAAAAGGTCTTCCATCTTCTTATAAAACAAGTAATAAATTAATTTTTCAGCAATAAGATCAAGTCATTGTCAATTACTGAAATCTGATGGTGATTACAGTTGTTGACAGGTTGGCTAGAGAATTACTCATTTAGGTTGTAGTTTCCATGGCAGATGATACGGCAAAAACGGGGAAGTGGTTAGAGACAACTGCAAACTCTTCACCAAGACAGTCCATTGTTTCAGCTTGCAGTTAGTATCTGCTAATTACATTTTTTGTCTTCTCTCACATGTATGTTAACAACACCAAAAGCTACCAAGCTCTCATAATGATTTAAATAGAATAAATATCCATTACAATCTTTTGTAAATCTTTGAATTTCAACTTTATCAATTTCATGTCCTGATCTTTTCATAAGCCAGGTATCCTGTGACATAAATATACTGTAGACTAAGTGGCACAGACAAAATGTTGGACATGTAGGGAGTCTGACGATTCAGTGATCTTACTTGAAGTGCCTGTTATTCACAATCCTTGCATAGTCAGGTGATTCTTTTGGATCCTTGACAAAGAATAAAAAAGGGAAGTCAAAAAACAAATCCATGAGACCATGACAAAGTATCATATAGACCTAATTGAACTAAAGCTAACCAACAAGGCTGAAGCCCCACTCAGTGAACTTCATTCAAGACACTTCTTACCAAATTAAAAATCATTCTGGTCACAGTTGTTTCAAGGTTGATTACCAGTACCTCCATATAATATCGTTGCTTAAATCCATTCTAATTGTAGTAACCCAAGGTTAAATTTTAACTAATGTTCCTTTATTCCTTTATTCAAAAGCCTTTTGGAATCAATTTCTCCATTCTTTTTGGAGCATTTAATGATCAAATTATACACAAAAAGAAAATTATGAATTTCTATTTAAGTGTTCAGATATGAAATCAGTTTCACACTAACCCTGAGTTTCCATAACCAAGCTTTGGACAGCCTGGCCCTAGAGAACTACATTAAAAGTTTGCTCTTGATGACTATTCCTGACCAGCTTTGTACTTAACATTGCTGACTTCACCTCATACACGTATGCCCTACCTCTCCATAGAACTCAAACAGTGCTTCTTTGAATTGTTTAACAAGTGCTTCTTGGATGTCTGGGTGACACAGAATATAGTCTGGGGCTACACATGTCTACAGAAACAGAAACAAATAGTTCAAGGAACTTCAGTAAAAAAATTAACAATAAAAATAATAATAATAATAACACTCACAAAATTTTAAATGTTCAGCAACACCACTTTCTACATCATCTTCATTTTCCACAATTACAGTATAAGTAGATGGTTACAACTCACCTGTCCAGCATTTGCAAACTTTCCCCAGCATATTCTTTTGACAGCAATCTCAAGGTCACTGTCTTTGTCAACATAGCATGGGCTAAAGTAAAACAAATTACATGTAATTACAGCCTATAGAATAAAAGTACCAGCACTTATCAAAATACAGCCTGGCAGAACATGTATTTCAGCCAAACTAGAATCCTTTTTAGCTTGATTTTGGTCAAACTGAACTTCCACTTTATTGAGACCTTTTCCTTTCAATTTTCTGTCAAAATGTTTGTTAAAATTATGCACATGAATTGTATGTCTTGAGCATAACATTTTGTTTAAAGTTTAACAAATATGTTTGAGTTGGTATTCCCTTTGTATGAAAACTTCACAATGAAACTCGACAGGGCCTGAATCCCAATTCCTTCCCTTGACAGCCAGACCTTTACCTAACTATAGAACTCTTCCACCCTTTAGATCAACTAGGATCTAACATCTATAAACAACGTCATGCCTGTATAAAACATTACAGTCACAAGAATTAAGGAAATGACCACCAACCAAATTAGCTATTGATTTTTAAACAAATTCCCTCTCATTTCCTTTTAAAGAAACGTATATTGAACAGTATGGAGAATATGCATACTGATGCTAGGTAGCAAAAAGTTACTGTAAGTTTCATATATACCTTTTCCCACCCAGTTCAAGAGTAACTCTTGCCAAGTTCTTTGCAGCAGCTTGCATGACCAACTTTCCCACAGCACTTCCACCTGTGTAAAATATCTTGTCAAACTTGCATTTGTTCAGCAAACACTGTGTTTCTTCTACTCCTCCATGGATAACAGTGAAGCACTCCTAAAAAATTCATTTCAAATTTACATTGATTTGTACAAGTAATGTAATCACACGTCCAAAAATATAAATTTAAGAGACTAGTTATCATGACACAGTTGCACAATTTTGAATAGGAGTTTTGTGGATGGACAGGGCTCTAGCCCTTTTAAAGTCTACTCTTAACTGTCATCATATATACAGACCCTAACAGCCTCAATTCTGACCAGTTAAATTCCCTTGTCTCCTTCTCCATTGTGTTAGCCTTGACAGAAGCCTCAGAAGGATTGTAAATAGATTCCATTTTCCGAAAGCAGTTAAAGAAAAGTCATGGATATTTTGGAGCAAAGTACACTATACCTGGTCTAGGTATTGTGGAATAAGTTTTCCAACAAGCTCTGCTGATGCTTCTGCAATTTCAGATGGTTTGATGACTGCACAGTTTCCTATTAAAGGATATTTCCATGAACACGCATTAGTCAAGTAGTTGACTCTAAGCTATTAAATCAATAGGGAATAACTCTTAAAATACTCTAGAATACCATTGGTGGTCTGACACCGACAAACAGTATGACAACTCAAGAGAATATCTACTGCACATTTGAAAAACATTCAGTCTGCCCTGGTAAAAATTGTTGAAGGGTCCTCCAGGATCCCAAAAGATCTTCATCAGGACTTTTGAGGACCCTACACTGTAATAAGCATCTTGAAAACATCTTTAACAAAATCTTTGAGGATCTCAATAGCTCATCCAGGTTTCCATGAAAAGAAGCCACAAGGATCATTGCTATTAATTTTTTTCTCTAGATAGGATGCTAATATACTGCAGATTAACCCCAGTATTTTTGTGGCTTCCCAAGCAGTTGACTGCTACCCACTTATCACACACATCCAAGCTGCAGGGAAGCATTGTAAGGGCAAAGTCTCTTGCCCAAGAACACAACAAAAATGACCCATTCCAGCTTCAAACACACAACTCAAGACCCAAACTTGGGTACCCTAACCACAAGCCCACTGCATAAACGAGTGTATGCCCCATTAAATCACACCAAAATTGAACAAACATTGCAGCCCTATATCAAATAAGCATACTAAGCCTCACCAGCAGCAATGGCTCCAATGAGGGGCATGATAGTGAGCTGTATTGGGTAATTCCAAGCTCCAATGACTAATGCCAGCCCCAATGGCTCACTAACAGTAAAACAAGAATCCATTTTGTTCACTAAAGGAACGTCAATTGGTTCTGGTTTAGTCCACTCTGATAAGTGATTCAATGCTGAAAGAATCAGTCACAGCTTATCAATGGGAGAAAAATCACGTTCATAGGTACAGGTACATGATTGTATATTAATGTAACCACTAAAAACAATGCCAAGAAAACACTTTAATTTAACTATTACTACAAAGTTTGACAACTGATTGAAGTAAATTTTCCATCATTTATTGTTGGGACAGTAGCACTCAGGGTAATAAAAGGCACCTACATCCTAAAAAAATATTCTTGTCTGAAAATCACATCTTGAATAAAGCCAAGAGCATCTAAAAGACTATCATATGTCAAAAATGGGAAAATCAGGAACTGCACAACAGTCAAGTTTTACAGAGCAATAAAAACCTTCCTAATTGTCCACAATATGAGGTACCCAACAATTCCTACATTATCCAACAATGTAAAAGGTTGTAAGCTAGCTAACAATCAAAAAATACACATATAGGGCATAATAACTGGAACTCAGGATCCATGATCGAAACATACAAGCAAACTTCAAAATACAAGTCTTCTAAAACTTTGCAGTAACTCTGCAATCCACTACTAACAATAACTGTTTACTTCAAAAAGTACAATGACATGTCTTTTGATCTATGAACTAATTCATTATGATGCCCTTTCAATTTGATCCACCAGTAGCTCTGTTAGTTGATAACTTACCATAAGCAATGTCATTCTTCACCACCAAAATCTCTGCAAGAGTAGCCTCTGTTCTTGGCTAACAAACACAAAATAAAAAACAGTACTTGGTAATAAGTTGGAAAAATTACAATATTGATAATAACTTCAACTGAACACTACCCCAATGGGGCTTGACAGGGCCAATAAAAGCAAAGCCAAAACAAACACTGTAAACAAACATCCCCACAAGCTAGAAGCAGACCAGTTGGCTATATACAAAATGCAGCACAGGAGTGAAACTCCGGGAAACCAAGAACAAATCCAGGGAGCAGCTGGGTTGAGGGTTTGAACCCGGGACCACCAGAGGCTACAAGGTACCAGCAAAATGAAATCTCAAAAAAAGACAAATTTTTTCCAATTCATTTCCTACTCAAAAACATGCAGCTCTAATAATGCAATTGATCTGAGACCCTTAATTTAATGCAAGGAACCTAAATCCACAATCTAATAGTGAAGTTTGAAGAGTCCAACCTTGTGCAAGTCCTTGTGAACAGCTTCCAAAATTTCCTCTTCATTCTCATCCATAAGTCTGAGGAGGTTCCTCAGCTGCTCTCTTCTAAATTCCACATCTTTTGTCCTTCCAGTTCTGTAGGTATCTCGTAATTTTTTTACTGCTAACTGTATGTACATTAAAATAGACATGCACTCAGCTAATTAGCATTTAACAGACAGAAACCACCATAATGGCTGGAATAACCTAAACCTTCATAAAGCTAAGCTTTGTTATAGTTACCCTCTTTCTTGAGAGATTATGAATTTCATTGAACTTTGTCCATAAGTTAGAAAAACTCTTTAATTGAACATGAGCTTCTCCAAAACCTTAGTTTTTTTTTTTTGTTTGTTTTTTTGGTTCCTTTTTTCTTTTCACTTTTTAAAACAAACAAGACATCTGTACTAGTCCAACAGGTTAAATTTACAGTGCTTTCATGTATAAGTAGCTCACTTCAAGTACCATAAAGAATAGGGGTTAATCTTGTTCTATTTCACAATTTAAACTACAGCTCGTTCTTTTCTCGTGTGCCCTGACTGTCACCAATATTTATTCAAGATCTGACTCAAGACTTTAACCTTAAATTGTGAACATTGGAACCAGGATGCACGGATGTCGAGAAATCAGATTCATTCCCCGTGAATATTGTTGACATCACTGTAGCCAAAAATAAAAAGGTCACAGCAAGCATTAACTAATCAAACGGCGTGGCAAAATGTCACCGGTGAAAGTTTTCCAGAAATAAGATATATTCGTCTCTACATTTGAACGCAAAAATTACATAACTTGTACAATAATGGAATGAAAAATTCGCTACGTGGTGAGATCACGGGTTAGTAAAACTACACCGAGGTCGTTCAAGGTCGTGTGAAATTAGTCAATATCAAGGAATGTGAAGGAGCAAATAAAAGGCAGCATTTGAAAAATAAAAACTTCTATAGATAAAAAGAAAATAGCTGCAACCGATGAACTTGAAACTTAACTTGAAGATGAACAAGCAAACGAGCGACGAGAAAACTGACATCTCATTGAAGACATATCGTGGATTGCATGAGTTCAACAAATTCCTTCTCTCACGCTAATCGTCAAAAAATTCGTGACCGCCGACAGAAAAACTCAAGACAGATCTGTAATGAATGAAAATAGCCGGTTCTTACACTTAATAAAGTTGAGCTGTGGGAGATATTTTGTAAGGTACTGATTATCAAGCTCATTTTTAAGTGTGAAGTGCAAGCTCGCCCGATGTTCGTAAGCAGCGAAAAAATGATAGGTCATCCCACGTTTGTACCTACCGTAATTTTCTCCTCACTTCCAGACATATCCGTGTTTGTCTGATCAAATCAAGGTATACCACTCACCAAAACAGCACCTTTCTTCCAAAGTTTCGGCAAAACGTTTGCGTTTGAGAACTGCGTCTCCGCTGCTGTGTTTTCTAATTTATACTCGACCCAGAGTCTCGAATGACGATTGAGCTCAGCGGAAGGGAGGAGTCTTGGAACTAGTATCACGGGACGATCAGACCCCACAAGCGTGAACCTTGACTTCGTGGATCGTGGACGTCATTTCATATTTCGTCCTTAAATGCTAATGCGTTCGACTTGAGGAGAACGCAATGTATTTTTGTCGCGTATCTCCGGATGCCGTGCATATTTTAAGGTTTAGGCGCCATCTTGGACTGGCTGACCACTTGCCACGACTTCACATGGGAGCTTTCAATCTGATATCCCGCTGGCCATGAGAAGTCCCCCGCTGACTTGTATTTCATTTTCACCGTTTTTATCCTTTTTTGTTTTGTTTTTTTTTTTGTTTTTTGTTTTTTTGTTTGTTTTTTTGTTACATAAGAATGTTGAGGCAAAATTTTGAGGACATATGAAGAACATACCCAGACTGAGAGATATTTTGCTTTTTTTCTTTTTCTATGTGAATAGTAATTGAAAGTACAATAAAAATGTAGAACTGTGGTCTAACAGCACAATTAACCCGAATACTACGAATACTAAAATAATTTTTTTTTTAACATTAAAAATGCGGTTTCTCATTGCACGATACACTGAAGAACAATTCAGTTTGTTGTTTCCTGTTCACTTCTGAATGGATTTATTGAAATATTATACCACACTAGAATGTTTACAGGCTCAAATCGCAAAGAAAGACTGTTCAGCCTCAGTCTCAAAATCATTGCCATTTAGTTTTAAAGTCCATAACCGAAAACTTGAGATATGAAACGTTGAACTTCAGAAAGCACCTGCCTGGATATTCCTGGGCGGTTGGTACGATAGAAAATATTATTTTGCCAGATTAAAGGCACTTTACTAATCCATGATTTTTATGTGGTATTTAAAAGAGAGTCAACAGCACATTGCTTTAAGTCTATGTCTTCCCCAGCTGTCGCGGGAGTACTTAACAATTAGCATGCGGATTTTGCTTTGGGCTTTGCTTGTACGTATAATGATAACGGCTTCTGGTTATGGCGTGAGGTGTCCCTGGATCCTGATCCAGACATGCATCATATACATTTTCAACAAAGTACAGAGGTCAACTGCGTTCGTTACAATACTTTCGTGATCGTACCCTGCTTCATTCCCTTCTTCCCTACCCCACCCCTGACCTAACCCCGCACTTCGCCTTGCATGCGCCAGGTATATGTTCAGCAGGCGCTCCACAACAGACATGCTCAAAAATTTCAAGATGGCGACTGGGCTGTCAACGATGCATCTTTAAATTGTTTCCATTTTGTAGCGTCTACATTATAAAAATTGTTATGGATAACCAAAGAATAGGGTCCTTAAACTCTCTGGCAGATTATGGACTTGGTGAGAGTGATATTGAAGACTCTGATGATGAAGTAGAACCGGAAAACAAGCCGATTGTTGCGGCGAGACCTTCGGTTTCCCAACCGTACGTTAAAACAAGTAAGTCCATCGGAAGACTTGTGTTAAGATTTGCCAAGATATATGATGAGATATTTAGATATGCATGGAAGGGAGGAGAATCTCTGAGATCGATACATTTATTAACATATGCGCAGACGAATCAGAATTGAATCGCAATTTCGGTACTTTGGCGTTTTCCTTTGAAATGTGTATCTCTAGGTTCAGAATTGTGGTCAGGTCTTGTGTACCGAAGTGTGTTTTCCATTGGGGAGTTTGGCTTAAAAAGTGAAACATCCCATTCTTTTTTAAGCCTGTTTTAACCTCAACCAAATTAGTTGACTAATCTTATGGAAATCGAGTGTTGTAATAACTTTCTAGATCGCACCATCCATTTGCATCCGTTTTTGCTAGACTGAAATTGTCCAGAAGTATTACAATTTTACTCTTTTGTAATAGAGAACCAAACACAGTCAATTGTGTTGCATGACTGCACAATGGCAACGTGGCACATGCATGTATTGCTCTCTGTAAAGTGACAGAACAACACTTCATCAAAATATCCTATTTTATTATTGTAATTGTAGATTTAATGCACGTTCGTATTTTGAACGAGACGACAGTTAAATAATAATTAAATAAATTATTGATATTGATTATTAAACACAAATCAACCAATATCCTGTGTGGCGTTTTGCTTGTTTAGGTGCTCGGTTAGTCTCCTATGATGATGAAGAAGAAAAAGGGGAAGAGCCTAAAGATGAGGTATTTTTGGAGAGATTTATTAAGAAGTTAATGATTGTTTAGAGTTAGAGATTGAATTTAAAAAATATATATAAATATGATTATCAACTACATCTGACCTGAAGCCAAATTATCATGGTAATACGAGAATAGGTATATGTATTACGTACTTATTGACTGAGTTGTGGGCAGAATAATAAAATATTTGGCTTGAGTCCTTGTCATACATTACAATTATATCCAGTGAAATTACAGCATTATAGTTTTTTCTTAATGCACTATAAGTAGAAAACAAAGGTTTAAATTTTATATATCAGTTCTTATTGGTTTTTGTTTTAATATTATTAGGTAATTGATACAGACCCAGAGACTGTTGAAGAGACTGTCAGTGATGAAAAAGGTATCAAAAATATGATTGTTTTTGTAAGCTTAAATAGAGAATTATTTATTGTTAGGACTAATCTACTGTGTAATTACATGTAGTACAGTGGAACTTCGATTTAACGAACAACTATACGACAAAGTCCTTGGTATAATGATGATATTCTTCAGTCCAGTCAAAGTTACAATAAAATATATGGGAAAGAAACTTGATTTAATGAACCACGATATAACAAAATCCTTGTTATAACGAACGCAATGTAGAAGCCCAAACATACAATATGCCCTGTTATAACAAACAAATGTCAACAGGTGACAAAAGACAAATGTGAGCCGACCAACTAGAATCAAAATCCATCATCATTTGTCCATTTGCTAGTGACTTCCACTGAAGCTTGTCCTCTGTGCCTTATAAACAAGGTGCTGTAGCCATGTACAGACTTGTACAATGTACTGTAGCTTCATATGGTCATTAAAGCACAAATGTTATTTACAGTAATTGTTTGGATCCCAAAAATTCATGTATTGGGTAGCATGACTTCACACAACAATAAAAAAAAATAATATTAAATAAAATATAATTATTAATCAGCCCTCAATATAACAAACAATTTGGTTGTTTTTCTGCAAACTTGTCAATAGAGGTTTTTGATGTAACAAACCCCTAATATAACAAACCAGTTTCCTCTGTTCCATCAATATGATACTACATCTTTCTTCTTTATATTATGTCCCACATCTTTATGTGACAGTACTTTTGTTCTGTATACCCTTTTCAGTGATAGATAAAGATGTTACTGATGAAGATTCCTCTCAAGAAAAAAATACTGCTCAAGTTTCTTTGGTAAGCATATAGTTCTAACTTTTCAATTTTACTCATTTATTTGTTTTAATAATTACAGGCCTTGTTTGTTTTCACCATTGCTTACATTGGGTTCTGCTTTGAATGTCTTGCAGACAATCAGTGACTCATCAGAAATGGTGCAATCAGGAGAAAAAGATGATTCTATTGGTGAGTTTTTTTTAAATACAAAGTACTTTGTAGAGAGGACAACAACCACTTGAAAAACCACCAGGCAAACGATCCAAAAAAACAAACAATCAGAAATTGTCATGCTCACCACTTTCGCGCTGAGATTTATAAATCAGTCGATGATTTACAAGTCATTGAGGTGACCTCTGATATGTAAGCCATAGGATTTCTGGAGGTCTTCTCCTCACTTATCTTACATTTTAAAACTATTCTTTGTCAAGTTTATGGTTGGGAATAACCTTGAACTTGAATCTGATCCTGATTGTGATGACTTATACATCCCTGTTTTCAGGTAAGTGGTTTGACTATTTGCTTTTTATTTTGATATAGTTGGTTTAATAATGTAACATTGAGCTAGTTGATGTAAGCTATGCACATCCTGATGTAAAAGATCTTCATGTAAAAGAAAATACTTCATAAAGATGTTTTTCCTAATACTTTGAAAATTTGTGCTGAAGAAAATGTTAATATCTAGAACTGATTCAAAGAGGGAGAAAGAAGGCTTTTTTAAACCAATTTATGATAAATCCTTTTCATTATCTGTTATGTGCTAATCACAGACAGCAAATCAAAACCTAACTGCCTGATAGTGGATTGATTTTGACACTTATGTTAAAATTTCTCTTGAAATTAATTATCACACTTGTTAGTTGAGGATCTCACCACAGAAACATCAAACTCAATAACTGACATCAAGATGCCGCAGTTACCACCTGAACCTACTGGTCGGTGTTCCAACGCTCTCCAGGTATCAAGTTGATAATAACATAAACTGCTGCTTATAAGCCATGGGCTCACACAATTTCCCATGAGGTTTTAGGAAGGCTTATGAATAGGGTGTTTCTATCTGAAGGGGGGCTTATAACAAGAGAAGAAAAAGCGCTTTTGAAACGAGTTAAAGAAATGCTGATTGAAATAGGTTTTTGGATAATTAACATGTCCTGGTTTTTTATCAAGCTTTAAAACATCATAATGCATCATTTCAGTAGAACTGTGCCACATACATGTATGCAGCAGTTTGTGTTATTTATGGCAACATGGTTATTATGTAAAGGTGGACTGTATACTTGTGCTATGAAGGAAACCTTACTTCAGTTAATTTTATTACTTACTCAGGATAAGATTCGATCACTGTTAGAAAAGACACACCAAGAAAAGCTTGATTTAAACACCAACATACAAAACAGGAAAGATTATAGAAACCCAAGGTGAGTAAGCAGTGATATTGCATCTTTTGTGAGAGTCGTGAAACACACAGGTCTGTGAATCATACAATGAATTTTCATTGTCTTTTGATTTCAGTATCTATAAGAAGCTCTTGCAATTTCTCAACATTGATGAAACTGGTAGCAACTATCCAAAGGTAGGCATTTTGTCTTACAGAAGTGAACTTATTATCTGTCGCCACACACCTGTATAATTAGGAAGAAGGTAAACAGGTCATGCAATTTTTTAAAATGATTGACTCTCAATGAGTATATTACCATAAAAAAACAATGTGATGGTAGATCTGTTGTTAACATATTTTTGTTTTCAAGGCTAAATAGAAAATTGATTGTAAGTTACCCAAAACATGTCAACAGTAAAAAGATACATATGATTTATTTTTCACCCCTGACTTCTGACTCAATTGTTTATAAATCTTTTCTCTTCCTTAACAGAGTTTGTTCGATCCAACTTGTTGGCCTGAGGAGTCTTACTATGAAAGCTTATGTATGTTGTCTAGATACAATGCACAATGATCTTACTAGTTCCTTATCAACTTCTATCCTCTGATTATTTGATACACTGTATGTGTTTTTTTTTTTTAGCCAAAGCTCAGAAAGAAGCTTATGAGAGAAAGGAAAAGGAAAAAGCAAAGCAAGCAAGAACACAGGTAAGGAACTAGGGTGTTTGTGAACCCTTTAGCTGCCAAGATCTGATCGTTCATACTCCCTGCTAGCTGCTACACATTTCAATTTAAATTGGTTGTGAGAATTTGGTGTTAGATCAAGATAACAACTTCTACCTGATAAGTTTGAGTATTCCCATTACCTGTTTGCTGAATAACAGGAATACTGGTACTCAAACTTATCAGATAGAAGTTGCCATCTTGATCAAACACCAAATTTTCACAACTAATTTACATCGAAATGTGTAGCAGCTACATGTTAGTCACGTCTTGGAGTTAGAGGGTAAACTAAGCAACCAGCTAAATGGGGCATGTAAAATTCTTAGGTGAAATTTTGATGGCATTACTTATAGCTCCCATTTTAGAGGTGAAGAAACTCTTCTACTGTGGTGTCTCACTACTGCACATATTGAATTTAGATTTGCATTGTGCTTGTTCATACATTTAGTTGTTAGACAATAGCAAGAAGAACACCTGTAGAGGTTTACATGTATTTGCTCTTTTAATAAGTCATTTGTTTTCCTCCTCAAGGTGGAATTTGTGTCTGGGACCAAAAAGTCAGGTGCAGGTATCTCAGCTTTTGGCTTTTTTGTTCATGAATATGACAGGATTCTTGCAATATTATATGTGCAGTTACCCCCCCCACACTTTGTTTCTATGGCTCTCTGGGGCAAATCATGAGAGCAGCTCTTTCTTCTTAACCCCGTGACCTCTTATAGTGACTAGCATCTAGTTTCTCCTTTCAATATCACCCATCAATCGCAAATTTAAGGGCACAAGAAAAAAGGAAATGATCACCTACTAAAAAAGCTCTTGATTGTTAAACAAATTCTCCTTGTCAGCACCTAAGGAATTGTATGAAGAACAGTATAGAGAGTATGCATTCTGGTGTTTGGTTGTTAAGTGAATTTACTTATTTTGTTTATGACTATGTACTTGTTGTTTATTTCCTTTCAATTGTGTTTTTGTTGCAGAGGAACCAAAGAAGAGAAAGAGCAAATGGGATGTGAGTGCAGCCCCAGCACCTCCTGTGAAAACCGCAACTCCACCAGTAAAAGTTGGAGCACAGGGATCAGTTGTCTCCTCTTCTATTGACATTAGTGCTGCCAAAAAGCCAAAGGTTTCTTGATGGTAGCAGTCTCAGGCAGAAGGATCAAGTCAACCTTACAGAGACAGCAAGAACAGCATTAACAAATGCAGTTTATTTCTCAAAACTGTTTTGAGGAAACACTGCAGGAGGTCGAAGATTTTCCTTGTAAATCTATGGACATGTACATTAATCTGTTATTTTACATTGTATATCAATAAATATTAGATGAAATAAAAATTTTCACTCTTGAAGATACATGACAGATACAATCTCTTTCTCAAAGCTACTTGACTTAAGTAGTTCTAAACTTGAGCGAATTTGGAGGTTTTTTCCTGAAGTCTTTTGATTACTTCTACAGTTTTTTTATTTAAGGAATGATGGCAGTTCAGCAGACCTTCACTTCCTTCCCAAACTTTCCTCTGGTGCACCATTCCCCTTCTTCCAGGATCAGGAGATGACTGAATGGATGGAGATTTTCAGTCGCCATGTACACGAGCAACCAAAAATAAAATTAATCATGACAATTGCAAATTATTCAAATATTATTGGTGCATTCGTTGGGTTTTTTTTTTTTTTTTTTTTTTCACTAATTATTCTGTACAGTTGTAATTGGATAATGTAATGGGACATTTGACTGTAATCGGACACCTGTAATCAGACAGTTGAAGCTATTGTCTCCACTGGAGTCATTTTTTTTCTAGGTGTATTTGTTTTTTCTGAAATGGAAATGGCTATGATTAATTGGTAATAGGACTCCTCCTTCTCTAATTCTGTCTGTAATCATACTCGGGACTAACGAACGATTTTGTCAATCACTTGCATGATTACAGACCGAATTGGACTCCACTAGGTCCTATTACCATTACATATATGTTTATTACCAAAAAATTACTGCTGAGGAAGAAATTGTTTCTTCATTATGTTTTAAAAAATTTTGAGGGAGAAGCAGACTTTTAATTTATCATCTTAGTTATTTCATATGTTAAAAACTCTTAATATGTTTGTTGACCAGCAGCAGTTTAAACAGTGGTATCTGTGAAGTATCCCACTTGCGGCCGGGCTATGGATGTTGAATGGTTTGTGAAATTTCTCACTCACATAAGTAGGATTAATGATGAAATTTAGTATTATTTATAATACTTTATTAATTTATTTTCATGGTTTATATTAAGTAGGATTAAGTTTGGTTACGCACTCATGCGCAAAATTATCAAGGTGTCTGACAGGTAGCCAGTTTCACTGGCGCAGAAGCTGGGTAACACGATCACAGTGATCGTAATTCCTGGAATTCTTAACAATTTTGCAGCAAAGTGTAGTTGTAACTGAAGTTCCTTTAAAGTAGAAGCAGAGAGACGAGTTTGGCCAGACTGTTGAGCATTAAAACATCGTTTTGAAAATAACGATGAAACTTTTACCAAAAACAGAGTTGTTTACGAATCAAAACTAAACTTGACGAAATAAGCAGATGGAACCACAAGAGATAGAAGGAAAATGTTCATTCCACGTTCCGAAGTCATAATGTGTAGAAGCTTCTAACTGGATCGTATTGATTTTCTTGGAAATATTTTGGCAGAGTCGGATCCAACCGAAACATTTCCTTGAAAATCATTTCGTTCCACGCAGATTCTTCTAAAAATTTTAGGGCCGGTTATTTACACGCAGTCTAATCCAAACTATCGCAATCAGTGGGCCTCAGGGATGCGCTATAAGACGGTTGATTTAATTTGATCAATGTCCTTCCACAGTTTTAGGCACTCTTGACACTGTTCACAAAAATAAGCGTTCAGATCGAAGGTCAAGCTAAATTGAGTATTATTTAGGACGCAGTTTTGTTTAACCAAGGCTATACTTTGTTTAAGCAACCGGCCTTAAGATTACAGACGTGACATTCATAAGTTTAGTGGGTAGTGGGTGTCCAAGATGACACCCAAGTTTTTCGTGAAAGAAACAAGTTCAAGTGATTTTGTTGTTTCAAGAAGCGGCTTTTCTGTCATCGACCTACCATCCGAGACAGCAAGTTTGAGAAGCGAAGGCAGGACCAGTCAGGTATAAAGAAATATAAAGGCGAGAGAATGGCGTTCTGGGGCGCTCGATAGAGTGGTTTAGCAAGAGGATGGGAACGTCAGTTGACAACGGCGCGCGCAGCAAAAATACCTTTCAGAAACTGGGTTGAGAAAGTCGCCCCGTTGTGTCTCAGAAGTGATTCAGCAGTCGTTGCAACGAACCGTCAACGTTATATTTGTCCTTGAATATCCTAACCTCGGCTCTTTAAAGATCACTATCACCTTTGAATATGCAACAAGCGCAAACAGAGGATAGTTATAGATACGGCAAGTAAGTTGTTAAAATGAATCCACATAGGCGGTTAAACTTTGAAATTATTTCATTCCAGTTAAGTCTCGAGTCTGCTAATTCATCTATCAAATTTTGAAGCCCACTAAATAACTTTTTTAAAAATTATTTGTGCCGCTTCGTTTCGTTTCGTGCCACTAGATTTCAGCACTACTCGTTTTTTTTTTTCATAATTTTATAAAGTATAATTTGGAATTGAAATGGTCGTCGTTTTTCCCTTTGTTTGCTGAATATTCTTAATCATGACTGTACATCTCTTTTGAGCACCTCTCTCTTAGAGTTGTAATGCATTTTGAACGGAGTTATCTGGAGTTATGGTGAGACCATGTAGAAACCAAGCGACCCAACGATGGAGTTGTTTACGATGAGTTCCTGTTTAACCATGAAAGAAGGACATGAATTCAAACTAGTCACCAAAGAAACGGCTAGACTTAAGAATAAGACTTCGTTCTTTTTTTTTTGTTTGTTTGTTTGATTTTTTTTTTTAACGAACAAAGTCGTTAAAAAAAATTAGGCCAAACCCGAGCTAATCTCAAATTTTTTATTTCTGACTTCAATTCGTCGAACATTTTTTTTAATCACGGTAAAGACGACAATGACAACAAATAACACCGAATAATATATAATGGTAATTGAACTGAGTGGAGTGCAATTTGGGCTGAAATCAAAGGCGTGATTTCAGACCAAAATTTCATGACACGAGGTCCAATTACCTCTTTATTACATCCATTTTGAAATCGCCCAAATACAGGACTTGGTCAGTTCAAATATTTTATTGATGCAGTACTGAGCTGGTTTAAAATTAAATTCATCCATTTTTGATGGGGGGTAGGGGGTAGGGGGAAATAAAAGTTTTGCAAACAAAAGTTGCAAAATTTGCCACATGATACTCTTCGTCTTTCATTTTCCTGAAATTTGATTGGTTACTCTAAACAAGCCTTGAAATCTAATTGGTTGTTTTGTTTTTAGTGTGGCCTGCTCATTGGTTGGGAAAAAGATGCGATTTAAAGCGAAAAAGGGTGCGATTCGTGATTAAATCGCTCCATTTTTTGATCGAGACGATCATCTTGCTAAATCCCTCTAATGGCTGATTGGGAGCGGACTGTTAAAGTAGAATTAAAGCAAACGGTATACGTACGTGTTGTGAATATTTAGAGTTTATTTGGAGTGGAATTCCCTTTTTTCATTGATTAGAAATGAGATAACGCCAGGTGGATGACACGAAAAAAAGTTCGTGTAATAGAAAGTCTCTGTCTCTTTGTAATACGTTTAATATATAACTAGCGTCTAGGAATGTATTTTCTGAATTTATTATCATTCACATAGCCATCGGCTGTGGATGTAACTGCTGCCATTTGTATAAATTCTTAGGCGAGACTGCAATTTCGATTCTTCCTGAATCTCATCAGTTGCCTCCTACGAGCGAATTCGTCACGGAGGAAAGACAGGAGTCGCGCGGGTTCGTAAATACTTTTTAACTTTCGAAAGAATGGCATCAGACAGTGAATCCTCATTACATTCCACCTCTGTTCACGCTACCTGGCTGCTACCAATTTGCAATATGGTCATTTGCATCCTGTCGACCGCGACAGGATGCAAATGACTCACTTTTTGTGTTTGATGAGAACATAAATCAAGTATTGTCAGCATAAAATGTTTGCCGTTCTTAATAGTATCTAAGGAAACCTTGAAAAGTCCTTTTGTCTACTGTGCCTGAGTCGAGAATGGAAATGGAAATTTAAACTGTTGTCTTTGCGTACTTGGAGGAAGTAATGTCTTGTGAAACAACGAACCGCATCGAGTCAGTCGCTAAGGGATAAAGAGTGTTTTCGAGAAATGCACCAAAGTGATATGCTTTACAACGTAAAGCATTGGATTTAGGTCACGTCGTCCTTTTTTGATGTTCTTGTGATTTTCAAGATGTTCAGAAGATTAGGAAGACACTCTACCAATATTATCAAGTTGGCCATTTTTTTAATGGTAGTTGTTTCTTGTATTTGTTATTTGATCAGAACTAATGCTGAAAATCAACAACCGGCTGTTGGACCTGTTGGTAAGTAAATATTTTAGGAAGTAATTTAGCCAACGGAGTCCTAGAAGTTAAGTTGACGGAAAATTTTTGTATTAATTTGACAATGTATTGAAAAACCCTGAGTCGGGTAGGGTTGGTCTGGGTTAGGTTGACCTTACAATTCCATCGGCGGAAAGAGGAGAAGAAATAGTACTTAAATTGAAGATGATTATTCCTACTACCTTTATTTCCCAGTCGGTGATGTTTCACACAAAAGAGCACGTTACACACTGTTGTTTTTTTTCACCCATTAAAGCTGACCCGCTATCTGCGAGTGTTTGAACAAAAGCGTTTATAGATAGGGCAGGTAGGTAGTACATTTGAGAAGAAACGATCTTTTAAGAACATAACGCGAAATTGAACTCGTGACTACACGGTCCCAGCGAGTCGCTCTAACTAACTGAGCTCTGAATTAAATGCGCTGAGGAACAGATCAGTTGCAGATTCATGTCTGCAAAAATTATATGAAATTGATACGAAATGGCAATGACCGATACACTTGTACTTCAATCGCTGCATTGAAATCAACTTGCAAATTAATCATATCACTAGACTGAATCAAATACGGAATTCTTTCATCTGAATTTCTTACTTTCATTTCAGTTGGGTCAATTCATACATGTTAATTTTTGTTCCTGCGTCGGTGTCCTTGGAACTTACCTTAAAGAGCGTCTCATTGTTATCGTAAGCGATTTAAATCCTGCTTACGTACTGGACATTTTTCGGGTGTCGAAGTAAATTTCAGCATTTATTTCCCCACCCCATAAATTATATCAGTCATCTACACAATAAGAAAAAAATGTCCACTTAAACCGAGCGAAAATCAAAACAAGTGACTCTTCTCCAAAGATCAAAATCCATTCAAATTCTAAGTGAAGAGACCTCATATCGGCTTTGGAAACATGGAAAGATATCTAGAAAATTTGGCAAAGTCGTCACGAGTTTTGTAAATTGTCTTGAAAGATACGAAAACTACGTAAAAAGTCTGGTTCAGGTGTTTTACGTTTCAGATGAAGTTTTTCCATGTATCCTCAGTTACAGATGCAATGATACAGATTGGTGACCGTGGTAACCCAAGGAGCTTAACAAAAATTTACTCGCCCTCCTTAGTTTAAGCCCCACCCCACCCCCTAACGGTTGGTTGAATTTTCAAAGAAATAAGTGATAAGGATCCTAGGAATGTATCTTATAAAATCAGTCTCATAGCCTCTTTTCCTGGCTAACTAAACGCTGCTTTTCTTTCTTAAGTCCGCAAACTTGATATGGAAAGATTGCACGCCGCATATGATGACGTAGATACACTGCTTCTCTTCATTGGCTACCCCAGAAGTCGCCATACGCTTGTATCTGCTCTGTTGGACGCACATCCCAACATAATACTTTCCAACGAGTTAAATTTGATAGGATCCTACAAGAATAACCCAGACTGGAGGAAAATAGAGATGTTTGACAAAATTGCCAAACGTTCATACATGTCGGCCACCTGGGGAATCCGAGCAAGACAAGCAAATGGCACAGTTTCCAATTACGAAAAGCTTGGATACAAAGTACCAAATCAGTTTCAAGGAACATTTGATCAGAAGCTTAAGGTGTGTTTTTGTATTTCATTTCTCAGTTGTGCCTAATAAACCACCTGGTGACAAGTTTTAAAAGTATAAGTGTTTGTAACAACAGCCTGGCGTCACTCGCCTTTCACACCACTGGGACAGGTTGATAAATGAACAGCAAAGCCCTCACCATTCTCAATCCAAGGTCGTCACTGTCGGAATTTTCTTGGATTACGGCTGCTAAAACACTGAGAAATCCGTATCGCTTACAGACAGTGACGTTCAAACTTTCCTAGAAGGGGAAGAAAACCAAAGTAAGACAAGGAAAACAGAAGGTTACGTATTCAGTGACTTTGGTAATGGCATTTCTCGCGGCTGAGAACGAAAATTGACAGCTAGAAGATTTGCCATAGGCCGATTCATGTCGTTCTTTTGTCGGTATGGACCAAGTCAATAACTGAGAATTTTAATCTTGAAAATTACGCCCATTGTTTGTTTTTGTGGTTATTCAACGAATGTTAAATTTTCATCTTGGTGCACCAACGCGCTTTACGAGTGTTATCCGGGATTGTCGATCCTTTTATTTTCATTCATTAATAAAGTTGACTTTTCTTGTCTGTAAAGGGCTACTGTATTTATATGATGAATAATGGTAATAGGACCTAGCGGAGTCCAATTCGGTCCGTAATCCTACGAGTAATTAACAAAATCGGACGACCGCGAAGCGCGAGTCCGATTTGGTAATCACGAGTATGATTACAGACAGAATTGGACGACGCGAATTCCTGTTACCAATTAATCAAAACTATGGCAAAATTTGAGAAAGAAACGAGACATTGGTTAAACGTTTTCATAAGAAAAAAAACAACAGTTAACTCGGCGAAATGCGAGACAACAGAGCGCGTACATGAGGCGTTCTGTCCACTTACACAAGCATGACGTGTTAATTGTCACTTTAACTGTCCTATTACACTGTCCAATTACAAGCATAACGCGTACACCTTCCTATTAGTGTTTAAATCGGGCTGGTGATAACCAATCGTGTTCGAGAACTTTAGTTTTGATTAAACTCTTTTTCACCTTGCAGATCCTTGGAGACAAATTGGGTTGGTTTACAGCTTCCCATTTGTCTACAGAAGTAGGCAGAGATTTACTGAAACAACTGGAGGACAAATTTAACGTCAGGGCAAAAATTATTCACGTGGTTAGGAACCCCTTTGACAACATATCAACAATGGCGCTGAGACTGAAAGGATTAAGAACAGGAGAACATACAAAAAAGGTGAGCCGAGTACAACATGAGTTTTTTATTCTAAGAACATTCCTGCGATTAGTTTTTCGCGCAACTTTACGTATTGAAATATCTTTGAAATCAAGGCTTTGACTTCCCTTCCCCACTAAAGAGAAACAGAAGATTTGGTTTACTCCTCACAGTATGATATCATTACAAGACGAACCAAAAATTTTTATTGTTACGATTCTTCGACAAATCTTTCCCTTTTAAGGTGGCCCAAAATAGGTTCCTTATTTTTAAACATATATTCTTTAATGGATTGATACCTAACACATTTTTGATCATTTCTCAACAAGCTAATATTTTGTTTTTGAAAAGGAGAGAGATTACAATAAAAACATTTAGCTTCATACATGCGATTTAAATAAATATCGTTAAACCCCCATTGTTAATTACTACATTTCAATCTACATATCAAGTTAATCTTTCTACAAAGTTTGAAAAAAGGCGAAATTGTTTTGTGAGCGCCCGCAGACACATGTGTACGGGGGAAATTAACGACGGAGTCTAATGTCATGCGTTGTAAGCATACAATTACTGGAGGTACAGAACCAACCCAACACTTAGAAAATTTACGGTGGTTTAGCATCTACAGAGCAGATTTGTCTGCTTACTCTAGATTGAATCAAGTTGTTTCGCGTTAAGCTCGACATATGATTTGATTCGATTTATTAGGTGCATATCCCAAAGGCGATTGATTACAGTATAACGCGGTATTTCTACATCGCCAATAATTGCCAGGCAACAAGGGAGACTCTTGGAGATCGAATTATTGACATACAAGGGGAAGAATTTGTTCGGGAGCCAACGAAGTATCTTCGAAAAATCTGCGACTTCCTGGATATCTCATGCTCCGAAGATTATCTTGGTGACTGTGCGTCAATGGTTGACCCTGTTCCATCTAAAACTAGATCGTTAGTTGTGTGGACGGAAAAGCAGATCCAAGAAGTCAACAAACTAATGCAGCCACTAGAATTCTTGAAATCGTACACTTTTTAGAATTTAAGGTGATTCTTCAGAAAAAAAAAGGTTATCGAACAATTTTTTAAACTTTCCCTAAATGTTAATTACATTCTCTACCAATGTCTGTTTCGAAAAATAAAATTAAAAAGATGGGCCACCTTGTTTGTTTAGGAGATATGATGAGCCAAACTTACCCCATCTATGCCTGTTGTGGCGCTAATCACGCGCTTCATTTCATCGGTTCACGGCACGTTATGAGGTAGCTGGAAGCAAGGGTTTTTAAACTAACACTTGAAAAAAACTTGTTAGGTAAAAGTCTCGAGCGTATGGAACAATTTGATATACGATTTGTGGAAAAGTCACGCAGTTTAAAACAAAATCGACTCAAACATTTTCCACGAGTCGTTCACAATTTATAATTTCATAATCGAGTAGCGGGCTTCGTACAGCACGAAGCCCACTACTCGCGTAACGCGTGATATGTGACGCGTTTAGCTATATCTCTTTTTTTTTCCCTTCGATGATTATTTTCCAATTTCTCCAATTTATAGGGGATAATTTGTACACCAAAATTATATGATAAAAATATAGGTCACCGTGCTCGTTCAAGAGCTGAAGACAATCGTACCTCTTCACCAGGTCCATCCACTGAAAAAGAATACCATGTTCTCGGAATGCACGCGCGCTTATTCGCCTGATTGCGTAACTTTATGCGTATTACAGGATTCGCGATACAATACTGAGGAATTGCCTAAATTAGGTTACCCCTCTCTTGATAAGTAAAATTTCGATGGCCTCCACAACATTTCAATCCATCCATGGTACTAGAGGATTAGAGGCTACGTTCAGTCTACACCACTCTCTATTCTGCGTTGATTTAGAAAAAGGAATGCATTAATGGAACAGAGCAAAAGCGATTGGTCTAAACGCGACACGTGACCTAATACGTCCCAGCCATTGTTTGTTGGCTATTTACCATCTCATATCCAACGCGCTTCAGGAATAATTGTTAAATGGAGTTAAAGTCTTTGTTTGAATTTTTTTTTTTAATTCATCGTTATTGTTATTAATTGTAGTCACAATATAGGATGAAGGCTTTTGCCATTTTAAGGATAACAGTTAACTAAGCTTCCTTCTTTTACGATTAAGTTTTCCTGGTTAACTGTTTTGGCTTACGGTTAAATTTATCAATTTTTACGACTGATGCCTATATTTTTTATATGTGCGTGTGTGCAAATAAACTTGGTACAGTCGTTAATTTTGATGAATTATATAGTGTAAAGTGACGTTTCGTCTGTTGATGGAAAGTCTTGCCTAATGACATTGAAAATAATAAAGAAATCAATACTAAAAAAAGGACAAAAATATATCTGGACATATTTTCGCGCCAAGTGTAAACTTTTTGTTGATATAATAACACTGACATAGGTGATTATCACTCTGAACCATTGCTTTTCAAAATGGCCACAGCGCAATCTTTTGTGTATTTGAGGAAGAATAGAATTGAAAAAGTAGTTGTTGTGGTTCCAACATATCGCGCAAACAGTATATCTGTTCAAAGAGTACAGAAAACAGCTTTTATTCATAGACTTCATACAGGAAAAAAGAATATGAGATACCAACGATCAAGAAATAAGTGTGAAAAAAACCCAAAAGTGAATATACTTGGCTTTGAAACCACGAAAGAGTTTTTTTTTCGGAATATCATTGTAGTGATGAAAAATAATGAACGAATGAGGATTGATAGTCGCACTCAAGTATGCACATCATTTGGTTTTACTTGGATTAGGATATAGCCTCTCTGCTACTTCGCTGACCTGCTTTGCAACATGGAGGTCATGAACTAGCAGGGCATCCAGATCTTCTTTGCTGAGAACGAGCATGTCCACATGAGTTACTGCACGTAGAGACATTTTTTGGGGACAGGCGTGAATCAGGAACATTTCTCCGAAATAGTCGCCTTTCTCCAAGGTTTCAATGACCTCTGGTGGGTCTTCCTCGGTGACAACCTCCACCTAAAGAGATGGTATTAATTAATGAGACCGTTTTCGACAGATTGCGCAAAGGGCTTGATCGATTGCTTATACTAACTGGGCAATTGACTAATTTCTGGTCTTCTTTGAGCTGACACTGGTCCCATTCACACTATCCAAGATAATCCTGGCTGATGTTTCTAACTGTCTACATGGCTGCTCAAATACACTACAGGCTTGATTTTATCCATTTTAAGAACGCCAGGGTCAAAAAATTCTTTTCCAAGCATTTTTTTCCCAGGAAGCGGCAGTGCCTTCGGATGTAAAAGTTAACATAAAAACTTACTAGTCCCTTTCGAATAATGAACATTTCCTGTCCAATATCACCCTTCCGAACGATGTATTCACTTGCGTGGAAATTCGCAGGCTTGACTTTGGTACTCAACAACCGGATGAAAGGTAGTTCAGTATTTTCTAAGAAAGGAACCTTTGTAAATAATAAATATAGAAAATCAGTTTAAAAGTACCCACAACACAAATCAAACAAAGTAATTAGCCATGAAATAAGGAAGTGACTAGGATGACAGATTTCACATTTGATGTTGGAATGAATAACTAAAACGATTTTTTTTAACATTTCAGTTCTTGATTTGGGTATTCAAATTCATTCTTCGCAGAAACTGCGACAGGTAGTAATGAAACTTTAAGATTTGAAATCAATTTCTTAAAGATCTTAGTTATTTTTTAATAACAGAAAACTATTGAACCTTTTTCATCGGAATATCAATACCTACCGTGCTTGTTATATATCTATCACCATTTAGTGCTCACCAGAGCCTGTGAGAGGCTTTCATTACGGCTGCGGGAAGTACGTTTTCCGCGCGCGGGAAGATTTGAGACGAGTCGAGGGAGAGGTTTGCTGGGGGTCTGACACTACTAGACTCCTTGCCGGCCTTCCGCCAGCTTGCGTTGATCAAGACCTGAATACTTTCCCATAGGCGAAGAAACTCTCCTGCCGGAACGCTATTATGACGAGGGCTTGCTAATACGCTATGTTTACCATAACCAATTGTACAGAAATTTAAGTCAATTTATTCCCAGGTAACCAATAATAAACTGCTAAGGATTACAAGACTTTAAGACTCGCAGACGAATGGAAGATCACTTCACTCACCGCATAAAGAATATCCTTAACGATGCCCAGACACAATTCACCATTCATGCAAAGAGGCATGTCATAGAACAGTGTACCGTGATCAATTCCCCTTCAAAAAGAGGCAAATAATTATTAACGACTGGGATATACTGATCGAAGTTTGGATTCAGATTTTTACAAGCAATCCTGCTTACCAAACGCAAAATTTTGGTTTGTTTGAATTTTATTTTAATAAAAAAGTGTTACAGTTGGATGAAAGTGTCTCCAACAGAGTCTTGGGAATCTCTGATCCCAGCTTAACGGGCCGAAGCTTATTTCTCGTATTTTAAAACTCTGCCAAAGTCTGAATCTTAAGAGTGAACACAACTGACAAATAGAGTCATCTTCAACTGAGTGTCAAAAGAAATTAAAGATTCCAATGGCTCTGCTTTGCTTTGCTCGATAATTAGTCTCGCGCCGTGCTCTCAACCAATCAGATGTAGAACTAAAACCAATCACGATTTGGTCACTCGCGTTTTCCCGCGCTTCGGTTTCAGTTTGAGTTCTCATTGGTTCCGATGGGTATTTTCCTGTCTTCTGATTGGTCGTCATGATAACTTTGGTTTAAGTTTTACGACACTCACTCGAAAATCACTCTACCGGTGTTTCGGGATAGTAACTACAGGGACGTTCAAGTAAAGAACCCCTGATCCGATGGAAAATCCAGACTCACTTGTTTTTGTTCCAGATAAACTCATAAAAGTCCATTACTCGATTCTGTAAAGCTTCTGGGATGTCTTGGTCTGACATATGCGCCTAACAAGTGAATAAAACAGGCGACCAGCTCGGATGGCATAGAAAAAAATTACAACAACCACAGCAACAACAACATTAAAACAAAGAAACCACTAAATAAACAGAGCTAAACACGAAAAATCCTAGAGAGTATGGCAGATTAACATTGGCCTCGTATCTGCCATTCTCGACGTGAAACTAGCAGACAGTTACACACCTGAATAGCATCCAGTTTCTCTTCGTACTTGACTCGTCTAATCTCAGCGTTTGCCAAAGTAGAAGCAATGTTTCCAAGGATAAAACCAAAAAGAAGCTTTCCAAAAATCATAACAAAACTTGCCAGAGCTCCATGTAAAAACAAGATGATTGAAAGTTATACTTTGCAGTGTAATTTTGAGCGACAATTTACTGAAAGCAACGGTTATGAAGTAGTCTTTCATCTTCGAAAAAAAAAGGGAAAGAAAAAGGAATGGTTTGGGGCATACATCCATCTCCATTCTACTCCGAGCGTCATTTCATTTCTTCGCTTACAGAATATTCCTGTTGCAATTTTTTAGCGGTCGACATATGTGTAGTGAAGTGTTTTCAATTTAGAGTTTCACCTGTGAAAAATCGTTGGGAATTTCAAGCCTCGAGAAATTTTTGCTCACCCATTTCAGAAGAGCTATCACCATGAATGTCTCCATAACCCGTGGATGTCATAGTGGCTACTACCCAGTATACCGCTGTACAGTAACGAGAAAGAGCAGGCGCGTCTAGAAGATCTGTAAGAAACAGATGTCCAAGTTGGGTATGAAATCTGGGTTTAATTGTCGCATCAAAATGAAAGAAACGATTTATGCTGGGATGGTTAGAGAACAACTGAAAGTCACGTTAAAATGCAATTCTAAAGCGTTATCGATTCAGCTTTGCTACGTTTAACTGACCTTCAAGTTTAATCCAGTTTTCCTTAGTTGAGCAATCATTGAGCGGACAGGCCAGACCATACCAAGCGCATGCAAATACATGAATCACTATGACCAGCTGGAAGAAGAATTTAGTCATGCGCACTCTGAAAACGCTGGAAAGGAACAAAAATCGACAGTTTGCACCTGATAGAATTTAATATCCTATCTCTTTTTTTGTATATAAAAAATGTGTTTCAAATTTAGGCATGAAACTCTTGCAAAATCATTTTTTGCGAAAGTGGCTACTGTAAACCAAACTAGAAAACAATTTGCAAATATGACTGAGGAGGGGACACTTCCCTTGCTGATAACATCATTTTTGACAAAATGGCATGTCCAACAATTACGGGAGAGAGAACAACTGCGATTCATTCTAATTTCGATTAGAAAACCAAGCAATTCTCGATAGTATTTTTTAATCAACAAAGGTAGCCTATTAAGGCGTTCATGAGTTGCCAGCTAAAAAATGATATTTTACTTAACATATCACATTTAAGCTTGCAACTCATGAACACAGAAACTAGTCTCGTACCCAGACTTTCCACGGCCAAGCGAAGGGAAGGTCCCCACATTTTAGTTATAGTTAAACGTTAGGATCTGGGCACGAGATCACACAGAAACCTGCTTGGCTACAAGGCGATGAAAAGTAACATCGCGAATGTTGAGCTTTAAGAAGAGCGTCTCGCTGCTCTGCAAATACTAACAGAGTATTCATTCCTGAGTGTGATTGATAAATTGTAGACGGCTTCTAGTGTAGTGAACGAGTAACACTAACATAAGACATTATTGCTCGTAAATAACACTTACTCAATATTTAACCTCTGCGCCAACTCAGAGAAAAATTGTTGCATTCGAACCACGCGAATCAAGTGAAGAAGCCTCAGATACGACAATACAAACAGCTGTTCGTCCGCGGGGGCAGCCAAGGCGAAAATATCGATCGGAAATGAAGCAAGAGAGTCTAGCGGTAGCTTTCCCTTTGCGTAGTTGATAAGCAGTGTTCTTCCATCAGAAATCACTTCTCCGATGTTATTGGTGTATGCCATGTTGAAATTTAGATATATCTGTTGGGAAAAAGGAAGGGATTTCAACTACAAATCTGAATAAGTGATGACTGTCATTAAACTGTATTAGAATCATTGGTGGGTTTTCACAGAGAAGAAATGAGACAAAGTGATTCGTATTAGCAACGGTTCTAGTAGCTCAGCATATCAAAGGCAATATGACAAACTGGATGCAAAAGTAGGGACATGAGATTTTTCTAGCCTTCGGAAACTAAAAATATATTCTATACTGTCATAGAAATAGGGCTGTTGCCAAGTTATAAACCAACAAAGTGGAAGGCATAACTACAGCTGTCCGGCTACAAAATAGACTTTTCATATTGCATTTAAATTCTTAGAACAACTTGTGTCATGAGGGTGTGAAAGCTACCTTATTTTCACATCGCATTTGATCTCATCACGCAAGGATATTAAATAATATTTCCTAAACTCACCTCGGCGTAAAACGAAAACTCACATAAGTAGTTAAATGTAATCAGATACCAGGGATGATCTTGAAAAGCAGCCTAACAAAGACAACAACGTTGCAAATGGAGACACTGAAATCTTTTCAATGTTATCGAGCAAGAGACCATGGTTTCAATCACTCTTCTATCAAGTTGAAGGGATCCTTGCCTTTATAATTTTATGCTTTATAGAAAAAATTTTCCGGCTGGAACCCTGATTTTCTATTTACTATTATGGGCCCAGAGTGTCTTCAAGAAATCGTTAGATTACGATATTTTCAGTTGTTTCCTGTGCTCTACAAATTTACCATAAGGGTAAAGGGAAAGGCTGCATGTTAGATTGGTAAGATAAAAACACAAAAAAAATCTGCTGAATTGGAGAGGAAGACGGTTGAGGATAAACTGATCGGTGCTAAGTTTCTAAACTCAAGAAATACAGAAACCATGACGTAACTTTCTAAGATGAGCGATGTATGATTCCTCACCATGTAGGTAATGGTTAGTGTTGTAGCAAACACAAACACACAGTTGACATATTTGATGAGTCTCCACTTGCTGTTGGGTAAGATTACAAAGTGGACAAAAAGTTCGGTCAAACGGGCTTTGAAATTCCATAAATTAGTGAGAATCCGCTGTCCAGTTGTTGGTGTAGGCTCTGCAGGTTCCTCAATCTGGAGTGTCAGGGCAGCCTGGTCATTGTGACCCTCTTCTTGTTCCTTTGAAAAAGAGAGTGCTTAAATTGCAACGGATTACAGCTTTCAGTTTCAAAATGATATTCAAGAGGGTTGCGTGCTCACAAAAGCCTTCCGAAAAGGTTGGTGAATAATTTTGAAAATACATAATCGAATACCGGTGAATGCAACGAAACTCCTGCGCGAGGCAACCCCGGCTTTGAAACGAAGACACCCTGTAGTAATAGGATTTCTTTCTGACAGCTAGCGAACAATAATTTCCTGCAACAGAAACTGACTTCAGACAAAACCATACAATACCTTCAGCTTGTTTTCCTCTTCTCGTTTCTTATCTTCTTCCTTTTTCTTGGCAAAAGCCTTTGCTCGCTCAGCTACCATTCTCTGCCTTTCCTCCGCTGTCTCCAAGATTTTCTTACGTATCTGTGGATAGTGGCTGAGTACTTCGTCTAAGTCCTTTTTTGTCAACACAAACACGTCGGAATTTGTCTGCGCCCTAGAAGAAATGGTAAGCAGGCTGTGTTTAAGTTCTTTAGGAGCAGCAGTGATCCGATCAGTGAGTATACCTTGTATAGAGAGTCAGTGGTATGGTAAGAGGACGGAAGCATGTTTATATGCTTTTCATATATTATTACTCATATCGTGATCGGTAAAGAATCACCGTCGTCATCGATGTCACCTTCGTCTTCGTCATCGCTACCGTCATCGTTATTGACCTTACCGTTATAGTTATTTCAAATTTGCAAAGTAAAAAATTCAATACTGGTAATTATATTCTTGATGTTAAGGGAACTTAACTAGTTTGACTTTTTATATTCATTATGGATGCTTTGCTATCGACATCGTGTCCGAGTTCTTCTGATACATGACTTTCAGGTGGTGTGTTCTCGCTTATAGGGGTACATGCTTATCAAATTGAAAGAGGTTACAGTCTGATCAAAAACTTGAGCCCAAAATTGTCAGCCTGGCCATGGGTTACCCAAAACAAAAGAATTAAATCAAACGTGACTGTAGCAGTTTATCCGTACCTGATAGAAGCAGTTCTGGGGCAACTAAATACAACGCTGATCTCCCCAAAAAATCTTCCTTCGCCCATGGTATCAAATACAATCGGTTCATCGTGCTCAGATACCACTTCTACAGTGCCTCGGTGGATAAAATACATCTGAAAAGGAAGAAATTTGCTCACTGGAACGCCAAAAACTTGCTGCTTTAATTTTAAAAGTTTCTGCCAAAATTTTATATCTTTTTATATAAATGTTAATCAAGAAACGCTTTGCTTTTCGTTTTTCACAATAATAGCTAACATCGGTGTAAAGAAAAATAACTTAAAACGTAGCGTCAAAGAATTGCTCTTAAATATGAGCGAGGTGTGGGATACTCTTAAGTTTAACGGAACAAAATAATTGTTTCATTTGTGTTCAAAAGTTTGGTAACCATTCAAGAAATTCGCTTGAATTGAAGTTTTAGTATAAAATGGTTAACTTTTTACTTCTTGATATGACCTCTAAACCTAGATTTTGCTCAAAAATTTTTCGAGGTTGCCAGAGCCACAAAAAACTGCTCCAAACGCCAGAAGTGGCTCAAAAGTTGCAGAGCACAATCGGGGCGATCCGTGAGCGGAGGGAAACAGTTGAAGAGCGGGAAAAAAAACCCTAAGGAGTAAGGACGAAAGCCAAAAACAATCCAGGTCTGGGAATAGACTTAGCCTACACTCAGTTCGCTCATATTTCAAAGGTATTCACCTGAGCGTTAGTCAAAATGAAAACCCGGAATAATTGGTTGCAAAGATGATTCATTTAGAACTGTCTTTATTAAATTTTATTCTCACCGAAGAAGTCAATAAAACCCTACCTCCTGACCAATATCACCCTTTCGTACGATATACTCTTTGGCAAGAAAGTAAACTGGCTTCACTTTCATGGAAAGCATCTTCAAGAAACCGATCTCTGTTCCCTCGAATAACGGTACCTTATTAAAGGGAAACAATTTTCTTGTTACACTTAATCCTAAAGGTTAACAAGTAATTAAGAGTAAAAGAAAGCTTTCGGGCTGGGTTATGAGCCATCATACCATGCACGCGCATGGAAACAGTTGAACCGGAAATAATTTTGTACATTGTAACATTCCGTTTGTTCTTACAAAATAAAATTTGGAAGAGTTATCCATATTTTGGGGCGTTTTCAATACCAAAATTATTCTATTCGCGCTTGTTGGATATGAGATGAAAATTATCAACGCGGCCTTACGGGCCTCGTTGGCTATCTATCATTTCATATCCAACGCGCTCTCGTTACAGAAAAGACAAACAGAACTTAGGAAAAATAACAGATAGAGGTTTGAATTTACCCTTTCAATCATATCTTTGTACAGGCTAACGGAGATGTCGGCTTGCAGGGCCAGCGGAAGACCTTCAAACAAAGAACTGGCGTCGACTCCTTTGTTTCTCAGCCAGAGATATTCATAATAGCTGAAAACCAAAATTCAGATATAATATTTAACATGTTAGGAACTTATGTCCTTTTTTACATTGTAATTCCCAATCCAAGTGTAGATAACCGTGCTCCCTTTGTTCTATTCTGCATCTGTCTAATTTTCTAGTGTTTGCTTGTGTACGCCGTAATTCAGTCGGCTTAAAAGCGACAAGAAATTTGTCACTTCTTGTCCTACCAGTTTCTCCATAAGCATACCTTATAACACGGGTTGTTAGTTTTTCAGATATCTCTTGTTCCTGTAAAATAGAACAAGAATGGAACTTAGAGAAGAAAAAGTAAGTCGAGAGACGCGTCTCGTTTAAGTTCTTAGTACTAAAATGTTACCTCCAGAAATGTTTTGATGGCATCAAGTCTTTCTTGGTATCGAGCCCGCTGTGCGTCAGCGTTAGCCAAGCCAGCAGCAACACTGGCGATGATGTAACCATAGAATACAATACCAATGATCATGCAGAACAAAGCAAAAGTCATCTGCCAATCAAACAAACAATCAATCCATCAATCAGTCAATCCATCACTCTTCAATCATTGTTTTCCTCATTCCTCTAACTCAGTTGTTCATGATACTAACTAATGAATAATATCTTATCAACTTTATTGTTTAATATAAGTAATATAAATATATAGTAAATCAATGGTAGAAATGAAAAGACCAAAAGAGATTGCGCGAACGGAAAAAGTATCCCGTGCGAGGTGCAACCCAGAATCTAAGAAAAAAAATCCTGATAAGAAATTTAAATAAAATTACAACAAATCTAATTAATCACTAATAGTACACAGTGAAGTGTCATTAAAATCAGTCAGATAGATTATTAATAGCGGTGGAAAGGGCAGTTACTGGAGAGAAAGCAGGTGCAGGGCATGTCAGTAGAGTCTAGTAAAGTAAAATAAGTGGCCCGCAGAAAATTTTCAAACATACGTAGACCAGAAAACTTGTCATGAGACCACCTAATCATTACAACGTTAAACATGCGCAAATGTTTTACGGCTGTGTTGCAACACCCACAGCACAGGTGGATCGTCGAAAATGATGTCATTCTCACCTCTGTCGTGTTATATGCATGGATGTCACCATAACCAACCGAGGCTGAGGTAGCCGCTGCCCAGTAAAGACTGGTTATATACTGTTCTCCGAAGCTATTGGTTGCTGTGGACAAACAATCAAAAACAGTGTTCTCCCTGTTAACATGTCATTATATTTGAATTTCATTCCAAATTGTTTTCAGTCAAGTATAGGCAGTTAGAAAAGTGTTTTTCCTTTTTTCATGGGAAGGATTTCATGCCCAAAAGAAAAAAAGTTAGGCCAAAAGAAAGATCGACAGACAGAGACCAGAGGAGAAGCATTCAGACGGACGCCTGGACACACAGTTCGGATGGTAAAGACAAAGAAGACAGATGAATGAGCAGAAAACTACAGATACAAACAAACAAAAGGACGGTAAGAGAGACAAGCGACAGCCACATAGTCTAAAACAAAGCTTCTTACCTAATGTTCGATTCCCTTGCCCTACCCAAGAATCTGCTGCGCAGGAATGATCTCCGTTTTCAAGTCCTTTACAAGCGAGCAGAAACCAACCACAAGCTATACAGTGAGTGAAAGTTGCCATGTACAGAGCAACCTTGAGCTGCCTGTGTGTATTCAAGTAAAGAGAACTGTTAGCATGTAGTGAAGTCAGTGCTCGAGCCAAGTGGTGCACACCTTTGAGCTTATTTCGGTTTTCAAGGCATGAAGCGCCAGGATTATCACTACTCCACCTGAATGGGATTCTAAACCATTGCATTGTTACCCATCCCCTCCCCCTTCCCCAGTATATTGTCAGAGTTTCTCAACAGTTCACTGCTAGTAACTTAATACACAACAGAGTAGAGAAAGGCACCGTGAAAGCGATGAGTTTAGCTCGTGAAAAAAGCGTCGTCCATAGAGAATGGATTACTTGATTTGCCTTCATTTTTTGCGCCTCGGTAAGTTGTAGGGTTTCCTTGGTTTATATAGGAGCTCTTTATAAGAAAATTGCAGTTACCATTTAAATCTTTGACATTCTTCTTACCCCAATAGGTTTGTATTTTTCCCGATCGAATTCGTCATGAAGTGGAAAAACTGTTGCTGTAAAGAACATAATATTATGCATAATTGTAAGTTTCGGTTTTACAGTGATAAAAGTGGATAAATTTTGGAAGACAAAAATTGTAAAATTCGCCACACAATGACTTCATTGTTTTTCGTTTTTCTGCAATTTGATTGGTCATTTAAAACAAGCCTTTTGAAAAAGATGTGAAAAAGATACAATTTACAGAAATTTGAGAATGAATTGCACTGCTTAGAGCCAATTAGATTGCAAGGATCACCAGTGATTTCAAAATAAATGTGTAATAAAGATGGTTATCGTTCCTTGTTCCTCTCTTCTGTATGAGAACCTTCTCACTAGTCAAAACTGGGTACAGCGCATGCTCATTTAAATAGACCGTAGAGAGTGGCTACTTTTTTCTCCCATGAGCCCTCTTTGGACACCTTCTTCATGTAAACCTACCGTTTTGTACATGTAGAGGCATCTGTTTAGACGAGCCAAGGCCAGGATACGAAGAACGCCTAAAGGGAGGTAGACACAATCAAGTTCAAACGAAAGAAAATTTAAACAAGGTCAACGATGGTGAAAATGCCAGCATTTTCTGGACAGTGCTGCGACTTGTTGGCATCTATAAAATTCATAAAAAATTTTTACTGTTTCAAGCGATTTATATTCAACAAAAGTTTTTGATAAGGAATTTTCAACTTCGGCCGCTTCATCTATGCCTTAAAAATAGAGGAAAATAGCCAGTTGATGTGAAATAGTTAATAACTGTGAACTCATACATGCGCAATGCCTAGCTCTGTAACTTGACAGTCGGCTAAAGGCAGGCCCCGTACGTCAAGGGTTCACTTTTTGTACTGAACATCATCAATTGTTCAAGAGGGCGAAAAGAAACTGCTTGTTCAGCTTAATAAGTATGAACACTTACCGAGACTTTCTGGCCAAAGAGCCAACACGATAATGTCTGTAGGAAAGGAACAGATAAGATCCAGTGGAAAATTCCTCCTTGAAACGCAAAAAAAATTTGATCAATATGCTGCATAGTGATTACTTCACGTAGGGTAATCTGTGTGAGAATTTCTCGATGAATCTCTGTCGCGTTTAGTCCGAAGAAGAAAGTGTGAACCAGTTGCACGCAACCAATTAATTGAGAACCTTTCACAAAACTCAATTTCAAGAACAACAAGACGCCAAAAATATCTTACCTGAGGTAATTACGAGCAGTATAAATCGGATGTGTGACAAGGACGTTGTTCTCGTTGTAAAACGCCAAGTGAAATTTAATGTACCTAAAATGAAAAAGCGCAGACAAGAACGTAGCATAAACTGTTAGTCGATCAGACATTTTCACTCTCACACCACCATTTTGGTGTTTCTCTGTCCCTCTTCCCCTGTATTTGTTATTACCACTTTAGAGCTGATATCTCGTAGTCAACTTTGGAAGGGGAAGGGGAGACAACAAGTAGCCTGTGAACATGTTCTCACAAGCGCTGCGGCTTCAGGGACCAGTTTCATGAGAATCTAGCTATTGCAGGGTCTGTGAGGGATCTGGCACGAAGAATGGACCCTTTTGGCTTCCAAATACAGAGTGTTTGTCCACGCACGTACCACCTTGTCTAACTTTTTATGTTACTTACATGTCTACCAAGCACAGGAAATCAAAGCAGTAATTTACGATCCATAAACTGGTAGCAGTATGCAAGAAAGCCGCCTGTAACGTGAGTGTGAAGGTAAAAATCCCTGCAATGACAAGAGACAATCCCTGCCACATGACAAAGTAATGGCTGTCCGGCAAGATGGAATGTCTGTGAAAAGAGTTGGAGAAACATGAACTTAAGTGCAATGATTACATTTATCAGCAGTTCAGTAAGAAGTTCAGCAGCGTACTTTTCAAAGCAACTTGATTCGCCATTCGGAGAGTTAAAGAATCATAGACTATATGTGTAATATATATATTCGTATATATATATTCGTAATCACTATAATGATGATAGTAGCTAAAGGTAGAACAGAGGATGGAATTTGCTGAAATGTAATTTACGAAGAGAAGAAGACAAGCACCAAAATGACATCTTCAAGAAGTAACAAAACAAAACAAAACAAAATACCAGGGCTTCGTTTCAAGATGATGCAGTGGAGGTGTTGGAGAGAAGGGGAATGGGGGAAGTCTGGGGAAAGGGGGGGGAGGATGGAATGGCGGATGTTGCGTCTACATTTCGATGTTTAACAGTCACGTATTTCTAACCCTGTATTTCTAACTTAAGAGTTTGTACCTCATTAGGAGCCGCGAAAAAAGCCAAAAGATAGGATGAAGGTCATTATATGGTTTGTTGACATCCTCTTTACTTTCATTGGTCACAGGCATAAAACCTGTCCGCATAGCACTAGAAATAGGAAGAAAGCATCATGCCACCTCATCTATTTTATTTTCACAAATTAACATTAATGGCTCATGTCTCAGCTTACTTTCAGTTGTTAATCTTAAGAAATAGTGGTCGAATTTAAACTACGTTTTTTTTTTAAATCTCAACTGACCAAACAAGACCAAGATCTTGGAACTTTGTCCTATTAAGGCCAATTACCCGAGCATCATGGGAAGGCCTATGACAGGCGCAAGTTTCAAATGAGTATTGTTCACTGAATTTCGATTCAAAAGGAAAATATCTTTTCACCTCTCATCTTTTAGCTACATTGCTAAACACCATCTCAAAGCTACAGGACTAAGAAAACTTCTGCGCGGCTCAATTTTCGAAATCTAGCCAAATAGACTTTAAAAATAAAATTTTAGTAGCGACCGAATTATTATGACTAGTCACTTGATTGATCGAGATGATTACGCAGGGGCATACAAAATTTCGAATAAACAGGCCAAACTTGGCTTACTGTTCAACCCTGATTGAAAATTCCTTGCAAATGCGTTACGAACGTGGGCAATATACACTTAATCCTCGGCAAATAATTATTGTAAGTTAATGCACCCAAATTTTCGCGTCATAGCGACTGTTTTACAACTCAAAGATCTCAGGTTTTCGTATTTTTTGTTTTTTTGGGGGGTTTAACTTCAAAATTAATGTACCTCATCTCTGGCGACACGCGGCCATCTTTCTTCTTTTTGGACGTTTGGCTTTTAGACATGACTGATGATCTTTCTTGATTGGCACATTTCATAGACAAGCGTCTGACGGCAGCCTTGGTGGATTCAAAAGCTGCTTGACGAACGTCTTTAAGATAGTCACTGTTTACTCCAGCGTCATAGATTTGCCTACAAAACAAATAAAGGCCCATTTTCTCAAAGTGATCATGTTAGAGGTGGTAAATTATAAAAAAAAAGAAACCGAGAACCGGGACATCGATTTTAGCAACAGATTCCTTTATAATAACTGATGCTTCAGTTACATTATTGTATGGTACCATTGTGACTGCGCAATATCATGTTAGAGTTGCGATTCGTTTATGCAATATATCAGCTGCCATATTGCAGTATTGTTTTTCAAACGACAGCGAGGGCGAGTATGTACAGATTTTCGCCTCCCTCAACCTTCATTCAAGGTCAGATAACCTAACTTTTGAACAAGCACTTCGTTAAGAAGAAGAAAATCTCATATTTTGAGACCTTGGAGAGCAATGCAGGACTTCAGAATCCGGACTAAAGAGGACAAATTGGTTTTTTCAATAGAGACATATTAGGTTAGTGAGCTCTCGAGATCGGATCAAAATTTTGCGAGATCCACGATCTTTTCAAGGTACTATTATCAACCCCTTATGTTGACCTTATCCATCTCTGATCATTCATTGGTCACGAGGCAACTTTAGCCGAAATGTTTCCCTACATGAAGTAAAAGCAATCATTTCAATATGGGCCAAACCTTGCCACAATAGGAAAACGCGCCAACACCTCATCAAGATCTGGTTTAGTCAGCATCAAAATCTCACAAAACGTTTTTGCCTTTACAGTAGCCAAGCGATTCTCGCCGAAGATAAGTCCAATCTATGAACATGAACAAAACGGACATTAAGGTCTACGTGATAAAGTACTTGGTTCTCATCGCACCATTGAAAAGTCTGGGAGTGTTAAGGTTCAGAGGTTCTTAGCTGCTTGGTTTTCAGTGTCCCCGCCTTATTTGTTTCGTATAGTTGATGTAAATTGCTCCCCTCCCCCAGCCCACCTAGTCCCACCCCTCCCTTCTTCCCCCTCCCCCAGTCCACCTAGTCCCATCCCTTCCTTCTTCCTCCCTCCCTCAGCCCACCTAGTCCCGTCCCTCCTTTCTTCCCCTCCCTCAGCCCACCTAGTCTCATCCCTTCCTTCTTCCCCTCCCTCAGCCCACCTAGTCTCATCCCTTCCTTCTTCCCCCCCCCCCCAGCCCACATAGTCCCGTCCCTCCCTTCTTCTCCCTCCCTTCTTCCCCCTCCCTCAGCCCACCTCGTCCCATCCCTTCCTTCTTCCTCCCTCCCTCAGCCCACCTAGTCCCGTCCCTCCCTTCTTCCCCCCCAGCCCACCTAGTCCCATCCCTCCCTTCTTCCCCTCCCCCAGCCCACCTAGCCCCATCCCCCCTTCTTCCCCCTCCCCCACTCCCCCTTCTTCCATTCCGAAAAAGAAATGAAATGAAATGAAAAATGAAATGAGAAATGAAAACAAGGAGATTGAAAGATTCTATACCTCGCCAAAGTAGGCCCCAGGTCCCAAAGTAGCGACTACAGTGGCTTCACCGGTGCCCTTGTCATCATCTGCGATGACCTCTACCAGACCGCGCCTGACGCAGTACATCTCTCTACCCATATCACCCGCGTATACAATGTAGTCGCCTGAGAAGGAAAAGTAAGTAAAAAATAATAATAATTTGAGGTCACTGCAAAAAGAAATTAATAACTGAAGGAAATGAAATGTTGCATTGGCGTAATGCATGAATCTTGTGGGCTACGCTTGTCCATGTATTCCAAAAACGGAAAAAAGGTTTAAAAGAAACACGATGAATGAAAACCTCTTTGCGTTTGTCTGCAAAGGCAGAGGTTGCTTATAGAGGTTCAGCGACAAAACAAACAAGTTGTATTAAACAACTATTTACCGAGGTGGAGCTGACTAATACTGGCTATTTACCGAGTAATTAATACATGCTAATGCAAATCAGCGTTCAACGGTAAGAAAAGGCAAACACAAGCCAACAGTCCTCCAATATAAGGCACTGAAGGGACCTTACTACTGAAAAAAAAAAGATGCCATCAAACGGATATCCTGATGGAAAAGCCGATGCCAGTGGTCACTCTCTGAGTAATTGCTGGCGATCATACTCTAGTTAACCGATGGGAAACAGCATTCTCCGCTTAATCATTTACTTACCTGGGGAAAATAGATATGAGGTTACTTTCAGCGATAGTTCTCGCAAAAAGATGGCGTCCGTTTCCATGAATATCGGGACCTGCCGTTTATGAAAGAGTAAGAAGCTGTTATCTTCTCGGTTTTTACTAATAAAAATTAATAATAATAAAAAATTAAGCTTTTAGATTCGAGGAAAAATACGAGTCTGCGTACTAATCAGAAAGATTTAGCATCATTTGTTGATCCATTTGTGCTGTGGCTTTCAAAAATATGGTTTCAACGTAAGAAATTGGCAAAATATATGTACTGGTCAATTAAGATTTGTGCACAGTTCTCAGGGTTTATTCGAAATCATCAGACTCAAGACTATGTCGCTCTGACGAAGGGCTAACACTCGAAACGTCAGCTAAAAACTCTTCACGGTGGCCAGTTTACGTTATCAACTCTTTTGGTTGAACAAAATTATCTTGTTACATTCCCTTACGGACGCACCACTTGCGTCCATAGTTTCCTTAGAAACTCGCCCCCTTTGTTCAAGTTGATAACAGCCTACGTGGATATGGAGCTTCATTTTTTATCATTCTTGAAAATGAATGAAAACAAGAAAGATTCGAAAATCTTAATTGCTTAAATTCCGCTGCATTATATACCAAAAAAAAGGTCATTTGAGAAAGCCATTGGTCAGTTGAAACAGAGTGTATTTATTCTTTTGTTCAGAATGAAATAAAAACATTGATTGATTGACAAATACGTAGATGAAAAAAAAAACCTTTTCCAAATAGTCTTTTGTCTCTTCATAAGTAACGTCCATTTGGAGTGATAAAGGCATATCCTCAATTAAACGCCTTCCTCCAGGTGTTGCCTCGCCCCTTGAAGAACAAAGTAACCTGAGTTTCAGTTACTGCAATAGCAACAACAAAAAGAAAGGCAAATTCTGTCCTATTATATCTGATACCTTTCCTTGCAGTTTAGAAAGCCGAGCCCCGTATTCTACTTATCGGGCTTAACATCTTCATATAACGTGACTTTTTCATTGAACTATTGCAGAGGTTCCCTTGGGATGTATATTTGGAAGCCAACAAATTTTATTACCTGTGCACTCTCCATAGCATCGCCAGATAAGTTTCAGTTCTCTCCATGAGGTGGCGGCTAAGATTTTGCTCTGCCATAAATTCTTGCGTGGCTGTCATCCGTGCGAAGAATTCCACTCTGAGGAAAGAGAAATATTTCGCTTTGATATCTTTTGGTGTTATGTCCATCCTGTTTCCAATTCAGAACGCCATGACCCCTTTTTTCGGCGGTTCACTCATGGTTTTGAGGTCATTTTTCATACTGAAAACGCCACTTGCAAGAAAGGCCACGTATGGCGCATTGGTAGAGGCGCTGAGTCTTCAACCGCCGAGTCCGGGTTTAGCATACAGACTTGACACCACGTGTGGCTGGTGAACTTAACATCTTGATTTAAGTATTTCTGTATTTGGATGCCTCAGAGCGTAATTCACTCTTCAGCTTGTAAGAATTCTACTTCTGTACAATAATATTTTCCTATCCGAGTAATTAATGTGATATTTCAGATGATGGACCTTGTGCAGTGGCTATTTCCTTTCCTTTTTTAACTTTGAAAATCATAGAATTTATGATGCATATCATACTAAATCCCTTGACAATCCGTTATGCTTTAACGAGTTTTTATGTAAAGGAAGAAACATACTTTGGAGCCGCTGAATTGGCGAGAGTGGCAGCAATGCTACTAAGGCAGTATCCATAAAGCAAGAGACCAGTGAGCATGACCACTGTAGCAATCAGCTGACTTTCCATATTGTGGGCGTGGATATCACCGTAACCCGTTGACGACATGGTAGCTGCTGCCCAGTAGAGACTAGAGATGTAGTCACCAAAGCCAGCTATTCTGTGGGTATTTCCGGTGTGTTGGGCCCAGCTCCCCTCTGTACATCTACAATGATTAGAAGCAAACGATAAGAATTTCAAGCTCACAGTGAGACTCACAATGACGAGCATCGATCGATCATCGATCGATCATCGGTCTGGATCACGATCACTGTCACGTCTCAAACGCTTTCGAAGTGAAATAAGGAAAGTGGTAGCGTCATTGAAATCGAGATCTAACAGAAAACTGCATCGATATGTAGGTAACAGAAATGATAATAATGAAAATGTAACGTACGTTTCTCTGAAGCAGGCGCCAAGGAACCACGCACAGGCACTGATATGAGTGATTAAGATAATATAGATTGTAAACTTCACGGCTCGCACTTTACCAATATTGTAATGGAGATTATTCTCCAGGTTACTGAAGAAACGCGGAATCTAAAAAACACAAATCAAAAAGAAAGAAAGAAAAGAATCATAGATTCAATGTAATAAGATATGTGTTTATTGTCCATCGTGCTGTAAGATAAGAGGTGAACTTTGTTCGTTTGTCTCACGATAGAATCACTATTGATGTTGATCGCGATGTTTCGACTGCAATACTGCTAGTCTTCATCATCGTCTGATGAAGACTAGCAGTCGAAACATCGCTATCAACATCAAAAGTAAATCTATCGTGAGACAAACGAACAAAGTTCATCTCCAATCATAGATTCCTATCTTTTTTGCCTCAAAATCTTGTAATTAGGTGTGACCAAGAAAGATTGTATAATGTAGAGGAGAGACTAACCACGAAACAAAGAGATATTGATGCAGTCACATCGCTAATTGAAAGCGTTTTGTGTGAGCCAAATTTAACATTTACAAACATTAAATGAAGATTCCCATAGCCGGTTACACGTTCTTCGATGGAAAGCAATGTATCAGTGATAGCAATGTTTTGAAATGTTCTCAAATTCTGCAAATTCCATTTTCGAAGGAAGTTAATTCAATGAAGAAAAAGATCTCTCTCTATAGTTATGCAGTGCTCTTACCCTTACAGCTTTAATGAGCCGATTCAGCCGTAGGAATGCCAAAGAATGCCAAATCTTGTGATGATCGTCTTGGGAAAGGGCGAAGATCTCAATGGGAAGAATAGCAAGTAAATCGATCCAAAATAACAGACTTCTTCTGTAAGACTTTCTTATATCTTCAATTTCTAATCATAAAAAGTGAAAAGCTCATTCAAATCAGTACAAATCATTCAGCAATACTGCTCCTAGAATTTAACATCTGCTCCCGAGCTCAATTTGATTCATTTGTAGTTTGAATATATTCAGACTAAGAAAAATTTAAAACGTTTCTTTTTAGAAGGCAGTTAAGTGGTTTCTTTTTTCCCCTTTAGCCGGTTAGTTAGTCCTGAATTTACATGTTAACACGCAATAAACTTTTTAGATGTTATTTTCTAGCCATTCATTATGCATTGTACCAATAAAAAACTTCTAAAAGTGTATGTCGTGGAGGAAAAAAAATCGTGCTGCATGACGAAACTCAGCTTGTTGGGCATTTTGTGCTAAATGTTGTCTAATTTTATTTCGTTCGTACATTTATTTAAAGAAAGAAATCAGTATAAGGTTTACAAAACTTCATGTCCTGCAAATAGCTACAATGCTAATCTAGGCAGGACAAGACTTTAACTAAAGGCGTTATTAAATTACGTAAGAAAAAAGAAAAGAAGAAATACAAAATCTGATATTTCTTTAGAAAAATATTAGATTCAAGATCTCTAGTTACCTGTAGTGGTCCCAGAAGCCATGTTAAATCTCATTATAAAATCAGCTACCAAAACAGCGTCCAGTAAGTAGGTAAAACTCATCAACGCTTTACTTCCGACACCTTCTCCGTAACCGAGAGCATGCAAGCTGATTGAAAACGAACCAACGAAGGTGTACACGAAACAGATGAACAGGAGCACAGACAGAAGAAGTCGCTCCCAGATCACCGCGAACCAGGAATCGGGCATGATGACGTGGCGAGAAAACCTCGTTAAAAGGCTAAAAGCACAAGTAATGGTTATCAGCAGAGGACTCTTATGCAGTTGATTTGTGCGAAGGACGAAACTAGATTTTTCCAAGTAAGAAAACGAAATAATTATTGAATTAATTAGGATTTAGCAATTTAGCAAAGTCGGCCACGACACTGAACAGGCCACTTCGAGAAATACCATGCACATGCAATTTCACGATTAGTTACGATGGAAGCCCATTTTTCTGTCCTGGAACCTTTACATGGTTCGAACTGCACGTGGCATGCGTAAATTTAGCTAGGCATGCCTTGATGCTCTACTCGTTTGTTCAGGAAGACAGCCGTACGCGGCTAAAATGAGCATCATTTTCTAGGATTTTTGGGGTTAGACGCTCACTTTCTCTTATTTCCCCTCGTTACTGATAATTTCAAGATTCCTGACCAAAAATAATACTCTCTAGCGTTCCCCTTGATTTTTTCTCTCGGGCATGACAATTTCATCTTTCAGTGTTCCCTCAACCCCGGACTATATATGAGTAACGGCAAAGTTTGTTATCATTTGGCATGGTACCTTTCTTTACTGGATGTATCCTCTTTAAAGTCCTATGAACGAAAGAAAATACATTCGTGATTGGACGAAACCAACATAGGATTGAAGTGCTTTTCGATCGAGTATCAAAAACCAATGTCAAAGCAAACAGAACAGGCAAATTGTTTCAAGCCCGGGGAAACTCGAGAAATCAAGACGAGATTCGCTATAGTTTTAAGTATAATTGGTCGAGAAAGTGGGGCCAGCTTTTCGGACCAATCATACTTTAAGGTATAGAAAAACCAGAAAAATTTAGGATTACGTTCGAAGGTCAATTGAAAATTTTTCCTTATTGAGTGAGAAACTGGGCTCTTTGCAAAATCCCTCTCCCACAAATTATCCACTTCACAAGTTATTTTGCTCTTAGACTTTGGTATTTGGTCTCATTTAAGGGCATTGTGATAACTCATATATCGCGTGTAATGTTTAAACAAGGGGTTGATCATTTCAGGATCATTCTGAGCCCTTCAAAGCGATAAAAATCCGCCTGAGTCCTCTGATGATGCTTCAAGTCAACTGACAAAGCTTTTCATTCTGCGTAATACGCAGTAAACAGACGCGATTGTGTCATTGCCGACATACAATCGCGTGGTTACATCTGCCCCTTCCTACCACTTTACTCACCGCGCTTTGCCGTAGCCAGGCCTCAGCTTTTTCGTTTTCCATTTCCAAAAATTCGTCTTTGTTGCTTCCTGCCTCCATACCCAGTGTTCCAATATTGTTCAGATCACATCGATGTTCGAGGGTCAAATGCAATTGCTCCGCCACTAAAATAATAAAACCAATTCAGAAATGAAAGCCCCACGTATTTTTAGTGATCCATGCCACTGGAGAATATTTCGTGGAATTTGAGCTGGGGTACAAATGGGATCCTAACCCATCACTGGTCAAACCCTGCCCATCCATCCTAACGCCCCCTGCAGAACTAGAAGGATTGGGCGCTTAACTAGTTCTACAAATTCTTTTCACATTGCGAACTCAATCAGGTCGAGCAACACCTCTGATTGGTCCAACTGAATGCAACGCGAGAAAGGAAGAGTTTCATTGGTTGAACAGTATCTGAGTGACCTCATCCTACATGAACTTTCCCGTGGTTCATCTGATAGCACTTTATAAGATTTTCCTGAAAATTTACTTGTATCATCTTATACTACAGAATAGAGAGAACACAGTGAGAGTCTTGTCTAAAAGGAGTGTTCTGACTTGATCAGAACTAGAACCCGGATATTTCCAAATGGACTCTAGCGCAAAAATTGAAATACTACTCTGTTATCGCATCTTGCATAGAAGTACCGTTTGGTATCCTCACACAAATATAAGCACAGTTGAATTAACAATAATTATTAAAAAGATTTGTTGATGGGTTTTGGTAAAAACGTACCGGCGGGATAATGTCTAAGCACTCTGTTGAGATCAACTCTGTCAAGAAGGAGGACTACACACGGAGAAGCGGCACGAACTGAGGTAGCCCTTGGGAGATTGTACACCATACTCACCTGTGGAAAGAAACAAATAAAACGTCATCAAGAAATTATACCTCAGAACTCAAAACACTGTTTTTTTTAATTCTATCAACAGTCATTTAGTCTTTTTATAATTCCATATACATGTGGCATAACATATTTCACCAGAAAGTGATGCAGATGGAAAGGAAAAATAAAGAATAATAAAAACGACTGTTTGTAAAATATTTTTGACTGATTTTTGACGTTGCTTCACGTTAATGTCAAATGAAAAAAAAATTGTAAACTGTATAAATAAATTGTGTAAATAAAAAAAAATCAACAGAATGTTTTTTTCCCTATAGGTATATTTCCCAAAGATGAAACAACGAACAAATGTGCCTAACACTTAGTTATTTTTTCACCTCTGGGAGCTATACCCAAGAAAACAACAGCAAATGAACAAAAAAAAAACAAGAAAATAATAAAGATGTAAAGGAAGATTTCAGTTTGATTTTTAAAAAGACGAAACAAACAAACAAAGTGCAAAGTTGACTTAACACAAATAAATCCAAGCAACTGAAAAAAAACACGTGCACTTAAATTGGGTCGCATAAAAAAAAACTGCAAAAAATAAAAACAAACCAAAGACAATTAAAACAAGGCAGACAAAAATACACTCAGGTTTTTGTCATTATGAGAACTTAATCAATATCTAAGGGCCGAAAAAGCTTGGTTTAAAAAAACAAAAGTGTATTTACGTACTTCACCAAAAAGTTTTCCCTCCTTAAGAGTCACCAGAACTTCATTTTCGTTTTCACAAAGAATCTGAAATTAAAAAAGAAAACTTATGAGAGATAACCTTCCAAGTCCTTAATTATCGTGTTACGAATTAATAGTTTCACCTAGTTCAGCTTCAAAGTGATTGAATGACTCAGTCACTAATGACGTACACCATTTTTGAATGATCAATAGGAAACTTTCTTAGTTTCCTGTTTCGTATTTGAAACATATCAAAGACGTGGAATAATAGTTTCTGTGTGAAAATGATAGTTGGATAGTAAGGCTGTCTTCAAATTTCGAGAAAGTTGTCCTTGAGGAAAGAAGAAAAATGAGACGTTGAAGGATATATCTTTTTACCGCGTGATTGTGACTCGAATGAATTCATTTATAGCTGAGCTAATGATCAAAAGTCTAGAAATGTCTACAACAAGAACCGGCACGGAGAAACACTGGGATAACTATAAAAATGGCAATTCCGTGTTTCTGATGATATGTTTAACAAAATGAGCTCACTTCTGCCCGGCCTCGGTGTATGTAAAACATATGATGTCCAATGTCTCCTTTGTTGGCTATGATTTGGTTTGGCATGTAAAATACTGGTCGTATCACCAGTGAGAGCATGCGCCGAAATCCAGGGTTGAGACCTCTAAACAGTGGAGCCTGCAATGCAAAAAGAAAATCACACTGTTTTCGTCAATTTTCTCGGCTTGTTTCAAATTCTGACTCTCCTTGAGTAAACATTTATGGAATACCGTACCAAAACTATCTTTTTTTAAATTCTGCTGCTCGACGTACCTAAAATTTATGGCATACCTTCTCCAAAACCTTTTTGTTGATACTAAGAGACAACTCAGCTTGGAAGGTCAGCGGTAGGTCACTAAACATTCCGTCTCCATTTTCGCCTCTATTATGTGTCCACTGAAACAAGTTATCGAATAAGTACTATTTCATTAAGATTGTATTTAAGTACTATTTCAATTATAGTCATTGTATTAAGACAGAAACAGTATTTATTAAGCATTTTATTAAGGAAAGGTCAATTTACCAGATACTCGTAGTAGGCAAGAACTCTAGACCGTATGTCAGACGAAATCTTCATGTCCCTCTGTATAAAAAAGAAACGATAGATAGATACGTTAAGCGTTTACAATGATCACTAGTTATTATAACAGCTTGCAGCTGAGCTTCAAGTCTTCCTTTTTTCCCATCGGCATAGCCTAAAGGAGAATGTGCTGCCTATGCTACGACATCTGCAAATGGGTAGACATGTGTTCTCCTCGGATAAGGACGATAAGCCTTAGGCTCACTTTCTCACATCTTCTCCGCGCGTTAAAGAACCCATGCGCTTCTCGTAAAGGGTAGGGAACGTGGGTCCCGGTGTTGTGGTCTGTTTATACGGGCTTCCATTTAAGCCAGCTTTAGGGCTGAACTGAGCCAGCCTTTCTGGATGTCGAAAAGTCAATAACAATTATCTAAACCGGGCAGAATAGCTACAATCACGCATTGCGCATCTTGATCGCGTGGGGCAAATCTGTCTCTTACTCAGCTTTAGAAAGGAATGCAACTCAGTGATAGGAAAAAAAGAAAACGAGAAAGAAAAAAAAAAGACTCGTAATCGATCGGACCTAGAAGCATCTAGTATGCCGACGTAGACTTGACTAACAAACCACAAGGGAGGCCATAGCATACCATGTGATCTTTGATGACGTCAAAGTGATGTGTGTATCTCATTCGCCGTGAATCCAGGTTAGTTAACATGGAAGCCATTCCACCCAAAATAAATCCAAAGAATAATCCAATCCCAGTAAGCATAGCAAATATGGAAAACCATTTCTCGCCTATGTTTGCGGCGTGCAGATCTCCGTAACTGAAAAGGTTAAATGTCATTTATGCTCGCGAGGAAAAATAATATTTAACAGTCCAAAATACAAGTTACTCCAATCCAGCTTGAACTTAACAGGCAACGTTTATATGTATTGCTTTGTTCATTTTTTTCTTACTCTTGGCTAATTCAACACTATTTTGACCGCCTCCTGAATAACCTTGTTGAGAGAAAGTCTTGGTACCCAATAGGATCGCTGACGAAAGTCTTGGTATATAGAATGGTTGATTCGGAATCTACAAATCGTAACAAAACATGAAAGAGCCTAGAAACGCCTCTGAGAAAAACAAAACGCCCTTTTAAGGGAATACTGGGCGAAAGTATTCTTTGAAACCATGCTAATTCCTTTTTTACAGCTTTGATGTTCCAATACACAAACAGTTTAGTTTTCAAAACTTTCTTAGAGAATTAAGCACTTAACCCCTCCCCTAAAAAATAGAGCTTGATATTTTGAAGAAGGGCTGCGAAGGAGACTTAGAGATTAAAGATATTTGGGAGCTTTTTATGTCATGTACTCACCCCGTGGAAGTAGCAGTTGCAGTAGCCCAGTAAAGAGACAGGACATATCTCTTCCCAACGTTTACGAATCCAATTCCTGAAACAAAATTTTACTAAGATCGTTAGGATCATCAATTATGTCGTCGTCAACATTTTTTGCGTCTTAGCATTCTCACTTGTGAGTGAGGCTCTTGGGTTAAAGGAGATTGAAGAGATGATTAAAAGTTTGTTATCTCTTCATTAGCTTGATATCAATTTTGCTGGATTATGCTTCTAGCGTCGCCCGAACATTTATTCAACAGTTTTACGGTTCTTTTGTTTCTAGTTCTTTTTGCACAAGTTTAACTATTGCTAACCCATAGTAAGAGAGTAATTCATAGAATCTTCTAACTAATGTACCAAAAAAAAACTTTGATAAAGCCCTTATACAATGAAAATCCGCGTATAAGAACCTGGGTTTGTTCAAGTTAGCCTCTATAGCTTCTTATGTAAATGACGATTCTATGAAATTAGGCTACTAAGGTTCTTAATCACGTTCTTAATTTTTCTTGAAAAAAAACAATTTGTATTGGTGGGTGAGGGTGTGATATTGTTCTGTATACCAGCCTTAGAGTGCCATGCTTAACGTGGTTAACTTGTACACACAGTCGGATATGTTGCACAGCTATGGATGTATTGACAGTACAGTACTGTGTTCTTACGGCACTAATGGTGTTCTGACTAATTTTTGTTACCTATTTGTATTGCATGGATGTATTGCATCAAATTTGAACAAACTCTACATTCTACAAATAAGAACTTGTTTTGAGATCTTTGCCCTAGGCTCAGTTTTTTCAAGGAGGGGTGCTTCACTGGAAAATTTTAGCCCTGCGAGTTCTTAAATTTTAGTTTCTTGTAAGCGGAGTTTTACTATATGTTTACTCTATTTACGATGTCTTGCCTGTGTTAAGTTTTATTGCCCAGCTGTCAGGGTCACATGACGTAACTTTTCTGATTTTTCCTTCAACAGCTGCTCCCTCATTGGCGCAGGCCAGTGAATACCACACGCAGGACATCACGTGGATCGTAATCGTACCAATGGCAGTATATTTCAATGCCCGGATCAGTGCAGTGTTTGTTCCCAACTCATTTTCTCTTGCCCCTAAAAATGTAGAAAAAAAAAAGAAAAATTAAACTAATAACTAAAAAGGGTGAGGAAGTTGATCTCATTAGTAAAAGTTATGCATGAACTTGAGATAAACTAAGTATTCTATAGGTGAAGGGGCTGGAGGCGACCGACCATATAGCCGAAAGTCGTCGAATGGGGTGTGCGCATTCGCCACATAAACAAAAAAAAATTTTCTTTTACCAGCTACACTATGGATGTCCAATAAATCACTTTTCTAATTTGGATATTTTGGTTGTCTATAGTAACCTGGAGAAATTCGTCGTGTTCAACAACATCGGTCTGTTCTGACTCGCTCTTTTGAAATATTTAGGACTGAAACACGCGACATTACATAAATGCAACTGAAATTGTAACACTGATCATGCTGATATAAATTTGTCTTAGGTTTTAGCCACCACAGTGTTTGAGAGAAATTATTCGTTTGTGAAACAACCAGATTCAAAAATTTACAGTCCATTAATCATCATTTTGGTAAAATACGAAAAGACCTACCAAAAAACGACGCCAGCCTGTAAACCCTTAAAATCCGGTTGAGCCTCACCAAAGTCAGCAACTGATGCCATTCAAGATGTGTCTGAACACCAAACACGAGCAGATCCAAGGGAATTAACGTCAGTAAGTCCGGTACGAATTTGGTCCGAAGATAGCGTCGACTAACCAATGATTTGTCTGTGACAAGAGTTCCTTTGTTGAAGTATCCAACCCGAAATTTAAGCAACACATCGGAGAGAAACAGCACGTCAAAGATGTAAACGAAAACCCAAAGAGTTACATCTCGAGATTCGAAGCTTGCTTGATAAGGGACTAACAGACAAGTCAAGAAAATGCAAATCGCGCTAACGGCTTCCCACAAACGATAAGAAGTCGTGCGAGGATTTACGGCAAAGTAAGGTTGTGGTACAAAATTAAAATCCTCATTGGCGAGTGAAACTCCTCTGAAAGTAACTTGAACTTTATCGTCTTTAGCTGAGGACATTTTCCCGTAGGAAACGTGATAAATATCTAAGCACTACATCTTTAACGTGGCGCTGGACGCGGAAACTCCAAAACACAACGGTTTCGTTCAATGCGCTTAGTTCGTTAAAAGATGACGCGACAAACAGTCTACGTCTTATTTGCGCGCGCTGCGAGTTGTTCATGTTCCCTGAAAGAAGAAAAAGAAGAAAGTTTAATTTGATCGAGCTTTCAGTTAAAGTCACCTTATATACAGCGCGACTCAACGTTGTTGATTGATAGATAATTTTTATATAGATTGAATGAAGCCTAAAATTGGAGCTCCATATAGTTTATTTTACTGTCCTTCGTTTACGACTCTTTTCCCCTTCTGCTGGATGTGGGATACTCTATTTCCCGCTTTCCCGCCACAACCCTACCGTTATTTTACTTGAGTAGCGTCTAATCTGTTATTTTCATTTCTTTATTTACTACTCTTAATCTGTTATTTTCATTTCTTCATTTACTACTCTTAATCTGTTTCCTATATTCATCTATTTCTCCATCCTTAAAAAATATAGGTTACTATCTATTACTCCTCGCTGATCGAATTTATCTTTTTAAGGAAATTAAAGCTTTGGGGGGCTTTCAAGCTTTGAGGGATTTTGGAGAAAGGTTAAATATTGTTCCTTTTATTATTTCGAAATATCCTAAATGTTTTAAACGCGAAGACATATGACAGAAATGAAGGCAAGTGACTGAAATTTCTCTTTCCCCTTGCAGTTCTTCCCAGTTTACTGTACGCAATCAACATCGACCTGCTACCATCACAAATATCTCGTGAGGATCTAGTTTCTCTTTTATTCAAACATTTTCCTCAGTCTTTACCAGCAACTCCACTGTGGACACAACAAAGAATAACTACTGCTAGCAAAGCCAAGCTTACAAGCGACTTCATCACGCCGCCATACAACATGTAAAGAAAAAGAACGCTTCTGTTACTGGTGATTGGGGTCAGTTTTACATCTAATTAGTAGAGAGCTAATATATTATGGAACGTTAATCTGTCTCTGAAATTACTTTTCTTGAGTCAACGAATAAAAATCAAGGCAATTTTAGAACATCACGCGGCATGGGTAGGGCGGACGTGCAAGTGAAAAAAATAGACCTTAAAATAACCGGAGTTTTCACGGACGGAGAACTAAGAAACAACTACTGAAGCAAAATTATGCTGTCACACTCAGTGAGCCGGTGGAACGTTTCGTGTCGCGGAAAAAGCTCTTCTAGGAAAGCAAAGCAGAACGAGATAAGACACAGAGACAAAGACTATCACGGATGTCACGTATTTTTGGTCCTTGACGGCAAAACACATGGTAAGTCAACGATTGTCTCTGAGCTAAACAACTTAAGGAGAAATTAGTTATAAGCTTATGGCGAAGTACCTAAGGTTTACTTTTTATCGCAAGAAATAAGCCCTAGCCAGCTCTCATATTGACCACCACTTAAAAGCATATCTTTTAAGTTCCTCATTAGAGGAAAACATGTACACGTATTATCATTCTCCTTTACCCTGAATTAACGGAATAGTCCAATACGTTTACACAAAGAGGTACTTAATAGCTATGCTTTCAAATGGTGGTCAATACTCATGAGCACATAATTCATTAATTAATTGGGTGTGAAATGAAAGCTATTTGTAAATGCGCTAAACTTTGTGGATTGACGGCTAAAAGCTAAAATAAAATATTGAATCACTCCTCTTGAGCTTTTAGCCGTAAATCCACAAAGTTCAGCGCATTTACAAATAGCTTTCTCGTTGCGTTCATTCCTACATCCAGATTTTACAGGACTGATTTCTGAGGGCTGTGAAGTGACGGACGAACCCATTGTGAAACTTTTGTTTTTCGAATCAGTAATCACCATATGATTCTCTCAGTCAGGAGAATACTAGAAGCTACCTATGTCATGAAGGTCAAATTATTTATTCGTTCCCACGGGTTGAAAAATTGAGTCATGCGTGTGAAATGACTTCTCAGAAATACAGGAACTTTATGATGCAATCAATTAACTTTGTCAAATTTGTTTTCTTCATCTGTGAGGAATTGTCTTAGCTTAATTGATCACATGTACACATTTTTCACTCAATTTTCAGAAGCCCTTATCCATCATTTAAGAATGGATTGATTGTATAGGAAAAGACTACATATTGGTTACTCTTGGCGAAAAAGGTTGGCTGATGCAATAAGTAATCATGGTCATTTCTCTCTTGATCAAAATAATGATAGAATGATAGAATCTATTTATATAATGAAGGTCAAATTATTGATTCTCGCGGGTTCGAAAATTTCGTCATGCGTGAGAAATCATTTCTCAGAAATACAGAAACATTATGATGCAATCCATAATGTTCGCTTTGTAAAATGTATTCTTATAAATTATGATGCAATTAATGCACTTTGTCGGATCTGTTTTCCTCAACCGGGAGAGCAATTGTCTTAGCTCAACTGATCACAAATGTACACATTTTTCACTCAGTTTTTTAAAACCCCCATTTGAGAATGGATTGATTGTACTGGGAAAAAATTTACATAATGGTTACTCTTGGGGAAACGCCCCTTCCCCCGAATAATCGAACTAACAAACGACTAATGAAGCAAAATTACACCGTCACACTCAGTGAGCTGGTGGAAGGTTCCGTGTCGCGGAAAAATCTCTTCTAGAAAAGCGAAACGAAACGAGACAATAGAAAGACACAAAGACGAAGACTATAATTGATCACCATCCGAAGGCAATGCTTAAACAGTAATTATTACAATGAAACCACAAATAACACCCTGAAAACATATTAGAATTCACATTTTATTCTAGAGCGCGGTTTTGTGGAGTTTTCGCGATTTGAAAAACAGAATGTTACGTGAAACTTACGTTTAAGTATCGGTTGGAGCGCAAAAACCCTCTTTGAAGTATAGAATCATGCTACTGTCTCACTGAATTGCAATTCTCTTCTTCGGTTTCCTACTAAGTATAGTTTTAGCGCTCCATTTCTCTGAAAAGACCTCCTAAAATTAAAGATTGAGGCCCACTGGGTCCCCTCTGGCCAATTTCTAGATCAAACCCTGAAGTTATTGCAACACTTTCACGGTACAAATGTGGTGATAATAATTCCTTTTCCTTTTTTGTGCCAAATGCAATTCAAACATGTCTCTCGATGCTAATGTTCATCAAATATTACATTGCTTGTATAACCTATAACAATTCCGTACGGTTTACAGATGTTTCGCTTTGCAGTAAAAAAAGCATGATAATCCGTGGTTTAAAAAGATTTTTTCTATTTTTAGAATTTTTTTTCCCTTTAAGCTGTAATTTCATCTTAAAAACCGCCAGGAGTTATCAGTACACGTAGAGCTCTTTCTCTATACACGATTATGATCGCTGATCAGCTGCAGTTGTAACACCTACATCTAAATTCCTCTATCAGAGCTTCCTTATTACTTGTCTGTTACATGGCGATTTTATTCCGCCATTCTCGCTTATTAGAAACCCTAGTAGTACGACGAAGTGTTTTTTTTTTCGCCCGGTGAAACGTCTCACGCGTTAATTTGGTAGCTACAGGAAGTGCACATTTCCTTTTCTCCTTTTATCCCATTGTTTCCATTTATCAAAACTTCGTCTAATTTAAGGAGTTTTTCAGCGAAAATGTCCACCCAACTCATTAAGTATGACGTGCGCAGATGTCCTTGACTGCAGAAGAAAGACATTCTCTCTATTGGTTGATGCGAGGAGATTACGCAAGGTCTGAACGCAACACGCCGAGACAGACTATAAAAATGGGCGACCACGTTTTTACTCCTCATTTCTTGAACGATTTTTATCAACTGAAAGGTATCTGTTTCATTGAGCAGAAAAGAGTTCGTCTAGAGATCAACTAGAAGATGCAAAAAACGCCTGTCTTTCAGTTTAAACTGCTGAATGACGCTAACCTCAAACTCAAAGTGAATTTTGACTGTTACACAGCCAGACCTCATTTTGTTATTGCGTCAGAAAATCCGTCTAAAAAGACGTACGAAGCTTTAAGCGATGATGAAAAGAAAAAGGTAATCGGCTTAGCTCTGCAGATGGTCACTATATACGAACTTAGTGAGTCACGGGCTATTTTGTCCCAGCACTCTGGATCCTGGTACAATCCGAATCATAACTATCATGCTCATCTTTGTGTTGCGAATGAGAGATACCTCGAAATTTTAGGAGACAACTCAAACGAATTCGAAGCTTGGCCCGAGAAACTGTCTTATGAAAAAATTAGGGAATATCCTAATCGGAAGGATAAAAAGGCGAAAGAAGTTCAAGCAATCAATGAAATCATCCAAATTGAAGGGCTCCCCGAACCTACCGAGGAAGCCCACAAAGTTACCAAGGGGATCTATGACGTTCTTTTTCACCCATCAGAACCAAGAGTTGGATTTGCAGTCGAAAATTCAAAGAAACCAGCTAATGATGATTGCAGTGCTTTGCTTGATGTTCAAAAATTCATGATGAACTATGCAGCTGAAATTAATGGTCTTGGTGTAAATGGTGACTATCAGGGATGTCACGTATGTTTGGTCCTTGACGGCCAAAAACATGGTAAGTCAACACTTGTCTCTGAGCTAAACAACTTAAGGAGAAATTAGTTACATGCTCATTTCGGAGTACCTAAGGTTTACTTTTCATCAAAATAAAAATAAGCCCTGGCCAGAGATTCTTTTCGTTTCGTTTCTACTTTAACGTCCGCATCTACCGCTAGAACATAAACTTACAACGGGTCAGTGATACAGTTCATAAGGATACCCGTGCTGATTCAAGTCAATAATAATTTCCTTTCATTTTGAATAAGAGCTCATCCTTTGCAGTTTATGATCAAATTACGAAGCAGTCGAAAAAAATAGTTGAATAGTATTTCGTTGTTGTAGCATAATTAGAGAACTTAAATAGAGATGCTAGTAGACTTTCACATTGCCTGAGTATTTGTTGGCGAGAGAAAACTGTTATGAAAATGCATACCTCGCTATAGTTTCATTAAACAAAATATGAAACACATCTAAATTGAATAACCTTCATCACTATGGTACTATGAATTATATATGTAAAAGGAAGAGAGCACAAGTCCCAGTTCTCTAGGTCCACCCAGGTGGGAAGGAGTAGTCGCCATTAAACTGACAAATGCACTCGATCGGTTTCAATTACTACTATTACATTTCAAATGTATGTTTCCCATCTGTAGCTTTTCAATGGCATTTATTCGACTTTCAGACTTCAAAGTAGCTGATTCCATGTGCCTTGTTGGCTTCATTGAAGTAAGTGGAGCGAAGTTCTACGAACATTTCTGTCCAGATGGAGAGAAGAAACCCTGGTTTGAAAGTTTTATTGACAAGAGTTGTGGCTATTCACCGTGGTGAGCATGGTGCTCATTGTAAAACTTGACCATTGCTTCTGAACAGATTTCTTTTTATGATAAGATTAGTTTTGTCTAATATTTTTACTTATTCAATCTAATAGCCATTCAAGTATTCGCTGATATGTGATGGCAGATTCACTTTGATCTGTTGGCAAAAAGCAACACGCGGGTTCTTATATCAACAAATGGATGAAAACAAGTCAAATAATTTAGTTCTTAGTGTTAAGCAAAGATTGAGGACTTTTAATTGCCTTAATATAATCAACAAACTTTTTGGATATTGATCCAAAGTATCGTGATCTTGTGTTAAGTTCTTTCATATGGATATACATTTTGGAAAGTTGTAGTACTTTGGAAAATATTTAATCGCAGTTCACTTGAACAGATGATCTATGACGGATGACTTTCGCAAAGAGAAATGATGTATAAGAGTCAGAGGTCATTTTGAAATACTCCTGAGATACCTCGGCAGAGTGTAACTGAGTTTTAAAAAGCAACAAGTAGTAAATGGAATAAACATCACTTTGAAATTAATGTGCACAAAGCGAGATTTTTTTTCTTTGCATCTGTTAACATTAGAGTCTCTACAAAGGCGTCTATCATTGATCTGGTGTTGATAATTGTTTTGCCAGATGCGTTGACATCGTAGTTGCCATGTAGTTCCCAGTCAGAGAAATTTTCATTTACAAAATACTTCTAGTGGCGTACCTTGAGGACGGAATAACTTCGACGATATTACATTTAATCTTCACGGTTGACCGATAACAAGTGCACATGTTTGGAGTGATTCTATTTATCTTTCAAGCTTTTAGGCGTAAATCCACACAGTTCAGTCGCACCTTCGAATAGCGTTTAGTTGTTACATAGACATTTCTGAGGGCTGTAAAGTGACGGACGAACCTATTGGGAAGCTTTTTTTTTTCGAATCAGCAATCACAACATTGTTCTCGCAGTCAGGAGAATACTAGAAGCTACCTATGTCATGAAGGTCAAATTATTTATTCGTTTCCACGGGTTAAAAAATTGAGTCATGCGTGTGAAATGACTTCTCAGAAATACAGGAACTTTATGATGCAATCAATTAACTTTGTCGAATTTGTTTTCCTCATCCGGAGAGGAATTGTCTTAGCTTAACTGATCACTTATGTACACATTTTTAACTCAATTTTTAAAAACCCTTATCCATCATTTAAGAGTGGATTGATTGAACAGGAAGAAATTTCATAATGGTTACTCTTAGCGAAAAAGGTTGAATGATGCAATCAGTAATCATTATATGATTCCGCCAGTCAAGAGAATACTAGAATCTATTATATGATGAAAGTCTAATTATTGATCCTCGTGGGTTCGAAAGTTTCGTCATGCGTGAGAAATCATTTCTTAGAAAAACGGGAAGTCTAGGATGCAATCAATGCACTTTGTCGAATTTTTTTGCGGTCATGCATATAAAACTAGAAGTTTTTAATGGAAAGTGAAGTGCTGTGAGGTTAACTCAAGGCACTTTCGCCGCAAAACTAGATTTAAAATTCACAATCACAAAAGGCAATTCCCACTTCAGCACACTACCAAGCACGCGGTCTATTCTGTCAATGCTACGCATGATTGGTTCGCTACCGCTGACCAATGTACTGTAGAAGTGTTCACAGGAACAAATATATTTTTGTGGCCCGAATCGAAATCAGAAGTGGTTGTAAACTCTTGCCAGGATCTACGCGCCACAGAAAGCCCTTTAGTGTTGCTGCTCGCTCGCAGCAATTATCTATAAGAGTAACGGAGAAGTATGAGAACTTGGTCAAATTAGTGTTCCTTACGCTGAGAAATTGTCTTATTTTATGTACACATACCTGACACATTTTCATTTTATACTGACAATTTATGATTTCGTCTCTGTCATTATCATTCATTTTTTACGATGTAACTACCAAGAATTTTGTCTTTGATCGATTGGCGTTCTCTAGTTGATACTTTTCATAATTCTTGTCAGTTATCGCTTCACAACTTAAACATGTTCAAGGAAATATTGCTTTACAATAGTGGTTACTCTGAAGGAAAAGGGCGGTGCAATAACCCTCCCGCCCTCCGTAAATTGTGTTGTATAGGATGCACTGCCATTTGAAGGTATAGCTTTTACGTTCTTCTTTGCATGAACGTGGAACACTATCCCGTCCATTTTATCAAAAGGAGGAAGACATTGAGATCGATGAAGATCGAATACTTGGCAGTTCGAGTAGTAACCTAGGGCTTTATTCACTCTTAGTCTGTCCTATTACGGTTAATTTGAAAACGTCCATCGTTTTTTCCCACGTTTTTTCAATCATGTTTTCCAGATAATAATTACATAAATTATTTGAGCAGAACGTGCTTGTTAACAAATCACGCTTTTTTTTAGTGTCTTGTTTAATCTACAATTTTTAGGAAATTCACATTTCCTAGCTCACACGATTTTGGCAAAGGCCTTAGCATAATCACGTATCCTTTTTATTAAATTGGCTCGCCACAATCATTGAGATTGGAGCCCTAAATTAAAGGTAAGTGAAGATGTTTGGAAACTGCCTTTTGTTTCGAAAGGGGGACATGGGGAAAACCCAGCCCCCCCCCCCTTCCACTTCCCTCGTCCCACAAGGATGCGAGTCTTAAAAGCCTTAATCAAAGCGATGAAGTACCACTAAGCTATTAAGACCTCATCAGTGAGGTCATATAGTCAATTCACATATGTCTATAAATGGGTCGTAGCTTAAAAAGCCTAAATAACCATACCGTTCAACTTCGGTTCATATTTCGTGGTCAGCGGCTGCCAATCCAAAGGGGGGATATATATATATATATATATATATATATATATATATATATATATATATATATATATACGTAAATATGGGGGTAGTGTCTACCTTGGCATAAAGTGCTCAATGCTGTGGTAGCAGAGCTGAAAGTGAAAGAATCAATCTCTGAATCGATGCGTCCTCTTTGATTCTTTCACTTATATATAAATATATATATGTATATATATTACTTTCTAATACATATAAATGAAAATGAAACTTATGTGTAGGGCATTCACTTGTCTTCTGTGAAAAGATTTAAAAATAACTTTAGCAAATGAACCTCAATTTTCTAGCGTGCATGCTCTTACTGATCATGGAAAAGAAGTCAACAATGCCTAAAACTTAAGGCGGCATAGTGGCTCACAATGGTACAAACACTAATAAAATCCTCTTTACACAACTTTTTGGCATCACTTCCTCTTGAAGGTCTTAATTCAATTAAAAAAAAACATTCACACCAAAAAGCTGCAAAATATACATGGATTATATCCCCTTTCGTCTACTAATTTTTGTTGTTGTTCATGTTGTTGTTTTTTTTGATGGTGTTTTACGCCATTATATTCTGTAATATTGATATGGCTGGCCAGTGTCAGATCCACGTCTCTCGCTGCTTCTGACGTCAGGCGGACCTAAAAACAACAGGCAGAGTTCGAGATGATAATATGTGACAAAATAAAACCCGCTATGGGAACTTTGTGTACGAAACAATCCTACTTGCAAGACCTGCGCATTCCTGAGTTTTTATTATTAAAGCCGTGTTTGAACTACGTTTTGTTTGAGTTTATCCAACAACTAAGCTGGATATTAGCGTAGCCCCATAGTTATACGAAATAGTAGTAACCCATCAAGCCGAAAACATTTGGATGTACGACCGTACGACCGTACAAGGTGCTACTTTTAACATGCGTGGTCAACTGTACCGCGGGCACGCAAACGCCACGGCTTTGTCCAGTAGTCCAGTGGTCAGTGCACTGGGCTCCGATTCGGACGACCCGGGTTCTAGTCCTGGCCGGGGCAAGGCGTTGTGCCCTTGAGACGTGCGGGGAAAAAAAATGCGAGCTCCGCTTTTAGGCTTGGCTAAATCTATATATTACACAAAGAGTGATAAGTACCCATCACATAATATTGATAACGATAATAAAAATAATAATAAAAATGATGAAAATGACAAAAGTGAAAACAATTGATTATAACTATTACAAGAATAATCTTACAGTCGTAATAATAGTAATCGATGTTTTAACCGCGTCTGTACAAAAAATAAACAATTCAACTGCGTGTTTGTCAAGTTTAAATCGCCGTAGCCGTCAAAATATCATAAGGACGTCATCAATCATATTTCCTTACCATTTTGACGTGTTCTGCGATCTACAACAAGGCAATGCGAAATATGGATTCTACTTCTTGAATCAACAGTTTCAAATAAAACGAAAACTCCCACTCTATTTACTTACGATTGGCTTCTGGAGCAGGTGATCCATCCCAAACAGTGTTCCTTTCTCCCTCTGTCGCTTCTTGTGCATCATTGTCTAGTTCTGCCGCAGCACGTGACGCAAGGTAATTGGCAAGGGCTATGTAGATGTGCTCTCTCAAGACTGGGTCAACGGAGGGCTCGGCGCTAGGAGGTACTGTAGTTATCACAATTGGGAATATTATTTCGGTGTTGAAGGCCTTCTTCACGCGTACTTTGAACTACATGGAATTAACAATCAAAAAGTGTTGAATTGACATTGGAGAGAACCATTTATCAGGTGTAACCGTGTCTGATAGTTTACCTTCATAAAAGCAAGGAGAACAATTAAAGTGAGAAGTAAACAGAAAAGCAGCATGGAACATGAGTTTTTCTTCCCGCGGCAGTTTTACGTCAACTGAATCAAAGAGGTCGGAAAAGCGGCTGGAAGTTGCACGCATTAGTGCTCAGCTGACTTACACTGTATTTACTCGAGCTGAAAAGCGCCGTTGCTACCTCACTAATTTTCCTAGGTAGCTGGCGGTCTTGGGTTTACTTTAAAGCCTTAGTAATGAGCGATGGAGCTAGAAGATTGGTAAGAGACGCCTGGGACGGAAAACGGGGGGGGGGGAGAAACTATTTCATGTCCCTAGCTTCCCACGGCTTCACCGCGCGTTTTCGCGACTGTGCCGCTCAAAGTACCCACAATGCTGTCAATGGCAAAGGTTACTGATGGCGATACCGACTCATCGGGAGAAAAAAGTACCAAGGAGGAGCCTTAAAACGCAAAGGAACAATATCTGTAAAACTCTGGCCATAAACTATACCCCTTCAACTATACCCTGTGAGACAAGCACTTACCCTGATTGCGTACGAAATGTCAATACATCCGAATCCTTTTGTCGTTGGTTGTACAGGTGGAATGACGAAAGAATCAAGCTCGACATTGGTTTGATCTCCAGGTGCTAGTTCTTGTTCTTTCTTTAGGATGTAAAGCTTCTCTGTTACTTTACGTGTTGTAGCTAAGCAAAAAGGCAAACAGACAAAACTTAATCAAGGTCCCTTAAAAAATGAAGCCACCATAAAAATATCCGAGCATCATCATCATTTTCCCGATAAATGAACTTAATTTCTACGAGGGCTTAGGGATGAATGGTTGACAGTGTGGAGAATCAGCAATAAGACATTGGGAGTTAAAGGATTTAAAAAAAAAAATTTTATGAACGAAGAACAAAACACGGCACATAACTGGTGAAGTCAGATAGGCCCGTAGATAGGGAGTAGAAACTTCCTTGCCCCTTCATCCCTCCTTCAAATTTTTCAAGCAATGTTTCATTCCTTAACCCCTAACATCCTAAGATCCTCTTTACACAACATTTTTCGCATCACTTCCTCTTCAAGGTCTTAATTCAATTTAAAAAAAGTATTCACACCAAAAAGCTGCAAAATATACATGGATTATATCCCCTTTCGTCTGCTGATTTGTTTTTTTTTTGTTGCTGTTGTTTTTGATGGTGTTTTACGCCATTATATTCTGTAATATTGATATGGCTGGCCAGTGTCAGACTTTACGTGTTGTAGCTAAGCAAAAAGGCAAACAGACAAAACTTAATCAAGGTCCCTTCAAAAATGAAGCCACCATAGGCCCGTCCTAACATAACATCCTAAGATCAGTATGCAATTTTCCATAATCCTCTCTATTCGTTTCCCTCGGTACTCAAAAGAGAATTGGTTGCAAAATCGAGAGCTCCTTTCGTGGCGATCATTTGTTTCTTTTTCATGAGCTTAATGTCACTTTGAATTAGAGGCGACACTGTGAGGAGAAATGAGATGCTTGCCGCTTCTATTGGTGTAAAAGTTAATCCTTACCTTCCGGTGCCTTGTATAGCACTGTCTGTACAAGTTGCGCTTCAAAACCGATAACTGTTTTGCTGCTTTCATTATTAACATGCCCAGATATCTTGACCTCCTGACCAGGGCAATAAGCAAGACGTTCTATGCGGGCTTTGGTGTGCAGCTGACCTGAAGGGCAACATGGCCATCCCAACATACGATCTTCTTGTTTCACTCTTGGTTCCTGTGGACAACAAATGATCAGAGAGTATCCAAAACGTGGTGAGCGATCGCCGACATGATTACTCTAGGACTTTCAATTTTGATTTCTTTCTTCCTTCATGAAATCAATTATAAAATCAAACATTTCTTCTTAGGAAAACGTGCAGCATATGCTGTTATTCAATAGAACCAAAGAGTCATAGGGCAAAGAAAGAATCAGCAATGTGATCATACATCATGTTCAGGACTATAAAGACAGTCCGTTATACAATGCCTCATGCACTAGGGGACACGAAAATGTAAGGGATTCTAATTTGGGTTTGTTTTCGATGCGCAAAGATAATTTGCGGTGGCTCCCCCCTCGAACCACATCTAGAAGAGTTCCCTCTTGGGCCTGGAATACATTTTGAGCCAGTACTTACCAGGAATTCTGGATTCCTAGTCTGCACGCGCTCGACAATAACTAGTGGTGTGCGAGTATTGAGGTCAATTCTCCACGGTCGCTCCACCACAGCGTCTAACCAATATCGTACACTACCGTAGGTACCTTCAAATGATGTTGGTAATGCGGACACAGGAAGTGGGAATTGAAAAGGGAAATTGTAGTTTCCAGGTTGAAGCTTTACGTCACTTCCGTTTTGGAAAGGTGCTTTAATGAAAATAAATTAAACGTTAGTTTGGATCGAAATGAATAAGATTAAGGTCAAATTAATAAATACAGATATTTTCAGAATATGTTAAACGCTGCCGAGGAGTTGATGAAAGAAAGTGTAACGCGCTTTTATTGGTTTGATTGAACGCCAATTCGCCAGTATTAACTGTCGGGGTTTTTTTCCTTTCTCTTTCGAGATTCGATCGACCAAGCGCTGATGGGTCCAGAAAGATAATTTAATTTCATCTAGCTCTTGAAGAACGATCTTGCAAGCAAGCAAAGTTATCGAATGGCTACAACCTTATCAAAAGGGTGAGAAAACTGAGCTAATCGTGATTCTACCTCTTTCCACTTTTTTAGTTATGTCCATTGGTGAAAAAGGGAATGGAGACACTGAAATCTATTTTGAATGTGTAGTGTGTCACTATTGCCATTTTCATGAAAAATCAAATTGAGAATTTTCGGAGTCTTGATCTGCCTGCTACTTATCTCTTTGATTTACTGTTATGGCTGCTTGAAAATGAGCCTTTATTGAGACAGTAATTTTTTTTAGAAGGAAACGCATCTGTTGTTTTAATATTTGAATTTGGGATTCTAGTGCTTCAAAGAAAAAATAATCTTCGTTTTGCATCTTCAAACGAGAAAATTTAATCAGTTTTCTCTCACAAAGGTGTTTATTGAGAAGCGTCCGAAAAACCGAGTAAGAGCGCTTTTGTCCAGAGCACGCGAGAAAGTGCGAGGCCGCCGAGGGGTCTGTGAGGGGTCTGGCACTAAGCCTCATACGGACCGCCTCAAACTGATCAAACAGGGAAAGCTGACATAAACAATCTAGTTGGCACACTATCGCGGTCGAAACATCAATATGTGGGGTAACGCATCTACATTATCAAACAGTTTTTCATTTTCTTTAATTTAAATTAAAATTTTCTGTAACGCTGAAAATGACTCAATTAATTGGACTTTGGAACGAAAAAATGCTTGTCTTGTTTCGTGTTTCTTGAGACGAAAATCCCTTTTTAGCAATTCACTTCTTCAGGAGGATCGTTTGTGGGGAAGGAAACCGTTTAGTTGATGGAAAAAAAATATTAAACAAACAACAGAACTTGGACTACTCCCGCATTTTCCCATCTGCATTCAAATTAGCAGCTACTTAATAATACGAAAATGAAATTAGGCTCGAGCGAGAAAGCTTGCAAAGGCTGGGTTTTCTTTCACTGTTCGAAACCCCTTTCACACTGAGGGCTACATTCATACTTACCGGCAAAAAGTTGTTAAAAAAAAGATATTCAGATCTCAGGGTAGTGTTACAACAATGAATATTTTGAAAGACGAGTGACTGATTTGTGTTCGTCGTAAGTCTAACTAGTATGTTGCTAATTTAAAATGTTAAATTTTGAAAGTAGTCCCTCATAACACGGAGAAAATCTTACCTCTTCCTAGAAGAATTGACTGAAAGCTCAGATAGTTTTCTCTTCTGGCATAGGTGACTTTACCTGAACGAATACGCACATGCCCTACACCATGCAGCTCAACACGAACACCTCTGAGATTAATTTCTTTGTTTGTATTCAGAAGCAACACGCCAGAAATTGTATCGCCGGGCTGAAATACTCGTTTGTCTCCGGTAAGAGCGATTGCAAAAAGATTCGCCATCATTCATCACTTCCTTTGAAGAAGTTTATGCGAGCAGCTTATTGACACGTTATCGAGACAGCGAAGGAACGCTTCCTCGCTTTATCAAAGCAAAACAATGGCTGCCACATAGGACAGGGGAAAGGATATCATTGCGTGACCTTTCGAAAATTATAGTTTGGGTAATCATGCGTCAAAGATTTGGGAGTTTTAAAGTAAACCTTATATTTAATACTTATCATCTTTAAGTTTTCAACCAATTTAAATTCAAAACAGCTGTGGGAAAGTATTTATTTAAAAAATATGTTTTACAAAATCATAGTGAATGCTCCTTCCGTGACATTTTTTAACCAATCGAATCATTGTTGATTGACAAATGTCAAACCTGTCGAATGTGATGATTTGTTGACTGTTCTCCAGTCCTCCCCTGGTCTATGCGCGTTTGCTATTCCCATTAAAGATATAGTAGTTTTCCTGGGTGATCTTCACAATTTGGATTTGTGAGGATCTCAGAGATGCCGCAGAATTTTACCAGAATCACAGCTGAAGATGTTAAATATTATCTTCTTGTAGAATTATTTGACCAAGGCAAAGATGGATTCGACCTTACCGTTTGCAATGGCGATCACGTTTGGCGCGAAACAGGTAAATAGTCTGAAAATATGGAACCAATTATCATCTTCTTGAAGGATTCCTCTTTATTCAGCCATGTATCTTGTTTAGAATCTGGAAATATTGGCAATACGCTTGTATTTTTGGTGGTCAATTTACTGGTTCCTTTTGAAATTAGTTCAGACAACCTGATTCAGGTAAGGTCTAATTAGGAAAATGACAACAAGTTTAACTGAATAATGGCTGTAAATATATGAAAATCATATATGTCCACTGCGGTTGAAGAAACGAATATAGAAGCGATCCTCGCAGCTATGAACACTACTGAACTAGTAGTTGAAAACAAGGTCTAAAAAAAAATCCCACCCCATGGACCATGATACCCCCTGTCTGTGTTTGTGACAGTTGTAGAATCCACTTTGCCTTCACAGCCAATCATGTTGGCTGCTGTTAATTGTATTCAGTTAAAAGTCTAGGAAGTGAAGTTTTTCTGCCATAACCCATGCTGAAAACCCCTTTGGAAACATATGCTATATTACAGAAGGTTCCAGTACTCTTTTCCTCATTTATCATAATGTGATTTCAATTCCTTTTTTTTTGGTTGTTGTGCTTTTGTTTTTTTCTGCTTTGAGATATTCACTGTGACAGTGACTGATGGCAGCTTTAGATAAAATTGAAAATTTGGCTCTGAACCTCAGGTGATGACTGAGATCATTTTTAACATCAACAGCATCTTTAGTTGGTGATTATTTCTATTGTTATCATGAACTTAATGTGCAATTCAGGGGAGATGCTGTGAGGAGAAATATGATGCTAGTCACTTTTAAGGATTTACTTATGTTGTTTATTTTTTTCAAGTTGATTCATTGACCATTGAATCTATGGCAAAGACTGCTGATATGAGTGTTACTGAATTTGCTGATCAAACAAGCAGAGCACTGACAGGCCAGACAACAAGTCAGGATAATTTTGTCTTTCAAGCCAAGCCTAAAGAGACAAAGTTACAGGTTGGATAAAACCCTTTTGAGGCATTTTGGTTAATTACATTTGGGTATCTTTAGATATCTGTTACAAATGACTAAGATAGAATAAAACTGAGTAGTTGATTAAGCTATTTCCATTTCCTGAATTTCGATAAGAATAGAAATGGTAAGTGATTGATACAAACTTGATGTGGTGAGATGCTGAAAAAAGCTTTGTTCCCACAAGCCAGATTTTTGTTTTATTTTAGAAAAGAAACAGCAACATAAGTTAATATATATTTAATTTTTGTAAGCCCAGCTTTTTTAAAAGTACAAGATGGCTTGAAAACTCTCACTGGAAAAAGATAATGGAGGTTCTAAAACAGCGTGATATGATTTACAAACTAAGCAATAAGATCTTCAAAATATATTATTGATATGTGTGCCAGAAGGAGAAGCCGTAAATTTAGATGTTATATACAACCTACTATAGATTCTAATTTCTCAATACTCAAGTCCATTAAATACTTTACCTTAAAGGGTCTTTTATCCAGTTAAAAAAATTTTAGCTTTCCATTCAAATAACACGAAGAAGGGCAGGGAAAAGTATGCTGGGTATGAATGTAATGTTAGGGAAAACAGAACCAGTTATGGTTTATCAGGATTGTCAGCAACTTGACTTGAGGGAAACTACAAATAATGAGATATCCTCTAATGATTTTTTTGCTTTTTAGTTCTCTTGGAAGATGCATATTGGTGATGGTGTTAAGGTAGTGAAAAGTTCAAAAGTCCTACAGACGTAGTATTGTTCATAAACAGTAGTGATTAATGTATATTCAAGGTGTTTACAGGGGATATATTAAAGCCTAGATAAACTAAAGATATAATTATTTAATAACTGCATAAATAAGATTGAATTTTATTTACACATACATGTATATGACACTTCATTGTTGACTTAAGATATGTATTTTTTGAAATTAATATAGTTTTACATACATTATTCTGTCTCATTCCAGTTTCAACTGGGTTCTCTGACTTTGCCAAAAGTTAGTGACAGTGTTCAAGTAATCAAGAACATGTTTGATCTGGCTGTAAACCAGATGACACAGTTAAAGGTAATTGTAACTGATGTGTAATTTACATTTTAAATGAAACTGAAATGAATGACTAATGCTCTCTTTGTTACCTGAGTATAAAATTAACAGATATAGAATGGCACTAGATGGCAATTGTTTTCATAGACCTGGACTGCATGATACTTCATCCTCTAGAGTCCATTAACCCTTTAACTCTCAGATCAAATTTGTAATTATCCTTACTGTCAACCATACAATTATTATGTTAGTTCAGAGAATTTAGTATTGAGTCAACTTATTATTTCCAAATTGATATTTTTCTTTGTTCTCATCACTTATCTGGTTGATATTGTATTAATACTGTAAGGAGAAATTCTGTCTTGGTTACTTATGGGAGTTAAAGGGTTAAGTTTCACTAGCACATTTAAGTTACAAAGTAGAGCCACCCCCTCTCCCCCCCTGTCACTGTAATTTGTCTAACTGTATACTGATAAGTTGCAGTGCCCATTATACACCTGGGTGTGGAGACACTCTCTGACTAAAGTGTGTTGTGCAAGAACACAACATAAAGATCAGACTAGGGCTAATGAATATAGACTTATGCAAGCCATTGAAATGCCAGCTTACCAACTGCTAAGCTATGGCATAAACCTTCATAATTTAAGTCTCTTTTTCAAGAACTCTAATTAATGTAATCCCCACTGCAATAATTGTACTTGTGAAAATGAAAGATAAAAAATAGCAGATTGGTAGCTATTTTTTCCAGTAGATTTTATTAGCAACTTGTTCATGTGTTCATACATGTATGTTTATTATCTTTTAGCAAGAAATGTCATCTTTGAGATCTGACAATACCAGATTATCTTCGGAGAGAAAAGATACCCTGAAGGTTAGCAGTCTTATTTAACACTTTAACCCTTAAGAGTGACTGACTTCTAATTTCTACTGGCATTCAAGAGTATCACTCGTGAATCAACTGTAAAGGTCATAAGAACAAAGCAAATAATCATTTATTTAAGCAGCTTTTGATTTTCCTTGTTGGTACCATAAGAAATGTAGAGAGGTGACATTGTAGAGAATATGAATTCTAATCTTAGGATGTACAGGGTTAAATCTAAAGAGATTGACTCATTGATTGACTGACTGGATAGTTTTTTTTAATGATTGATTGAACCTCTACTTCTATACAATAACTGTATAATTATTTATTAATTTATTCACTTTGATTAACTTAACATTATATTTTTTCAGCTTCTTGAGAAATGTGTCACTGCCAAAGAAGAAATGGAGAAAGATTTATTTGAAAAGGTTATTAAGGCTGTGACTTACTTTTATTATCAGTAATCAGGAGATTCATTTGGTGACCAGTTCTTGAGCATGTTTTAAGCTCTTCCACTCCAAAGATCTCAGAGTCTCTGTCTATCATGAATTTTTTGTAATGGTTTTAGTGAGTGTTTGAAAAGGAATTCATACTATAAGTTAGAATAATTATTTTTAGGCACTTCTAGACTTAAAAGGGTTGCTTTGATATTTTCTGGTATTTGGCCATTAGCAAGTTAAGATTTGTTATTGTTAATCATTTATTATTATTATTACTTATTGTAATTGCAGTTTGCAGCAGTGCTAAATGACAAGAAGAGCAAGATAAGGCAATTGAAGGAGCAAGGTTTGTTCACCTTGTGTTAACTGTAGATGGAATTCTGATTTTTGTTAAATGACAACAATTCTTCATTTGTTTTTATCTATGCAAATACTGCAGTAAAAGAGGCTTCTTCTTCACAGCCAGTACAAGGTAAAGTGTACATAATGAAATAAATAATAATTTATGATAGTTATTTCTTATAAATCTATCACATGACTTTCCTTGATTAGAAAATGAACTTTTCCAAAAAATGTGACATTGAATTTATGTTTAGTCAGCTCTCTTGCCTACAGTTCTTAAATGTTAGCTTCACACTAGCTTATTAGGGGTAATTTTCCAAAGGAACAGAGTTGATAACGTGAATTGTAATGAGTTTCCAAAGTGTCACACCAGCTTAGCCTACCAGCCAATATTATTTCTCTCACAAGACAAATCTAAACTTTGCCTTACAGGCATATAAGTTTGGAAAGCTGACCAGTACACAAGAAATCTTTAGTAGACATCCAAAGGCGAACCTTCAGTTTTTCACTGTTAACAGAAATACCGGTACTCAATTTCATTGCAAATTAGATTTGCCTCTAATTTCTCTGTTTTTAATTATAATAACCTTCAAATTTTCAAGATATGTTGCAGTTTTTCCCATAATATAATTATTATACTTTTCCCCAGGTAATAATGAAACACTAAACTTAGCCAACAGAAATAAAGGAAAATCTAAAGGTACAGCCATCAGGTATAAAGCAGTTACTTTAGTAATAGACTGACTGTGAGAATGCATTTTGATTGAGCTTCATAAAACCAAATCCAAAGTAATACCAATGGCCAATTGGGAAAAAGTATCACAAGAAGGTGATCCAAAAAAACAAAACAAGCCAAATGCCTAATGTCAGTGAACTAGTCAAAAATGGTTTTAGTTTTGCATCTGATTGGTTGAGAAAGTGGCATGTCTATTGAGTTTTCTGCACAGATCATGTTGTGAAATAAAGCAAAACCCAGGCAATCCTATATTACTTTGGGCATTCAGATGAAAATTGCTTTTAATTAATAATGATGGCTTTATTTTTAATGAAAGAAATGAGATGATATTTGTCACTTAAGATAATTTAATTAAAAAAGAGGCTCTGTTTTCATGTGTTATTTTCAAAGGCAAGAGGATACTGGTGATGACACAGACATTGAAAAAACAGATACAGAGGATGTAAGCTAAAGATTTTACATGAAGGGTTACTTTTTTGTTCTATTTTCATTTTAAATTAAGTACAAATTGACTCTAAATCTTAAATCTTGATTTGAGTTGGTTCTTACCACAGCAAAGGATGTTGATGGGAAAGGCTTTGTTCCAGTAATCATGCCATCTGTAATTAAAACAATATATTAATAAATACATAATGATATAGTTACAATATGATGGTCAGTCACTTAAGTCAGTGGCAGTCTTTAGCAGCTTTTCTTGCAAAAACAGCCTCTGAAAGCATCTCATGATCATTTTATTTTGTCTTTAACCCTTTAACTTCCAAGATCTGATTGTTAATTCTCCCCTCTAGCTGCTACCCATTTCCTTGTAAATTAGTTATGAGAACGTGGTGCCTGATCAAGATAGCCGCTTCTACCTGATAAGCTCGAATATTCTCATTACCTTTTTGCTGAATAATGTATGGGTGTTATAGGGAGAAGTTTCATGTTCATAACATCTGGGAGTTAAATGGTTAACACTTGACTGCAGGTTTCATAGTTCTTGTTACTTACTCTAGTTGATATTTCACTCTTTATTATTGTTTGACATTCATCACCATAAGCAGCAATTACAGTTTGGGTACAAGGTTGCTTAACCCTTTAACTCCTGGATCAAATTTGCAATTCTCCTTACTGTCAACCCTACAGTTCTTATAATGTTAATTCAGAGAATTTAGTATTAGATCAACTAATCATCCCCAAATTGAGATTTTCATTATTCTCAACACTTATCTGGTTGATATTGTATTGATATTGTAAGGAGAAATTCTGTCTTGGTCACTCATGGGAGTTAAAGGGTTAAGTGGCACATTGGATGTGAATTTTTTTTCCCTGCAGTCACCTATCTCTGAACCTGTGAGAGGAAGGAAAAAGAAACCAATGTCTTTGTCTACACCATTAAGTCAAGCTTTGTTACCAGATGATGAAGATGAAGGAATTGTACCAACTGTGAAGAGGTAATATTTGGAAAAGAAAAACAAAAAGTAGGTATATTGTTATTGGAAGCTAAAGGATGGAGAAAGAAATACTGAAAAGACTGGTGACAAGTATTGGTAATATAGGGAGGTTATATTGAGTGTCAAAAGGAATTCAAGATGTCTTTCTATTGGTTTTGTTTAACCATTTGCCTTCGTAGAGTTAAAAGTGTCTAATTTCTCCTTAAAATCTCATCCCAGAATCAAGCATTAAGTTTACGAGTATAAAGGAAATGATCACCAATTGAAGAACCTATTTTTTTGACAATTTCTCCTCGTCAGCACTATAGGAAATGTATAGAGAACAGTATGGAGGAAATGCATATTGTTGTTAGGGTGTAAAGGGCTAAAAGTCGTTCTTCGTACCAAAAATAACCTACGGATTTTTTGCTGGCGTTCTCTCACGTTTCAGGCAATTTAAGTGTCCTTCTTTTGTGATTTTTCTCCTGGTTCTTATTGGCAGTTATGATTACTATGGTTATGGTTTGAGGACACTCAATTGGGAAGCACTCTTGGGTTAATCTAAATTCTGTTTTCTTTTGTTTGTTTGTTTGTTTTTTTCAGGCGCCGTAGAAGGAAACCTACAGAATCCCCTGCAGCAAAGCTAATACTTCCCAAGGTACCCTCCGTCAGGAAGACGCCTAGCAGTTCCTCCGGGGAGAGGTGGGGGTGATTAACATTAAGACAAGTTGAGATGTTAGTCTTTGAAGGACGATGGGAAACAAGAGGCATACGTTTTGAATTTCGTTATTTTAAATTTCCACCAAACTGGATACGTAAATGTTAAATGTCTGCTAAATTTCAGCTAATTCTGTCGCGGTTTGTAAACCACAAGCCGCCCCTCCTTTTCGGCTTAAATCTGTCGCACGAGTCAAAAAAATAATAATAATAATAACAGTAAAACAATTAATAATTGTAGAAAAAATGATGTTAGCGCGCCGCGCGGAACTCTTGGAGTCATGCGCATGAAAACTTCCCGTGAGCCTCACTCCCAGAGTTCTACGCGGCGCACTAACATCAACTTTTGTCGCTGGTTTTTTTTAGACTCGCGTTAAGGAAAGAGACGGACTACTCCTAGTCCACGCGGTTTATGAAGCGCAAAGCTTTGACTGGTGTCGCTCTTCCTTTCACCCACACTTCTTACTGTTTTGACTACACAAACAGCTTCAAACGCGCACGTAGTAGTTACATCTTTTTATCTTGCAGTTTGACTTCAAGTCGATCTCGCCTTCGTCAGCGATCATCAGACACATTACCTCCTGATGCGGAAGATTTGATGGCTGAGATGTAAAATAAATACGACTCATGTGGCTCGTGGAATGGAGATGTCTTACGACAAGACATTGTAAACTTTAATCTCTCGCTCACCAATAACACAAATTGATTCAACGTTTGTTAAAAATGGGAATAAAACGTTCTGAAGCCTAATGTTGAAATTCTTTGTCATAACCCTCCTGGTATGGCTTAACTTCCGCAATGTGGCGCCTCTGTAACGAAAACTATTTTTGAAATACTTTGTGCTTGGTAATAGAACATAAGTTTTTTCTCGGAGTCCCTTAGGTTGTAACTTTATTACGTTAAGAGAATTTCGAAGTTGAATAGTACGGAGCTAACCCATGTAGGCATTTGAATACCATAGTGAAATAAACTAACTTGTGGAACAGACATGCACATCCCCTTAACTAACATTAAAAACGGCTGAATGTGGATGCTTTTTCATACAAAGAGCAACGGCATTTTGATCAGTCAGTCAATTAAGCTTATTATGGCAAATGTGCACCGCCTCTGGATGGGCGTCGAAAGGATTTTCTTGAAGGGGCTTCTTCGTCGGAAATTTATTGACAGGAAGATTGATTATTTAGCAATAAATCATCTTTTTTTTCTCATTTTTTCTGTAACCCTAGGACCTTATCAGCTATTCCTACAAAAATAGCTTTTCCCGTCAAAATTCTTGGATCAGTCATAGAGGAGACTTACAGAAAGTTATAAACTCTGTCTTTGGGGATAGGATGCTTAGTTTTTGACAATCATTTGTTCAGGACCAATAGGAAACGATGCTGTTGTGTTCTCGGTCCCAGTCTCCGTAATAATCAAAGTATCGTGCTCTCTGTACCCGCCAGCTCCAGGTTTTCCTTCGGGAACTACAATCATTGGTTCCATGGTAATGATCATCCCAGGTTCCAGAACTGTGTCCACGTGCTCGAGGAACTCTAAGCCCCAGTCCCTTCCATAGTAATGAGAAAGAACTCCCGTGGAGTGTCCGTAGCCAATGACTCGGTATTGCAGAATGTCGTGTTCCATATAAATTTCATTCAGTTCCCGTGCAACGTCACCGCAGCGCATGCCTGGTTTGACTAGTTCCAGGCCTCTACGGTGTACCTTGTTATTGATCTCCCAGAGTTCCATATGTCGATCTGATGGCACGTGATCAAAGAACAACGTCCGCTCTAGAGCAGCATAGTTTCTATTACAAAACAAAAATACCAGCAAAATAAATAACGTTAGAAAATCAGGCAAAAAAGAACACTCGAGCGCTCCTAGCAGGTGTGTTGATCCCAGTATCAATCCATGCCACTTGTTGGCTCGGATACACTGAGCTGTAAGAGGCTCTTGCTAGCTTACGTATTGACTCGATCCATGTGACAAACATCCTGCATACTTATCATATTCACGTTCTGGGAGGTCGCAATGCTTTTGGACAGCGTTATGTACCAAGGATCGCAGGCTCTGACGAGATATTACTAGCATACTACGTTCGACCTCGCCGAATGTTTTGCGTATCAAAGCGGAGCCTCCCGCCGATCCGATTTAGTCATCATTTGTATAAGAACCTTTATGAATGTAAGAGAACAAATCTACTTTCTGAATAGATAGACTTACCCTGCTATCATTGGAAAGCAGTTCAAACTCAGAATATCGCCTTTTTGAACTCGCCGACTTGTAGGAAAGTTGTGTGCACCGTCTGTGTTTATTCCTGACTGCAGCCAAGACCACGCTAGATAGAAAAGAATGTACGCACAATGAGTAAAGTGTAATGAAAGGGGAGTAGATAACTCCATGATGGGTTATACAGGGAACTCCTCAAGTAAGCGGTACTTATCTCAGAAGTAAAAACAGGAGTAAAAATTTCACGAAGATATCTCTCACTTGAGTAAAAGAACTTTGGTATGCACCATAGTAACATCCTTAAGTGTTGGGGTTATTTTTTGGGAGTTAAGTTAGATTTTTTGGGAAGGGCCCATCAATAAAGTTAAAAAAAAAAGCGTAATTAAAAATGTTCTGTTAAAGATCAAACCAGAATTCCAATAACTTACTATCTCGGATATCGATTTGTGGAAATGTTACAGCGACCTCCCGCATCATGGCACTATTTGAAGCGATCACCACTTCATACTCTGGGACACCCTCGTGTAAGGTCTTGATTCCTGCATACGCCCCAAGCTCTGCTATTCGAGAGCCTTGACGGACTATTTCGACCTCCTCTGGAGACTTCACTCGTCGAATTTCCATGGCTGCATCTGCTACGTCGACAAATTTGGCATGCGGTAAGGCCTCTGAGAAACTTTGCAGCGAGGCTCCCATATCTGGAAACTCTACACCCACCGTCTTTGCAGACTGTAACTGATAGTTTTACAAAGAGGCGATAAATAAGAAAATATATACATACTCCTATGCAGGCATCTAAAATCAAGAAGTAGTCTAACTAATGATCTTGGAAAGGCAACTCGCAAATTTTCGCTTTAAAGCTGCAGATTCCACGACCACGACCACTTAATAGAGGTGAAAATATTTGTGACAACCAACTGCTTAATATGGTGCTGCTTACAATGTTAACAATCACAGCTATTTATCAAGTGCTTTTCTTTCTCAATCAAACATCTGATTATTCGTGTTATTAAACGAATTTTATCTTCTTTTCGATACCTGTTGTTGCATGGCGTAGTAAAAATTTTCCTTTTGCCAGTTGGTGTAGCTAATGTTATCGCAAGTTCCTCGTCTCCATGGAAACCCATAATCTACAGCTGTAAACAGACAAGACCCATCAGTCTCAACAAAAAAATTCTACTTAAAAAAAAACTCTTTACTTTAATAGTAAAGTTGTTAATTGAACAAAGACATTTGACAAGTTCTTACATGGCGTAATTGTCAATGCTTTTTCGTCAGTAATGACCAAGGCGTATTGCCGTCCCATGGAACAGTATAGAAACTCGCTGAAGTAATAAATGTTGTAGTAAGAAGTGAACACGCATGCGTCAAGGCCATTTTTTTCCATGTAAGAACGGATACTGTTCAGACGCCGGTTCATTTCTTCAGAAGAAAATAGTGGTTGGGTCTGAAAATAGATTTTACATACACATAAAAGAACGTGAATCATGTAGAAATAAATGAATGGAGGAATGTAAGATTTTTCAATGGCGATCGACTCATTGAGAAATAAACCGAGAAAGTAAGATAGAAAGACGAAGGAAGGAAAGAGAGTTTTCAGAATCACCGTTACGAATAGGAAAAAACACTTTTGCGCTATAAAATAGATTAAATACTACGTAAAAGTAGTCCACAGTTTCAAGTTCAATTTTATTAGTTCACGGCGTTTTCTAAGGTCGTTTTTTTGTACTTTTCGTGTCAATCGTCGGAAATTCCTTCTTTTAGCGTCACTAACCACGCAGTAATTAATTATCGCGGAGGGGGGAGGGGGGGGCTGAGGACTTTGGGGGGAATCATATAGATTTCAGGGGGGAAACAACAGAGTATAAAGCGGAGACTATAGAAAATTGACCGCCAGTGATGGAGGATCACGAGAATATCACGGAGCCTTATTCGTCGCAATTGTGGTACCCGAGCACAATACGTTTTCTTCGCACCCTGCGATCTTCTTCTACTCAGATTAAGTTTGAGGGATCCACACACCCTTCACCTCGGGATAGTCCTACCGTTATCAGGTTATTAATGTGTATTATTCTGAGGTCGGGGCTTCATTCTCAGACCTATGCCTTTTTAAAAGACAGAGAACTTTTTGAGGGGTGACCGGCCGCCCTTAATTGATAACTTAGCTAACCTTTCCGCCATTGTGAAGCTCGAGGGTTCTCGGGAAGTAATCGTGTTTCCCGCGAAATAAAACTGGTGTTAATAGGTTCTTGAGTTTGCGCAGTGTTTTCATCTTAGCTAACGAATCTGTAAAGCAACCACACGATGGCTTTAATCGCAACAAAATTATGTTTAGATTAAAATAAGTAGACTTAATTTGAAGTCCATAAACTCACACGGGGTTAGAGTAAATTTTGAATGGCTTTCAGTTATATCACTGGGAAAGGTTTATCTCCTCTTTCCTTTCGACTGAAAACTAACAGATGAAACCCCACAAACCGTAAATCAAAGACAAAATTTAACTTTTATCCTAATCCTGAGTAACGCTAACCAGCTGACCCAGACTACCCTGTAGGCAATCCGTCCTTTAAAACAACAGTTAGCATCGCTGCCCCAATCCCTCGCGGCTCGTTCTCCTTACGTCTTCTCTTTCGTGCCTCGTTCAGCACTCGAAAATGACGAAAGCTCGCTAGCAAGCCATCTTCACAGTGTTAAGGCTGAAAAGTTGGAAAAATCGTAGTCTACATTTCATGTTCAAAGTTTTCGGTCCGAAATATGTCACTGGTTTATACTGTGTATGCCACTATTCATCAGCAAGTCATTGCGTGACATAGAAATCTCTTGGTTTCGCAACGCAAAATGCTAATTCAGGCAAAGGTTTGAATAAAAAGTGTGAGCTGTGTATTTTTGAGAAATCCTTAACTTTATAACGAATCCCAAGTGGGGCTTAGTTTTCAGTCACTTCGCCAGCAAAAAACCTCGGGGAATTGGGTAATAACAAAAATAGAAACGGCCTTAGAACCGTCCGGTGTTAGCCAGCTAGGTTTTACAAACGACTCAAACAGACAGTTTTCATGAATTTTGTACAAGGCTTCTACTGATATTTGTCACACATTAAGATCGATTCTTAGTGAATATTTAAAAGAAAAACATGCTTTTTACATCTCCTCGGGTCACCTTTGGACACTGAAAAAAAGAAGACGAGTCCGCTGGTAGACAAATAATATTACAGGAGACATTATTAATCTTTCGTTCAACTGCCGGCAACTGCAGTAGATTGCATGTCAACGTTACCATTACAATCTCGATGTATATCAGGCACTTATATACAGACATTAATTAACCTTAGGCCGAGCTACAAACCTGATTACTGGGTAACGTGGATTAGAGATGGAGAGTTCGCGAAATAGTACCAGAGTCAAGTTGCGTTACATGCCTGGATGAGAATGAACAATGAATGAGTTGCCAATTGGATCCTAGTGTTTACGCACAGATTTCTGGGATCGCCACAAGGAAGACATTGCAACTCACTAAAAGGAAATGTATGGCGAAAGTTTGTTCCGACGTCCAGATAAACGATTTTAGCGAGAGATTTTCGCTTTTTCGCCGCTCTTTTATCAGAAATTGATTTGGGTAATGCTGATACAAGGGAGGCGTAAGTTTTTGTTCGAAAAACCATGTAATATGTTGTAAAATCTACCGATTAACTTGTCTTCATGCGTAAGGTTTATTGTGAATTTGACATCGCGTAATAGTCTCGAAATTTTGAAAACATAACTATAAATCGCCTAGGAATAACTCAACTAAGCCGTTCCAGTTTTTTGTACTTGTGTTAAGTCTCAGTACTTCCAGCGTTTTTCGTGGCTTGGTAATACAAAAGAGCGCTAGAATAGTTGCTTGAGAATTAAATATTATTCCGGTACATTGAAGTGATGAATCACCTATACTGCTTCTTTGTTGTGATGAATGCGAACACAGGCGGCCCAAGCTCACGTCTCGAGAAAAAGCCAACGATGAATTCATGAACGTGTCACGCGTTGTGTGACTCGGTGTTAAGTTACGGGAGGAACCGTTGAAAATTTGAACACGTTATAAGGAATAGTATGGGGAACGAAATATGGTCGATTTACAACGATAAATATGAAATATGAGTATTTTACACGTAAATCAATAAAACTTACACATGCCCTGTGTATCGGTCGTAGTTTCTGGCGATTTCTGCCGTTTTAAGCTTGCTTTACCATCACTGTTATCCATCATGGACGCACTGTTAAGGAACCTAGCTCTGAAACACTACTCCTTCTGGCCGAACTAGTACTCACACTCAATTGCTTTTCATTCGGTGGTAACTACTACAAACAAACTAATGGTGTGGCCATGGGTACTAAAATGGGACCCAGCTACGCCAATCTTTTTGTTGGTTTTATCGAACATCAATTTTTTACCACGGCCCAAAACCTGAACTCTACGGCCGCTACATTGACGATTGCATCGGCGCTACCTCCTCTACCAAAGAGGAGCTCACTCAATTTATAACCGCCGTCAATTCCTTTCATCCGGCTCTTAAATATACCTGGGAAATTTCCGACACTTCTTTGGCTTTTCTAGACATCAAAATTTCAATTGAAGGCAACGGCTTATGTACTAGTGTTTACTACAAACCTACAGATTCACATAGTTACTTGTTGTATTCACCTTCACATCCATCACACGTCAAGAACTCCATACCTTTTTCACAGTTTCTCAGACTTCGTCGTTTATGTAGTGACGACTCTGATTTTTCCGAAAATTCAGAGGCAATGTGCCAATTTTTCGATAAACGAGGCTATCCTGTTTCTGTCGTTCAAGCGGGCTTCCACTGTGCCCAACAAATCGATCGACAGACAGCACTACAAACGGCCGAGAAGGAAAACACTGACCGCATTCCATTTACTCTTACATTTCACCGGCCCTCACAACCACGCAGTTAAATCTATCATTCTTAAAAATTTTAAATTACTCCAAAACGATTCAGAGACTGGCACTATCTTTTCGCAACCCCCACTTATTTCATTCAAACGTGACAAAAACATAGGCAACTTTTAAGTCAGGAGTTCATTTCAAAACCAATGACCAATCTGGAACTTTTAAATGCGCTCGCTCACGATGCAAAACTTGTCCTTTCATTCATAACGTAGAGAAAATATCGGGACCCAAAAGATCCATTAAGATCATTGATCACTTTACGTGTACCTCCGCCAATGTTATTTACTGCATAACTTGCACTTATTGCAATAAGTTGTACATCGGCGAAACAGGAAGACGACTGGGTGACCGATTCCGAGAACACCTTCGCGATGTGGAAAGAAATGACAAGGACGCATCCAAACCAGTCGCTAGACACTTTAATCTTCCTAATCATTCTAAACAGCATATGGCAGTTTGCGGCCTTTCCTTACATCTAGGCAGTTCGGAAAGCCGTAAAACACTAGAACAAAAATTTATATTCCAAATCGGCACCCTTAATCCTCACGGAATCAACGAGCGCTTTTCATTCAACTAATTTATTCCTGTTTTCTCGTCACCATATTCCCACCAATGGCGTAGTTCCACTTTCTGCATATAAACCCACACACAACCCACAATTCCTCTAATCGCTCTGACGAAGGGCTAACGCTCGAAACGTCAGCTTCTTTACCCTTTACGGTGGCTACTTTACGTTTTCAACCCAGTTGTTAACACTACATTACCTGATTATATTGGTATTCGCCTTACTCTGTGTGACAAACACAACGTGGATTTAGTCGTTTTCATGTGAGGCGAGTCAGCCTTACGCTGATCCTAAGAGGGTAAGGGGGGATCGTGGAAAAAGAGACGAGCGACAGTTAGGCTTTTGAATCTCCCTCGGTATTTTTTCATTTCTGAACGATGCTATAAGATACTTTCTGTTCGGCAAGAATTTCTAGTCACGGGAGCTTCAAAAACATCTAGATTTCCATGTGGAGGAACGAAGTGGAGATATGAGTGTGCTCCTAAAGAAGTATGTAGATAAAATATATGAAAGGAAGCATCTAGAATATGATTAAATATGTTTTAATAACTCTGTCTCTCCGGTCCCTCTGAGGTGACTCATTTTTTCACGGTCAGCTCATTAGTACAATTGGTTGTGTGTCCTACATCGCTGTGTAGAGAGTAGAAACCCTACAAGAAAAGCCATAGTAACAGCATTTGTGGCTTATAGATTGCATTAACTACCAGGAATTAGTTTTTGATGATATTGTGTTCTGGTCCATATGGGAACTTTGTAATATTTTCGCTATCTGTTTCCTTGACAACCAGTACATCGTGTTCTCTATATCCACCTGCACCAGGCTCCCTCTCGGGTACTGTAATCATTGGTTCCATGGATACCACCATGTTTGGATGTAACACCGTCTCGATATCTTCGCGGATTTCCAGCCCAGCTTCACGTCCGTAATAATGAGAAAGAACGCCGAAGGAATGACCGTATCCAAACGTACGATATTTCAGCAAATCGTGTTCGAGGTATAGCTCGTTCAGTTCGTTAGCTATGTCACTGCAACGCGCGCCTGGCTTTATGAGCTCCAGGCCCCGACGATGAACCTTGCAGTTGACTTCCCAGAGTTCTATATGCCGGTCTGATGGCACGTGATCACAAAAGAGTGTACGCTCAAGTGCTGTGTAGTATCTAGGGAAGACATAAAGATACAGAACTGAGAATTAACGTGCAAAGGGGCTAACTGGAAAGAAACACAGTAGTCGATTAATGCTCCGGCTTGCCATGCCTGTTCAGGCATTGTGGAAAATTATTATGGCTGCGGGTTGCCTTATTTGTCCAGCAGCTCGGAATAAAGGGATAGAAAACGGAGATCTGATAATGATGCTGCAACAACTTTTCAACTAAAAATTAAGTTTTTCAAAAACATATTCATATGTTCTTCTTACAATTCCTGTTTATCATCTCCATAGAGAAAGGACTGGAACCTAATGAAGCCAGACCTGTCGATTCCGAGATTACCGCACAAAGCATTGGACCTCGGAGTCTTCCGTTGTAAATAAAGTCTTTTAAATCAAAGCTATATGATTTATACTCAAGTAATTACTCCGCTTGGCCCTCTGTCGCAAGTGTCCCAGATAGCAGACACCTGACGTTAAGCAGATTGCGTAAAAAATTTTAAACAACAACTTACCCAGCTATCATAGGAAAGCAGTTCAAACTGAGTATGTCTCCCTTACGCAATCGCCGCGTGGTAACTGGATTATGAGCACCATCGGTATTAATTCCTGATTGGAACCAAGTCCATGCTGAGAAATACAAGAGCGACAATAAAATTAACCAAAAAAAAGTCTGCCGTTAATTTCGGGGGAGCACTTCATGACATTCGAATGAACGGCTGCGAGAAAGCTTGGGAATTCACAAGGGTTTCAATTTTTAGTTTTAAATTGCTTCTTTTTATACTCTTCCTTATTTTAACTGGCCGTTGTGATGTCTTCAGTTCAAGTTTTACGAAATACAAGCGAAAAGCTCGTATTTTTTCGGAATCGGCAACTATTGGTACTTTCGTGGAACGCGACTCAGGTCCAGGAATTTGACCCAGGCCACCGCGGTGGGGGCGGGGGTGGGGGCAACCCTGCGCTCCACATTTTTTCTTGTAATTGAAGACTCCCAAGAAACAAAAAGAAAATGAATAAAGGAATTTAAAAAGAATGAACAATTGAAACATACTATCTCGTATTTCAGAATGTGGATATGTGTCGGCGATCTCTTTGACCATCGCGTTTGTTGACGCCAAAGCAATCTCGTGCTCAGCGGCACCTTCCTTGATTGCCTTAACAACTGCCTCTCCTCCAAGATCAGCGATACGTGCTCCTTGCTTTATAAGTTCAATTTCTTCGGGAGATTTAATCATGCGCATTTTCATGGTCGGTTGACTGACATCTACGAATTTTGCATAAGGTAAAGCATCGGAGAACTTTCGGTGACTGTCGAGATGGACCCAATCAAACTCCAGGCCTACTGTTTTCGCATCGCCAACCTTGTAGAGATAATTGACGTCTTAGTGACTGCTAAGAAGCGAAAATATCCTGCGACAAATTTTACGATCACAGCAATCCTCATGCAAACCTGTTGTTGTACAGCGTGATAGTAATTGTCTCTTTTCCAGTCTGTATATACGATGTTCTCACCGAATGTTCGGCGCCACGGCTGACCGTAGTCGATGCCTGCAAAATGGAGAAAAATCGCGTTGCACTTTTCGAACAAATGTCCAATGCCTCGGCAGTTTTCGTGAATATCATGCAAACGCTGATAGCAACACGTCCAAATTATTTCTTTTTACATCCCCCCCGAGCTACAAAACATTGCAGGGAATATCAAAAACAAAATGTTGAGGACTGGTCATTATCTCTCATCAGTGGAAGGGGGTGGGGTGGGGTGGGTCGGAGGATTTTGATCCCCAAATGGCCCCCCCTTCAAAATCTTCCGACCCCTTCCTCCCCCCCCTTCCCACTCCAAGGTGATTAATGATTACTACCAGAACCTTACTGAAAAATAAAATTTAAAAAATAGGGAAAAGAAGAAAAAGATTATACAGCAAAGCTTACCAGCAGAAACACTTGTCGTCTTCGACGGGGTGACAATGAGCGCATACGGCCGACCAAAGTAACAGTACAGGAAATCGCTGTAATAATGTATGTTGTGATAAGATGTAAATACGCATGCGTCAATCCCGTTTGTCTCCATATGGCGTCGAATCATGTCCAGACGGCGTTGCATTTCTTGGGACGAGAAGGTTGGTTTCACCTACAATTGGAAAAGCGTGATGATGAGTAACTGTTGGCTTGGGTATGAGCCCTTGTCTTAATCAGTACATTCTTAGCTTGTTAGTTCGTTTCCTCGAGATGAGAATTGTTTGCCTAAAACGACTCAGTCTTTTAGCTTCTGGCCTCCTGTCTTTAATAAGATGCTAAAATTCCAATTTCCGTAAATTAATTATATAACACATTATTACGCACACAGGTAGCAGAAGGAAGTTTTTTACGGTTGGCAAGCTAGGGGACTGGGAATATATTTTTTGAGTTTTTAGCCGTGACTTGTTCAGTAATCAGATCTCATACCTCATTGCAAACAGACATTGCAAAGACAAAGCGCAAATTGCACGCTTGACAAGAATAACATGAACACAAACCTTTTCGCCATTATGACATTCAAGTGTACGAATTTCTTTGTGACCGCTCAGCACATTCAAGCTTAACAACCGTTGAAAGACTGGAACCAAAGTTCTTCGAGAAAAGCGTACGTTTTTGGCCAAAAGAAACATCTGAAAAGAAGACATGGGAATGGACGTAAATCGCGTGGGATGGTTCACAATGTCCCAAAATCCGTGGCACAACTACTAATCTCAAAATAAACTGGGTTATGGCGAAAGCATGACACATTTTATAATGGACTTTCGTTCAAACAAGAAATCCGTCTAAATCTCACCACCAACAGAACTTTATCAATTCTTTGACAAACGTTCTTTCTCCAGATATTTAATTGTTTGTGTCTTCTTTTAATCCTGAAAACTTTCGAGTAAATGACGATTTAAGATAAGTCAGGCATTCGAAAATATCACTCAGCCGAAACTGATTAAATTCTTGAATTAAGAGTTCGAAAGAAAGATGAATATTGTCATTAAAAAAAATGGTTGGGAGGGGGGGGTGGGGGGAATGGAGGAAAATTAAAATTAGTCTAATTTCCACTTAATCATCATATGCAATCACTTGGTGCTTTGATATTCTGCTGCAGTCTATTTTTTGGTCAAAAATAACAATTGATGATTGGTGAAAATTGAAACTAAAGGTTAACGCCGTATCTTACGTGACAAACAACGGGTAACAAAAACAAAAAACAAAACAAATTTTTAATCTAACAATCCCGACCAGCGAAATTCATCGTGGCGGGAGGGAAACAAACATTAAAATAAATTCTTCAATAACAAGTTTAAGTAAAAAGGGGAAATGACTACGAAAGCATGCACATATACGAACAGTGAAAAACAGCAAGTTATCGATAAGCCAATTAGGTATTACATGTTACAACTAGAATAAAATTAAACGCGAAATAAACAACAACAACAACAACAAATGAAGCTAAAAAGATTGTAATTTTCTAAATTTATCAATTTAAGTATGGACGTCAAAATAAGTATCCTCTCGCATCAAAATGTTCAGCAGCTGTCTATGCAATAGTCTTTGAAATTTCTACTTAGGTAGAGCACGAAGACAGATGGAACCCAGTCTTAAAATAGAATTTTTCATATGTTCTGTTCTGGAATGTTTAGATAGAGATTGCCAGCCGCTAACAACTGCATGATCAGTCATAATTTATGCGTCTTCGCTCTTCTATTCATCTTACACCCTTACGTAATTGTTTTTTTCGTATTACTTGCTCAATTTTTGGGTCCTGGTAATTGAGAATTGTACTTGAACGAAATGATGATGTTTTAAGAAATCATTTAAGTGCGTGTCAAATTTAGCTTTTAGGATTAAAGTAAAACCGGGGCTGCAGACAGATCAGAGGCTCTAAAACGAACGGATCGATCGCTGAAAACTACTGATGCATGAAATAATTACGCGTTTAGAGACGAACGATTATGCAATAAAACATTCAGTCGAGGTAAAGGGTCGCTAGATTCACTGCATATGTTACAAAAATTTAACTTTCTTCACATTATTTCTGGGACCGGTTGCATCATACGCGTGCGGAAAGTATTTCGGCTAAAATAGGTTGATTCCAGCGCGGCCCTTTGCGCTTCAATTGAAGTTAGAGTACTTCTATTGGGGCTGCGAATATATGAAAGTCATATTTGAACTGCGGATAAAGACGTGAATATGATAGCGATCTTCGCAGTAATGAATACTACTTAAGCAGTAGTGAAAGAATGCCTGAAAAAAATTGCACCGGTATCGCCAAGGTCATGGGTTCAAATCCCGCACAGGCCTGAATTTTTTTTTTTTTTTTTTCAGGCCTTCTTTTCACTACTGTTAAAGTAGTGTTCATTACTGCGAAGATCGCTATCATATTCAGTACCTCTATTGTTTTCTATACATAAGCAATATTCTTTAGAATAAATGACTGTGAATATATGAAAATAATTTATGTGAACCGCAGATAAAGACGTGAATATGAAAGCGATCTTGATAGTAATGAACATATTCAGGCCTGCATGGGATTGGAACTGGCTGATTTGTGTGCGTTACAGCGATGACAGGCGTCCCCGGGGAGGCTGAGGGCAGAAGCTTCCACTCGAGGCTTCGTCGCTTATCGCTTAACGCACTTAAAAACAGTCAAGCGCACACAAAAACGGTTGTTACCCACGCCACATGGAAGGCGATTTTTCATGTAAAAGTGAAAGAAAGCAGAATCTTTAACAGTACGATGATTTTATGCATCAAATTCGATTTAGGTCTGATATCTTCATACTCATTGTATGTTCATTGCAAATTACCACCTTGAATTCGAAACCTCAACTCGTGAAATTCGCTTGAAGTTTGTGGAACAGCCATGAAAGTGCCTGAGAATCACGGCAAGAGGAAACATGGAAATAATATGAAAAATAAACGTCAACATCGTGCTGATGAGCAATTCGAGATTCGCCAGAGTAAAGGCAACTTAATGATTACTGACGAAACTTCAGACCTATTCTCTGATGAGACCGAAGTCAACAATCTACCGTTGCAAGGAAAACCATCGGTGTTTCCGGTCTGTAATTTTACTTTTCTCTCTTATAGCCCTTACTTTTTAAAGATTTGCCGGAATCGAAATGACTCGTTGAAGCAACAAGCAAAGCTGTGTTTGTGCGAAGATTGGCTCTGTTGACTAAGATTTTTTCTTAAAACGAAGCTTACCTCGTTCAGTTGCGTGCTGGAGTCACGAACTTTCTTTTTAGGCAAGAAAGGTACGCATGGTCGCAGTCAAATAAAATCGATAGTGGAATGAGATGGTCTGCATCACGTTCCATCCAGTGAAATCACCTTGATGGAGAGGAACCAGGTGGTGTTGCGCACTCCCATTGCGTTGCATTGTGGTAGTTTCATTTTCAATATGGCGGTGAAGCGACAGAATTCGGCGCATTTTGACTGAACTTTCCGTAAAAGTTAGGCCGCTCCTTTTGCCTTTCACCATAGGTACATGAAATTTGATTTATTCTGAATGTGTAAAACTATTTGGTTAAATTTCCGCACAGCCCCATACTACATTATGCATTCAGTTCTTGGATAGAGAAAACAATGATAAAAACATTACATTTCCACTGGGAAAACAGATTTGTTTTACAATAGTATGGAACTGTGCGGAAATTTTACCAAGTATTTTTTATACGTATTTGTCACGTATTGAATGGTTCTCAAGGACAAACGCAATCACTGTTTTTAGTATGTAATTTGAGACCGGATTTAGAGACGGTCAAATTTGATGTACGTCGTAGTTTGGAGCCTTTCAAAGATTTCGATGGCCACTTTGATCCTTCTTTAACAGCACTGACCAAACGCTCTTTAATGGTGCATGTGTTTGAGACCGATTACGGTCGAGAAAAGGCCTGTTGTTGCGTCATACAGCGTTACTATTACATACTATTGTTACTATTGTAAATCTGCTTTCATAAGTAAAAGCAAATTAACTTATCGTGAGTATTGTATGGTAAATCTACTATCTTTATCATTGACTGAAGGACAGTTGAATGTGAGCCATGAAAGGAGTCACTTGACCAATGAATAATTCTACACTGCACACGGCAACACGCCGGGAAAGCCAGAAAGCAAAAGGCAGTCGATCGTTAAAAGGTGTTGGTAGGCTTGTGCGACTCCTGCCATTCGCTTGCGTTTTAAATCTTTTGACCTGAAAGCTTAGCTGTTATTAGGATACCCTCTAATGACTTTCGTTTGCGATGTGATATTAAGGGTTAATTTTAAGGTGTCATTTCCCCATCTGTATGTTCTTGAGGTTTAGCAAAGTCCGTTGAGATTGTGTTACAAAGGTGATATTTTCATGTGTGCGCGTTATTTTTTTTTGTTTGTTTTCAAGTATCAGTCTCTCCCGCAGAAAATAACTCCAGAGATACGTTTCTCAAACCCCTATTCTAAGTATTCTTTATTCTTTAAGCATATCTGAAACTCTGTACGTTTTTTATTAAACGTTGAGCGTGACAAATTTGGTCTTAGGAGGCGTAAGGCTTCTCCTTTCGCGAATCCCGTATTTACGCCATTAAATGTATGACATGAAAAATAGTTCGTGTATTAGAAGGTCGCTGTCTCTCTATAATGCGTTTGCATGTCAATGGTCGATTCCCCGTTAAATGGCTCGCGAATTTGATATTATTCACACAGCCATCGGCTGTGAGTGTAGCTGCTGTCAAATGAATAGATTCTCGGGCATGGCTGCAGTTTCAATTCTTTCTGAATCTCTTCAGTCGCCTCCTAGCAACGAATTTGTCACGGTGGAATAACAGGAGTCGCACAAGCCCGCAAACACTTTTAAGATTTCAAAGGAACGGTAAAAGACAGTGAATACCCATCTACATTCCACGCTTATTCACGCTATCTTGCTGCCACCAGAGATATTCACTCGACCGCGGCAGGATGCAAATGACTCGCTTCTGGTTTTACGACCATAATGCAACAAAATCAGAGTGTGCACACCGCCTAGAGTGGCGTACTCCGACATCCGTCAGAAGGAGGTCATCACGGGTAGATTTCCGATTACGAAATCCGAGCTCGCCCGATGTTGTCTTCGTGATGAAGGCCCTATCAGCATATTAGACCCGCAAAACAGAGTAGAAACGAACACGTGCTTCGTTTTCGCTCATGACTTCGTATTAGCCGTAAGATATTTGCATTTTTTTCCGTTGCTTACCTATATTACAGACTCCAAAAAATTTTTGCGATGCCTCCTTTTCACGGATGGCCGATCACAACTACAACATAGTGACACCTCTACGAAATCTGTCAAAAGGAGGATGTTTTATTTACCTCTTCGACCTATTTTCGTTTCCTTTTCTCTCGAGCTTTTCTATCCATGCCAAAAGATTCAGTCTACACGCGTATGATACAACCGGTCCCAGAATTAATGTGAAGGAAGTTAAAATTTGGTAACATATGCAGTGAGTCAGGTGACCCGAACCTCTTCAACTGAATACTTTGTTACATCGGTAGTTTTCAGCGATCGGCCCGTTCGACTCAGAGCTTTCGACCTTTATGCAACCCCGGCTTTATTTTGGTCCTAGAAGCTAAACTTGACACGCACATGGATTGCTTAATTTAAGATATCATCATTCCGTTCAAATATAATTCTCAACTAACAGGATCCAAACTGATTTGGAATGTAACCTTTTTATTTCATCGAAAGCACAGCGTTTTCGTCATGTTCGCACAATGCGCTTGTAACCTCTTTCGCCAATGTTTCCTAACCAATCGAATATTAGTGGCGGTTCATGCGTTCAAAAGTTTCATGGGTCGCTCAAAAAAAGTCTCAAAAGTTTAAAGTAAGCCAAAAAATGGATATATTCGCCCAATTTCTGCTGTCTTAAAGGTCAAATGGTCGCCATCAGATGGAGCGAAGTTAACTACGAGAACAGAGTAAAGAACAGTGACACTCACGGGTGCAAAAATGTTGCGACATCAGATACACGTCGATGTGACTTAGAGAAAAATATTTAAGTACATTTTGTTCAAAATTGAACTCACCATATGACTGGAAGATTTCACGGAGCACTGAACCACAGCAGAGAAGATGTGTCACGAAATGCCTGTCTAGGCAAAAACATATTACCGAAAGCAACTTCATTGTTTGATGATGTGTTGATGTTAACGTGATGTAAATATTCATCACGCAAACAACTGCTCAATACATCGAGTTTGGTGCTCGTTCATCCTACTTTAAATGCACCGATTATAAATCGAAAACTCGATTTTTTTCAAACAAAGTTACTATTTGAATTTAAGTTGCAAAGGCTCGCAGTTTTAGAATACTCGAATAATTGCACACAAAAAAAAAAAAGTACGCAAACAAGCTAAGGTTCATCTGGTAAATGACAAACTATCACTGGTTCCCTCCTAACGAACCAGTGTTTCTCATTTAAAAAGCGTGTATAAAAAACGAATATTATTTTGAGCATAATTTGGAAAAGTTGGGCATTGCTAGTAGCATACAATGCGCTACTTTCGCTTTTTAGGAGCTCGCCTTTTATCGCTCTGTTATTTGTTTGTTTTCGTTGGCTTATTCATTTGCTTTTTCATCTAACATTTTTATTTTATCTTTTTCTAATCATTTTTTTTGTCCTCTCTGATTCAAGACATTTTATCTATCTCATGACGGGATATGGTTTGATGCTTCTCTGGTTTACAGATTTAATGAATGTAACCGAAGAAGTTACAATTCATAGATCCAAAGTTTCGACACTCCTGTCTCGGTGCCTTCATTAACGGGATGGTCTCACGTATTGCGTGACATACCAAAAATAGCGAAAAGAGAGAAGTCTGGGTACTAGTGTTTTCTCGAACCTCCTTCACCCTTCTTTTTTCTTCCGGCATCTAAAAATGGCTGGCAATTTGCCTACTCAGCTTATAGTGTACTGCTCTTTCTAATGGGAAAAGTTGATTTTTTTAGGGTTGTATTTCAGGGTGATAAGACAACGTTCTTACCTGGTGAAGTTATCCACGGTAATGTTAACGTTAAGGTAAACAGCGATCTTAAACTTCGCGGCATTCGAGTGGAATTCCACGGGGAAGCGAAGGTCTACTTGTCTGGCGGAGATCATAGGAGAAAGCGCCCAGCCAATAGTGAAGAGTACATTAACCTGGTAGCCACCTTGTATGGGAAAGGTTAGTCATTTAAACACTTCTGTTGCTATTTACACAGCTTCAAGATCTTTGCGGGTTGATGTTATTATTAATTACAGAAGCTTATGACATTAGCAGAGAAAACATATGACATGATTTAGAAATTGACAGAATTTTTACTTATTGATTGTCAAAGCTTCTAAGGCTTAGTGCAAAGAAGTTGTAAGAATTAGCGATATGGTTATAGATAGATGATAATTTGATAGCCATGGTAGACTCAGTTTGGCCTAGGTTTCTAGAGATTTCCTGCGTAATATTTACACGCGTCAACTCGCCTAAACACCACAACAGACAGAGGCTTGTTTTGGGACCAGACAGGTTATTAAATGTATATATCCTACGTAAATAGAACATTACACTATTACACAAAATATATTTGACGAATACACTAAACCAACGGTCCAATAATCAAGAATAAATTACAAACACGAATGAGATTAAGATACAATCAAAACTGTCGATGGTGTGGGTGGAAGGGAAACTAGTAAAACTTTCTTAAAGCTAGAAATAAGCTTTTTACTTGCTTGCTTGCTAGATAACTAACAGTAGAAATAATTTCGCCATTAAAACGCGTTGGCGTGGTGAATAGTCATTGGCTCTACCCAAGTCTTATGACTTGCATGCTGAACAAATTGCTCAAATTGAGGAAAGGCTAATATGCACCTTGCCTGTACCCAGTCCAGACCTCTCAGTTATCGATGTCTAGATTCATATTTATAGAGATTAATATTCACTTCAAAAATATTGTGTAACTAAATAACTGGTCTGTGGAAAAAAAAATGTTTGAACTGCGTATTAAATTAAAGAGGCATTGACTCCAAAGCTTGAACTGAAGGGCCAGACAGGTGGAGTGACTTAACTTTGTCATTCAGCTTGCTGGGTGATGATTTGAAGGTACTGGTTAACTAAGAACAGAATGATAGTAAAACATGAAATGTGTAATAAAAGTTAATTGGTGCCAGTTCTGAGAAAGTGAAACAGTTCAAATGTATCACACGAGATGACCATTTTGAACCCATGCCTTAAAGTCATTTAATTTCAGCTACATGTATAAAAGCCCTATCCTACTCCTATGATTTGCATGGTGAACAAAGTGCTCAGTCCAAGAGAGGACTATTATGTAAACTGCCTGTGCCTACTTTAGACTTCTCAGTTATCAATGTCTAGATTTATATTTAATAGAGATCAATATTCACAGTTTTCTTGTTAATATTGTACATCTGTAACATATTATAAAGAAATAATCGTTTGTTTCAATCCACCACAACTTCTTGCTTGAGGAACTAATGAAAGCCCAGTGTTTGCAAAATAATCATGAACAAAGCAGAGATTAAGTCCCCTGCTATGACTTTGCTGTGCAAAAATAATGAGGCATTTAAATTTATATGGTATGAAACATATTGAAATACGGTCTTAACTTTAAAAAGCTCAGGTCCTGTGTGCTGTTTTCATCAACCACTTACCTGCCAAGATTTGGCAACAGTTACTTCTCTCAGTTGGCAAAAGAGGCCTAGGGGTATGGTTCAATTAGATTGTGCACTTAGTTTATACTTTACCTCTAAGAGCTAATAATAATGCCACTGCTATGAAGTAAAAAATTGTATGCATTTTTTAAAATGAATTTAAAATGACATTCTTCTTTTAGCACCTGAGCAGTCTGGTGAAAATCCAGTGCTAGGGCCAGGAGAGTACAGCTTTCCATTCCAGTTTCACATGCCAAGTGATAACCTGCCAACATCCGTTGAAGGAAACTTTGGTCATGTGCGATACTGGCTTAAAGCTTTCATCGATCGTCCATGGAGATTTGACATTACAACAAAATCAGTGTTCACTGTTATTGAACGTGTTGACATAAATCTAACACCAGGCTTATTGGTAAGTGTCAGCTTATGATTAAATGACCAACAAATATTTTGCCATCTTAAGTTTCACAGTACTGTCTACAAAAATACTGTCCAAGTTTTAATTAAAACCCTTCAATCCCTTAGAGTGACTAGCATCTGATTTCTCCTCGCAGTATCACTAAAGTATCGAACTGAAAGGTCATGGGTGTAACTAAAGATACTCTTGATGAATTGTCAAATAAGTTCTCATTATCAGTACCCTTGGACCTGTATAGAGAACAATATGGAGAGTGTATATATTGATGTTTAAGGGTGTAGGGTTGGAAAAGCTTGAAGGAGGATAAAAGTGTATAAATTGAAAAGAGACTATTTACCATGTCTGAATGTGAAATGTCTACGCCATCAGAATTAGGGTAGAAAGCAGAAAATTCTGCAGAGTGCCAGGGAAATTTTTCAGTCTCCTATACTTGACAGTGAAGTTAAAGTACCCTTTTTTAGTGCAAAATGGGGGACAACTTTCAGTTAAAACAAAAACTTAAATGAGTTTTTGGATTCAATTTTCCTGGGTTGTAATAAATTATATATGTTTCAATGGTTTTTCTGTCCAATTAGCAACCTTGTCAAGTTGAAAAAGAACAACAGTATGGATTTGCTTGCTTGGCTGGCCCTATTAATGTGACTGTTCAAACAGACAGAGGAGGTTACTGTCCAGGGGAATCTATTGCATTTTCAGCATTCATTAACAACCAATCAGGCTGCGGCCTCAGTGGGGCAGAGATTATTCTGTATCAAATTTCAGTCTACACAATTAAGGGTGGTAAGTTAAGGGTGGGTGGAAAAGAATAGCAGCTAATTGAGGTAACAGCCATTAAATGGTTGGTTGAATTAGAATGGAGTTATTGAAGTAGCCTAGTGTCTCAAGCCTTAAAGTAGTCTGCTGCTGCTATATTATTATTGTCAGTTTCGGAAGGGTGAAGATAAATGAACTAAGAAATCAATATTGCTACCCTTCCCAAATAGGGATATTAATCTTTTCATGATAACACACTCCATACCTCAGTTCTTAACTTGTTGTCAGAAAATAATTGAAAAATTACAACTCTTATTAAGCTAACTACAGTACAACCTCATTTATTTCATTTGTGATGAAGCAAAATGAAATCAGGAAGTGCAGTATCAAATATTTGTTTTATTAATAAGTATTCCTTACCCAACATAATACAAATAAATTTTTATTTTTCCATCTACTTTTAATTTAGGTATGAGTTCAGGTAAAACATCAGGAAAGCGTGTAAATGAAATTGTGGCTTCATTAAAAAGAGATGAGATCAGAGGAGTTGGAGATCATCACCTGGAGATGGTACCACTTAAAATTCCCTCCCTTCCCCCCACAATGTCAAGTTGTAGCTGTATTAAGATATCATATGAAGTGAAGGTAATCTTATGTGTATCAAACATGATTGCTTCTTGGCACCAAAATTTTGAGCAACAAGGAGTCAGATTAGGTTACATAATGCCAATTAAATAATTAAATGAAAGTAATTTTACCTTTTTTAAGGTGAAAATCTTTAAGTTATTAATATTAAAGATTGCATATATTATTTATGCAAATGGTTTGAGCCTGAGGGTAACATGTGGCAATAGAGTATGATCGTCTAGGTGATTGTAGTCCTGAGGAGGACTGTTGGTGGTAGTGGTGACTGACATTTCGATAACCTTAGCAGAAGTCAAGTAAGATTTTATCTTGATTCTTCATTTGAAATAACATCTCTGGAAAAATTTATATATGATTGTTAATGAGGAAGATATAATTATATGGTTTCTAGATTATTCTCATTTTGAAATGCTTTCATTCTCATAACTGGGTGATAAATTATAATTTAAACAAAGTCGTTTCTGTTTAGCCTGACTACACATTATGATTGCAGCTCAGAATGGTGTTATTGGTGTTTGTAATTGGCAGATAATCAATGTGGTGCACTGATGTTCAATTTTTCCACCTACAGTTCATCCTCCATGTCAGTGGATGGAGAGCAAAGGACCTTATTCTATCAGTTCCATTAACAATAGGCTCTGTACCTTACCAACCACCAGTTCTTCCAGCATCTGTGGAACCCTCAGCTCCCCCACTCTCCCCTCCCCCCTACTCTGAAGGTCAGACATACCCTGGTGTGGGTAAGTGATTATCTAGACAAGAGTTTTGAATTTGACAAACGGTAGTTTTTCGTTGAAGTCTCCTGACACAATCTTCTTACAATTCATTTATTGATTTATCTTTTTTTCTCTACAGTTCTTCCATCGTACGCAGAATGTGTGTATGGTGGGGTGTCTGTTCGTGACGAGAATGATTCCAACGACATGATGAGTGACTCAACCTTCACTCCCATGTATCCGTTTGTTAGCCATTACGAGGTTCCCTCTGCTGCAAGCCAAGACTCTGCTACTGTGGCTGCTGCTCAACAGCCACAAGTTTCATCTAGTAAAGTGCCTCTGCCTTAAATTTGAACATTTGTACAATTTCATGCATCGAATTACTAGTCAGTGCTTATTGTTTCCCCTCAGTTACGTCAAAGTACTTTATGTCAAGTTTTCCAATTTCTTTTTTATTGTAACACGTTAAAATTACCTCCAGCTCAAAGGTGATTACACATTAGCCCAGCTAAATTAATTATAAAAAAGGGACAAAAAAATGAGTAAGAATTTACTGAGAAGGAACCTGGGCAAATGATGAATTAGACTGAAACGGTTTTTGATGAAAAATGCGAAAAATTTAGACCTCAATGTAATAATGGACATCTTTGGACTCTCAATGACCTCAATTGAAAATTGCTCTCAATGTAATCAGAGTGTGGTGGAGATGGGTGCTTGAAATAAGACCTAAACTTTCTAGCAATTGACTTTCATATTCCGTTTGAAATGAGGTGATAATATGTTTGATTAATTTCGTCTCGATGAAGATAGCTGAGCTTAGTAAGTAATTAAGTAAGTAAACAAGTTAACTCTTTATTTAAAGAGGGTAGCACTTAATAGCCAAAGGTCTAATAAACTTGTGGCTCTCTTACAATACATTTGATAATACTAATGCAAATATAGATATCAATAAGTAAAAATAAATACATTATAATAGAAATAGAAGAACAGTTTAAAAAATTAAAAATGTCATGAAGATGATGACTTGTGAGTTTAAGTACTTTTTTATCAAATGACACAAAGGTATATAAGTTGTTTTAGACTCTGGAATTCGCCTGACATCTTATTTATTTAAATTGTGGGTTCTAAATGGGGTAAAAGATCTTCAATAATTAGAATTAGGAGACCGTCAATTTTGAGCCCGCGAATGAAGTAGATACAGATTTTTTTTGTATCATTTCTCTGTCTATGATAATTATTTTTAGAACAATGTTTTACGATTCGGATTAGTGATTTTCACTTTACCCTGAGCAGCGTTTTGCCCAAATGTACATTTTGCTGTCGGTTTATGACTATGAACAGTGAAGCGATAAAAAATGATTCAGTGATTTATTCAGAATTTTTTGATGAATTGTTATGTTAATATATAAATCTTCTAGTAGGTCAGTAATTAGGAATAGGGTGTTATTTGAATATCAAAAAAGTTCCATAGTGTAACTAAAAATATTGGTAATTCAAATCGAAATTTATTAAGTTAGAAAGTTACAAATAAAATCCAACAATTGAAACAAAAGTACGGTGATCGATTTGCAGCAACGCAGTAACTTGATTAACAATATTTTGTAATATCGCGATATCGCGATTGTCCCACTATTTTGAGGAGATGATGTACTCCCCCCCACCCCCCATGCTCCTGAAAAAAGAGATTTTTGGAAACATGCAGTCAGAGAAGCTTTTCCCCTCCTTATTCTTGATGAGCGAATTTCGCTTATTCTTGATGAGCGATTTCTTTACGCAATAATTTCCGTCTTCCCTCTCTCTCCATATTAGGGAATTTTGATAATGTTCTTGTTCAACTGTCCGCGTGTTTTTTTTACTTTAAGATCAGATATATTATAATTGCTTGACAGTTATGGAGACTCGATTTCCTGTATTAGGAAAGATGAAGTACCGCTTTGTTGTTGTCCTAATTATTATTATTATTGTTATTATTATTATTATTATTAATATTTTTATTATTATTGGTATTATTAATATGCGACAGCCGCCTTAATGATAGAGATTATTTTCCTCCAACAAACCTTATCGAAGTGGGAAGCCACTTTGTTCTATTACCCAGAGAAACTCATCTAAACAACGTATGCTTGAGGCTTCTTTTGTTTCAGCTGCGATCAGGTCTCCAAGCTATTTTACCCATCAGCAAATATGTGAAAATTAGAATATGCAAATTTCTGTATAAGTTCTCCGCTCTAGTGGCTCTGTCTCTTTATACATAAATATGTTGTCATCAAGGATTACGAGCGAATATGTCTAAACGCGACTTTTAAGAGCAAGCAATTGAGGAAACGTTTTCCAATCATAAACCTTCGTTTGACAGCTCAATCTTCAAGCTAAATTTTACCATGTAGTGTACAGAACTATCATGGAAAGTATAGAGTTGTTTGCAGTTGAAATTTACGGGGATGGATGTTTTTATCCGGGAGATGTTGTGTACGGCGACGTATATTTGAAGACAAATGAAGAACTGACGGTCAGAGAAATTCGCATCGAGTTTTATGGGGAAGCAAAGGTTTCATGGTCCGAGGCGGCGAGAAAGAAGCGACTTGGAACGCGTGATTACTCGAATTACGAGCAGTATTTAAACATTGCAGTAACAGTTTATGGAAAGGGTAAGAAGCCACTGTACTTAGCTTGTAAATATTGAATACTGCGGGTGTTTTAAAATGCATCATTGATCGCAATTTTGATCGGTGAAAATCAGCTGGCTCTTGAGTCAAAAGTCACTTCGATTTTGCATTGCCGCATAATATACAACTGAACTTTGCGGTTTGTTGCATTGGCTATCTTAATATTCAGTTGCAAATACTTTGCTGGGCATATTTCAAATATATACTGCTGTTTATGGCAGCTTATAATTCACTGTTAACTGACATCTCTTTATTCTTATTCACTTGAATAATACTTGATAACTTTCATGACTGAAGAAAATTTGCTTGCAGACACTGACGGCAAATTAAAGAAATAAAAAAGCACAACATTCTGTTGAGATCTTTAAGTGTTCAGGAGGTTGGATTAAAAGATTTTGTTCAACAGGTTATCATATTCGACCCCTCGAGGCTCTCCGTCACTTCATGCAAAAATACGTTTCCAAAGCAAATGTCATCTCCAAGTACTTTCAATTTAACTACTAAGAGTTAGCTTGTAAAATCGATATTACATTCGCTCTTGATCAGAACTTTCGGGTAAGATCTGTCGATCTCTAAAATGCAGAGACAGGCTCGGCTGCGCCTCGTGTGCCATTTGTTCTGTTTGTAACACATCTTGTTGGTAGACGTACGTCATCTGTAATATGTTACTGAACGTACACAGCCGGCGTTAAGGAATCTATTTTCACTCTACTATGAAATGAATCTCTTCCAGTTCCGGGTCAAATCGGCGCAAATCCAGTCTTGCCCAGTGGGGAGCATTCCTTTCCATTCGAGGTTCGGCTCCCAGAAGACAACCTTCCCACCACATTTGAAGGAAAACATGGCCACGTGAAATACTGGCTCAAGGCCATTCTTGATCGGCCGTGGAAAGATGAGATTAAGATCGTAGAACCGTTCACCGTCACGGAGAGGATTGATGTTAATCAGGCGGAGTTTCTCGTAAGATCATGCACCGATCATTCAGTACAATGTAAACTACATGAATATATAATTATAAAGCTCATGGCTACACTATTAGTGGTAATACTGGTGGTAAAGAATTTGAACTCGGAGCACCATTCGTTCAAATGGAGATGGAAAGAGAGCGCGAAAGAGTAACTCCGAGGCGCGAAAAATAGAAAAACCAACAAACACACTCACACACACATGCAAACCTCGTTGCTTAATCTTTTGACACCTATCTTAAAATGGGAAATTTTCCTGTTGCCGTTCAGTAATGACCGAGGCGGTGGGGAGGGGCTCAAGACGCAGCTTTGTCCCTGAGGGCAACGGACCATCACCATAGGTTCCCTTGTTCTTAAGTTTCGTTGTGTTGAACTAAAACGAAATTTGGATTGAAAAGAGAAATATCAATGTCATGTTTTGTTTTGCTTTAAGCGCCCAGCTCAAATCCAGGAAGACCGGACAATGGGTTGCCTGTGCTGTGTCTCTGGGCCACTGAGTGTCACAGTCAGGACAGACAGAGCAGCCTATTGTGGAGGTGAACTTATGACAGTGACAGTGTACGCTAACAACCAGTCGAAACACAGGATTCTTGGAGTGGAATTAGAGCTCATTAAGGACACTGTATTCGTCGCATCTGGAGGTGGGTGGAACATTGGACCTTTAGTGTATTTCTCACAACAGAGTTATTCCCTTAGCGCACGTTCATTGGCTGACGCGGTGCTAAGCAAAGTACGTTAGTTCGTTTAACAAGTTATACTTAGCATGAACGAATTACTTTTTTCCGTTCTCTCTAGGTAAAAAGGTTTTCAGTGCTGAAACTATCGCAACTATCACAAAAGCTTGTAATAAGACCTCGAACACAGACGGACATGACTTCTTTGAGATGGTGCCATTTCTCATCCCATCCCTAACGCCAACTATGAAGAACTGCAGGTGTATAAAGATTTCGTACCAAATGAAGGTAAATTTTCCATGTTCACAGTTGTTTTTCCAGGGTTCCAATAATCGAAAGACACTCTCAGACAAAACAGACACGAATCATCTTGAAATACGTTATCTAAATTTTTCAAGTATGTCGTTGGCACCCCGCCTGCACTCTTCCGGGCTCCATCTTAATCATCGTCGGTCATGTCTGGATTTTGTTTTCTATATTTCTTTCTTTTTTTCTATTTTTCCTTGGTTTACGGTGAAGATAATTTTACAAATTGCAAAAAATTAACTCATGGCAGTAATTAATATTAATGTTAAATAATAGAGTGCATTTCGACTTAGTTGGGATACAAGCAAGAAGGTAGTAAGAGATGTCTGGAGAAAAATTTTAGTAAAAAACGAATGACAATCTGTGATTGGTTTCTGAGCCATACCGCGAAAGTGGTGTGAGTTTTCTAAAACGCCTCTGACCACAGAAAATAGTTAAACAGACCCAATGCAAGAGTCAATTTCAACTTAATTACTCCTATCTTTCTATTTCCTAATCTGTTCTTCTAGTCCACTCTGCTGATACGAGGATCCGTAAACTTCTGTGTCCATTTACCAATCACCATCGGCTCCATTCCCTGCCAAGTGAGTACATCTCGCAGACCATCCCAAAAAGGCTCCAACTCTTCGATATCATCAGGTGTCACGTTCATGGGATTCCCGTCTACGTCTATGGAACACTCTGACGGTATGATATCATGTAATGAAGAAGGTTAAAAGTCTTACTTTCCGGATATACCTCTATAAAGTGACGGGGTTACTCGTCAGACAATTTCAGAAACCCCCTCGAAAAGATGCCAGAAGTTCATTCCGTGGGAGTGGAACCGCACAGTACTTTCTTTCTTTCTATTTATTGATCATTTGCCCAAAATCTTTTCATTATTTCAGGTTGTTTTGCCCCAAACGTTTCTGTCCCTTCTTTCCGATGAAGCACCCGCCCAACTACCTTGATCATGCTCTCCTAATCACGACTTACTTTTCCTTTCAGCCCCACCATCTTATGCTGAAAGCATCAGAGGTCAGACGAGAAGATATGATGCAGTGTATTACAACAAGGGAGAGGAATTTAATTCACTCAATTCACCGCAGTTCTCTGCGGATACTAAGAAGACATCCTAATTTTCTCTTTGGTTAAACAGTTTCAACAATATTAGGAGGGATCAAGAGAAGATAGAAGCACTTGTTGGTTTTCGTGACCAGAATGTGTACGAGTTCCTCACTGGAAGATGGAAATAGTTTTTAATCAAGTTTATGTACATATATGCAAGACGAACTATAGCTTTGAAGACTCATTCACGCCGAGATGCCGCTTTTAACTATTCAAGGAAAAATTTTGATAACACTCCGGCGTAAGAAATCTAAATATCCTTAATTCAAAGGAAACCGTATGCCGTGTGAAAATTTGGCCAAAACGTCGAAATAACTCAAAAATTCTGTTTGTAAGCAATACACAAGTATGTCTGTCCTGTGCACACGCGTAATACAGCAGAGCTCCATAAAAAGAGGAATAATAGAACCACAGTGAATTAGAATAGAAGTGAAAATATTGAACAAATTAGAATAAAATAATGATAAAATTCCAAGACCTTGGTCAAATGCTACGACATTGTGAGATGGTGTTTGGAGATGTTGGCCAAACGTACACATTGCAACATGTTGCAACATTTTACAGGTTTGTCGATGCTGATATGCCCCAATCCCTTGGCCCGCTCGAAGCTCGGACGTCAACGCCATTTCTAAAATGGGGGACTTTGAGTGGTATTGATGTCGTCGTGGAGGAATGTTAGCTTTCACTAGCACTACTGCTAACGGATGATGAAAGAGTTAGTTAGGGAGGTAAAACTCGGCAATGGATTAAGAAGAAACAAGAGGGTTGATTTGCAAATGCTGGTAAATGTATTCAATGATAGAAAACGTAGCGGGATACACAGAGATGTTCCAAGCAAACCTGTATATTTCCATAGCCTCAGTTGCCTTCGTTGTTTTTGCTACTTTCCGGCCTAGTGCCACTACATCGGCCACACTGATATCAAGTGTACTCGGTAATTCTTCCAAACCTTGTTCTCCTGTGTAGTATGACTTAACGAATATGTTTCAAAGCCAAGGAGGCTCCCCAACATGTCTACTGGCTTCCTTGGTGTTTTCATTTCGGTTGTTCAATTGGAACATTATTGGTTCTATTTCATTACAGACGAACATTTAAATTTTTGTCGGAACTCTTAAAGTCATGTCGCTAAAAGGTTGTGTCGAATAAATTTAGCAAAAAAAAAATACAAAATTCAAAAATGAAAACAAAAAAAAAATAAAAAGAAGAGAAAAAAGAAAAGAAAACGTTTTTTATTACATAAATCAATATGGTTCTAAAAAGCTCTCATAAAACAATCAAATGTTTATTTCATAAAGCACCTTTACAAGGTCATTTATATTGGTATTTCGGTCATTACAAAAAAAGGGTTCCTGAGAGAGCATTCAATACAAATGTGTGACTGGGATTTTCCAATCAAGGCCGGCAAAACCTACAATAACGTCTACCAGAAAATAAGAAGGTATACTTAACGAACCACTTTCGCGAATGGAAAGACGTATTTAGTGTGTCGAACGGCAACAGAACTTCCTTAGTCAATATTTGTGGAGCCCAGCTTCACTTCCAGTTAGAAAAGTATAAACTTCATTGTCGGAATAAGATACATTGGTAACGATACCACATTATGAATTAGTTAATTAATAAACTCATAAAACTACCTCACGCTTCGCAGTCGTTCGAAATCTTAAGGCACTCTTCGAGTTTACTTAGAAAGAAAAATCACGTTATCTAAATACTGACCACACTTTTGGATTACTCTTTAAACAATAAGAATAATTTTACCTCACGAAGTACTCCTACCTTAGAAGATTTGTGCTAGATACTTATAAAGACGTTTCATGGCTAAAAAAACTAAGTAACTCTTTAAGTCCTTCGAATTCCAATCTCAAGATATCCAAACCCATTAACGTATCATGTAGCCTACGTGTAGCCGTACCCTCCCCCTGCAAGGGTATCATGTTAACCTCCCAAAACGTACCCTGTAAATGGCTTTTGTTACGAATCTTAAGGAAAACTTTGAGTTTACTTTTGTTTCTAAGGTAGATTCTGCAGTGAGTTAAAAATCATATACTTAATCAACTTTTTCATTAACAAATTTCATAAAAAGTCTGAAAAATCATAGCGAATATACTTTTACCGTGATTCTCAAATATGTTATCTTTTTAATGTCAATAGAAAAATATAAAAAATATAATATTGCGCGTTGTTGATAGAGCATCTATTAAAATTGGTTGTATGGCATCGCAGGAACGACTGGTCTTAATCAGACACTTTTATCCATGACATCTGAGCTCAGTTGTCACTTTTAAAAATAAACTTCTCCAACTGCATCATGGGATATTCCACACACACTGACACAATAAAGGCCACTGCATACGAAATGCCAAGTACACCGACAAAACAAAATGCCTGGTAAGGAAAAAAAGACATACACAATTACGTAACTACTGAACGTTCACATTCAACAACAACAGCACTGCATTTCTTACGAAAGGAACAACAGTACATGGATCGAAAAACAGTAAATCGAGTCGCACTTACAGTGTGGACATCAGAATATGCCCGAACAGTCTCATACGACTGAAACAGAGCAAAGATGATGATAGGGTGAACCAGATAGGCACAATACGTCAGCCGGCTCAGTGGAATCCAGAATCGAGCCGACAGGAATTTATTCACCAGACCTTCAAAAGAAGAAGAGAACAAATAAAATCGAGTATTGCTACACTAATGCAACATCGACCAGTAATGAACATCTCTCGTATCCGGTAAGAGATCTCGTAAACATGAAAGCTAAAAAATTGAGACTGTTTTTTTTCCAATCGCATGGCATGCATACAATAAAGGCTAACTCTCTGAGACTTTATGAGAATCCAACGCGATGGTTGCGCAGACCGCCATTGAGAGCCCGTTCATCTGCTATGATATATCATGCCTTATAACATTAAACACCACACGCCAAACACAGAACGAGCCATAGAAAACTCGGGGAAATACAATCGCGCTTGGGCGCGGGAAAACGCAAGTTAGCAAATCACGTTCGAGTTTATTATAGCATCACGATACTGGCCTTAGTGGGTGGTAACGTTTGTGAACTCAACCAAAAGCGATAAACGATCACAATATCGCTACACTCTATCGAAAATCGCTTTACACGTACCTCCAAGCCCGTTATGGCAAGCAAATATCACCCAGGCTAATGCCAGGCTCCACGCGAAACGTGAGAAAGTTCCGTATATGATATTCTCAGCGCGAGAAAATTGCACGGGATTGTCTTTCCTTAACGCTTTGTACTGACCATACAGAGTAGACAGGGCGAGAACAATAGCAACACACCAGCCAGCCATGTTGAACAAGTACGTCTGAACCTTGAAGAAGTAAAACACTCAATTTGCTTTCATTCCAAATTGTGATCAGATTCCTCCACGGGAAAGAATAAAGCCACTAAAATATGCCTCGCTCTTAACCTGTGGCTTCGTGGCTCAGTTGGTAGTACCGCTTAACTAGTATGTAGGAGGTACGAGTTCGAAGCCTGAATTTTTTCCCACCACAAGAATAAATTATTTTATCCCCAGGTATAATCTTTAGCACCTTGCAAACTACTCTTTGCAGTCAAAAAGGGGCTCCCACCGCCAACAAAAACAAGTTCCAACAAAAATGTCAACCAACATTTATGTGAAAAGATATGATCACCATAATTTCATACCTTAGTGGAAAGTCTCCAGTCCTTTACGTGAAGAAGTAAGTATCCCGTTACTATGCCGACAAGATACGGTGAAATACGACAGTAAGGCTTGACGTAAGTCAGAGACATGGAATCCACACCGCGCCCCCTACAAAAAAAGTCATTGACATACGACAAAGTGAGAACTAAAGAGGGGCATCGAGATTTGCGCTTTTTCTCCACCGTTTGATAACACGTCTGAGCTTCAGCTCGTTGCCATAGCAAAACCAGGAAAAAACAAGCAAATAAACAATCAAAACATAACAAACGCAAACAAAAAGGTAAAAAAATAGGTTCTCACGCGGCATCTAAAGCAGCTTTACTGATTATAACAGCAGGAAGGTCATAGTGAGCATAGATAACAGCTGTGGTGGTAAAACTGATACCCAGTAACAGAGCAACAAACACAATCAGTCCTCGCAGTCGAAACCTGATAATAAAACACACAAGTCATTCATGAATGAAGCGATAAACATCAGAACTGAATTGTTTCAGGCTTAGAGCTGAGTAGTGACTTAACAGAATGACGAAGAAAAACAGAAAGCCCCGCCAAATCGCGATATTTCTCAATATCCATAACTTTCCTATTTATTTTAACAATTTCTTGCTATACCGGAGACTTCTAAATATTCTAATGATATCCAGATATCTTGCAGTCGTGAAAAAAGAACCCTACTTAGCTGATCAAAGCAATACGCAGGACGCGTGTCAAATGAACTTAGCTAGCAGTGGTTTTGCTCAGCATTGAGTGTGGCTCAGTGGTAGAGCATCGGAGCGCCGAATCCAAACTTCTGAAATTCTATTCCTCATAGGAACTCAGAATCATTCTTGGTACAACACTCGTGACAAGACGATAAAACATCTTTCTGCAACACTACTTAGACTTTCAAGGTCTATTAGTTTTTGGAGGGAAAATATCAATTTTTAAATTTGCTTGCAAACCAGTATACTGTTCAGTGAGGCACCAAGAACGATTTTTACTGAGACTATTAAAATAATGTATCTTCTACATACCTGTACGCCACAAAGAGAACTGCGGGAGCAATGATATAAAATTGCATGTCATTTGCTAGGTACCAGCTCCAGTCAAAACACTGCAAAAAATAGGAAAAAATAAATCGATAAATGTACACAGGAAAAAACGTAAGGAGCCTTTTAGTAACTAAGCAAATTAGGTAAATTAAACTACGTAGGTCTGATAGATGGAGCGCTCATCAGAGATTTTTCAAATCCATGGCGTGTCAACCATTTTGACTAAGAAAAAGATCGAATACGTTACAATTATTCGAAAGCGATGTTTGGCCAAAAGGCCATGCGGGTTACGAAACCTATCAGCTTAAGGGCGCAATCTTGATGTAAAATCATATTCTTTCACTTAAATTACAAGGAAATGTATAGCAACAGATGGGAAGAATCACTGACAAGATCTTAGCAGATAAATCTCACCGATGCACCAAAACTAGTTGGATAGAAGTTGTTAATGTAGAGTAAGTTGGTCCACCAGTACTTGTCACACGGGTTCTTTTCCTGGGCTTGATACCAAAAAGGGCCGTCACCAAGAAATCCATTCAGTTTGTCGTAAAACAACAAAACGAACATGTAAGCTGGAGTTAACCTGGGGAACGATTTGGCAGTATTGTTAATACATCACCAATAGCTGGTTTAACCCAATTTATACACTCTGCTCAGTATGCTCATTCTCTATACTGTTCTCTTTACATTTCCTGTGGTGTTGACAAAGAGAATTTATTTAACAATCAAGAGCTTCTTTCGTTGGTGACCAGCTCTGCCGTTATTACATTAGTTGACTGGTCTATGGTTTTACGACAAGAAAATAAGCTTTGGTATAAGCAGATGAATCATGATCAGTCGATAGCAATTTGAAGTGAAAAAATTACCTCCAAAAACGATGGAAGTAGTATTTAAAGAGTGGTAGCTGTCCATTTTTCTTCTCCATATGACGCAATGACAAATAAGAAACCAAGAGACCACTGAAAAAAAAAGCACAGTTGTACACATTAGATATTACACAAATCTATCTCACATGTTCAACAAGAATCGGGAGGAGAAAGAGGGACACCGTCTCAACAAAATTTCGCACTGGAACTGATATAAAAAACCCTTTCTATTTCATAGTACACTTTTAAACTAAGAGGTAAAGACGAAAATTGAGCATCCTCTTTAACTTTTTCTGAGAAACCTCTTAAATTGTACGTCAAAGTAATTTTCAATTCAGTGTGAAGAGTAACTTAACAAAGATTGTTTCAATTCTGGATTACATTTTCCCACAAATGGTTTTCAAAACTCGAGCTATCACCTCGAGATGAGACGGAAAAACTGAAGCCACTTGTGTCTTGGTGACTTAAGTCTGTTTTCCCGCACTTTAGGAGAGTTGCTTTTTTTCTTTATTTGAGTGACAGAGACTCAGGGTGATATTTTCCTTTGTTCTGATGGGCTTTTGTTATCTCTGATTTTGGTTTTACAACTTGAATATTTTATCTAAAAAGCGCTTTCTAACAAGAGATCTCGTAGCCTCTGGCCCTGATTTATATGATAATAGGTCAGCACTGTAAACTGAAATCAGTTAAATGGTATTATTATGCAAATATTTATCGTTTTCAAAAATTTTTCCTCATACAAACACTTTGACCACGACATACCTCAGAAAGAAGAAACTATCCACTGAAAACGTTGCATTCCCAATAGCCTCAAACGTAAATCGTTGAAGTAATTGAAAAAATAACAAAAAGTTACCTGCAATTAAAGAAAGCCCACTGATGATAAATGAGTCTGAATTGTCACTATAATCCCTTATGCTGGCCAATTGAGTGACAGACACAAAACAGAATCAACCAAATTTGGGAATTTTATGATCAATATATTTGATAATGATAAAAAATAATAATACTTACTAATGGAGGATCCTAATTGGAAAGCATACACATGTCCCAGGATCACCCACCACATACTCATCACTCTCATTCCATTGATTGACGTAACAGCACTGGCAGAGACTTTGGTGTCCATAATACGGCTTGTGTTTTGAATTAATGAGAAACACAGGAAAAACTGCACAATCACATCTACAAGAAATTTTGGAAAATTTGTGACAAACCAGGTCAGCAATTTAAGGGTATATAACATACAATTACCCCACCCTTACAAAAAGTTCTGTGTTGGCTTTGTTGAGACATCGGTTGTGCCGTCACTGACAACTTTTCTCTTCCAAAAGATTGGCATATACTTCTATAATAAACCTTAGGACATGCAACCACACTACCCTTAAGTTTTGATTGGCCAATTATAAAAAGAAGGGTGAATAGGGATTACAAAATGTTGTAAATAATAATTTAATCTAATTATGCTCAAAAACATAAAAACTAACTAGTTAATGGCAAAACAATCTACCAAGGCTGACCAAAGAAAAGTAACGTGCACTGAATCCTAAATTCTCATAAAAATGCAAAAATTTGTAGCTTAACCGCAACTCACTTATTCTTTACAAATTGCATGGTGCATCCACTAAATTTTTGAAAAAAAAAAAGGAAGTCCATGTTTTTTAACCCTTTAACTCCCTAGATCTTATTAATAATTCCCCTTACTGTCTGCCATATGGTTCTTGTGATGTTAGTTTGGAGAATTTGGCATTGAATCAACTACTAATCCCCTAATTGATATTTTTCTTTTTTCTCATCACTTGTCTGCTTGATATTGTATTGATATTGTAAGGAGAAATTCTGTCTTGGTCACTCATGGGAGTTAAAGGGTTAAGGCCAAAACTGCTGTTTCCCAGACACATCTGGCCCAATTATTTAATTTTGATCACAATGATCTTCGTCTTCTTCTTCCTCTTTTTCCTCTTCCTGTTTCTTCAAAATTTAATTATCTTCTTTACCAATAAGAAAGTTATTGTACTGGGCTATTACATGTGATGACTACACATCAGCACAATTGTAATAATCTTTAAACTTACTAGGCTCATTTTTCTGATAAGGGAAGCTTGTCAATCTGGTGGATGAACCAATTATCTCATCAGAAGGTGGGTGAACACTGCTTTGGTGACTTTGTGCAAATGAATCAGACCCCTGGCCTTGAAGTATTGGTAAAGAATCATCTCTGATTGGCATGAAGCCACTAGTTTTGCTGACAGGTACAGATGGCCTCTTCATGAAACTAATTACAATGTCAAGAATTGTTCCAAAGAGGCAGAGGAACAGGATTAATCCACACAAAATCCTGTGAAGGTGAGGTACAAATAATAATCTCTTTAATGACTACCAACTAAAGTCAAGATGAGCAAATTTTGCTAATGAACATGTATGTAAAAGGGTTTTGAACCCTTTGAATATGGACACAGAAAGTAATCGGGACAAGTAGATAATGTCAAACTGAACTCCTCAGGGTGGAATTTCAGGGCACCGAACTAAATACTTTTCAAAGTTGCCATTAGGCAATTCTGAAAAATGTTTTGTTTTTGGTATTTCATTCTATCCTTTTATTATAAAATGTTCTCAAAAGTGACATTTTAACAACCAAAGGGGGGAAGACAGAACAGAAAACTTTGTGCACATTAATACATGTATTCTAATAATACCAATCACAACACACATATCTCCAGGCTTAACAAAATGCTGGGAGTAGGTAGAGGAGGTGGGGGGGGAAGGGAGTGTGTGAAGTTGCAAAAGTGAGTAAATGAAAGACCTGTCTCACTGTCTCATTGCCTGACTAAACTGCATCATATTAATGCACTTACAAAGTGAGTATTGCTCCTGTTGTGTATTCTGATTTTTTGCTACAGTAAACAGATTTTCCATTTGCATCTTGTCCTGGAAATGGCTGTGCTCCTGGCCTCAACACCACTTCTGTTTTATTTGCATAATTATTAATCCCTAAGAGGTTACAACAAAAAATATATTGTGAACTTTGTGATGACCCAGTGTCTTATAATTACTTACTGACAAATATATTAAGCATGAGCTCATTTTCCAACAAACTAGATTTGTTGAGTTCAGCATGTAATGCCAATTTTTTTTCTTCAAAATGTTTTTCTTTCCTTTTTCTCAGAGCAATCCAGCTGGCTGGAATCTTAAATCTTTGAATCTAATTGGCTAATTGCAAATTTGTAACTGGTCCAATAGCTTTTACACAATACAGACTTCAAGAAAGAATTTTTTAGCACCATTTATAGCTAAAATTAAGCTCAAAAAAGCAAACCAGCAGAAAAAAATAATTATGTTATTTACCCATCCAGGGTAGTCCCCTGTGGTTAAAAAAAATGTCCCTTATGTGGATACTGCCTAAGGCACAGGGTTATCCCCTACAAGGACAACCCTTTACCTTAGATGGTATCCAAGACTTTGGGCACAGTTTTTCCCATGCAGACCTCCAGCCCAGGAAATAACATATTTTCATTGGCTGTGTACACACCTGTAAATACATCTTGCAGACCTCTGGTTACATCCTCTTCACTGCATTGTTTGGGTGCACAAATTCCCCAGCGGACAGGAAACAACTAACAATAACATATGGTTAGAAGACCATGGCTCCCTTACAAAATTTAAGTTTGCATATTTTTTCTTTGGCAGAAGCTCTCAGTGATAGGTCCACCAAATTCAGATATTATCATGCTGATAAAATTTTGTTTCTTTTTGAGTTCCTAAAGAGTAACCTTTAAAAGTTAGGCTTGAAGCCCTGAAACTTACAGCATATTTTTGATAGTCAAGGAAATCAGATGTAAGAGAAATTAGGCTGTGGAATTAAAAATTACACTTTACTCAAAAAAGGTTTGTACAATATCACATTTGTAGAATGAAGCAAAAATTGACAATTCTGTAAAAGTTTACTAAAAGCTGCAATATGTACTCACCTTGGTAATATTTAAAGGAGGCTGTGTAAAAGACAGATAGGCCAAACAATAATGAGCATCAGGTATGGTTTCAGTACACTCACTGTAAGATCCTAACCAACCAGTGTTCCCCAGAAAAAGTCCACTTTGAGGTTTGCCGATCGCATCCACATCTCAAGAAAAGAGACCGCCATTTGTAAATATCAATCAATTTTCCTTCATTTTAAGAGGTCTGCAGTGGAGCGCAACCAATATGACCTGAGAATAACTAAGATGATCGACGCACATCTGCCGGTTATTTAGATGTCGTCTCGAAATAAATTAAACGTCTTCTCTTCTCGCCTCGATGGTCAAAACCTTTGAAAACATCGAATGAAATCGAGCGAATCGACTGCATTCCGTGTACTGACACGCGGGCGATCTGCCAAACGAGAGCAAGACCTGCATGATCATGAGCGGGGTGACCTAATAATTACATGCAGACCGTTTCATAAAGGTTGTCAATGGAAGCGATCTACGGAAAATCACCGAGTGACCGCCTTATTAAGGGTGACCACTTCATTCACCTAAACAGATTGAAATTTTTCATGCATTGATGAAGCGAATTTAAGGGATGTAGTGCGTTTGCAAGAAGCTTTGATCAAGTTACCAATCTAGAGTTCGGCTATCAACCAGCAAAGTGAACGAAAATTAAATTTATGAACTAAACAAGGGACAAAGAAGGGCGTCAGCATACCTGCATGATCAGGCTAAGGTAAGAACATCAAGCTGGCATTAATTTAGTGTCAAAAAATAAAATCGACATCTTTTAATCACGAGATATATCACGCGCATAGTACATGACCAAATATATATAGAGAAGCGTTCCGCCGGTTTCTAATGCAAATATTACGATGGGCTGGTAGGGTCATTCCCTCGTGACAACGTTGTCACAGACGTACGTATAAAGTACGAATCTACTTTTGATATACTCACAGGAATACGCCACTGGTAATTGTAAAAGGTTTGAAACAGTATCCTGGCACTCTTTGGAGATGTCTGAGAAGTTAAACTTTATAGGGAGAGGAGGCAGCGATGGAAAGCCGAACTTCTGTGCGAGCTGGCTGTAGTTTTCCAGAACAAATCCAGGGGATGCACAAGAACATGTGTTGAGCAAAGCAAAAGCGAAGAAGATAGCAATGAATTCCATTGCTGTCTTTGTTGGTGAAATTCCTACCATCTTGTAAACGCCGGCTAAGAAATGCCGTACTATTGATGATGCAGCAGAAAACACATGGTCGGAGAGAGACTGGGACTGGAAACAACGTGCAGCACAAAAACGCAAAGTAACAGAATTTGACCCCCTTTCTCGGAAATACTCGTTTTCTATGGATTGGCTATATTTAGTCGGGACTGGAAAAGCAACGGCTTTTTGTTTATCCGTCCTAGAAAACTCACATCTGGAGAGCTTGCAATAAAACAATAGAGTTTACGTTCGCGGGCATAATTATGTTTTTGGCTTCTGCATAGGTTATCAAAACGACAGCTACTATTACGGACAACAGTCCTTCTCAGAACTACTCTTACCCGGACAATCAGACTGCAACATCAAATGTTGTTCCAGAGCACTCTATAAGCTACTTATACTTTCATCCTTGGTCAATTTGGAACGAGAATACGAGGTATCCTTACAAACCTTTCACTGATTCGCTCACATAGCTCACATAGAGCCCACTCCCAATCTCTAAGAATAGCTTTCGTTTCCAGTATCTCTCTGCCAATTATTGAATGTTATACGGCTTTCTCGTCAGCATTACTTCACATGTCTTACAGCTTGTTGTGCGGCTTCATCATGGTGGGTTGTTCAACAACGAAGACAGCTGTTAAATCCTTTGCCGTGTTCGTCGCCTTTTCTGTGCTGCAGAGATGTTCATCTTCATCTCCTGGATCTGTTTGGGAAGGCAACAGTCACATCGCTCAGCAGTTTGGCTTTCCATTCCCATTTCCACTCCCGAAATTTAATTTCTCAGACGTCTCCGAAGAGTGCCAAGCTATGGTCCAAAAACTTCTGAAATCGCCGCTATCCTTAAAGTGTGAGTATAGCGCATCTAATTTCCAACTTTTCGTCTAGGAATCTTTAATTTACCTTGATGGTGGCGTCACGACAAAATAACCAACCTAACTCCCCTTCTAAACTTTGCCTAAAATATATTTTCTGCACAAACTACCATTACCGTCCTGTACCATCTTCAGCATGGTGTCACGTGAACCAGGTTTGATACTAGATGCCAGGTGATCAAAGAATCACGTTTTCTTTTTTTTACTTTTATCTCACGGCCACGGAGGAAACTGATTGCTGATAACTTCTCTGCGTCTCAATGTTCTCTGATCCCTTTAAGGTTGATTAAACACTATGGATAATTTCGGTAGCTCGATTGAATTTAATTTCATACCTGTGTAAGAGAACAACGAATTCACGTGACATACTCAACTTTTTGATGGGCCATCTTGTTGGTCAGCGGCTACTCGCACGATCATACAGAGTCCGCTATGATGTCACGAGTTTGGCGTCAGATGTGTGACAACACGATGGCGAACGGAACTCGAACTTGTGGGAAATGTGATTTAAAATGTCAATAACTTCGAGTCACGATTCAACGATTACTGCATACAAGCTAACTACCGCGAACTCGCTAAAGATCCTCTTACAGAAAGAGCCGCTCATTACAAAAGTCCTCTGAGAGAAATTTCAGCTTTACGCTCTGCACTTCCAGATGAAGCCTTGTCGGTCGTCAGATACACAATCGAACCTCAAATTCCAGAGGGAGATTAAAAGAAACCCTTGGTTTAGATGAATAAAATACGAGCCTATTACACTGGCAGCACAGGAAGTTCTCTCCTGACTGATCGATACAAGTTCTGAACTACCTCCCAAACCCATCACGAGTCCATGCAAGAGTGGAAAGTTAAGGTGAGACACGCTGGCAGCCTATGTGGCTATGGCGATCTTAGTGATGAACGGTGTAGAGAAAAATTTATATTTGGGCTGAATGATGATAACATACGTACGGAGTTGCTTAAAACACATATAAAACCTGACAACTTTAAGAATTCCCTTTCCGATGTAGTCGCCGAGGCGAGAGCTATAGAGTCCGCCAAGCAGACAAACAAATTAATCGCAAACTCGTCCATAAGAATTGACGAAAATGTCCACTGGACAGGCCTCAGACACAGCCAGATGAAACTTCGAAGGGAACCTGGTACATATTTTTAGTGAAGATTACAGGAAGTTCTCTGTTAAATACAGGTTTATCATCATCCCCCTGCCATTCTAAAGATAACAGAAGAGCTGAAGCTGCCATTAAAGTTGCAGAATCCTTGTTAAAAAGAGCTGATGACTTCCACAGTGCCATGCTGATATACAGGAACAACCAACCTCAAGGTCACACTTACTCGCCAGCCCTACGCATGCTTCTACAACATGCCAGAACCACACTCCCTACCACAGATTAACTCTTGACCCCCACCACACTAAACTATAATTGTTGAGGAGGAGATCTCAAAGAAAAGGTGCCATAGCAAAACACATTACCACAAGTCAGCTAGTGTAGAACAAGAACCACTCATCATTGGTACTTATGCTTATGCTAAACCACCTCTGCACCAGCATGGGAAACCATGGATCTATGGAGAAGTGATCAACCAACACTGCTTAAGGCTGCATGATTCAAAGGAACAGAGTCCAACTAAAGCCTGCAGACCCATCTTCCTGGAACCAATCCCCAAGAAGTTGAAATAAGCACGCACAACACAAACATTTACCAGAAACGGTCAATGGAAACTGCAGAGCCACCACAGTCTAGTCAACACCCTTCAGCCCAACCCAGTCTACCACTTTAGGGAACCCCCTTTCCTCAGACCCCAGTCAGTTTGCAAATCATAAATACCACACTAGTTGACCCTCAGGCCCCTGAAGACCAAGCACCAGACATTACACCACCACAACGCCAGGAACTAACACAGAAGTTAAGCAGACCCAGTCTTAACGGCTAATTTAAAATCCCAAAAGACTGAAAGACTATGTCACAAACTAGTCATAAGCTGTTTTTTTATTTATAAGCATCGACTAAGAGTCACTGAACATACAAACAGTTAACATGCATTTATACTATTGTTCTATTGTTGTCATTCGAGTGTAGCATACCATCTGTATGGTCCTAGGCTATGGGTATTTAAGTTATAGTCCCAGGTTGGTTTTTGTTTTGGGTTTTTAGTCTCTTTCTTTTGTTAGGAGATGTTGGTTAGTGGCTACTCGCACAATTATACGTCAGAGATACATTCTTGTAGTCTGCCATTTTGATTGCACTAACCACAAATAAAGGAAGTTCTGTCACAAGTATTGGCCCCTAGACTTGGTGTCAGAAGTCATGATGGTGTTGTTTCTGTCACTAGTATTGGTCCCTCAACTAAATCTCTGAGGTGATGACTATAAATAAATTGAAAGCTGTTAAACTACTTGTGAGGTGTGTGCAATGTAAGATTTGCACAAATTTTGTCGATATTCTCACAAATTATGACTGGCAAATACAGAGAGACGAACTTGAGTCATTGTTTTAAGTGTGTTTCGATTGAGAGATAACACTCTTAGACTGCTACGAAACTGGTACTATGAAAATGAAGAGAAGTTCAGCTGATGGTTTTGTCACTAAATACAGTCGACTCTTGCCCTGTAGACTACTCACCATTATGAACACTCTGCCATTGTGGACAAGAGCCCTGAGCCCCCCGGCAAAATGCTTATTTCAAATGCTAATTATCTATAGGAATGAGAAACAGATAAACCAGCTCTTTATTCAGGTTTTTTAGACAAAAATAGATAGATTGTTTAATTTTATGAGTCTTTCATCTGCAACCATCATACATTTGTGTATATTGCAAGAAGTTTATCGCAACTGTTGCATCCATTGGTTGGTCTTCCTGTGTTGTCTCAGTTGAGTTATGGTGTTCTAAATGGTAATGATGGTTATTGTGGTAAAGTCAATCATTTTGATAACTAGTGGCTGTCTGTTTACTTCAGATTTGGATGCTATCGGTAAACCTCAAAGTGGACTTTTTTGGGGTAACACTGGTTGGTTAGGATCTTACGGTGAGTGTACTGAAAGCATTCCTGATGCCCACTATTGTTTGGCCGATGTGGCTTTTCCACAGCTTTCCTTAACCATTACAGAGGTCAGTAGTACATAAATTTACACAATGTTAAATTGTGAATTAAAAATAATTGATCAAATTCTTATAAAACATTTTAAATCTATTGTATTGTAATACCTAAAGAAACTTATTTTACCTTCAATTTCCACTTTTCCAAGATTTTAAAGCATTTTCTGCTAAATCTGGGGATAGATAGATAGATAGATAGACTGTGTTTTATTAAAATTACATTGCAGATAAAACTGAATTGCATAACTTCACATTAATTAATTGTACAAACTGTTCTGCAACACATATTTATGAAACTTGTTGCCGCTCTGTTGGTCTTACAACGATTAAGATTGAAATTCCTCTGTTTCCTAAAATTGTAATAAGCCTGATAACTTTTTGGGATTAAAGAATGAATTTTGTTGTTTTTGTTTTCTAAAACTGATCGGAAAAGTGTCGATGTCAACTGTTCTTGGTGGGTTCTCAAGCTTGGGATGTTTGCTTGATTGAGGGCTTCTTTGTATGATGCTCCAGGGAAGATGCATGCGAGGGCTCTTTTCTGCACTCTCTCCAGATCGACTTGTAGATATTTCGGAAGTGCATGGTGGAACACTGGGCAGGTGTAGTCTAGGTAGGACCTGATGGTTGCGCAATAGATTGCTACAAGATCGATTGTCAGTTGATCCCATACCAAATGCTCAGAACTTTAATCATAAGAATTGTATAGCAGAGAGTAAGCAGCATTTCTAATGTGAACAAGGAGTGAAAGGTTTAAGTGAAAATAGAATATTGAGCACACCTGAACTAAAATAAACAGCTCAGGCCTTTGAGAATCAACAATTAGAGAATTCTCCAATTTCCAGTGGTTAATAAACCCTGTAGGATGTACTGAGTGAGCCTAAAATTATGGTGCATAACTGTGCAGTCATCATTTGTCTTTGTAACCTGACTAGTCTATTCCTGTGCGCTGGGGTATTTGTGCTCCAAAACAATGCAGTGAAAAGGATGTTACAGCAGGACTGCAAGCTATGTTTACAGGTGTGTACAATCACAATTTTATACTTAATCTAGTGAGAAAGTATTCCCAAGATAGCACAAGTCAGGTGAAAGCTGGAATGTAAGAATTTTTAAGTAGTAAAGTCTTTGGTTTATCTGTTTATTTTTTTGTTTCCACACAGGAATCAACAAGTATATGAATCAGACTGAGGTAGAATTAAGGCTGATTTCTAACCTATATGGACTGCCAGCAAGCGACAAAGCTGTTCACTGCAATAAGAAATCAGAATACACAACAGGAGTAATATTCACTCTGTAAGTATGTGCAAGGATTATTTTTACAATTGCTTTTAATACATATATACAAATTGAACTTTAATATGTTTTAAACTCTTAACTCCCAGATCTGATTGTAAATTCTTCCCTGCTGGCTGTGACACATTTCCTTAACTACTGTAGGTCAAGATAACTTTTGTTTGATAAGTTTGAATATTCACATCACCTGTTTGGTGGATGATGTATGGATAGTATTGGGAGAAATTAAATTTCAATCACTTCTGGGCTGTAAAGGATGAATGCATGTGTGTGTACTAGTTAAGTGGTCTTTTTCCTAATAATGGTATTATAAACAATGTTTTGCATTTTTTTTAAACACAGAGAATAGTTACTGTTCAGATATTAGTTTATCAACAAAAACGTTTGAAAATTTGAAATACAATTAAATACTTTAATCAGATGTCATGCAGATTTCAAGATAATTAAAACATCATTATTTTAATTATTAATAATTTTAATAATTGTTCACAGGATCTTGTGTGGTCTAATCCTGTATCTCTGCCTTATTGGAACACTTAGCGACATTGTGATTAGCTTTTTGAAGAAACCCTCTGAACCTGTCAGCAACAGAAATGGCTACATACCAATCAGAGACGACTCCCCAGTAACGCTTGAAGGTGATGTTCCTGATTCATGCACAGGAAGTGGCGCGCATAGCAGTAACACCACGCAATTCATGAACCCATCCCCTAAAGTGGCAATTAGTGCATCGACTAGGCTTACAAGTTTTTCCCAGAAGAGAGATGAGCCATGTAAGTAGAAGGACCTGATGTTTAAAGAATGGATAACACTATCCAACGGATGATCGCTCTCCAGCGAATCATACTGCGCTATCCACAATGTGGAGATATATTTGTCTAGTAGATAGCGTTTTCCACTCTTCAAACAACTGAGCCTACAGATCAATTTATTCCTAAGGATGGGTCTGCCACGGCAGTACTTCCTTATTTGTGTGTGCAGCTCTAACGGTATTTTTCTCTTTTCGAACTTCTTTGTTGTTGAATTTGAACAAACGTTCAATTTTCTTCGCATTGTGGAACACTCAGATAGCTAATTTATGAAGATAAGGGTCAGATACGGTACGAGGGTCCACTTATCAAGAACCAGAATAATGCAAATACTTTCGGTTCACCGTGAACTGGAACTACTCCTAAAGAGTCGTTGATGGAATAAATCCAGTCCTTATTTTCTCTCTCTCTCTGTTACATTCCTATAGATTTAGTGGTGCAATTTTTTCTGTGTTTCTCATTAATTAAAAACACAAGCCGTATTATGGACACCAAAGTCCCTGCCGGTGCCATCACGTCAATCAATGGAATGAGAGTGATGAGTATGTGGTGGGTGATCCTGGGACATGTGTATGTGTTTCAAACTGTATCAACTATGAGTAAGTATTGTTCACTTCATAAAGCAATTTTTGATCGACTGTTGACAATTGTATGGGTTTGGTTTTGCTCTACTTCGCTGTGGTTGGTTTAGAAAATTCGTTTGATTTCTCAACCAAACAGATTCAAAATGAAAACTAATCTTGAGTAGGAAAAATAAGAAAGATGATATGTTTTTAAGCTCGGTAAAGAAATAGAGGAAGAAAAACACCCATCTATCTCTATTTCTTTACCGAGCTTAAAAACTAACCATCTTTATTATTCTATTTACAACATATGACACTATCGACACTGCTCATTCGAGCAGTATGCAGTAAGCGTGTAATATATGAACTTCGTAATGGGCCTTACTCACCGTAGAGTCTCTGTGGCATCGGAGTGCGGAATCGGAAGGTCTGTAGTTCAATTCTTCATGGGTACTAATTTTTTTTGTCCCACGCTCGTGACAAGACGAAAACAGCCTTCTCTAATCTTAACTAATTGATTACTCAGTCAAGTTTTCGTTTGCGTTTTCCTTTAATTCTTAAAGGCTCGTGGATTTTATTGTCCTTTGTACTGACTCGCAGTTGTGATTACATTGGTTTTGTTTTTTCCGCACACTATCGAGCCTACAATTGGCGGAGCCATGAAAATAAGCGGCGAAACCGCAAGCGATTTGGGACGGAAAATTGTCAGCCTCGCCGCTTGTTGCTGTGAAGCGCACAATAAAACCGCCAGTTGGAATACAATAAAATCGCTAGAATTGGAGTCTCTCCTTGTCTTTTTCCTTTATTGTTTACTATTTGATTCACCTGCGAATGGGATATTTCAAGCTTGGTCTTTCCCCGGTTGGTCGTTCTCAGTGCTGAAATGCATTACTTGTGTTTGTGCTTCAGATTATTCTTGAAGGGCTACCACTAGCTAAGTCAACCCTGCGTTATCATTGTACCGGTTTCCTAACTTAACATTTACACATGAACGTGCGACTCCTTTACGTGTTCTTTGATTTTCAGCAAGAGAAAATAATGGGCTTTTAATTTCTAGATTGCTTTCAATGAATGATCCTTGTTAAATATGACGCCTGCAATAAAGAGAATTGTTTACGAAGTACCTTACATCATTCGTATTTCTCTCTTTTTTTTATCTGTAGGCAACCTCCTCTCAGTGGTTGAAGTCATACATCGATTTACGTTTGAAGCTATTGGCAATGCTACCTTTTCGGTGGACAGTTTCTTTTTCCTGAGGTATGTAGTTGACAGTTACCTTATTTGAGGTTATGGTGTAATTGTTGTATGTATTTCTTTTTGAGGGGGACATTGACAATGCACAAGGGTAATGAAGATACTTCACAAGGCTGCCCTTTGCAATTTTTTATTTATTTGTAATTTTTGAATACATATAATTGCAAGTCTAAGAGATCTGTGGTTTGTTGTCGCCCAATCCTTATGAAGGGGTCGTTTCCCTAACGTTGTTAGGGGCCACTCTTCTTACGGGTGGAGGGTGCTTCTTATCATCGGAAATTTGCGATGGTGTAACGCAGAGGGATGTTTTAGTTATTTTAAGTACTTACACCTCGTGTATTACATAGAGAATAATACACGGGCGCACGTAGATATGGAATTTCTCTTCCAGTGTTCAACTCGGTAGCTTACGAGTGAGCTGAGCGTAGTTAAACACGAGAAGAGAAATTACACATATACAAGCAACTATGTATTATTTTGTTTAATATACAAACATAATACGCCTTTATTGATAAGAAAATTCGACTTAATTAATGAATGGATGAAAGGATCCGTAATCCGCGCGATAAGGCTCAAGATGAATAAAATGCATGGAATCATAACAAAAACAAACAGTGGGCATAACTTTCAATTCACCGAATTCTTACAGGGCAAAAATCGGTTACAGGGCAAAAATCGGCGAAAAATGTCATTGCCAAAGCCAAGCCAAACTCGGTTTTTCTTTCTGTATTTTGGTTTTCTTCCGCTTCTAGGAAAATTTTAACGTCACTTTTTGTAAGCGATTCGAATTATTCAGTGTTGTTAGCAGCCATTGCCAAGAAAATTTCGACAAATGACGTCAGATGGAGAATGGTGAAGGCTCTGCTATTCATTCATTAACCTGAGAGATTAGCGCCAAAGGTAAGTGACGTGTCAGCAGCTAATTGGCGATATCAAATTCGTGGAAAATTATCGTTACGCGTGTGCTGTGGCGGCTTTCTTCAGAAATGGGAATCCTTAATTGTAAAACACAGCAGTTTAGGTAATTAACTTTTTTTTTACAGTGGTCTCCTGGTTTCGTATTTGTCTTTGCGTCATATGGAGAAGAAAAATGGACAGCTGCCACTTTTTAAGTACTACTTCCATCGTTTTTGGAGGTAAGTCTTTTCCTTGCTTGACAATTTTTAAATTCGTCATCGTTAAGTCCACACGTTGGACCAACTTCAAAACTTTCCATCTTTCTTATGCTATTTACAAACCTCAAAGATCTTCGTGATATGTTGCGTAACAAACCTAGTCGATGGCTGTAGAGGAGATTACCAACCGGCTGAGTTTCAGTAGTTAGAAGCCACATAAAAAGACAGTTTTAATTGCTTTTGTCTATAATTCTAGTTATGACTAAAGCAGAAGTTATTTGTGACGTGCGGCGTTGTGGTTTTGCGTATGCGGCCAGGTTACTGAGATATTTCAAAATGGCGGCGTCCGTTCTTGTATTCGAAGGACATTTGCAGATAATTTTCCAGCGCTTAGGTTGGAACCTCAGAACTGCCATAAGTGTTAAATTTTCGTCCACCCTCGTAATGGCCGGGATAGAAACAATTTTCCAATGGTTTATGAAGCTTTTATTACATTTAAATAATTTTCATTCAGGTAGACATTGATAATTTGCTCTCTCTAGGTCAGTGCCTGATGCATTGTGATAGTTTTTTATAACAAGTTTGGGTAGTGATCCTCGTGTAATGGATTTTTTCATATCTTTCCCCAGATTAACTCCAGCTTACATGTTCGTTTTGTTGTTTTACGACAAACTGAATAGATTTCTTGGTGACGGCCCTCTTTGGTATAAAGCACAGGCAAAGAACCCGTGTGACAAGTATTGGTGGACCAACTTACTCTACATTAACAACTTCTATCCAACTAGCATGAATGCATCGGTGAGATTTTTCCTGAAGTATTAACATTAGAGGGTGACAAAGTGTTTATACGTGACGCGTGATTAAGGCTGAAATGGGTGATGTGTGAATTGTGCAGATAGGCGAGCGTAATTCGTGCATTATGAACCAGTGCGTCCGGCGAAAACCTCAAAACTTCCCTGAAGTCTTGTCCACTAAAGGAGAGATTAGAAGTCTTCCTTTTATACATGTGATGTGTGAGACTGGATCAGGAGTTACAGGACACTCCTCCTTCCTTTGCTCTTCTCACATCAGTCAGAGCAATTTTTTGGGCAATTATCGTCGGTTAGTGGTATAGTTTAAAAGCCCAGTCAAACGCACGCAACATTTCAACGCGACGTCCTGCAACATTGTTAAATGGTGAAGAAGCTGGTTAAATGCGCGTAACATCTTGCAATGTCCAAAAATGTTGCAACAAAACTTTGACTATTTTCAAACTTTATCCAAAACCGTCCAACATGTCGTAACATGTTGCTACAGGGTGGCCAAATGTGTCCAACACATTGCTCGCAACAACGTTGCAAGATTTTACGTTGAAATTTTGCGTGCGTTTGGCCAGGCCTTAGGGAAGCGTCAAGGACCTTATGCCTGTTTTCAGTAGAATTGAGGCTAGAACTGTAGTTTTTTGGAGTAGTCTAAATGGATGTACGATGTTTTTCTCTACAGTGCTTTGGTTGGGCCTGGTACCTGGCAAATGACACGCAGTTTTATATCATTGCTCCCGCCATACTCTTCGTCGCGTACAGGTATGAACTGAAGAGAGAGTGCATCTGTTATCAAAAAAAAAAAGTTCGAACAAATATTGAAGCTGACATTTACTTCCAGTTTCTTACAAAAGCTGTGTCTGAGGAATAATTCTACTGTGTCTAGGCGGGTATCATTTTCCTCCACATCCCCGCCTTCGCAAATTATACCTTTCACTGCCTCCACCCGTTGTAAATGTTTTCTCGGAAGTTTACAAAAATCTAAAGACAGTAAAATGCAATGACATCTTATCAGTTTTTGACTCAATGAGTTGAACTTCTCTGTTGGCTAAAACGTAAATGTTGAATAACAGGAAAAAATAGGGAAAAACTAATTTAATGTTTTCCTTGGAAATGCTTTTTCTTCTACGCGGAAGATTTCATTTTCTATAGATTAGGAGAGGTAAACCAAGGTTGATTCATTTTTAACTTCTTTTTAACTCGTGAATTGCGCGCATGCGCAAGAGCGAGTTGTAGTTATGATGTGGAGAATGGCACTCACTCGCTCGCTCGCTCGATTGGTCGATTCCTGTAAACTTGTTTTCGATTTTAGGCTTTTGAGTGCATTTGATAGTTTTTGGCGAGTAGTAAACAAACGAAATGGCGACCTTTGTTGCTAAGAATAGTGGGTGGGGTGAAATGGAAGCCAATGATAATCTTAAAAGAGTTTTTTTTTTTTCGTTTTAGTTTCAACAAGCGGCGCCAGCAACTGGCAGGCGTGCGAACATTCACACTGAAATAAAAGAACAACCTTCGTTTTTCATAAAATTGTAATTTACAATCCTTGAACTTGAAAACAATCTGAATATTCATTAAAAATATCACTTACTACGAAGCGCTCGGGGTTTACAGGTGTTCAAAAGCTTTTTCTGTTATGGCGTGAGATTGGGGACAAAATCGATCATTACATTTCGAATCGTGTGTTTTTTTCTGTGTGAAGCAACAAAAGGTGCCGGTGACTGACGAATTACTGGTTAACACGAAAATCAAATAACACCTAAACAAATACTTTTGGCTACCGATTTTCAGTAAATTTTTAAAGAACAACTTTCTTTTAAGTTTCAAGACGATTTGAAGATTCAAAAGAAATGTTACGTACTAAAATGCGATAGTTATACACCACAAAATTGATAAATAGGCCATAAATGAAATTTTGTCTTGTTCTTGATTATACGTTGCCTAGCAAGTGACCAAAATCTACCCAGGAGGAAATCCAAAATGACGGTGGCAGTCTGGGCTTTGTGATATCACTCAGAACTCGTTCCCGTTTGTCTCATTTGATAAAGAGGGAATCATTAATGTTTTCATTAAGACAGTATTGCTTCCACATTTACTTCCAACCTTTTCTTTTGAACCAGAAACAAAAATGATATATGTTTAAAACACATAACATCATCCACTCTTGTCAAATGTAATAGCATGATCATTTCAATTGTAATGCCTTCTTATCCCAACGTTTCTTTGTTTCTTTGCTACATTAGCGAACACTGAACTACTGCTCGTACTCTAAACATGACAGTAAACCACAAAATTCCCTAAACCAGATAACATTAAACATAATCCAAAAAATCATGTAAGTCATCTGTCAATTCACGAGTTTGCTCATAGAGCATTTTGATCTGTTCTTGTTTGTTTCTTCTCAGGTTTCGTCTTCGAGGATTGATTGTGATTGTTGGGTTCTTACTGAGCATAAGTTTCGCCACCACAGCTGCTATATATGATCATTACAAGATTGCCGCCGTTATAACTAGTAGAGAAACTCGGGAACAACGGTGAGAACTCCCTCTTTTGTCTGCTCATTCACCTTTGCACTTGTGAATTGTATGTTAATTTATCAATTTTTGAAAATTTACATGAAAAAATCACCAACCCTGATTGGTTGACTCCGCTAGTATCCGCTGCGAAGGAAGGGGGTAGGTTTCTCAAGAAACTTAGGTGTGGCGTCAGAGGGAGATATTACATGATAATTTGGTTCTATGTCAACTGAGATGATAATATATATTGGTCACCGTAAAGAGTTTCTAAAGCTGACGAAGAGCTGACGCTCGAAACGTCAACTTTAGAAATCTACATTATCAGCTTATGAAATTCAATATGAAAACGATCTTCGCAGTAATGAACACTACTTGAGCAGTAGTGAAAATAAGGCCTGAAAAAAATTCAGGCCTGTACGGGATTTGAACCCATGACCTCTGCGATACCGGTGCAGCGTTCTACCAACTGACCTAACAAGCCAACAAGGAGTTGGTCATTATGTTGGTTTTAAATAAACCCGTGAAGTGATGAATAAATGACTGTAAATATATGAAAGTCATACATTTGAACTGCGGATAAAGACGTGAATATGAAAACGACCTTCTACATTTTCACCATTGCTCAAGTACTGTTCATTACTGCGAAGATCGAAGTCTTTACCCGCAGTTCAAATATATGACTTTCATATATCTAGTTATTCGCATCGGCGAAAATCGTCAGGTGATAGACAATGCGTATTTATCTATTGATTTTGCAGCCAGAAAGGTGTGGATTTCATGTCTCTGACTTACGTCAAGCCTTACTGTCGTATTTCACCGTATCTTGTTGGCATGGTAACTGGCTACTTACTTCTCAACGACAAGAACTGGAGACTTCCTAGCAAGGTACGTAATTATGGCAATCTTGTCACATAAATGTTACTGAGCAATTTGTCATATTCACTAGAAGGACAATCAGAGTTGTGTTTCCATTGCTAGTTGAAGTCAGTTTGCTGGCCTGTTTCAGTCAGCCAGTCGTGAGTCAGTTAGTCAATCAGCCAGTCAGTCAGTTAGTCAGTCAATCATTCAGTAAGTCAACCAGTCGGTTGGTGATTCAGTCAGTCAGTCGGTCAGTCAGTCTGTTTGTCACACACACAACCCAAAATCCCTTTATTCGCTCTAACGAGGGGCTAATGGGCGAACGTCAACTTGAAACTCTTTAGAGTGGCCAATAACATCATTAACCCCGTTGATTAAAACCAAATTATGTTGTTTGTTAATTGTGTGTCTATCTATTTGCCTGTTCTGTTTGTCTGTCAGTGGATTTGTCTGGCTGTGTGTTTGTCTGTATATATCTCTCTCTGTCAGTATGTGTCTCTCTCTATCCATGGCTTATTTGGCCTATTAGTTGTCTGCCAAGGAGTGATTAACCAGTAACTTCTTCCAAAAACTATTCGGGATGGGTTCGAGAAATACGATCATCTTATCTCTGTGATAAATAGGGTGTAGAAATAGGGTGTTATTTTCTTGTGGTACTAAATTCTTCTTGTCATGTACATGTACAGCTGAAAGCCGGGAGAGTTACAGACTAGGTCTGACAAGGATGGTCCCTCCCTCTAAAAAAAAAATAATAATAAAGAAGGGTGTTAAGCTCCCAGGATACAAAGTTATTTCCTGACTTTTATAAAAGTTATTGAAGGTTCGGACGTACTTGATCAACATGGCTGGCTGGTGTGTTGCTATCGCTCTCGCCCTGTCTACTCTGTATGGTCAGTACAAAGTCACCAGGAAAGATAATCCCGTGCCATTCTCTCGCGCTGAGAATATCATATACGGGACTTTCTCACGGTTTGCATGGAGCCTGGCACTAGCTTGGGTGATTTTTACTTGCCATAATGGGCTTGGAGGTACGTCTTGATTGATAACTGGCTGAGTGTCAAAGGAAGTGTAGAAATTACAATAGATTTTGAAATACAAGCTTTGTATGTAATTACCTCCGTTCTCAAGGGTCCATTCGATAACTAACTTCGCTCCTATTTTTTATTGTAATTTAATTTTTGTTTGCAACGTTATGAGACAGATGTTAGAATTCAGAGAGTATTTGTGCTCATTGGGAGATCGTTTTATGGGACCTAGTCAAAGTTTTGAAGAATGTTATTTTACACTGCTAAAATAACTGTTCATTATTAACTTTAGTCAAGGATCTGTCTGTAACAAAACCTGCTGGATTACAGAAGTCATCCAACTCCTGCAGATGGCAAATCCAGTAGTGTAGGGCTTATTTTTGTCTGGTGCAGAACAGCCTAGATTTTGTCTAGTATCATGTATAAAAGACAGGTCTCTCAGTGACCTCGGAATGCAGCCATTAATCCGTGGACAGGTGATCCCCCCCCTCCCTCCTCCCGGTAACGATGGTCTAAAGGGACAATTGATGGTACTTCACTTAGATGTGACCTTAACAGTATGTATGGCTGACCGTCGAACCAATGATCTCAGGTGATTTTTATGTTCATATCTAGAGAATCTCTCAATGTTATATAAAAAAAACTTTTGTTGATTTGTTTCTGTTGCAAGGTTTGGTGAATAAATTCCTGTCGGCTCGATTCTGGATTCCACTGAGCCGGCTGACGTACTGTGCCTATCTGGTTCACCCCATCATCATCCTCACTCTGTTTCTCTCGTTTGAGACTGTTTGGGCATATTCTGATGTGCATATGGTAAGTGGGTCATTTCGTACTTCTAAATTCTACAGCGAGCAAGGAAAAATGCCAGAGAATTTTTAGGTGAGGGACAACGCTGACATTGGGTGAAAACGCTGGCATCATAACGATTAGAAGCGCACGCTTTTGACACCCCAAAAATTAGCAGGTATATATTTATCTTCCAAATGAATAGCTGTGAAAAATGGAGCCATTTTTATCTGAGTGTCCAAAGCAATCCGGGATTGCTTTGGTTTGCTTTACTTTGGTTTGTGATTGGTCGATAAACTTGCGCCACTTTTTCAACCAATCAGTAGATCCATAACTGAAACCAATTTCGACTTGGTTACCCGCGTTTTCCCGCGCTTTAGGTAGTTTTCTTGGCTGTTAGCGATATTTTCCTTCTTCTGATTGACTGGTTTGATTACGTTCAACTTGGTTTTGGTTTTACGACACTCAATCGAAAAGCGCTCCATATGAAAAATGAAACCTTGTAGCGAACACTTTATGTTATCTCTTGGAAGCTACGTTTATATTAGCTTTCCATTCCAGCAAAAATGATTTTGACCATGGACCCGAGAAATATAAAGGCCGTCGCCTTTTCCGGATTAATGTATCGCGGTTTGCTGGTTTAAAAGTAACTGTCTTTGTTTGGTCTCTAGGCTTTCTGTTATGTCGGTGTACTTGGCATTACGTATGCAGTGGCCTTTATTGTGTCAGTGTGTGTGGAATATCCCATGATGCAGCTGGAGAAGTTAATATTCAAAGGCGATAACTGAGCTCAGATGTCATGGCTGGAAGCAAGTGTCTCGCACACTTCATTCGTTGATGCACTATTCTAACACTGACACGTATTGTTATGATCATTATTATGGTCATCACAATACATCCAATGCAATTAATAATTTTTGATAATTAGTCGCTGTTAACATTTTTTGTTGTTAGCATCTGACTTTGTCCTCAGTGTAACCTCAAAAGGTTACCTAAGAGAATGAGCGGACAATTCGAACGCGCACAGTGATCTTTATTGTTTTTGGATGATAGCGCTAAGACAAAACTTGCTCGATAAGAGTAGCGGTTGAGGTTGCGTGTGTGTGTGTGGTTCGAACTAAAAGAAAATACAACATGAACTAAACTAAGAAAAATGCGTTGCGAAATGTAACATTAACCTAACTAAAAATGAAACGATTGCAAGGAAAACTGTATACGAGAACTACACCAATAATAAATACAAAAGGTAAACAACGTAAATGTTAAAGAAATAGAGAGTTACTTTGGTCTAGCTCCTAATGGTAGCAAATAGCTTGTAGCGATTATCTAGCAGTGACGATTTTGCAGCGATGATTTTATAGCAGTGATTCAGTAGCGATTGAAATAGAATCTTTACACGTGTACTTAAATGGGAATTGATCGGAGATTAAAACACTTATTGTGTAATAATCATTAAAGACTTATTGATAGAAATGAACCAGAACAAAAACGATAATAAAATGTGTATTAACTAAGCGTTTCGAAACTAACACCCAGAAGCCAAAGGATTTTGCGCAAATGCTAACGCAGGAAACAATTGTGATTTGCATGATAGTAATTCAAAATGTATGCATTTCTAGATCAGGAATATTTCGGTTTGAAGGCCTGGGTTGTAATCCTTGGCTACGAAAATAGTTGCAATTTAGAACTTAAGTGATTAGTTAAAAAATTCTTCTTTTTTCGGCCATTAATTGATGAGCAGGTAGATATTAAGAATTAGGATAAACTTACTAGATTTCGTTACTCGCCATCTTTTCTGTGATTGAGCAGTGAGTAAAGTTATTACCCAAATAGTGTGTGGGTGTGAACAACAAGCCTCTCTTGTTGCTACTTTTGGAATGACCACTAGATTTGTACTAAAACAATTAGATTCTTTGTTCTCGATTTCTATCGCGTGCTAGCTGATGAGGGAAAGGTGTTTTTACTATGAATTAAAAAATTCTCCTAAATAAATTAAACGTAAGGGTAATTAGCGAAGGGAATTTTCATAAATGATGATCATTTTCAAAGTTTTGCGTAGAAAGAGAGAAAAATTTGTGCACATTAATAAATGTATTCTTATAACACCAACCGCAAGACTTCACTGAAGAATTTTTTCAGCATCATTTGTAACTAAAATTATGCTCAAAAAAAGCAAACCAGCCGAAAAAAATTATTATTTTATTTACCAATCTACAGTGGTCCCCATGGTAAAAAAAAAATTCTCTTGGAAGGGACAACCCTGTGCCTAAGACGGTATTTAAGACTTTGGACACAGTTTTTCCCTTGCAGATCTCCCGCCCAGGAAATAACATATTCCTATTGGCTGTGTACACACCTTTAAATACATCTCGCAGACCTTTGGTTACATCCTCTTCACTGCATTGTTTGGGTGCGCAAATTCCCCAGCGGACAGGAAACAACGAACAGTAACATATAGTTAGAAGACCATGGCTCCCTTCCGAGATTCAAGTTTGGGTATTTTTTCTTTGGCAGAAGGTTGGGTTCACCAAATTCAGATACTGTACTATGCTGACAAAATTTTGTTTCTTTTATGGGTCGCTAAAGTCTGAAACTTAATAGCATATTTTTGATAATCTAGGAAATCAAATATAAGAGAAATTAGGCTATGGTCTTAAAATTACACTTCACTTAAAAAAGGCTGATGCAATATCATATTTGTAGAATGAAGCAAAACTTGACAATTTATGAAAGTTTACTTAATAAAAACTGTAATATGTACTCACCTTGGTGATATTTAAAGAAGGCTGTGTAAAAGACAGATAGGCCAAACAATAATGAGCATCAGGTATGGTTTCAGTATACTCACTGTACGATCCTAACCAACCAGTGTTCCCCTGAAAAAGTCCACTTTGAGGTTTGCGGATAGCATCCACATCTCAAGAAAAGAGACCGCTATTTGTAAATATCAATCAATTTTCCTTCATTTTAGGTAGTCTGTAGAGGAGTGTACAAATATGACCTGAAAAAAACTACTGTAAAAATTAAAGTGATCGACGTAGATTTGTATCGAGACTCCACACTAATGATGATTTCCGCTGAGGTTGTCGAAAGGATAGTTACTATTAACGACAACAGTCCTCCTCAGAACTACTCCCACCCGGACAATCAGACTGCAACGTTCAATGTTGTTCCAGAACACTCTATAAGCTACTTATACTTTCATCCTTAGTCAATTTGGAACGAGAATATGAGATCGATATCTTATTGAGCGCTGCAAAGAATAGATTTGGCTAAGCCGTTGGGGGGGGGGGCTCCAAATGTTCTCGAAATCCGGAAAGCTTCGTTTCAAGTCGCATGTAACACAGACATGAAAGAGCGTAATGTTGCGACGGACGGACACAGTCCCAACGACATGATTATGTTTTCGCGTCTTGATGACTTACCATATTCTCTTACTTATGGTGCTACGCTGCAAGCACTCCGCTGAAGCTATAAAGTAATTTCATGGACACTTTTTTCCATATAGACATTCTTTGCCAGTGGGCGTATAGCAAGAAAGTTAAAAGGGGAGAGGGTCTTAGGGTTCTGTAAGGGGGTTTAAAAGATTCTCCCTCTTCTATAAAAATCAAAGATGCAGAAATTCACCGAAATGGAAAAAAAAAAAAGAAAAAAAGAGAGAGAGAAAAATAGACAGAAATACCAAATAACTTACGTTGTTACATCTTCTTTTTCTCACATTAACCATATCAACCACCAAAGAGAAACAATTTTCATGATTTATTTTACTTTCCAAGAACCGTTCAGGGCGTTTGTCGTTAGTTTTTCAAGATTGCGTTCTAGCTCGATTGCTGATTCTATTTCGTCGTCTCAAGTTGTTCACGGACGAGCATTTCGTTACATCCAGGTGTCAAATTCCCTTACAAACCTTTCGCTGATTCGCGTTGCTCACATAGGGCCTAATCGCAATCTCCAAGAATAGCTGTCGTTTCCAGTCTCTCTCTCTCAGTTATCGGGTGTTATTATACGCTTTCTTATCGTCATGACATCACATTTCGTTACGGCTTCGTCCGGCCTCATCATGGCGAGTTGTGCAACAACGAAGACAGCTGCTGTTAAATCCTTTGCTGTGTTCGTCACCTTTTCTGTGCTTCAGAGATGTTCATCTTCATCTCCTGGATCCGTTTGGGAAGGCAACAGTCACATCGCTCGGCAGTTTGGCTTTCCATTCCCATTTCCACTCCCGAAATTTAATTTCTCAGACGTCTCTGAAGAGTGCCAAGCTATCGTCCAGAAACTTTCATCGTTCAGTTCGCCGCTATCCTATAGTTGTGAGTATGGCGCGTCTAATTTCCAACTTTTCTGTTAGGAATCTCGAATATTAGCCTTAATAGTTGCGTGACGACAAAATGACCAACTTAACTCCCCTTATAAACTTTGCCTAACCTTTTTTTCTGCACGAACCGCAATTACCGTCCAGTTCTATCTTTAGCATGATGTCATGTGAACCAGTTTTGATACTAGATGTCAGGTGATCAAGAAATCGTGATATCTTTTTTTTACCTTTATCTCACGGCCAAAGAGGAAACTGATCGCTGAATACTTCTCTTGGTCTCAATGTTCTCTGATCCCTTTAAGGTCGATTAAACACTATGGATAATTTCGGTAGCTCGATTGAATTTAATTTTATACCTGAGTAAAGGAACAACGTATTTGCGTACGGTGGTTTCTGTCAACTTCTTAAAGGGTCAACTCTCTAAGGTGACGACTATAAATAAATTGTAGCAGTTTAACTACCCCTGAGGTTTGTGCAACGTACTACACCGTCTGGTAGAATCCGCTATCGACCGCCTGTACTCCAGACGATCCGTTCGAATTTCGTCGATAGTCTCACAGAGTATGACTTTCAAATATTGAGAGACGAACTTGGGTAAAATTTCCGCACAGCCCCATACTATTGTAAAACAAATATGTTTTCCCAATGGCAATCTATTGTTTTTGTCATTGTTTTCTCTACCCAAGAACTGAATGCATAATGTAGTATGGGGCTGTGCGGAAATTTTACCCGAACTTGAGTCATTGTTTTAAGAGTATTTCGATTGAGAGATAACACTCTTAGACTGCGAGTAGCAAACTGGCACTCTTAGAATGAATAGTAGTTCAGCTGATGGTTTTGTCACTAAATACAGTCGATTCTCGCCTTGCGGACACCTCACTATTACGGACACCCCGCCATTGTGGACAAGAGCCAGCCCCCTGGCGAAACACTGATTGCAACTGCTAATTATGTGTGGGAATGGGAGACAGATAAACCAGTACTGTGTTCAGGTTTTTTAGACAAAAATTGATAGATTGTTTAATTTTTTGAGTCTTTCATCTGCAACTATTTTACATTTTTTTATATTGCAAGAAGTTTATCTTGGCTGTTGCATCATTGGCTGGTCTTATTGCATTGTCTCAGTTGAGTTATGGTGTTCTAAATGGTAATAATGGTTATTGTGGTAAAGTCAATCATTTTGATAACTACATTACTATACATTGATAGTTAAAATACTAGTAGTACATATCAACTTACAATAGCTGGTGGCTGTCTATTTACTTCAGATTTGGATGCTATTGGTAAACCTCAAAGTGGACTTTTTCTGGGTAACACTGGTTGGTTAGGATCTTACAGTGAGTGTACTGAAAGTATTCCTGATGCCCACTATTGTTTGGCCTATGTGGCTTTTCCCCAGCCTCCCCTAACTATTACTGAGGTTAGTAGTATATAAATTTTAACACAATGTTAAATTATGAATTAAAAATATTAGATTGAGTTCTTACAAAACATTTTAAATCTATTGTATTATAATAACTAAAGAAACTTATTTACCTTTTCTGCTAAATCAGGGGATTGTCAGTTGATCCAATACCAAATGCTCAGAACTTACATTAGAAGAATTGTATTGCAGACAGTAAGCAGCATTTCTAATGAGAACTGGGAGTGAAAGGTTTTAAGTAAAGATAGAATACTGAGCACATCTGAAGTAAAATAAACAACTCAGGCCTTTGAGAATCAACAATTAAGGATTTATCCAATATCCGGTGGTTAATAAACCCTGTAGGATGTAATGAGTGAGCTTAGATGGTACATAACTGTGCATGCAGTCATCATTTGTCTTTGTTACCTGACTAGTCTATTCCTGTGCGCTGGGGTATTTGTGCTCCAAAACAATGCAGTGAAAAGGATGTTACAGCAGGACTGCAAGATATGTTGACAGGTGTGTACAATCACAATTTTTATACTTAGTCTAGTAAGGTAGTATTCCCAAGATAGTACAAGTCAGGTGAAAGCTGGAATGTCAGAATTTTTGAGTAGTTAAGTCTTGGTTTTATTATTTTTTTTTATTTCCACATAGGAATCAATAAGTATATGAATAGGACAGAGGTAGAATTAAGGCCTCAGAAAGGATATGGACTGCCACCAAGCGGCAAAGCTGTTTACTGTCAGAAGAAATCAGAATACACAACTGGAGTAATACTTACTCTGTAAGTACATGCAAGAATTTTTATTGAGTCATTTTCATTTAATAAAAAAAAATAACTCTATGTTAGTGTATAGAGTGGTATGTTGTAAGCACCAATCACATTGCTGCATTTGGGTATGTATCTTGCACCAATCAGATTGCTGCATTAGGGTATGTATCTTGCACCAATTATATCACAGCATTTAGATATCTCACACCAGTCACAGCATTTAGGGTATGTATCTCATGTCAATCATATCACAGCTTTTTTGCAAATGATGTCATGGAATCAAGGGGCTGTGCACAAAGAATGACATAAACCATAAATTTTGGGCTAATATTGATAAGTGTAGTGGTTTGTGTCCTTTACGAGAGCCTTGACAGTTGAGGTTGAGATTTACCGGGGTATGAAAGGTTGGCGTATAACTTTTTGTATCATTTTAAAGTTAAAACGTGTTTTTTCTGCTCCTTTACACGCAACTCACATGCTTATCAACTTACATTCCATCACGCACTATGAAAACAACATCCAAAATCTAATCAGAACATACCAAATCACTACATAACCATTTGGCAATTTTTTATGTGCTTGAATTGTATTCCACCGATCAAATTCTATTTTACCAAATTAGACTTCTGCTCCATCATGTGTCATTTCCTTGTAAACAACCTGCATTTAATCAGGTATTATAACCACATTGTCCAACCCCATTGAAAAAAATTTTCATGGAACAAAATGCTACTGATGGTATATTTTCCAAGCAATTCTCCCATGTTTTGACTTACTAATAAAATTGCCTTTTAGCTACCTTGGACTCAACCAACTAGTGTGTTAATTCCTTGTAAACAACCTGCATTTATCACATATTTCTCACACATACAGGGCAAAGTCCAGATAGATAAAAACCAATCAAGAAGCCCTCTTTGAAATATTATCCTTTTCTCTTGTTCAATGTATCTTCACTTATTGGAGATCACAGCATATCCTTGGTTAGGGTATATTGGAAATACAACAAAGTTTCAGTTTGCTTTTTGTTTTGAAAATTATGTAGAATTATATTTTTGAGGCAACTAATGGTAGACGAATAATTTTTGTTTTCTCTCTGTTGGAGGAACGGTAGTTAGCTTAGTTTCTTTCACAACCATTATTTGGTCTCATCATGCAATACACTCTCCCAATGGGGAATATATGGTGTTGTGTGACAAGACCAAATAACGGCTGTGAGGGAAACAACAGTAAGTGTGGCACCTATGCATTTTATTTTTGTTTAAAAGTATGTAGACAATAGACCACAAAATACCTGTGTGAATGCAGATAAATTAGGTTTCTTTCCTTTTGTTTCTCTTAAGGTGATTGAAGTAATACTACATATTCATCCATTTAAAAGTTAAGGTCTTTTTCTGTTACAAAAATGAAAACATCAGGTACACAAAGAGTCCGATCTCAACCTGCTCAGCCAAAAAAATAATTCTTGCATGCCACACGCCTATGTTTACAATTGCTTTTAATACTTGCATACAAATCAAACTTGAATATGTTTTAAACCCTTAACTCCCAAGATCTGATTGTAAATTCTTCCTTGCTAGCTGCAACACATTTCCTTAACAAGGTGAAGATAACTTTAGTTTGATAAGTTTGATTATTCACGACGGATCAATATCAGCATCTGGGCAACTGCCCACCTACCCCTCCCCTAACCCAACATTAACCCTAACTTGTTATCAACTGACTGTTGTTGGGTGGGGGGGGGGGATAGGTGGGTAGTTGCTCAGATACTGATATTGATCCATCACATCACCTGTTTGGTGGATGATGTTCAGATAGTAAAGGGAGAAGTTACATGCCAATCACTTCTAGGCTGTGAAGAATAAATGCATGTGTATGTACTCTTTCCTAATATTCAAATTACAACCAATGTTTTGCATTTTTTTTGAAACACAGAGAATAGTTATTGTTCAGGTATTAATTTACAAACAAAAGGGTTTGAAAATAATTTGCATGTAATCAAACACTTTAATCAGATGCCATGTAGTTTTCAAGATAATTAAAACATCATTATTCTTATTATTAATAATTTTAATAACTGTTCACAGGATCTTGTGTGGTCTAATCCTGTCTCTCTGTCTTGTTGGAACACTTTGCGACATTTTTATAAGCTTTTCGAAGAAACCCTCCGCACCTGTCAACAAAAGCAATGGCTTCATGCCAATCAGAGATGACTCCCTGGTAACACTTGAAGGTGATGTTCCTGATTCATTCACAGGAAGTGGCACGCATAGCAGTGACACCACGCAATTTTTGAACCCATCCCCTGAAGTGGCAATAAGTGCATCTTCCAGGCTTTCAAGTTTTCCCCAGAAGAAAGATGACCCAAGTAAGTAGGGGGCCCTGATGTTTAAAGAACGGATAACGCTATCTAACGGATGAATCGCTTTTCATCGGATCATACTGCGCTATCCATAATATATAGATATCTTTATCCAGTAGATAGCGTGTTCTTCCCTTCGAAGAAGTGAGCCTGTCGATCAATTTATTCCTAAGGATGGGTCTGCCATGGCAGTACTTCCTTATTTGTGAGTGCAGCTCTAACCGTATTTTTCTTTTTACGAACTTCTTTGCCGTTGAATTTGAACAGAAGTCCTCGAAGTAGGATTTTCAAAAGGCAAGAACCTCTGTTTGGCTCTTCAAAATTGCAGATAGAGTCGTAGTTGAAAACAAAAAGATCAATTGCACGATCCAGGGATGCAATAAGTACTAGCCGCACAAGAACACAATTTGCGAGTTCACCATTATCACGTATCACGTTCAAACTTAACTCTCCAAGATAAAAAAAGAAATAATAATACATTCAACAAACCTAAATTTTTGAATAAAACCCGAGAATTATATTTTTTGCGAATTTTAGCATCCACTTTAATGGCGTAACGCGTAACATGGCGTCCATTGCTCACAAACGTTCGCTTGGGCCATTACTGGTAGGTTTTTTTTTCTTCTGATCGTCTAGGTCTCGGGCGTCGTTGCTCGCACATCGAACATGTTTGCTTCTTCTTCAGTTTTTGTTCATATTTTTTAGCGAAGTTCAGGCAGCCCTGGTCGGTTTCAGATTTTCTTCACATTGTGGAATTTTTGCTACTCAGATACGCTAATTTATTAATGACGGGGAAGATAGGGGTCAGATATGTAACGAGGGTCCACTGATCAAGAAACTAGAACAATGCAAATACTTTCGGTTTACCGTGCACTGGAACCACTCCTCAAGAGTCGTTGATGAAATAAATTCAATCCTTATTTCTTCTTTCTCTGTTACATTCCCATAGATGTAGTGGTGCAGTTTTTTCTGTGTTTCTCATTAATTAAAAACACAAGCCGTATTATGGACACCAAAGTCCCTGCCAGTGCCATCACGTCGATCAATGGAATGAGAGTGATGAGTATGTGGTGGGTGATCCTGGGACATGTCTATGGGTTTCAAACTGTATCAACTATGAGTAAGTATTGTTCACTTCATAAAGCAATTTTTGATCGACTGTTGACAATTGTATGGGTTTGGTTTTGCTCTACTTCGCCGTGATTTTGTAAAAAATTCGTTTAATTTCTCAACCAAACAGATTCAAAATGAAAACTAATCTTGAGTAGGAAAAATAAGAAAGATGATATGTTTTTAAGCTCGGTAAAGAAATAGAGGAAGAAAAACGTGGATTTTATTGTCCTTTCTACTGACTCGCAGTTGTGATTTCTTTGGTTTTGTTTTTTCCGCACTCTATCGAGCTTACAATTGGCGGAGCCATGAAAATAAGCGGCGAAGCTGCAAATGATCTAGGACGGAAAATTGTAAGCCTCGCCGCTTGTTGCTGTGAAGCGCACAATAAAACCGCCAGTTAGAATACAATAAAATCGCTAGAATTGGAGTCTCTCCTTGTCTTTTTCCTTTATTGTTTTCTATTTGATTCACCTGCGAATGGCATATTTCAAGCTAGGTCTTTCCACGGGTACGAAGTACCGTACATCATTCGTATTTCTCTCTCTTTTTTTTTTTTTAATCTGTAGGTAACTTCCTCCTCCTGCTCCAAATCATACAACGATTTACGTTTGAAGCTATTGGCAATGCTACCTTTTCGGTGGACAGTTTCTTCTTCCTGAGGTATGTAGTAGACGGCTACCTTATTTAGTTTATGGTGTAATTTTTGTATTTATTTCTTTCTAAGGGAGATGTTCATAATGCATAGGGGTTATCAAGACACTTCACAAGGCTGCCCTTCGCAATTTTTTATTTATTTCTACTCTTTTAATACATCAGTATAATTGCAAGTCTATGAGATCTGTGGTTTGTTGTCGCCCAATCCTAATGAAGGAGTCGTTTCCCTAACGTTGTTAAAGGCCACTCTTTACCGGTAGAGGATACTTCTTATCATCGGCAATTTGCGATGGTATTATGCAGAAGGGTGTTTTAGTTATTATTGAGTACTTACATCTCATGTATTAAATAGAGAATAATACACGGGCGCACGTAGATATGGAATTTCTCTTTCAGTGTTCAACTCGGTAGCTCACGAGTGAGCACAGCGAATTCCACATCTAAAAGCAACAGTGTATTATTTTGTTTAGTGTATAAACAAAATACGTTTTTATTAATAAGAAACTCGACTTAATGAAGGAATGAATGAATGGATCCACAATCTGCGAAAAAAGGTCGTTGACTGCGTAGGCGCGACAAGATTCAAGATGAATGAAATGCGCGGAATCATAACAAAACCAAGCTGTGGGCACAACTTTCAATTCACCGAATTCTCAGTTATCGACTTTTTCCGTACTAACAGAAGAAATCTGCTCGGTTACAGGGCAAAAATAGGCGGAAAATGCCATTGCCAAAGCCAAGCAAAACTCGGTTTTTCTATTATTTTGGTTTTCTTCCGCTTCTGGGAAAATTTTTACGTCATCTTTTGTAAGCGATACGAATTATTCAGTGTTGTTAGCAGCCATTATCCGAGAAAATTTCGATAAACGACGTCAGATGGAGAATGGTGAAGGCTCTGTCATTCATTCATTAACCTGACAGATTGGCGCAAAAGGTAAGTTACGTGTCAGCAGCTGATTGTCGGTGTCAAACTCGTGGAAAATTGTCGTAATTTTACGCGTGTGCTGTTACGGCTTCTTTCAGAAAAAGAACTTCTTAATTGTAAAACACAGCAGTTTATGTAATTAACCTTTTTTTTCACAGTGGTCTCCTGGTTTCGTATTTGTCTTTGCGTCACATGGAAAAGAAAAATGGACAGCTGCCACTTTTTAAGTACTACTTCCATCGTTTTTGGAGGTAAGTCTTTTCCTCGCTTGACAATTTTTAAATTCGTCATCGTTAAGTCCACAGGTTGAAACAACTCCAGACTTATTATCTCTCTTACTCTATTTACAAACCTCAAAGATCTTCGTGATATGTTGCGCAATAAACCAAGTCGATGGCTGTAGAGGAGATTACCAACAGGCTGAGTTTCAGTAGTTAGGAGCCACATAGAAAGACAGTTATAATTGCTTTTGTCTATAATTGTAGTTATGACTAAAGCAGAAGTTATTTGTGACGTGCGGCGTTGTGGTTTTGCGTATGCGGGCAAGTTACTGAGATATTTCAAAATAGTGGCGTCCGTACTTGGATTCGAAGGACATTTGCAGATAATTTTCCAGCGCTTAGGTTGGAACCTCAGAACTGCCATAATTGTTAAATTTTCGTTCACCCTCCTAATGGCTGGGATAGAAACAATTTTTCAATGGTTTATGAAGCTTTTTTTACGTTTAAATAATTTTCATTCAGGTAGACATTGGTAATGTGCCCTCCCTAGGTCAGTGCCTGATGCATTGTGATAGTTTTTTACTACAAGTTTGGGTTGTGATCCTCGTATAACGGATTTTTTCATATCTTTCCCCAGATTAACTCCAGCTTACATGTTCGTATTGTTGTTTTACGACAAACTGAATGGATTTCTTGGTGACGGCCCTCTTTGGTATCAAGCACAGGCAAAGAACCCGTGCGACAAGTATTGGTGGACCAACTTACTCTACATTAACAACTTCTATCCAACTAGCATGAATGCATCGGTGAGAATTTTCCCTAAGTATTAACATTAGAGGGTGACAAAGTATTTATACGTGACACGCGATTAAGGCTGAAACGGGTGATGTGTGAATTGTGCAGATAGGCGAGCGTAATTCTTGCATTATGAACCAGTGTGTCCGGCGAAAACCTCCACTAAAGGAAGATTGGAAGTCCTCCTTTTATACATGTGATGCGTGAGACTGAATCAGGAGTTCAGGACTTCCCTCCTGCCTTTGCTTCCCTTACGTCAGTCAGAGCAATTTTTTGGGCATTTCAACGCGATGTCCTGCAACATTGTTAAATCGTGAAGAAGCTGATTAAACGCGCGTAACATCTTGCAACGTCCAAAAATGTTGCAACAAAACTTTGACCATTTTCAACTTGGTCCAAAACCATCCAACATGTCACAACGTGTTGCTACAGGGTGGCCAAAAGTGTGCAACACATTGCTCGCAACAATGTTGCAAGATTTTGCGTTGAAATGTAGCGTGCTTTTGGCCAGGCCTTAAGGCAGCGTCGAGGACCTTCTGCCTGTTTTTAAATGTGGCCAGAAGAATTGTGGCCAGAACTGCAGTTTTTTGAGTACTCTAAATGGATGTACGATGTTTTCCTCTGTAAGTTTTTTGTATGTGTCCAATGGAATTGTGGCCATAACTGCCGATGTTTTTCTCTACAGTGCTTTGGTTGGGCCTGGTACTTAGCGAATGACATGCAGTTTCACATCATTGCTCCCGCTATACTCTTCGTAGCGTACAGGTATGAATTGAAGAGAGAGTACATCTGTTACTGAAAAGAAAAGCTCGTATAAATGATGGAGCTGACATTTACGGCCGGTCTCTCGCAAAAGCTCCTGTGTCTGAGGAATAAGTCTACTTTCTCCAGGCGGGTATCATTTTCCTCCACATCCTCGTCTTCGCAAATTATACCTTTCACTTCCTTCAACCGTTGTAAATGTTTTCTCTGGAAGTTTACGAAAATCTAAAGACAGTAAAATGCAATGACATTTTATTAATTTTTGACTAGATGAGATGAACCTCTCCGTTAGCTGAAAAGTAAATGTTGAATTACAGGAAAAAATGGGGAAAAACTAATTTAATGTTTTCCTTGGAAATACTTTTTCTTCTATGCAAAAGACTTCATTCTCTATGGATTAGGAAATCTAAACCAGGGCTTAGTCATCTTCTGTTCTTGTTTGTTTCTTCTCAGGTTTCGTCTTCGAGGATTGATTGTGATTGTTGGGTTCTTACTGAGCATCAGTTTCGTCACCACAGCTGTGATATATGCACATTACAACATTGCTGCCGTTATGCTTAGTAAAGCAGCTCAGGAAGAAACGTGAGAACTCCCTCTTTTGTCTGCTCTTTCACCTTTGCACTTGTGAGTTGTATTTTAATGTATCGTTTTGAAAAGTCACGTGGAAAAATCACCAACCTTGATTGGTTGACTCAGTTAGTATCTGCTGCAAATAAAGGGGGTAAGTTTCTCAAGAAACTTAGGTGTGGCGTCGAAGGAAGGTGTTACAAGATAATTTGGTTTTAGGTCAACTGAGTTGATAATTTAAATTGGTCACCCTAAAGAGTTTCTAAAGCTGACGAAGGGCTAACGCTCGAAACGTCAGCTTTAGCAATTTACATTATTAACTCAGTTGATAAAACCAAATTATCTAGTATTCGCATGGGCGAGAATCGCTTGGCGATCAACAATGTGTATTTATCTATTGATTTTGCAGCCAGAAACATGTGGATTCCATGTCTCTGACTTACGAAAAGCCTTATTGTCGTATTTCACCGTATCTTGTTGGCATGGTAACTGGCTACTTACTTCTTCACGCGAAGGACTGGAGACTTCCTAGCAAGGTACGTAATTGGCAATCTCGTCACATACATGTTGATGGGCAATTCACTAGAAGAACAGTCAGAGTTGTGTTTCCGTTGCTAGTTGAGGTCAGTTTGCTGGCCTGTTTCAGTCAGCTAGTCAGTCGGGCAGCTAGTCGTAAGTCAGTTAGTCAGTTAGTCAGTTAGTCAGTCAGTCAGTCAGTCAGTCTGTTAGTTCGCCAGTCAGTCAGTTAGCCAGTCAGCCAGTCTGCCAGTCTGCCAGTCAGTCAGTCAGCCAGTCAGTCAGTTAGTCAGTCAGTTAGTCAGTCAATCAGTCAATCATTCAGTAAGCCAATCAGTCAGGTGGTCATTCAGTCAGTCAGTTAGTCAGTCAGTCTGTCTTTCACACACACACACACAACCCAAAATCCCTCTATTCGCTCTGACGAAGGGCTCATGGGCGAACGTCAGTTTTGAAGCTCTTTACAGAGGCCAATAACATTATTAACCACGTTGATTAAAACCAAATTATGTTGTCTGTTTTTTGTGTCTATCCCTTTGTCTGTTCTGTCTGTCAGTGTATTTGTCTGGCTGTGTGTTGGTTTGTATATATCTCCTACTGTCGGTCTGCATGTCTCTCTCCATGGCTCTTTATTTATCTGCCAAGGAGTGATTAACCAGTAACTTCTTCCAAAAAAACTACTTCAGGTGGGTTTAAGAAATACGATCATCTTATCACTCAGAAGGTGATGTTTTGTTGTGGTACGAAATTCTTCTTGCCATGTACAGCAGCTGAAAGCCGGGAGAGTTACAGACTAGGTCTGACTAGGTTCATAAGGATGGTCCCCTGGTCCCCTGGTCCCCTGGTCCCCAAAAAAAAAAAAAAAAAAAAAAAAAAAAAAAACGTTGTTAGACTCCCAGGATACAAAGTTGATTCCTGACTGTTATAAAATTTATTGAAGGTTCAGACGTACTTGATCAACATGGCTGGCTGGTGTGTTGCTATCGCTCTCGCTCTGTCTACTCTGTATGGTCAGTACAAAGTCACCAGGAAAGATAATCCCGTGCCATTCTCTCGCGCTGAGAATATCATATACGGGACTTTCTCAAGGTTTGCATGGAGCCTTGCACTAGCCTGGGTGATTTTTGCTTGCCATAATGGGCTTGGAGGTACGTCTTGATTGATAACTGGCTGAGTGTCAAAGGAAGTGCAGAAATTACAATAGATTTTAAAATACCAGCTCAGTATATAATCACCTCGGTTCTCAAGGGTCTTTTCGATAACTAACTTCGCCCCTATTTTCTACTGTAATTTAATTCTGTTTGCAACGTTATGAGAAGGATGATAGAACTCAGAGAGTATTTGTGCTCATTGGGAGATCGTTTTAAGGGACCTAGTCAAGGTTTTGAAGAATCATTTTACAATGCTAAATGAACTGTTCATTATTAACTTTAGTCAAGGATCTGTCTGTAAAAAAAACCTGCTGGATTACAGAAGTAGTCCAATTCCTGTAAATGGCAAGTCCAGTAGTGTGAGGCTTATTTTTGTCTAGTGCAGAACAGCCTAGATTTAGTCAAGTATCCTGTATAAACGACAGGTCTCTAAGTGACCTTGGAATGCAGGGATTAATCCGTGTACAGGTGACAATTCATTCATAGTTTTGTACAAAAATAAACAATCTTCCCCTCCCGGGTGATCGAAGGTCTAAAGGGACAGTTGGTGTTACTTAAGGTCACTGAGATGTGACCTTAACAGTTTGCATGCCTGGCTATCGAGCCAACGATTTCAGGTGATTTTTATGGTCATATCTAGCGTATCTTTCAATGTTGCATTGAAAAACAATTTTTTTTGGTTTGTTTCTGTTGCAAGGTTTGGTGAATAAATTCCTGTCGGCTCGATTCTGGATTCCACTGGGCCGGCTGACGTACTGTGCCTATCTGGTTCACCCCATCATCATCTTCGCTTTGTTTCAGTCCTTTGAGACTGTTCGGGCATATTCTGATGTGCATATGGTAAGTGGGTCATCTAGTACATCTTAATTCTACAGTGAGCCAGGAAAAATGTCAGAGAAATTTTAGGTGAGGGACAACACCGACATTGGGTGAAAACGCTGGCATCATAACGATAAGAAGCTCGCGCTTTTGACCCCCCAAAAATCGGCAGGTATATATTTATCATCCTAATGGCTAGTTGTGAAAAATGTAACAATTTTTATTTGAGTGTCCAAAGCAATCAGGGATTGCTTTGGCCTGCTTTACTTTGCTTTGTGATTAGTCGAGAATCTCGCGCCACCTTCTTAACCAAAAAGCGGATCCGTTACTGAAACCACTTTCGACTTGGTTACCCGCGTTTTCCCGCGCTTTAGGTAGTTTTCTTGGCTGCTTGCGATATTTTCCTTCTTCTGATAATAATAATAATAATAATAACTTTATTTAAGTGTCAGTGTATTTTAGCACTGCTGTGCTAATTGGGGACACTGTAAATAAGGAAACAAATATCGTAAATGAACAGAAACTCGTTAAAAACCCCAACTGGTAGGAGGCAGACCAGTTGGCTATTTACAAAGCGTGCAGGAGTTGAATTCGGGGCCACCGAAGACAAATCCATCCAGTGGAGGACTTGAACCCGGGACCTCCGGCTTACAAGTGCAGCGCCCTAACCACTAGGCCACGCTCGCCTCCTTTTTGATTGACTCATTTGACTCATTTGATTACGTTCAACTTGGTTTTGGTTTTACGACACTCAATCGAAAAGCGCTCCATATGAAAAATGAAACCTTGTAGCGAACACTTTATGTTATCTCTTGGAAGCTACGTTTATATTAGCTTTCCATTCCAGCAAAAATAATTTTGACCATGGACCCGAGAAGCATAGTGGCTGTCGCCTTTTCCGGGGTAATGTCTTAAGGTTTGTAGGTGTGAGAATAACTGTCTTTGTTTGGTCTCTAGGCATTCTTTTATGTCGGTGTACTTGGCATTTCGTATGCAGTGGCCTTTATTGTGTCAGTGTGTGTGGAATATCCCATGATGCAGTTGGAGAAGTTTATATTCAAAGGCGACAACTGAGCTCAGATGTCATTCACGATTTACATTCATTCCTTGACCAGAACCAAAGCACTTTCTGTAGAAGTTCGGTCTAACAACAGAGTCTAATTTTGGAAAATATTGCACTCGCATGCAGCACCAAGCAGTGGGAATAGGGGCTTTTTCTCAAGACTTTGAATCTTTGAACAATCTTGAACTGCAGTTGTAATGTGGGGGGGATTAGCGAAGGGAATTTTCATAAGTGATAATTATTTGCGTGATATCTAGCTGCCTGAGTTTTCTTTATATTCCAAAGTGAAGTCAAAGTTTGCTTCAACAATTTAATCGATTACAAATTGTAAGGCTGATTTTATGAGTCTATGAACACGTTTTTGATCAGTTGTTTTTTATTTTTTGACCAGTAGTATCTTCTTGTCGGAATTTTCCACTTATTTCAGACTTACTTCGAATTTTCTAACGACTGAAGATTGCAACGAAGATCAATTTTAGCGTTTTATCTGTACGTGGCTAACATATGTAAACTTGCCTATGTTTTTTTATAACTAGCAAAGCTGGCTCTTATGGGTGAAGTCGAGCTGCGGCGCCCTAAAAATGAGTGGTGACACTGTTAGTAGTGACACCGTTATCATGAATCCACAACGTTTATATTTAAAAATGCTTGCAACGCAGGAGTGTTGACAGGAGCTTTTTCCAGGCCCTTAATTTTAAACTGAGAGGTAATTCTTATGCCTTAAGGCACATTTGATATATTCTTGAAAAATATCCATTTGAATCATACATTTAAAATCTTTTCATTCGCGAAATTCGCCGTCGTCGTCGTCGTCCAAGCTGCAGTAACTTGTTTCAGTCACAGAGTGGTAGCTATTTCTAATTTTATTGTTACTATTTCATTCCTAACAACTCATTATATAGTGTGTGAAAGATCAGTGTGTCAAACCTCTTCATTAAACAATATGCAATTATTAGAATTGAAACTGAATAAAGTTGCATGCTTAAAAACCAGCTGATATGACACAATTCAAGTTATGCACCACACAACCGTGTCAAACATGACAAGACCATGGTGTACTGTTGGGATTTATCAAAATGGAGAATTTTTCCCCATGAACGATGGTTTTTTTTTTATTTCCTTTGTCAGTCTCTTAGAGCAAATTTTCCCTTTCTTTCATAACTTGGCGTATTCTTTTTTTTCCCGGAAATTGTAATTTTTATGATTAATTGGTAGTAAGACTTCGTGTCATCCAAACAAATCGGACTCCCGGTGCGCGGTCTCACTCACTGATTACAAAACGCATTGGACACCACTCAGTCCTATATCCATCATAAATTAGCTACCTTTTGTCTAAAGGGGGTAAGTTTCTAAAGAAACTGTGGTGCTGCGTCAGTGAGAGAGTATTACTGGGTAATTTAGTATTATGTACTGGATTGGTAGCGTAAATTAGCCACCGTAAAGAGTTTATGAGTCGCTGACTCGAACAATAAAATGCTCTCTTTTCAAAGAAAAAAAAATCCTCAAAGCCTCGTATCAAGATCACATCTTTTGAGATATTTCTGGAAAGAAAAGTTTTGATCGAAATTACGCGTCGGTGGATGCCAGTGTGGGATTATTTTGAGATTTTTATCGTCACTTGTAGTGTCACGGCAAGAACTGAAAAGTTAAATTTTCGGATCTACATAATTTACTGAATTAGACCGTAAAATGCTCTCTTCAAAAAATATTTTCCTCTAAGTTTAATGATTCATGATCTACGATATTTCTGATATTTCTGCGTGGAAAACTTAAAATGATTGTGAGTTCTTTATCGTCTGTCTTTCATAGTGTCAGAGCGAGTACTGAACTGACACATGTTGTAGCAGTGGCTTAAGCCAAAAATAACCATAGGAGAGAACTTAACTGTGTATCGAGTGCGAATGTAGGACAACTTAAGGTACTCTGAAAAAAAAAAGGAACAATAAGTAGCACCGGGAAACACCGAATCAAAATTGTAAATTGGGTCAAGATCGGAATCACGCATCTCGACAACATTTGTGGTGGCTTTGCCTCCCATGACCTCCCATGCCACGAAAGTTATAACCAACCCCACCCTACCCCACCCCCCTTAGTCATGTGCACACCATTTAAATTTCTCTCTTTCCATTGCACCAGTCATGGGTATTGTGTCCGCATCAATTGGGAGGTCACCGCGCCGAATCTAAGATTTTACAGTAAAGCTGCGATTATCAGATCCATTGAGGCTGAAAAGATCGATCATCAGAACAATGGGTAAAATTGAATACTTCATCGTCGAATTTTATGGAGGCAAGACAACGTTTTACCCCGGTGAGGCACTGAATGGCACTTTACGTGTGAAGGTCAACAAGGAGTTAAAACTGCGAGGTATTCGACTCGAGTTCCATGGCAAAGCACACATTCATTGGTCTGAAACGACAGGATCTGGCGAGCATAGAAGGACAAGACATTACAGTAACAGTGAAACGTACATCAACACTATGGCGACGTTGTTTGGCAAAGGTAAGTTCGGTATTTCCAGCTGTGTGTGCTGCTATTAGGTACATTTAATTTATTTTATATTTTCGTCGCTATTTTCAGACGTAAACAATGGTTTTGAAACCGATTGCTGTTGCTCAGTGGCTTGTTTTTCGTGATATTTAGGGTATTTTCGAAAATGCACGTCATTGCCATCATCATCTATCTATTACTCTGGTACATTTTTACACGAGCAACTGTCTTTGGCAGTTTTCCTGGGGTGTATGAATGAGTTGAAGTTAAACTTTATATTTTATTGTCATTTGCGTTGTGGGAGTTTGGCTGTATTTCTGTGCATTTCATCTCTGCTAACTTTAAGTTGTTTTTAAAAGCAGATTGCAATGAGTTTTTTTTTCTTTTTTTTCTTTTTTAAACATAAACGTATTTATTCCGATCCGTCCTGTACCAATGATGTGTTTCATGATTAATAAATTATCAAATGCAGATCGATGGTGTATTTGCATGTCCAAGGTGATCAAAAAAATCATATTCAAAAGTAGTAGAAATTAAAACACGAAAATCATTTTTTACAGGAATTTCCTTGTTGCAAGCATATTTCCTTATGGCTTGCATGACAGTAGGCAACTAAGATGTAGGTTTGCTAAATGTTACAGGCATGATTGACAGGATTTGAGGTCAAGAGTATAGAATATTTGGCAGGCCATTAAGTTCTTTCTGCATCAATTTGCATTCCTAGTATTTTGCCAAGACATGTCCCAAAAAATTAAACCACTCAATCTACAATTTTGTTCAACCAGGTTTACTTTGAAAAACAAGACAAACTAGTTAAAATTAGTTGAATATAATGTTGAGTTTGAGTTCACCAAATTCAAGTTAGCTGATAATAAATAACTTTAAAAAATGGGGTCAAATGTAGGGAAAAATCTCTTTTTGTTAAGTTAGCAGGAGGTTTGAGTTAGCCTAGTCCAAGTTAGCAGAGATTCATCGTTAAAGTATTTTTTATGGCCTCAATCCTTGACAAATATATTTTTTTCTTTGTTTTTATTTTACAGGTCCAAATGAGAGTGGTGACGATCCAGTTCTGCAGCCAGGGGAATACTCTTACCCCTTTCAATTTCTCATTCCAAATCAAAATATGCCAACATCAGTTGAAGCAAATCATGGCTATGTCCGATACTGGCTCAAGGGAATTATTGATCGCCCATGGAGATTTGACTTCACAACAAAGGCAGCATTCACCATGATTGAGTTTGTTGACATCAACACATTGCCTCTTCTGGTGAGTGCACTAATGTTGTAATGCTCCATGAAACAAAACCTTATGTTGTTGAATCTCTTTTTGTTGGTGCTGTTGTTGTTGAGTGGGTTTACTGTCTGCAGAAATTCCCTTTCCAGCACTATTCACATATGAGTGTAGCAAATGGGCAGTGCTGATTCTGTTTTTTGCATTCCTTTCTTAATTCATGGTTTGCGTAAATAAAAGGAAAAAGTTCAAGTCTCTTTCCTACTGTACAAAGTTTCAGGGAAATATTGACATGTCATGAAATGAATGAAAAAATCCATGGGTCACAAGATGTCAGGAGGCAAATCACACCTCAGACTGATGTAAATAAACCCTTTGCCATCATGACATATGCATGGCTTTATGTTTTAATTTTTTGTTAGAAAGCAGAGATCCAGGAAAAGAACCAGTTGTTCAGCATATTAATTTACAATGTGCTTTCAAAAATATAAGTGTGACTACATTTATTTTCAATGTCGGAATGCATATTTTTGTGGCAATTGAAATTTTTCCTTTTATATAGGATCATACTACCTGATTAGTAGGAGTCAACTGATATCTTTTCAGCAATAAGCATTTTGGATTATGCTGTAAGAATATTTATTTCATTTTCATTTGGAATTCAAGTGCACTCTTCCTGTAGAGGACAAAAATTTCATGCTGGTAATTACAAAAATAAAAATGAATTTTCCAGAAATGCAGAAAGAGTTGTTTTAAAGAAACAGTGGCCCTGGTGATTTAAAGGGTGGATAAAGCTATTCCTTGATATATCTTTATCCAACGGTTAGTGCAGGATTTTTTTTTTACCATTTATCCACTGGTTGGTGGTTCATCTGTTGGATAGCATTATCCTTCGTTTGAAGAACTGGGTCCTGATTTTTATCCTCCCTTATTCTTTTTTAGCAACCCTGTCAGATGGCTGAAAATCGTGATGTGGGATGCCTGTGTTGTAAGTCTGGTCCTCTCAGTATTACACTCTATACCGACAGGGGTGGGTACTGTCCTGGTGAGTCTATTGGAGTCTCAGCTGTCATCAGTAATAATTCAAATAATGAAATTATTGGTCTGGAGTTCCAACTTATTCAAGCCATCGTTTATATTGCCTCATGTGGTAAGTTGACAAATATGAATGTTATTAAACTTTGTGATGTTAGAGGCAGCAACAAACAATGTACTTTTGATGTTCTGTAGATGTCTCTGGTATTCATAGTTCTCTGTGGTTAATTGTGGTTTAAAATTAATCCTGTTTTAAAAATATTAAAAAATTTTTTTCCCCAGAATTTACACAGACTTAAGTTGGCAGACTAAAAGAATTCTATTCTTTCAGTTTGCAATCATTATTTGGGGAATATTATTCTTACATGTTCATCATAATACCTCTTTGATGGGCTAAGGTTTCAAATAGAATTGCCTTAAATTGATTGATTAGCATACAGTGCATGTCAGTGTAAATTTTTGCTTTAGTGAAGTACACCTGTATGCTTGTAGAAGTACACGTAGATGTAGGTAATTCCAGAGATGTGAACCTCCTAAAAACTTCTGTGTGACATAGATACAGGCTGGTAGAGTTCCTAACAATTCATTTTGTGATGATTACAGGAAAGCAAAGGCATGGTGAGGAAAAGGTTGCAAGCATGTTCCAGGAAGGAGTGAAGCCTGGTGAAGAGTCTCGTTTACCAATGCTGGCATTTACAATTCCATCATTACCACCATCCACATTAAGTTGTCATTGTTTGAGGCTGTCGTATGTCCTGAGGGTAATTTGTTAGTTGCATTTGTTATTGCTTTGGCTTAATAACTGAATTTTGATACAGCAGGAGACTTTTTTGTTGTTTACCTGGCTTCATCTAAAGAGAAGGGAAAGGGGGGGGAGGGAGGGGGTTTGAAGAAGTTGAGAAAGTTATACATAGCTAAACCCTTAACTGTGTCTCAGCTTTCCATGACTTTCATAAATTCTCCCAACCTCCAAGTGTTCACATGAAGCCATGTACTGACTCCCAAAAGTATTTGGCGCCAGTCATCATAAAACACATCCTTTGCTATATCTTGTGTACTTGTTAAGATTTTGTTTGTTTGTTTTTTTTTTCTAGGCAAATAAAACTGAAATGCTTTCTCTAACTACAGAGCAAAAAAAGGATTTTTGAAATTTTAACTAGATTTTTTGTGTTAACAGTAACCTTAAACTGAAGGTTAGATTATTTTGCATTGAATATTTTGTACAGGGGTAGACCAGGATGTTTTAAGAACATTGGCATGGGAAGCCTTACCATTGTAATGATTTGCTTCCCCATTGGGGGAGCAGATGCTCCTCCCCTATTAGCATTTAATTTGTCCCTCCTCCATTGGCATTTAACAAAATTCTCCTCCCCCATTGGCAATTAATTTGTCAGTTTGTAGCAAAGAGTAGGAGAGTAGCAAAAGGGGGGTCCTGATCTTTTTTCATTCGTCAGTTTCAGATATCTTTATTTCTTCAACAGCTGAAAGTCAGAGTGAAGGGTGCCTTCAATTCAAATGTGAATATCCCAATCACTCTTGGTTCTGTGCCATACCGACCACCCATGCCACCACAGTATCCCCCACCTGCCGCACCTAATTTTGTTGGTCCACCACAACCCTTGGCAGGCTTTAGCGGTATGGCAGGTTACCCTGAGGCTTCTAAGCTTGGTGAAGGCTCACAGCCTTATCCAAATATAGGTGAGTGATAAGTCTAGCTAATGTGGAATTTATTAGTTTCTTTCGAGTTTTAAAGCTGAAGGTGCATGGTGGAAACGATTTCTCTACTTATATATCTTAATTCAGTCAATAAGCATCAACAGTTCTGTGGAAGAGGACTTGGTATAGTACTGGAGGAGTTTCCATAAATCATGAAATTATGAAAACCACATACTGACCATAATTTCTTAGTTTATTTTACACTTGCTTAAAATTTCTAAAATGCTGAGGCTGCTCTTGTCGCAAAGCCTTTGGTATTTACTGTTTTCTGAACTGTTCTCTGTCTGTTGTTTAACCTTTTTCAGTAACCTATTGTGCCGTGTGGGTGAGGAATGGGGTTGGGGAGGGAATCCCTTCTCTTCCTCCCTGGAAGAAGAGAGGGAACCTTGGGAACGAGGTTGGGGTCACTCAGGAATTAGACTCTAACTAAGTACTGATGTGAGCTGACAGTTTGGGAGACGTTGTTTCGCTTAACGCTCTTTCTTCGTTTTGTCTCCCTTGTAGCTCCTCCATCTTATGCAGAATCTGTCAGAGGAGGAACGTCGATAAATGACGATGGTGACTCTGGGAAGGCTCTGGGTAACAATACGTTCACACCGATGTACCCGTTTGTTTATAACTATCAGTTCCCTTCTGCTCCGCCGGCGCCATTTCCTCAAGATCCTGCAACTAAATCGACATTTTAGGACATCATTGTTTTTTTGTTTGTTTTTTTTCCTGCGTGAAATCTGCGATTTTAGAGATGAAGTTTGAGATGTCCTGTAAATACAGTATGTTTCTCTTGGTATTTAGTTAACGATATTTTAAATCAGTTACATAAGGACAGTTCCTGTTTTTGTGGAAACTACATGTTTCCTAGAAAGTCATCATAAGCAAAAGAGGCAGACAATACTCTACGAAGGGACTCGATCGCTCTGACGAAGGGCTATCGTTCGAAACGTTAGCCTTTAAACTCTTTACTGTGGCTAATTTACGTTTTCAACTCAGTTAACACTAAATTACTCGTTCATTTTTACACGCATACGTGGTATATACAGAACTCATAGAAATCTGACCTTTAGAATTTGAAATGATGAACGAGTCATCGAAACGTCGTTCGAAATTATTATTGCCGAATTTTATTCTTAAATCTCGTAATCTTTTCTTAAATGGGAAAAAAAGTATTTATCTTTTTTCTTTTAAGAAAAGTAATTTTCTGGTGTTTTAAATACCACACATTGCTTTCACGAGCATAGAATGCAGTTCGTTAATGTATTGCACAAACTATTGTGTTCTTAGTATCGAGGTCAGGTGTTGCTATGTGAGAACTAGGACCTGCTTTGTGGAAATCCTTAAGAAAGAATAAATTTTGTGTATGACCAAGCGGTCTGAAATCTCTGTGTACGAGTGGTAGAGCACCTGAGCGCGGAATCCGAAGGTCTGAGGTTCGATTTCTCATGAAGAATTTTTTTCTTTGTTACAAGTCGATGAAACCTCTCTCAGGTATCTAACTCTTCTTTTTTTTTTCTTCTCAACGAATTATTGTTATAGGCCAATAAAAAAGGGTTAAGTTTCTAAAAAAGCTGTTGTGCTGCGTCGGTGGGAGAGTATAACAGGGTAATTTAGTGTTATTAGCCGAGTTGAAAGCGTAAATTGGCCACCGTAAAGAGTTTAAAGGCTGACGTTTCGAGCGCTAGCCCTTCGTCAGAGCGATTAGCGAAGGGCTAACGCTCGAAACGTCAGCTTTAAACTCTTTACGGTGGCCAATTTACGTTTTCAACTCAGTTGATAACACTAGATTACCCGACGTTGCCCGTGCGTCTGTCACATGATAGCGGAGCTCGCAGAGCGTAGCCCCATAATTATACAAAATGGTAGTAGTAACCCATCAAGCCGAAAAAATTTGGACTTACGACCGTACGACCGTACGACCGACCGTACAAGGTGCTACTTTTAACATGCGTGGTCAACTGTACCACGGGCACGCCAACGCCACGGCTTTGTCCAGTAGTGCAGTGCACTGGGCTCCGATTCGGACGACCCGGGTTTTAGTCCTGGCCGGGGCAAGGCGTTGTGCCCTTGGGACGTGCGGGGAAAAAAATGCGAGCTCCGCTTTAAGGCTTGGCTAAATCTATATAGTACATCATCAGTAAAGACCAATCGCCGTGCTGATGTCATTCGCTTCACTGTCTTCGTTACATTGTCTCGGCCATATGCCACCGGAAATGTTAGCATTAGATTTCACCTTCCAAGAATCTATTTTAAAAGGTTTCCACTCAACAAAAACTCGATATTCCTAAACTGCACGAATTAAACGCTGCTCAAAATGCAAGCTTGAGGATGATGTAAGAGGGAAAAGTAAATTACATTTTTAGTCTCTTTTTTTTGTCTTCTGCAAATGAAGTTCTTGAAACCGTGATAAGTTCTTTTCCCCTGGTATGTCGAGGAAAGAGGAGAAGACCCCGGCGAAGAGGTTGGGAACGAAGGGTTGTTTCCTGACAGTAGATCTTGAGAATGCGCGTTGTTGTGAAAGTAACAAGATAATCTGGTTTTGTCAACTGAGTTGATAATTTTTGCCCTTCGTTAGGACGAACGAGATTTATCAACACGCCTTGTCCAACGTCATCATAGGCTCCCACATACTCTCGGTCAGTGGCCAGCAGAAGATATTATTAATCTCTGTAGGGCAATTACGGACTGAACCAAGTCAGTGTAGTTAAAATTTCACCACTTACACTAAACCAAGCCATTGTATATGATAAGTACATTTTTGATCATCCCCAAAACAGTGTGCATATGGGGCCGCATGTTTCTTTACACAAGGCGCAAATCTGGGAGCTCAGGGGGTAGAACTTAAGCAGTCAAGTATCCTGAAAATCTCCATGTCGTTTGAGAGTTCTTATTAAATCGTTTAGTCTTATACAGGAGGTGAGCTACAGCAATCAAACTTTAGTCGGTGACATAGTTCGTGTGTAGACTGGCGGCATGTGTCCTTCTCACAGCTTGCCCCAAATAGACTTGAATCCTCTGTGAGTGGTCTGTTGACTAATCAAAGCTAGATTTTCTGCAATTGTCGTTAGTTGATAGGTTTCAAAGATTGTTCTCTCCAGCATGGGAGAGGAGAAAGAGAACTGAATGCACCAACAACTTAAATTTATATCAACGATTTTAATGTGAACCGTATGAGAATTTGGGATACCGATAGGATTCAGTTCGTTGACAAATTTGATTGAGGTAGTAATTGGAATGTTTAGCTGAAAGCGATTGCCAATATGGCTAGGTTTACAAGAAAAGCCTTTGCTGAAATGTGGCCCGCAACCTAGATGGACTGCAGAAGGGAATTCTTCGCGCGCCGGTAATCTCGCTCCTACCCTATCTTTGGTATTTCTCCGATCGATAGACGGCCGATGCTCCAAAAGTCAACCAAAACAAAAGACAATTACTAGACTGCCACCGACTAACAATCAACCACAGTATATACCCCGCCGATTCCGTGCGCGCTGATTGGCTAGTTCGGAAATAATAAGCAAGTATCAGTATCTATTCAAACAGAGGGATTGCGTTGAAGGCAAATTCTGATTGCCTACTCAAACTCCTAATGTCGTCCATCGAGCAACTTACATGAGATTTGCGCCCAAAAATATTGTAGTTAAAATTATCTTGTATTACTTGTATTATTATTTTGTAATATCTAAGTATTACCTCACTGTTTCAATAAATGCTTCAACAACTATTCACCATAATGTAGGTGGTTAGCGGTAGATATTTACCTCGCCGCTTCAACGCTTGGTTAATATCCATCGCTAACCACCTCCACTTCGGTGAATAGTTGTTAACTCCTGGTTGAATAGCTGTTAACTATCCATCTCCAAGAGCAAAAAATCACGCGTCAAGAGTATAATTTCCGACTATTTCTCAGTAAATCGACAGACATCGACTAGTCTAATTTTTTGGATTCAGTGTGATATATACTAAAACAATTTCTTGATCTGAGTGTCGGTGAAAGTGATGGATGTTTAACTCGTCACTTCACGGCTCAGTAAGTATCCAACATTACTCTCCTCCACTATGGTGACTAACAATTAATAATTAGTCCTAGTTTAATCTCACTCTCCCAATACAAAATTTCAAGGCACTAAAGAAAGCAATAAAAAAGTAACTTCATTATTAACTTGATTTCATTATTTAAAAAGAAATTACAGTGACATCAAAGTTTGTTCATATTATGTTCAAAACGTTTGGAGAACATTTTCACATAGCAATATCAAATTGATTACCCTTTATTTTCATTCCAGACAAGTGCTACATTTACATTTTACAGTCAGCTCCAGCGGGGAAACAAGACCTCAAACATATACCTGGAACATTAAAACTTATTGCATAACACCCACAGTACCCACTTAAATTTAATTGCTTATTGAGTTAAACACCATCACAAGTGTGCACCCATGTTACCTAAAATTAATACTTATATAATTAAACAAACTTGTTTTGAGATATATTTGTCCAAATTGGTACATACATGTAGATGGTGTTGGATATCAAAGCACATACTTAGAATTGAGTTTGTGAAATATATTGGTTATAAGAAAAAAGTTTTGGTGACAAAATCTGATCTTAAAAACACACAAACAAAGGAAGACAACAGAGCTTAAAAGTTTACATACAAATTACCACTAACAGTAACTTGTAATCAATTAAGCAATTATATTGTCATTTCAATTCCCATTTTACCCACTCCTCTCATCTTGGCATTTCTCACATCAATTTATATTTAAAGAAACAATATAATATGAGACCATTTACCTCTCTTTAAATCTGTTACCTATCCTATACCTTCAGTAACAAAAAAAAGTGCAAGTTTACCATTAATTTAAAATTTAACTTCCAGTAATTTTACCTGTGGCTCAACCAAAAACTTCCTGTTAATTCCTTTTTAAGGTACAATATTTGTAAAGGCAAGCAATAGATATATTAAAATGCCTCTTTGCAACAGGTATGATATGTCAGCTTCACAGTTCAATGCCTGTCTAAATACAATTCTACAGTAAATAAGTATATACATTCACTCACCCTAATCTACCTTTTACAAGTATGTCACGTACATGTCTGAGTTGCATGTAAAGCATGATTTACAAACTGTTTTGGTTTGCAAACTAAACAACTCAAGAACCAAAGGTTTCTTGCGAAGCATAAACCATGTAAATAAATCCGTCTTCATCTTTTTCATCCTTGTAAACCTCTCCAACTGTTATTGATATGCTGACTAGATTTTTCTCATTTATAAGAAGGAAAAATGCTTGGGTTGGACTCAGCTGGAGCCTTTTCCTAATCAAGAAATATTAAAAAATATCTCAGACAATCAATCATCTTATTGGTCTCAAACAAGTTAATACACAATCACATTGTTTCTTGAGTAGAAATCTCAGCTTTCAAGCAACTTAAATATTATCTTAAGGTGACTTAAACAACTGCTTTCATAATTTTTTTTTCTCACTAGGAATTGAAATTGTGCAAAAGTTATTTTTGTGTAGTCTGATTTGACACCTGCATAATTTGCTTAATTGTCCACTTCAAATTGTCATGCCTCAGTGAGTTTTCAATTAAATTGAGTAAAGACCAAATTTTGCTGGAATGAAAATTTCATAACCTTTCCACTGATATATAATTTATGGTGGTTTTGCTTCAAATTGTGCATTAACATTTTTTTGTTGTGAAGGACACCACCAAGGTCTACTGTATTCATAAGTTTGTTAAATCAATTGATAGCAGTTTCAATGGATGAGGGCTATTTGAGCTTTCAAAAGTTTTAAAATTACTGCTCCATTACAGTCAAAGCTGTATGGAGTAGTGACTGCTTAATACAGGTTCCACATAGGAGTATTATAAAAAATAAAAAAACATAATATTATACTATGATTGACCACTTAATAAACAAAAACACGCTCAAAACATTATTGTAGACTGCTTAATAAAGGTCACTGCTTAATTCCAAGCTGCTTAATTCAAATTAGACTTTAATTAATACATGCTGTTGTTGCTATGGATTCATGAACCCATTGGTGACATGTGCAGATGATATTTAGCTCAGTCAGTGGTCTAGTGTTTAACAGAATTTTGTTGCACTAGTCGAGCAATCTTATGAATAATTGCACCCCAGAGGCCAAAAGAAAAAACCCCAACAAACCAACAAGTTTACTGTTAACTGGTAAAAACCAAATTCAACATTTCAAAGTTTATAGAGCCCTATTTCCTGAGGTATCTAGGTTAAATCCAATGATTTTGGCTTAATTCACTTCGGAAAACTAAATCTCAAAAATTCAGCTTTCGATGGGGATTACACCTGATTCCCATTAAAGACTTCACTTTTTCTGCCATACATCAAATTGAAGTTTATCTGTGAAGATCAATTTGTCACTTGTTATCTCTTCCACAGGTCAAATTATTATTTATCTCATGAGTAACTTCAATTGTGCACAAGGATGACCTCAACCAGGAGCCTATCAATGGGAGTTTCTATTCTCCTCTGATTCCTTGAGTCAACCCTGTCCTGAGTAGATTCAGTTTCAGAACAGCTTTTTCCCACGACAGAACATATTTCTGTTGGGTGACTGACTGCAAATTGAAAAACTAATGTCTCTGCTCAATGCATGTGTGCGGACAATTAACAAAAAACAACAGGATTGCCAAAGTTCTGTTTTGATTGGGTCATAGAACTCGAAAATTCACCTGAAATTCGCCTTTCTATTAATAGATCTACCAAGGAGAGGGTTGAGTCCATGGCTTAGCTTTGGAGATAGAGGCTACTGTTGATGAGCTGCTGCAACTAGCTCACCATTCATTTCAAATTTACCATCAATATAAAAGAGGTATTCTGAAAGACATTATAAATAACTGCAAGCGGTATTTCAATTCACAACCGTTGAGAGAACAAGCTTTCATTTGTTTTAAGTCCAAAGGTTGCTACGCGGTAAAAGATATATCTTCCGAAAAATTATACGAATCAGTTGATACAGTTTCCCAGAAGACTGTAAGCAACTGTTTTGAACCGGAGTTGTTTATCTAAATACCTATCTCACCTTATGATGCTTGACAAGCTGCTCATGGTGAGATCTGCGGGAACTAAGTATTTAATTTTATCGAGGACTGGCAAATTTTTCTCTGTTTTTAATCTTTCCACAATAACCTAAACGAAAAACGAAACGTATTGAAATATTTTGAATAAAAATATTGATAACATGTTATAAATGGGTATAAAACATGATTGATATAAGTAAGTAAGTCATGATGTATCATGAATAAATTTTAAGAACATGATTTTGACAATAGCCGAAATAAAAAACATGGAGGGATGTGACTAATATTAACTCTTACCGGCACTTTGTCGGGGTATTGCCGAACGATGGATTCTGAATCCCTTTTCCTTGCCGCTGAGGTTTTCGGTAAAATGCACAAAAGATATAATTTACAAATTACCGCGATAGGACAGAGGAAAAAGGCAAAACAGTAATAATTTTAGTATACATGATGACGAGTTAATGGCGGTTTGTCGATTCCCCGTAAAAATTCCAAACTGTGATACTTACAGAAGCTTTTCCTCTGTTTAAAAGGTTTACTCGTTTGTCCATTCATTGTTTACAGCCGTTCAAATGTACCCTGGCTACAATAAAAGAACGTAAAATGGCGAAAACTAACAAATCGAAATTCCGGGTCTGGTTTGTTATGTTTTGCTTTTCCAATCGAGTTGATTGCGTCATAAAAAAGATGGCGGCGGAAGCATTTACTTGTCCTATTGGGAGAGGTGAGTGATAACCTTTTTATTTATGTGCTGAAAAGGGAGGAAAAACTTTTATTTCGATTTTTAGGTAGAATTTTAGAAAAATTATTTAATTTCTTGATATTTATCAGTCTATAAAAGAAGATTATGACGAGTTTTAATTAAGCTTTTTTATCAAATTCAGGCCACAATACTTACCCTCCCGCCCCACATAGCTAAATATTTATTCCGAGAAACTCTGGGTCCAAGCTTAGCCCAGACCTCTCTAAACCGGAGGCGCGCCGCGTAAACGAAAACCGCCAGTAGTCATGTAAGCGATGGATGATGGCCAAGCGATTTGGCGGATTGACGTCCAGCTTATGGCACAACCGCTAATTTTTACGTAGGATCTTCACTACCATCGAAATCTTAAATGGCTGAGAAGTAAGTTTTACATAATCAATCATCCGTTTCGGCTCTATTTCTCAAGAGGTCGTGTGAAGGCAGCGAATTTCCCACCGATAGGGGGTTAACCTGCTCGGATGAAATAAATACGCCTGTTCATGAATTGACAAAGCAAGTGGTATTTTTTCCTTTAGTTGGTTATTTGCTCAGTTAGGACTATGTAGGATTTGAGAATATGATCTACCGGTGTTGAAATGAACGAAGTGTTTTTGGCGTCAAGCTTGGTGCGAAGAAAATTGAATGAACAATCAACGACGAAAAGTAGGAAATTGTACATAACTCGGAATAACGTTTATAACATTACAACTATTCTAGGTACATGATTTACAACAGAAGGCATCTTCTAGCTTTTGACTATATTTTAAAAAATTCTATATGGTTTCTGCAGTCTTCGCGTTCTGTTTGGTTCTTTCAAGTCGCTTCGATTCCACTCAAGCATAAAATTTGCTGGTGTCAATTCAACGCACTCACTCGAAAAGACAACCGAATTATCTCTGATTAGTACATCTAGCTATTCGACCAGTTTCAATCACTCCACATAATTTCGTTAGTGCCAATCGAAGCAAACATATTTCCAAGCAAGATAGAACATATGTTTCTCAATAACATTGTGTATAAACAAAATTGAAATTGCCCGATCAACCTACAAACCATACGCAAAGTCTCATAACTATAATTTCCAAAAATTGCGTCTAAAAAATTTTATTCGGTTTTGCGTTAAGATGCGATCGATCGATTATATATTTTTAATATCAAATTTGTGCTAAAATTGAAGAAAATGTTCAAATTTCTGTACGAATTATTAAGTCGGAAGTTCTTAGAAATGTATTTGTTCAAGAACAATTAGATCTATCTTCCAAGCGGCTTGTCACGAAACGTTCATTTTAGCAAGCAACATGTGCTTAAAAATGAAATGTTAACCCTCTTAGTTCGCATGTTCAGCCGAAAACACAATGTTTTGGTTATGTTACACCCGTTGTATACACTTAATTTGTTAATTATCGATGGACAAGAAGGAGGTTGTTAATTTTCAATGAGGTGCGGGTGATATACTGTATAATGTAAATCACACTCGAGTACACGAATACAAGAATATATTCGGCTTCTTTTACGACACGCTTCAGATGTTATTCAGCTTAAATCTTACATCTTTTTTTTTAAAGTTTTGATTGCTAAACTTAGAACAATTTGTTTTTTCTATTTCCGTACCTTTTTGTTTTCATCATGTTCTAAATTGTTTTAACCTAGTATGCTTGTAAATTATTTATCTTATGAGCCCTAAAACAAATTATGATTTCTTTGATATGGTGCTAATTGAGTTTTCAATGTTGTTCATTCAATTTTGCGGGTTGTTTTTATTGATCTTAGAGCACTGCCATCAATAAGTTTTTTCAAGATTTGTGAGTGTTTTCAATCCTTGATTCAATCTAAGAAGCAATGAATTAGCTTTTAATTTGCATTTTACATACATTTTAGTTTCTTAGTTAAACTCTGCATAATGCCATTTTTGAGAACTATTATGTGATAATTGTTTTTGCCTTTTATGAATACAATTACATGTTTCTTCTAGAGTCACTTTTTTGGGAAATATTTCTATTCTGAGAGATTAAATTTTGCTTAAAACTGTGGGAAATTTGCTGCCTTCAGGTCCATCTTAAACTCTCTTTAACCCTGTTAGGAGAGAGCTGAAACACATGTGCACATGTTAGGAGCTTTTGTGGGTTAATGATTCAAATTCTAGCAACAGTAGACTAAAGTGGCAGAATTTTGAAAGCGAAGAGATGGTGTATTTTTTCTCTAGGCAAAGAGGTGAACATGGAGGTTAAGGTTAAGCTCAAAGCTTTTGCTGGAGACTATTCTTTAACAGGGGTACAAAATACATTTTGCACACCATAATTTTGTCCATGCACATTTGCTGAAATTTAGCTACAAACTATTGTATTTCATATGCAAGAATGCATTTTGTGCAGATTGGGCTAAAACAAATTATCAATATGCGAGCTGGGCAGTCTTCATCTCTGCTAACAGCAGTTTCAATGGATGAAGGATTTTAAGGCTTTCAACATGTTTACACCCACTGCCAAATCAATTTACACAATACTGTTAATCTGGATTTATAGGTGTATATGTGATCTGTGGAGATTTTATTCAGCTCTGTCTCCCATTAGTGGATGAATTGAAAAATGAATACTGTTGCTTGTTGCTACAAATTTTAGTTGACCAATGTTTCTACTTTTATTTTGTTTTTGTTGCATGTTTATAAATGGATTTAGCCCCAAAAACACATTTTTGGTTTACTGAAGGTGATATAAGACAGAACTTGCAGAAACACAACCTCTTTTGATAAATGGCTGCTGATATTAGAACAGGTGGCCTTTTCGATAAAGAAAAGCCTGTAGCTTTTATTAAAATCCCTTTGTTCTTAGAATGTATAATTACCTGTGTGTGCATGTCTTTATCAGTTTTCCATATATCTTATGCCCAACATGCTTGTTACACATGAACTAATTGTGGTCTTAACATCAACTTTTAAGGTCAGACTGGGTCGAAATTATTGAGCCCCGCACAGGGGACCCAATGTATGCCAACCTCAAAAGTGGCCAGTGTTTATGGGAACCTCCTGATGGAGAAAGAGTGTAAGTTGATTCACTTTATTTCAGAAGGCAGCTCTTTTAGCTGTCATGGGTAGTAGGAGAAAATTTGGTATTTAGATATGAAATTAAAATCATAATTTAGTGATCAGTGTCTTGAGTCCTGAATCAAGCTGTGTATATTATTTTAATTTTGAAGTGTTTATGGTCTTGAGTTAAATAAGGTAACTTTTTCATGGGTAGGAGGATGTCATTACATTGCATCAAATGTGCTTTTTTTCTTTTGAGAGATGTAAGTGAGAGTTTCTTTATGCAAGAGAAACAATGGTTGTTATATTAACTTTCACCAATTTAGTACAAGTCTGCTTAAGTTTTTACAAGCAACTTTCCAATAGTCATTTTTATGAATTAACAACAAACGATAAGAGACCTTCAAAAGTTGGGCCTCTTAACATGTGAAGTGAAGGTCTCTTTTATGAACAAGCAACAATTGTAAAATCTTGGATTTGTTTGAAAATGCAGAAGGAAAGCAAATGACAGCCAATGGTGGGAGTTGTATGACCAGAAAACACGACGCTACTACTATTACTGTGCTGGAACACAGACTACAGTTTGGCATAAACCTAAAGATTCTGAGATAATTCCACTTGCCAGGCTACAGGTGAGCTATTGTATTCTTATTTTACACTGAAGTAGGACTTCTTTCAGATTTCTTTCTCACTTCCAATTCTATTTTTTCCTCCCAGCCTTTCCTTCTTTAACCGTTTCACTCCCAAGATCTCCTTGTAATTCTCCTCACTGTCTTCCATACAATTCTTACAATGTTGGTTCAGAGAATTTTGTATTGGACAATATATAAACATAATTATAATTCTTGATATAAACAATAGCCTCTATTTGGGGCAAAATATGCACAGATATTTGTCTACAGAAATTATCTGTTCCAAGATGCAAATAGTTTTCCTTGTGCAAAGCTTGAGGAAAACTGTGAGAATCTAGGGACCAATAATGTCTAAGGACAAATATATGAGATTATTTTTGTGCAAAATAGAGGCTATTGTGTTCATTATCCTTCAAATATTTTGCAATGCATTTAAAATATTTTTACAAATAGCTTACTGTATGCAGCATGGGATGATTTCAATTGAGTGTTCTCTGGTATGAACAAAATAGATATTTCCTTCCTTCTGTAACATCCACAAAACATGCTCTCATCTTAAATTAAATTTTAAACAAAAACCACTCGTAGAAGACGTATGGTGTGAAAAAATTGGGAATTTAGCTGAGCATGTGTAAACCAATGGTGCGTGAGCAAAAATATTTAATGGATAATAATTTTCGGTATTCCTGTTGATTGTCTGCTTGGTGTTGTTTTGATATTGTAAGGAAAAATTTTGTGAAAAAAAATTTTTGTTGCTGAAAACTTTGGTATGGCTGGCTTTTTTTTTCAACTTTATGCCTTAGAATGGGTGATAGGAATGAGTAATTGCTGACAGAATTCTAACATGACTATTTTGCATTTTCAATAAAAAAGACTCTGAAAGCAAGGGAAAAACGTAGGGCAGCTAAAGCTAAAGAATTGGAAAGAAAGGAAGGATCAACAAGGCGTGAAGGCTCAGAGAGAAGAAGGAGAGATGGAAGTCTCAGGAAAGAGGGTAGCAGTAGCCATGGCGATGGTTCCTCATCAAGGAGGGAAAGTAGTAGAAGAAAGGATGGGGTGCCAAGGGAGGGATCTTCCTCACGTCGACATGGAAGCAGTAGGGAGAAGAGAGAAAGAACAAGCTCAAGAGAGCATAAGAAGAATGATGCAGAGGCTAGTGCAAAGGATGAGGTTTTGGATGACAAACAGGTAAAAATGTAGCAACTCAATATCATTTACAGTTCAATCTGTTGTTAAAAAACTTACTGGTGACAAAGGAAAATTCTTAGAGAAGCGATGTTTTAATGTTAGTGTGTTAATAGCCATCATAAATCAGAGGATTCTCTGGCAACCTTTCAAAATTCTTTGGCTAAACTATGGTGGACTTAAAAATTTCTCCTGTGACTTATCAAATTCCCCTGTTGCTATAACTTTATATATCAATCCTTGCACCTTAACATCAGTATCCATTTTCTCCTTACTCTTCTGTATACATTTCCTCTTGTATTGACCAGGAGAATTCATTTATTCAACAATCCAAGCTTCCTAGGTTGCCAGTCATTTTCTTTATTTTCATCATCTTTAAGGAATACTGTAGGGAGAAATTAGATGCTGGTCACTCTTAGGGTTTGAAGGGGTAATGTCAACCATACAATCTAATGTAAAGGGAAATGTAGATTTACAAAGGCATTCAAGCCAAGAGAATAAATGTAATAAAAAAAATTCAAATTAAATCTGTTCATAAAAGTTTTGATTTGTCGATGACAGTCAAATACTGGAGATGAAACCATCCTGAAAGCCACCCCTGTTGCAAATGGAACAGATCAGGAGCCTGATGAAGATGAACCAACTGAACAAGCTGCTGATGAAAGCTGCAAAGAGGCCAGTGAAGAAGATTCAGGCGTTGCTGAAACTGACTTGGATAAACGGAAATCACCCGAGCTTCCTCTACCAGAACTCGACATGCCTGCTCCCAATGTACCTTGTGGTGATAGTGGAGAAAGTGGAAAGGGGACTATTACAGATGATGAAGGGCAATTAACTCCATCAGGAACTTTGTCGCGGCATACACACTTAGATGAGTTAGTGCTCAGAAATTTTGGCTATTATAGAACGTTCAATGCCAAATATACATCTACGGTAAAACTTCAAAAGGTCCCTGGTCTTTTTGCAATAGTTGCAAGGGGATGAATTGGTTTGACCTTGTAAAGATTGAGAATTGGAGTTGTAAGTGGATTCACTAGGTTAACAGGCTTAGAGTTGCAAGAATGAGAAGATATCTAACTCCTATTAATCTGTAAGCTGTATTTGCGCAGAGACAAGCAAAAGTGTAACAAAATACCCCCCCATTTCATAGAGTTCCCCTATGTCCCTTTTTATCTGCATGTGGTTTCCTTAACCAGGGCAGCAACTAAGAAACCTCTCTTTGGTCCATCGACATTCATGACATGTTCCTTTTTTTTATTAGCTCCTGTGATGACCACCTGAGTCCCTCTGGAACTATTGAGCGAGCACGGCAACTGGTGGAAAGTGCATCCAGAAGCATTCTAGCCAATAGCGCTGCACAGAAGTTAGACAGAGACAATGATTCTGTATTTGTTGATAGCAGAAAGCCCATTGTCTCTAATAAAGGTATCATCTATATCTTTGAAATTTATCTGTAGTTTCAATTTATTTACAGGCAGCACTGCCTATTTTTCAGAGAAGACGTTATAATGTGATCATTTGTGAAGGTGAAAGTTTTAAGCAACTGCGTTTTAAAAGGTCCTTTCCCGTTTTAAAACTCCCATCGATATTGTTATTATACTGTGGACTAGAAATATTAATCGTTCTGCCCGCCGCCCAAACTATTTTGAACCATCAAACACCTTTGAATAATCAAGGGAATCTGTTATTTTCATAATCACAGGACACCAGGATATTTTAGATAATTCTCTGAGCATTAAACTCAGGGCAGGTGGGATGCCAGCTACCACAGCGCGCCTTGTAGAGGCCTGTGCACCACCTACACTTAACGAGAGTCAGGTAAGTATCCGTTCCCTCAGGCATCAGAGGCAAGTGAGCGACAGTGTGCTGAAAGATCTGAGAGATGATGACGAAGACGATGATGATGATGACGAGATGGAAACAAAGTCAGTGGGGGCACCGAGTACTTTGCCGCGCCTTAGTCGACCATCTTCGATTGCCTCACCAGTCACTGGCTCGTCGAAACACAATACCTTGGTATGTTGATTTTGAGCCTTTCCAACCGCTTCACTTCGAAGAGCCTGGAGTTGATTCTCCCAACTGATTGCCACAACTTTCTTTGTTGGCTAGTTCTGAGAATTTGGCGTTTCATAAAGGCAGTGACCCATATTCATGATAACGTTTTATTACTCGTGGCAAAGAATACTTTATTTCGTTTATCGTTGAAGTATTAATCCTCATTCCTGACTCTAGTCATATCTTTGAAGTTTGGTACATGGAGAAGATGGTCACAAATCAAGAGATTTACAGAAAAATTGGATTGTATTTTTCAGGAACGTTCACATTCCATCCCTGGTTCGAAGCCTCCACTCATACGAGCTCTTGGCGCATATGAAGAGTACTTAAGTCAACATAAGAAAGGTGTCTTCAGACGGAAGAGAATATCGTTAGCCAGCATGATGTCTTGGTCAAAGGTATGTTTTTTTTTAGAGTAGCGGAGGAGCCGAAGGACAGCTCCGAGCTCAACATTTCACAGTCGCCATTAAGTGACTTAAAATGCCTTGATGTAATAGTCGCCAGAAATTTAAGTTAAGTCAACTGGAAAAAGTGAAGATATCAATGAATTTTATTAAAAGAAAGAGAAAGCCACGTGGCAATCGTTTTTGGACTTTTACGCAACAAAGAGGCAAATTTTTTTAATTAAAGAAAGTGGCTGAACATTTGCAACATTTTATGTTTATCTCAGTTTAACTCCAGACCATTTTAAACACTCAATTAAAATAACAGTGTATGTAGCTAGCTTCTTAATCGTCAAACATTTGCAGCGACGCGTACGTCTACTGCAGTTCTAGTTCTCATTATTTTTGTGCATGCTGTGGTGACCAAAACGTTGGTAGCCTGGCGCTGCAAAGGGGAGCGGTGAATTTTCTGCCAGAAATAGAATACCTGCAAGCCCAGAACGTATTCGTTAGATTCAGAGACTTTGAGGTCGCAGGGAACTAATATGATTCACAATTAAAATAGTTCTTCGAGAGAACCAACTGTTACCTAACTTCGCCCTTTTTTCATTGGCGTGTTTTTGGTTCGATTAACAGGTGCCAATCAAAAAACCATTGATCCTTATACAAGATAGGCAGTTAAAAAAGGACGCAATTGATACCTTTAAACTGATTCTTGGCTATATGGGCGATCGATCCATCAAAGGGAAAACTCCAGAGAGGCTGGCTCTAGAACTCACCACAAAGGGTTGGAACACTCCTGTATTACGGGATGAAATTTACCTTCAACTTTGTAAACAGACCACTGACAACTTTAGGCTGTAAGTACTTTTTAAGAAACTGGTGTTTTGGTTGGTATCCAACATAGCAGACCAATACCCAATCATGACAACGACCCAGAAATCAGAAGGGAGTTTAGTAATTAGTCGAAAATGATTATGCCTTTTTTTGCGAAACTTTTACTTAAGTTTTTACCAACGTCCATCTTTATAATGGAAACTGTATGCCGTAGGAATTTACTGGTGTGATTGGGTGTGGCTGGTCTACAACGATATTTTGTGGTCCTATCAACCAGTTCCGAATTAAGGTTGGCGCCTTAAGTTGTAGTTCTGTTGTGAAGTCGTCGATAGAATTTGTTCTTTTATTATATTTTATTTATTCACGTCTACATTCTTTTAGGGAGAGTTTGCGCAGTGGCTGGGAGCTGATGGCAATTTGTCTCGCTCTTTTTCCTCCTTCAACTAAGTTTTACTCCTACTTAGATGGGTATCTCAATAAAAACTTGGAGGACATCGAACGGAAAGAGGTCAGTCCTCGTAAAAAGAAAAATAATCGGTAGCTTGCGTTGCTGGCGGTTTTTCCGTCATTTGGTGAAAATTAAGGCGGCAGTTTAAAGGACGGAAGTAATACCGTGGGAACGACGGAAAACCCGTTTTGTAGTTTACTCCTTCCCATTCCTCTCGCAGCTTCCCTGGCTCATTTCTGCGGAAGCGCCGCTGAACCTCTCACAAAATCCTCAGATTTGAAACCCCCCCAAAAAAAAAAAAAAAAAAAAATAATAATAAAAACAAAATACAACACAACAAAACAAAATTAGAAAAATGAAAAGAAAAGTTACAAATAAAGATCAACAATAACAACAACAATAAGTATCGATATAAGTGATGTTGACTTATATTGGAACAGAAACAACCTAACGACTGTTTCAACTTAAGCAATTCTCTAGTTTTACTTTCCTTTCTATTCCGTCCCATGCCCACGGCAGTTAGATTAGAAATCTCTCTTTTCAGTTTTCGCAGCCTCCAATTACATTGAGTCGGTTAACATTTGTTCACCATAATTATTTGATTAAATTTCCTGTTGTGTCTGAATGTTGTTTATTTCAGATCTCTTTAACATACTATATCAGGCATTGCTCCGTGAGACTCAAAAGAATGGCTAGAACTGGTGCCAAGCGCGGCCTCAGGAAACCAAGCATCGAGGAAATTCAACAGGCGAAGGTAATTCGGCGAATAAAATAAACCCATTTATGAAGAAGAGCAGAATATTTTAACTCAGCTCATCGTCGTTCGTGGGCACTTTGCATCGAGGTTGTTTGACTTCCTGTAACCAGCAACCGCTACTGCTGACCACATGTTGGCTGGCACAAGAAGTTTTAAGCATTTTGAAATAATTCTTGGGTCAAAGCATCGTGTATTACATTGTGGTGGTCCTAGCCTTTAAGAAAACAACCTTACTAGTTATAGGGATTACTTGAACCGATGAGAGTTTACAAGCGGAAGCGTTAGAAACAACAACTACAAAGCTGAATTGCAAATAAAAGACGGACGTTTTCTTTCGGAGGGAGAGGGAGAGAGGTATTCGTTTATATCTTTTTGTGGGACTCACTAAGCCTCCTAGTCTGTATTGAAAAAATCGCAGAGAAAAGCAAGAAAAAAAGAGGAAAAAATAAATACAAAACATAAAACGAAGGATGTATACGTGAAATAAGTCACATTTTGATCGTTGGATGAAGACCAGCAGCGAATTGATCCTGACTCACAGCGCTTCAGAGCTCAGTCACCAAAGTGAAAGCCCTTTTGTTTCTTCGTCATAATCTTCTGTATCCTTTAGGCTTTCTAGATGTCTTGTCTTGTCTTGGCTCTGAAAACTAATTCGTAACTCATCATTCACTTTTTAAAAGAAAATTTCTTTTATATGTATTTTATTTGTTTTTCTGGTTTTTTTTTTATTCCCAGTCCTCCGTGTTCCACCCATCCATGTTTGGTGCCACCCTTGAGGACATCATGGAGGCGCAGGCCGAGCGTTTCCCTTCACTTAAACTGCCATGGATTTTACCAACCTTGGCTGAGTCGGTGCTGGAGCACCAAGGTGCTTCAACGGAAGGTATTTTCAGGTAAGGTAGAAAGTAAGAAATAGGAAAAACAGTATCCTTGTTTTTTTGGCTTCACTTGACCCACTTAGTTGTCGATTTTGTTGGAGGTCTTCGCCTTCATTTTCTCAAAGGGTCAACCACAGAGCCTGTGCGGCAGGTCTTTTTGTTTCTCTAAGCAGGAGAAGTGTTAGCGGAGCGGGAGCTGCTCGATACCGTGAGGCGAAAGCGACCCAAAAAGGCTACGAGCATATGGGAGGAGTAGGAAGGAAACCTTGTCGCTTCGCAGCACACGCTCCGTTCTCGCTTCTCACGCTTGGATAAAAGGAAACGAAGTGGCTGCTACGCATGCTACAACAATAGTGTCGGTTTCGTAAGCGTTATATGGGCTTCTTTCAAATGGGAACCCGTTTACATCTTAGTCCTAACCTAAGAAAGTTGTATTTTAAATTGACAAATAATGAAATAAACAGCGCGCACGAGAACAGAGAGTGGCGTGAACAACACCAACTAGGTGACCGTTTTTCTTTGTCTTCACAGGGTTCCTGGAGACATCGACGAAGTAAACTCCCAGAAAATCAGGCTTGACAAATGGGAGGCTCCCACTGGAATTACAGATCCCCATGTACCTGCGTCACTTCTGAAACTTTGGTTCAGGGAGCTTCACGAACCTCTTATACCGGAACTGTTTTAATATCCTTTGAAATGAAATTAATTTCGCAGTGTTAAGTGCGCTGAGTCTTTAGTCTGATGCACCAACAGTGATTGTGGTCACGTGGGAAGTAGCACGCTGGACATTGAATCGAGAGATCTGGGTTCGAGCTTTGGCTAGCCATGGGTTATTGTATTGTGGGGTAATTGTATTATCGAATGAGTTGATAATGTAAATTGGCCGCCGTTAAGAGTTTCAAAGCTGACATTTCGAGGGTTAGCCCTTTGTCAGAGCGAAACTGAAGGATTAATGCTCAATAGGTTAGCTTTGAAACTCTTAACGGCGGCCAATTTATGTTATCAACTCAAGTGACAAAGTTAAATTACCTTACACTCACACCGACACAGCACTACAGTTTCTTTAGAAACTTACGCCTTTTTATTAATTATATTGTGGTCTTGAACAAGGCGTTATACATTTATTATTAATGCCTGTTGCACGTCATGTTTCCTTGACTCGTTCCTACTGAAAGGTGCGTTAACAACTGTGATGACGCTACAGTGGCTGTGGCACTTGCGATGTCTCTTCCTGAAGTCAACAGACTCGTCCTCTCGTATCTTATTAGATTTTTACAGGTACGCATGTGTAGAGCCTCTCTAGACTCATTATTCTCTTTGGTTAATTTACGCTGATTTGCTAACCGCTGTGCACAATAGTTAAGTTATTACCTAAGATCATTTACCGAGCAAAATGTGGGGAAAGAATTGTACTCTCCTCTTATTTGGGAAATAAGGTAATTTATCGGGTGCTCTGTGATCAAGGGTGACAAACGATCGAGACCACGACTGTAGTGCTGCTGCATACATGGAGTCTCTTTGTTTTCACTTGTTGGGTTTTTTTTTTTTTTAAATTCGAATTTCGAAGGCTGGGCGTCCTAATCCTTAACACCGTTAACACTTGCATAGTTGAAAACATTTTTTTTTTGGAAAACTTTCAGCTTCCTTTGTTGTTTGCAGATTTTCTCACTCCCTCATATGTGCGTTATAACAAAGATGGACGTAAATAACTTGGCCATGGTTTGGGCGCCAAACTGCCTTCGTTGTCCCTCTGACGATCCCAAGGAAATTTTTGAAAATACGCGAAAAGAGATGACTTTTATGAGAACTCTTATTCGGCATCTTGACGCAACTTTCATGGAAGGAGTGCGTTAACACACAAAAACAACAGTTCGTAGTGCCAGTCCTTGACTGTGGGACACCGAGACCAAGATCACACGTGACAACGAAAAGTCTGACAACTGAATGAGCCTGCGGCTTTATTTCGCAACGTTGCTATGCAACGCAAGGTATTGGAATCCGACCTCGCGTCAGGGTGTTCAATAGCGTCCGTCAAGAAGAAACGGAACTCCTCGAATGCCCTTACTGAGATTTACCAGAACTCATGGCTCGATTGTTCGACTTGTCAAACTGGTGCTCAGCATTGATACGATTCGTCTGGCTGGGAAGTTTGCGCATGAAAATTTTGTTGACTCAATTGAACTCAAATTCAAAGGCAGAAAAGGTCAAAATTTACCTAGGTCCGTTAGCTAAAAAAAACAACTACAGAAAACAATAAAACAAAAATGAAAAGAAAATAAGAAGGATCTACAGAACTGCAAACTTAAGAACACACAGCAAGAGGTTATCTTTCCATTAAGCAAATTGAAGTGTCTAAATTATAGCAAACGTAATCTTGTTGTTAGTCGAAAACATCGCGGTAGCTTATGTGAAGAGGCGAAGTAAGCATTGTATATATCAATAAAACTCTAAGTATTGTATAAGATTATTGATGGAACACATGTATTTTTAATTTGTTTTCAGTGTCTTGGGTGCAGGGTGTGGAGTCTTGTGGGTACTCTTAATTGTGTGCGATACGTATGTCTCCGTGACGTCAAACCGGTTATATTTCCTAGAGCAATTACACAATTTTACTTACTTCAGTGATGAGTTCAATGCCTTTCCGGATAAACACTGAATGTTATCACATGAGAAGTGGTTCATGAGAAACTTGTATGTTTTTTGTATGATCTCAGGGTTAGGGTTACATATTACATTTGAACCTGAATTAAGCGGTCACTCTGTTTTAAGCGGTCGGTTGTCAGAGCCCCGAAATTGTTACCCCTCACTGACTGTAATTTTCATCTCTACTAAGCGGTCACCTCGATGAGCGGTCGCTCATAAATACATTAAATGGTCATTCATGACATTAAATAGCGGTTCCCTTAAATTTTCCCCTTTGTGGAACCTGTATCGAGCGGTCAAGTTGTATTTAGCGGTCACCACGCCTAAATACGGGTTCTACTGTAAATGCTTTAAGAATAAATGCCATTGGCATGTGAAAACACATATTTATTCAATTTTAAAAATTAAAGGATGGCCATCTTTTCGACTAGACACAGTTTTAACATGCACATTTCAAAATCTGGGAGAGTTGTTTTAGAATGAGAACATTTTCGATTGAAAGAAGAAAGGTCGTTTTTGTCGCCGTTACTTTGCATGCAGTTAGTCGAATGAGTAGTATCTCGGTTGAAATTCAAAAGCCCACTGCTTGAAAGGAAATCCAATTTTTAAATAATACGAACGTGCCCGAGAAAGAGATTTCACAGATCCTAATAAGATTGCAAAGATCTTGCTTTGAAAACATATCTGCGACGGGCGTAGTGAAGGTACCATTGATTCTTCAAACGTAACCGGATTTGTCGAAATGGCGGTTCTAACTGCAACGAAGTGTTATCTATTTCTTGTATATTAAACATTATCAAGGTTGAATTTCACTTTAAGAAAATATTTGTCATTTTGAGTTTTTATGTAGCTTTTCGACGAGGTAAGTAACGCGCGAGTGATTCTGCATTCGGTGCTCTTACAAATGAATGAGGAAACTGTCTTCGATTTAAATAGTAATCTTTATCTACATAATCAACCAAAAATTATATGTTCACTTGCGATACAAATGCAACGTGGTCCCTTTTATTTGTTACATCTCTTCCTTGTTCTCCTAACTTACTCGTGAGAGTTGTCATTTACACCAAAAGATAGCATTCGTATCCAAGCGCGGCCGTGTGATATCCTCTATATCTGTATGTAAGAACGAAAATTTGCAATGCAAACGCACGAAGCATACTGCTAAATACGATAATTGACAGAGTGCAAGGTTTCCACCAAAGCTGTTTTGTTAATATCTAGTCTAAAGTGTAGAATGTTTTGTTTAATTTAAAAACACGAAAAAGAGAGTAATTTTTCATTCTCAACTTTGGTTTCAGTTTTGCCTTCCAGTTAAGAGATATGTTTCACCTCTAAAAACAAATAGAAAGGCTGAATGGAATAAATATTTGCGAGAATGTAACTCAAAATATATTCGAATATAAACACGGATACAAGATATAAACTCAATTCACTTTGTATTTCGGATTACGTAACTTCGTGAATTGTTTTCCAGAGAATTACCGGTGTATTTTCAATGCAAATAAAACGAAAAGCTATGCTTTCTTTATTCATGCTGGAAGTTAAATTATAAACAATTCATTTTTTACCACCTGTATTATTTTATGGCCAGTCTTTTTAATGACGTTTTATATTTGTTTTGATAGTATTTTGATTTTCGTTTATTGAAATTCTCAGGAGAGTGACCGAGAGCTCAGCGGCGGTTTAGTTAGAATAGGGAATTCGAATTATTTCTTGGCGCAATTCACTTTATTTGCTTACTTTAAACAAAGGGATTCTGTCCCAACGAGTTTCTCAGGCAGAAAAATCTTGATCCCTGAGTTTGTTGAAAACTACAACTGGCAGAAGGTTAGGAGACTGACAAGGCAAACGGCACTGGTTTGTGAATTCGCGATCTACTGCGATATTATATAAATCCGTTACTGATGATCAGGCTTTTCCTTTGATTTCACTTTGTGTGTTTTATTGTATTAACAGATCCCTTCCACACCATTGACAACCTCCGTTTCAAAACTACAAGCAGTAAAAATGGGCCTTCAACGCCTAAAGTTATGCTTAATTTTATTAAGAACGCAATACATGTTAAAACGAGGTTTTCTTTTCACCTTCCTACTCAAATGTATCCATCAATTTCCTTTGCGAAAATTTGCAAACCGCTTTTACAAATGTAAAGCATTAGAGTTTACAGCCATAGATGAGGTGAGTCAGCAAATAGCGGGTATATAGTTAAAGTGCACTTTTCAGTTTTTTTTAAATGAGTCCAAAACACTTGAGCTTTCCAAGGGTGTGGTATCCCTTTTCAAAATCACCATAAGTATCTCCAAACCTCAGTTGCTTCACTGGAAGCTTTGTCTTGTCTGTAAGGAAGCCGCTGTCCTCTCGCCATTGGTGGTCATTTTTGTCGCAGTTGCATCCGTAGTTAATGTTTGCACATGTATTATTCAAGCCGCATGCGCATTTGTAATCAACAGAATCAACTCCTCCCCAGTACTTCATCTTCTCTCCATCACGTGACACCCACCAGCCGTACATATAACCATTGTAGAGGAGCACTGAGTGGTAGCACTCGTACTTTACAAACTGCTCACAGTGAGCTGATGAAGCTGTTAGGTTCGCAAGTTGAGCCATATCAGCCTCCGTGTAGTTGATGGAGCGAGAATAGGGGCCTTGGCCACCAAATCCATCCACCAGCATTCTGCTTTCACTGTCGTGACTGACAACTGTCACTCCTATCCCGCCCTTGTTAGTCATGTCACAATAGACTTTAAAAGGTTTCACTCCGCCCTCTCCATCAGGATCGATGACGTAAGAGTCACTTGGAGTCCCAGGGTAGGAGTGTTTGATGTCACTGCAGGTTCGTTTTCCTGAAAAACAAAAAGACACGAAAAAAAGACTATTTCCCAAATGATTATCCCTGCTCTTGCCGAAAAAGAGAAGTGATGTCGTGAGAAGCCATTTGAGAGATTATATAATTTGATCTCTCAAAAGTTTTATTTCCATGGATACGAAGAAGAAACCGGCCGACTTAGGTCGAACTTTTCATCACCTTTCACATTGGAAAAATGTTGGAGGACACTATACATGTAGATGGAAGCAGTTGCACAAAGTTTTCAATGACATTTAGATATAATTAACGACGACCGTATGACTTCTACTTCGTATGACTTCTACTTTAGAGTTTGTACCTCTCATTTCGAAGAGAAAAAAGTGAATTGAATACCTCCACGTTTGCAGTGAGTTCCACTGTATCCAGGCTGACAATCACAGTGATAGGAGTTCCTTTCATATTCAGGAACACAGACACCACCGTTCTTACAAGGAGCGCTTTCACATTGAGACTAGAAACAAAGTAAACATTCCTTGAATCATTCAGTTTATATTTTAAGAAATACGAAGAGTGTTAAGCACCAAATATATGAAGAGATCTTACCAACGGACTGCAGTGATGGAAGGTAGCATTTGCACGAACCTTTTCAGCCTCTCTGTACTTGTCTGTGGCCAATAACTCACACAGATAAAGACCTTTGGAGTCAGGATACACTGCTATATTGAACGAATAGCACTTTGGTTCACCAACACAAAGGAAAGTGCAGTCCAACTTATCTTCCACCATGAATGATGTAAGTTTCTCTGCCCATGACAAGTAGAAAGGATCGCACTCGAATTTACCAAACGAAGCACGGCCTGTTGGATATCGATAGAGAGCGCTGTTTTGTGTGGCAAACAACAATCCTAACAAAGAAGGAAAAACCAGCAAGAGTGGTAAAAGCAGCATGACAGTGGCCGATGAACTCTCACCACCGGAATGAGTTGCTGAATGATACTAATGACTTTACATTCAAATGAAAAATAGGTCCTCTATAATTGCCTGTCAGTAATTAATAATTAATAGCCACATCTATGAAGCAGGTGCCATGGGTGGGATAAACTTCTACTATAAGGGAAGTACAGGTGGAACAGTAACTTTTAAAAAGTCATTCTAAATTAAACTCTTCTTCTTAGCAAACCTGACACTTTTTCAGCTCTTTTACAAGAATTGCTTTCAAAACGTTTTTTCCCTATGGAGGAAACGATGTCTTTTAATACGTTCTATACAACGGGTTTAAAAAGTTTTAGATATTCATTTCAATATCTATTAACTCTGACTATGCTAATGATTTTTTAACCGTTGAACCAATTTTTTGTTAATTTTAAAGGGAATTTTGGTAATCTGCTTCTTACTCTGCAACTAACTTGAAAATAAATTTCTATTACTCCTTCACATGCCCCTGTTAGCAGGTTTGTTGTAAGAAGTTGTGTTTTGGCTCGCACCAGGATAACAATATATGAAATAAATTGACACTGACTATAAATTGGCACTAACTAGAAGAAGCTAAAGTTGTTTTCCTCTTTTAGACAGAGCAGCTGTTTATTTAATATTTTATTATTTTACTATGCCTAGACACTTTCCTCTTAGAAGACTTTTTGTGAAAGAGAAAACAATTCTTTCTAATTTTTAATTTTTTCTTTTTTGGGCAAAATTAAAAACACCAAATATCAAATTAATCTTTCATTACCTCCCGCAGTTAGTGTTTACCAAATGGATTCTCTGATAACAGGCATATACTGGGCAGATTTTCTCTTCGTGACTTAAAAGGAGCTTATCTAATTGATAAACAATAATCATTTTAAATTGGACCAAGTTCAGCAAAAATAAATCGAAGAAATTTATTGAAGTCATGTCTTGAAAATGTTAGGAAATCCTTTACGTGGATCGGAAAACACACGAGCCTCGATTATGTATTTTCTTTGCAAAAAGTGTCAGTCGTTTCTTCTCTGTATATTAGCATTTTCAATTAAACAAGATACTGGTTTTAAATACAAACATTGCGCAAGTTATATTTGCGAAGGTTGTTTATTGAACATGTTACAGCATTAGCACAAAATAACATTTCACTTAGGAGAAATGGTCAGATTACTCGCTTAGGATAACTTAAGGTGCACTTTGAACAAAGCCTGTAAAGCAGCGTTAAATTACAACTGTTTTGCATGACTAGAATAAAAACAAATAGTCCTCGACTTGTATCGGCCTGAGATACAAAAAAACCGTCTATTTTAGTGTACTACAATAACAACAAACAACACGTTGTCGGCAGGAAATACATTAGAGAGAGAACGAACAATGGGGGTTTTGTCAGGGATAGCAATTTAGAACTGATAAGTAACTTATTTCAATCAGCGAATTAATTAACGTTTTGCAGCCTTGTATTCCAGAGATGCTAGTGCGATAACAGGAACAAGTAATTAATTCATCCACTGTTATACGATAAAGAAGTCGTCACTTTGGCGAATATTCAGATATTTTGACACGTTATGTATCATGTTTAGAAAAGTTGATGTAATGGTGTTATATTTTTATGCCTTGCTTTTTATCCCTCATTCCGAACGCGCCTCATCTTTGAAATTAAGATAATCGAAAGGAGAAATTGCATAAACTAAAAACAAAAAAACATGTTTTCATCCGAACGCCTAAGTAAATATCATCGCCAAAAAATGTATGGCTAATTCATCAGAATACTCTCATAAATCAATAAGTTTAGAAATTTTGCACAACAGTTTATTGCAAAGTGCTTTATTTCATATATATTTTTTTAAAAAGTGTGGCAAGTGTTCTTATAAAGTGCGATAGTTATTGCAAGAGCGACGGTTATTGCTAAAGGAAGTTAAATTGATGAAAACACGTCAACATACTCCAAGACAAAGAAACTTTCTCAAACGGTTCCGACATAAAAGAAACGTGTTGGTTAAAATGCGCCGTCTACTAAACTTATCTTGTAAAACGTCGCGGCGTATAATAGCATATCACTGTTAATTTAGTTTTAAGAAAATGTATTCTTTTACTGGAATAGGGCGCATAATTTTTACGCTATCTCAGTTTGAGTGAAAACGCTAATTTTTCCTTCTGTGATACCTTAAGTCACGGAGGATGTAGGAAAGTTCTCATAGACAGACTAATGGACACATTCGGTTCGCATGAAGCGTGAAGCATGAAGTACGTATTCAGTTCAAAATCAAGTTAAAAACTGAATTGCTGCGTCTGACATGTGACATGAAACTTTTAAACTATTCATTACTTGATAAAACAGCAGCGTCTGCGGTTCTCAGCGATGAAGGAAAGTTTGTGTTCATGTTTCTCCTAACGTATCACCTGCTTTAGATATCTAACCTTCACCACTCTTCGATTGTATTTTGCGTTTTTCTCTTTTGTCTTTTTTCCGCCTGGCAGTTAAGAGAAAATGGGTGTTTTCACAAGTCAGTGACATTCGTTTTAGTACATAGAACACTTAACTACGTATTTAACTCATAGAGGAAACAAAAAAGTTCTCGTCAACGGACGAATTGACATATAAGGTTTTGCCTCACCCATGTACAAAGTTGTAAATGACAAATTAATTAAAGAACCACAACTGCTGAACCTGGCATGTAACAGGAAACCCTAAGCCGATCAACAAAGCCTAACTTGGAAATTTCACCACACGTATCACTAACTACAGATATCTAACTTCCGCCACGTTACATCGTCCCTTTCTTTTATTTTCCTTTTTTTTTCGGCCTGGCAGTTCAAGATAATACTTTTATAGTAAAAGAAAAAACTTTATTCTAGAAGAGGCGAGGACACTTTAATTTTTTTTTCGGCCTGGCAGTTCAAGATAATACTTTTATAGTAAAAGAAAAAACTTTATTCTAGAAGAGGCGAGGACACTTTAATTTTGAAACGCTCTCAGTGTTTCACAACTCAACCCATATGTTTCACCTACTCCTCCTCCCTAGATAATTGCCATATCATGACACTTAACAAATGCCACACTAGAAAATTTTCCCTCGGCACAATTACACTTTTTTTTTCTTTTTTTTTCATATTTTTCGCTGCTGTTAGCTGACGCAACGCATTCAGGTGTTAAAGTTCACTGGCCTCTATCATGTTGCTCCTGCCTCTCTTAGTGTTTTTTCCTTTTCTTCTTAACTTGATGTTTGCCATGCAAATCGATCTCCAACAAGCGATCTTTTTTCCGGTAACTTTGAGCGCGATCCCTTCTATTACTTGTGGGCAGAGGAACTTTCATCATCCATGGTGAAAGATTATTTGGACTGCGGTTTTCTTTGTGTTCGCGAACCAAATTGCTATTCGTTCAACATGGCAGCGTATCCTGACTCCAAAGGTGTTTATCTGTGTGAGCTGTTGGCCACAGACAAATACAGAGAAACTGAAAAGTTTAATGCAAATGCAACCTTCCATCATTACAGAGCATTGGTAAGACATCTTTCATATCTGGAAGTTTACAGATTTCAATTTTTCTGGATACAGAATAAATATTTTTAATTGAGATGTTTACCTTCTTCTTAGTCTCTATATGAAAATGAAGCTTTCCCTGCAAGAACGGTGGTGTCTGTGTTCCTAAATATGAAAGGAACTCCTATCACTGTGATTGTCAGCCTGGATTCAGTGGAACTCACTGTAAACGTGGAGGTATTAAATTTACTCACTGTGAGCAGTTTATTAAATACAGTGCTATCATTCAATGCTCTTTCACAATGGTGGCACGTTCGGCTGGTGGGTATCACGTGATGACGAGAAGATGAAGTACTGGGGTGGAGTCGACTCTGCTCCATTCAAACGTGCATGTGGGTTGGACAACTTATGCGCGGCCACCAGTCACGGCTTCAACTGCGATAAGAACGATTGGAATTGGCGAGAGGACAGCAGCTTACTAACAAACAAGTCCAAGCTTCACGTAATTCAAATGAGGTTTGGAGATACCGGTCTTCTTGCGATGGCGATGAAAAGGAAATCACACGCTTGGAAAACTGGAGTGTTATGGACTTAATTACCGAGAAGTCACAAAGACTATACGTTGAACATCAAAAAGATTGCTTGAACACTGTACTCTCTTTGCAGAACTGAGTTAGGATGGAGGTCCATGATAGTTAAGAGAAATGTAATGAATTGGTAATTTGATTGTAATGTAGTGAGAAAAATGGAGAATTTAATAATGTGTGGTTAAAAGTATTTGCCCAAAATTGTAACCGAATGTCATACATGTTGGACAGCTCAAGTGCTTTGGACTCATTTAAGACTCAAATACAGGTCATTAACTTTTAATATATAGTTGCTATAGTGATACTTGTATAACAAAATTCATTTGGTTTTGATTAATCAACATTGCTCTTTTACCGCGTTTGAGAATTCCAAGAGACGTTTAAGCAGTTCCCTGCAGTAAAAACCTGCAAACCTACTTCCAATTCGTCGATATATGTATGAAGTAATTTGATGATGAAAAAATTTGTTTACCACAGAAAAGTGGAGATGACCAAGCCGGAAGTTATTCTGGCGAGAAAATCTTAAATAAAAGATCCAAAGGACCTCATAGTTGCAAACTTTCACCCCTATTTGAATCCAACAAAATACGCTGATTCTGAAAATGACTGTAAGTCTTGTATAAGCACTTGAATTCGAAGATAGTTATCTTTGTTAAAATGAACCAATTTTTCTCTAAAACCAACTATATTTTCCTTTCATTTTCCTCTCTTTGGATTTCGAAAGCGATTAAATTATTTGGCTAAGACATTTTATTGGACAGAGCTTGATGACCTCTCGTTGGCACCTTCTGCATTTCAATATATGCTCGAGAATTCTCAACACCACGAAACAACAAAATGTTATGTATTATGTAAAGGATTTAAACATCTGTGACCATTACAGTCACCTTCAGGATAAATTATAATTATAATATATAGATTTAACCAAGCCTAAAAGCGGAGCTCGCATTTTTTCCCCGCACGTCCCAAGGGCACAACGCCTTGCCCCGGCCAGGACTAGAACCCAGGTCGTCCGACTCGGAGCCCAGTGCACTGACCACTGGACTACTGGCTAAAGCCGTGGCGTTGGCGCGCCCGCGGTACAGTTGACCACGCATGTTAGAAGGAACACCTTGTACGGTCGGTCGTACGGTCGTACGGTCGTACGGTCGTAAGTCTAAATTTTTTTCGGCTTGATGGGTTTCTACTGTTACTACTACCATTTTGTATAATTATGGGGCTACACTCTGCGAGCTCCGCTATTAATATTCTTTGTCGCCTTCACTGCCCCCCTACCCATGGAGCCTGAAAAAGAAATCAATCGTTTCATTCTTTGAGTGAAGAGTTGTCCCTTCATTGAGACCTTCTTTTAACCTTTACTTTGAAAAGTCTTGTAACTCTAAATTACCTCCGTATGTAAGAAATTATTCAAATTTCCGTCAAAGTGGATTTGGAATATTGATTAATAACGAAGCAACAAAGTACATATCATTTCTAACTCTTGAGTGGCGTACTTTGTGATTAAAAAAAGCTTTCGCTTTATCTCATCGCAATTTGTTTTGAAATAAGCTTTCCCACTTTGTAAAAAACTTGGTGTAGATGATCAGAAGGAAGGTAGACCTTATCAACAATAATAATAATGAAAAAGTAACAATGGCTAAAAAGATATCATTGATTATCATTATAATCATTAATATAATACTTAATATCATAATATTTATTACGCTACGTAATCATTAATAAAACTATCCTTCTAATTTTTATCATTTTGATTATTATCGTTGTTTAGCAATCGGTTCATATGTCAGCGTGCGTTCATCGAGAACGCACGCTGTGTTTTTGTGTGTAAGTTTTAAATGAGTCCAAAACACTTGAGCTTTCCAAGTGTGTGGTATCCCTTGTCACCATAATAATAGGTATCTCCAAACCTCAGTTGTTTCACTGGCAGCTTGAATTTGTCTTTGAGGAGGCCGCTGTCCTCTCGCCATGTGTTGTCATTTTTGTCGCAGTTGCATCCGAAGTTAATGTTTGCACATGTATTATTCAAGCCGCATGCGCATTTGTAATCAACAGAATCAACTCCTCCCCAGTACTTCATCTTCTCTCCATCGCGTGACACCCACCAGCCGTACATGTTACCATTGAAGAAGAGCACTGAGTTGTAGCACTCGTACTTTATAAACTGCTCACAGTGAGCTGATGAAGCTGTCAGGTTTGCCAGTTGAGCCATATCAGCCTCCGTGTAATTGATGGAGCGAGAATAAGAGCCTTTAGCGAGAAAGCCTCGCACCAACGTCCTGCCTTCACTGTCATGACTGACAACTGTCACTCCAACACCGCCCTTGTCAGTCATATAGACTTTGAAAGGTTTCACTCCGCCCTTTCCATCAGGGTCGATGACGTAAGATCCATTTGGGAGATTACATAGTTTGATCTGACTGCAGGTTTTATCTCCTTGGAAGCAAAAACGAAGAAATTGATCACAAGTATATCTTATTTCACGCGTTCTTAGCATTGGATTAAATTCATAGAGTTTTTATGGGGAGGATTAGATCTCGCTAGAGAATTCATGTACAATGAAACTCATTAGCATGCTTCATATTTCCATTGTACACAATGATGACGTAGTGTGCGTATTGAAAGGAAGCAAACTTTTGCGTTAAAGCTGCTCTATCGCCACAGCTGTGTGTTTATCTGGATATGAAGCTCTTAAGACGTGGGAAGAGTTCTCAAGAGGCCATAGTTGTGAACACTTCAGTGAAAATGACCAATCACAAATAATAATAAAGCTAAACCTTCTACAGATGTATTTTTCAACATCTAGAAAAAATAGACGTACACAAACCATTTTATACCTCCTCGTTTGCAGTGAGTTCCGCAGAATCCAGGCTTACAGTCACAGTGATAGGAGTTCCACTCATACTCAGGGACACAGACACCACTATTCATACAAGGAGCACTTCCACATGGAGACTGGAAAGAGACCGAGAACGTTCCACAAACAATACAATTTCTATTGATAAAAATACCTTTCAAACACCAAATATGTAAGGAGAGCTTACCCAAGGACTGAAATGATGGAATGTGGCATTTGCAAAGAGCTTTCTAGTAGCTCTGTACTTGTCAGTGACCAACAACTCACAAAGATAAAGACCGTTGGAGTCAGGATACTCTGCCACGTTAAACGAATAGCACCTCGGTTCACCAACACAAAGGAAAGCGCAGAAAAACTGACCTTTTACCATAGACGATGTAAGTTTTTCTTCCCAAAGGTAATAGAAGGGGTCGCACTTAAAGTTACCGTGAGAAATTTCGCCTGTTAGATTTCGATAGAGAGCGCTGTTCTGCATGGCAAACATCAAGTTAAGCAACGAAGGGAAAAATATTAAGAGTGGCAGGGGCAGCATGATGGTGGCTGTTGGACGACAACACCTGAATGAGCTGTTTTAAGATATAAAGCACTTTAATTGTGAATAAGAAACTTATCCTTTTATAGCATTTGTTTGCTTTTTATGTTTAAAAGCCGCATCTATGGAGCAGGTGCAACGCATGTTTGAATTACGAAATTTCGAGAGCTGGCCGAAATAATGTGCAAAGAAACTACATTAGGCGTCTGGTATGTCGGCTGATAATGTCCACGACTGAGAAATTGTCCGTAAAATGAATCGTAGGCCGAAAAAAAAAGGCTTCGAGAGGAAATTTGAAAATTTGAGGACAGTCTCTCAGCCAAGAGTATTATCAGCCGACATGCCAGCAAGCTAGAAGGGGGGATATTTATTTTATAATCCTCTCATTAATTTTTTTTCGTGCGTTTAAAACACGTTTTTGTTAACTTTTTTGTACTTTCAAAAGTAGCATTTGAGATCAGCCTTTTATTATAAACACCTGTGGACTCTCCAAAATAAGGTCGTTTTTCTCCCTTGTAAAATAATAGATTCGAAAAAATGAAACTCTCGGGCTTTTTTCGTCGGCTTTCTTGCCGGCTTTCTTAGATGGGGTTATTGCCTGATAATTGTCCGTTGATTTTGTACCACGTCAAGTATAGTAGCCAATCGATAAAAAAGAACATTATAACCTTCTCTTACGAAAACAGAAGTGACATGCGTAATGTAGAATGTACAAATTCCCTTCGAGCCCATTGCAGCTCTGTAACCTGTTCAAGGCGTGAGATACATTCTTTTAACTAATGTGGCTGACAATAATTTACCAAAAACGGTCAAGGTTTTTTTAAAATTCACTACAAAATTTTTATTAAAACAGTTTACTTACTACTCTATACATGAGTAACATCATGCTGAGAAAAAGAAGAGAAGAGAAAAGGTTGTTATTTTCAATAAATGACTCGGGTTTACCCTGAGGCGATCCAGGCTTACGATGTTAAGTTCAGATAAATAAGCTTTTCGATATGTATTGGAAATCGCGCCATCAAGAGGAGGCAAGTTTGTAACCTTCCACAGGGTTTTTTAAGGCGTGAAATGACGGCACACTTAATGTGTTCCAATACGCAGATATGCACATACTTCTTTTTGTGGAACATAGGAGGACATCATTTGTATATTTTTCGAGCAGCTGGCATGCTAAACCTTTGATATCCCGCTTAGCGTGAAGCCATTAAGGTGGCAGGAAACAGTTTTCCGAGACGCCTACCGAATATATATTCAAAGCGCCAAAATCCATCTTTCCCTCTTCGCTATCAAACCAATTCAAACGTGACAACCAAAGGATAGAAGTATGAAAAAAGTGAGCGTGGAAATGTGATCGCTTTTATTATGCTAATGCTGTAGCTCCTGAGTATTTCAAGTTACACCCCCTAAAATACTGTTTTAATGAAATACTCTTTGCGTTGGTTATTTGGAGAGCTAGAACCTTGAGACGTCTACCTCAAAATGAATAATCACTATGATCATTGTATTAATATTTGACTGCTGATAATATTTTGTCTGTACCAGCATTGTTCACGTAAACAAGTATTGTAACCTATTAATACATTTAATAGCGCGAGCCTGCTTCGTTTTGTTATCATGCTAGAAATGTTTTTGCGCACAATGAAGTGGAGGAAATCGCTCCTCATCATCCAAATTTCAAACTACCTTGTTAATAATGTTAAATATAAGTAAATTGGCTCAAAAAACTCAAGAAGTTCGAGTTTCTCAAGGCATTTTCACGCATCTTTCTTGCTCCCAGCGCAAAATAATCAAACGACTTATGGTGTTTTTATCTCCAGACCACCTGAAAATAACATGTTATCTTCACAGTTATTTTAAACTTCTTACCCCAATCAATTTTGGAAAATATTGAATAAGGAAAAAAGGGAAGTTTTCAACTTTCTTTTATCAGTTTTTACGTGAAGAATGGAAACATCGAAGAAACATCGAAGGCATGTTTCATTGCCATCGACGGTGAGTCGAAGAGCAGCTTAACAGGTGACTTTTTAGTAGTATATGATTATATACAAGCATTATTGAAAGTGGCGGTGTTCGTAGTCGAATTTTAGTTATGGCTCATTTGAGAAAAAATTTGTAAAGGTTAAGTATGGAGGCATATCGTTTGATAGAACATGAGAATACAGTCAGAGGGTTTATTGCGTGACAATCAAAAAGATATTTGACAAAAAACGTGTCATCAATGCAAAAGGCAAACTTAGTTGGGGGAGGAGGGAAGGCTCGAGATTCTCATCCCCAGTTTTCCGCGTCTCCACTTAGAACGCCGAGGAAGACGATGCAGATTCGGCGACCAAAACATAAGAAGAAAACCATCGGCTGGAATTTTTAGATTGAAGCGTTTTAGGAAGCACTAGTGATAAATTCTATAGATTCTAGACGGGCCTCGAAAGCGGAAAGAGGCTAAGGAGGTTAAAATCAGAGTGCTGTAATGCGCCAAAAGTAAATGCGGCCGAGTGGTAAGTAGCGTGTTGGACCTCGAGCCTTGGCTGGGTAATTAGGTTGCGTTCGTGGAAAATGCATTTTTATATTTTGATCAGTGCCACCTACACACTCCTTCCTACCGGAAAATGCATGCGCAAAGCGACATTGATCAGATAGCCAGTAAAGCAGAGGCTCCCTTCCTCACTCCACCCTTAAGAGATACTCGTCAGCCGCTGATGATCTCCTGTTTTCACTCGTCTTGTAATTGTTTTCACCGTATTTCTGGTTTCTAGAATTTAAGAACAAGTCTCTGTAAGAATCAAACATCTTGGGAAATGAAAATTTTCAGCCCCCCTTCAAATTTTGCATGCAGTTAAGCACTCAGGAGAGATGCACAAAAATATCCTTTTTAAAGGTCACAGCACACTTGTTGCCATGGTAACAACGGCTGCTTGTTCGAGGCCTGGGACCTTATTTTCATACAAAAACATCGCAAAAAAAGAGTGAAATGTTTATTTCTCTATCTCAAGCTAAATACAACATTTCAAATTGGCACTTCTACCACACATAGTAACATCATTCATCTTCACATTGATTCATTCAATTTTCCCTGGGAGTGAATGTGAACACACCAATAGATTATTCATCTCGGTACAGTTTCGGTCATTCTTGTTGTTGGGTAAAACAGGGAAAACGTTTATCTGAATTTTTCAAAAAGTACACCGATTCCGGAGCTGAAACTACCCACCTAGCTGGTTATAATATTCTAGTTTTTTAATATGTAAAATCTTTGCGGGCCTGCCTCTACTTTTTATAGGGGAAATTCGCGAACGAAGCTCAAAAATCAGATGTTGCATAATTTGGCGATGTTAACATCTAATGTTCTCAACAAAAAATGTTTCAGACAAATGAAACATGCAAGGCTTTGAAAGAATGTTATCTTATGTGCAATATCCCGAAGAGAAATCTCGCCTCTGGTTGTCATCTTTTAAAAAACAATTGATCAACCTTCATGGAGGACTATTCGACGTAACTACGAACATATATCTCAACTCGTGTGCATATCATCCAGATTCCGAGTGCTGCACCTTCTTTTATGGGAATTTGAGCGATCCGAAGTCCTCTGAAGATACGCTGTTATACTTATATGTCATTTAAAACATGTTGAAGTCGGCTGATCTACACGAAACTATCCTCACACCGGTCATTTCTCATAAACATGTAAGTTGTCACGATGGCGGAATTTTCATTTCCCAAGATGTTTGATTCTAACAAAGGCTTGTTCTTAAGTTGGAGACATTGGTCAAGAATTGAAGCTAACTTCCCTCAAGGAGGGTAGCAGTATCCAGGCCTTTTATTCAATCGCACCTTGATCAAGTGTCTGGCCTTTGTCTTCATTGACTTTATGAAAGGGGTTTTCAAACTTATATTTGAACGTCCAGCTTAACTTGCATTCTTAATCATATAAATCAGGCCAGTCATCGATGAAAGATGTCTTAACAGTTTTGGTTTAGAGTATAACAACTTGACCGATAGACTCTGAAGAGGAAGCTCTCTCTCGAGCCTCTCTTCACATGGTAAAGAATCAGGTAAGCAAATGTGGTACAACCATAACATTCCTCTTTAGGATTCTAATATGTTATTCAGGAATCATTGGGGCTTATGTTAGCCTGTTATACACGTAGACAGTTATATTATCAGTAACTTATTTGTTGTGGTCTGTATTATTTCATTTCATTTTTTTGATAGTGATAGTGCCTTACCAACGGCTCAGTTAGAATGGGGCCTTCGAATTATTTATTGGCGCAGTGTACTTGAGTTGCTTACTTTAAACTACGAGAATTTAATGAATTTACAAGCAGCGGAAACTGGGCCTTCGGCGCCTAAAAATTATGCTTAAAATGCTAAAAGACATGCACTGTATGTCAAAACCAAACATTTTCACCTTCCAACTGATATTTATGAGATGGTTCCATTCACTCCACCACAAGTAATATGTTCGATTTATTTTTTCGTGTTTGTTGATCTATTGTCGCAAACATTATAATATAAAGCTGAGGTTGAAGGTCAAGCTTTTCCTTTTATTTTCGATAAAACACGCCGATACAGTTAAATGTTACTTAACTCTTGTTGGCCTGTTTGCATTTGCAGGAGAAAATTTGCATTTAAATGTCATGGTGTTAAAGGCTTAAAAGGTCGCAAATACAATCAAAGTTCCTAATTGTGAGATAACGGTGAAAAGCGAAAAAATTTTCGCAGGTGAGGTGATGCGCTCGGTGCCTCGCATTTCTTCCTTCTCCTTTTCTTCTTCCCTTCTATGAGTAGAAGAAAGGCCTTTGGCACCTATAAGGATGTATAATAATCTACTACGCATACGATATGTGTCTAAATTAGGGTGGTTTTCACTTCATATCAAAGTTGTTTCGTCGATTTCGATCGCAAAAAGCGAACTGCAAAAAGTAATTGTACAGACAGCTAGTTGCTTTAAAGCGGTATGTCAATCGAGTCTACAAATAGCAAGTATACAGTTACAATGCACCTTTTTGTATGTGAGTTTTAAATGAGTCCAAAACACTTGAGCTTTCCAAGTGTGTGGTATCCCTTGTCACCATAATAATAGGTATCTCCAAACCTCAGTTGTTTTACTGGCAGCTTGGATTTGTCTTTGAGGAGGCCGCTGTCCTCTCGCCATGTGGGGTCATTCTTGTCACAGTTGCATCCGTAGTTAATGTCTGCACATGTATTATTCAAGCCGCATACGCATTTGTAATCAACAGAATCAACTCCTCCCCAGTACTTCATCTTCTCTCTATCACGTGATACCCACCAGCCGTACATGTTGCCATTGGAGAGGAGCTGCGAGTTGAAGCACTCGTACTTTATAAACTGCTCACAGTAAGCTGATGAAGCTGTCAGCTTTGCCAGTCGAGCCATATTGGCCTCCGTGTAATTGATGGGGCGAGAATAAGAGCCTTTGCCATCAAACCCTTGCACCAACGTCCTACCTTCACTGTCATGACTGACAACTGTCACTCCAACACCGCCCTTGTCATTCATGTTACAATAGACTTTGAAAGGTTTCACTCCGCCCTCTCCATCAGGGTCGATGACGTAAGATCCACTTGGGAGATTGCATAGTTTGATGTGACTGCAGGTTTTATCTCCTTAGAAGCAAAAAAGAAGAAATTGATTACAAGTATTTTTTTTTTCATGCGTTCTTAGCATCGAATTAAACTCATGGGGTTTTAATGGAGAGGATAACATTTCGTCAGAGAATTCGTTCATTAGCATGATTCATATTTCCATTGTACACAATGATGACGTAGTGTACGTATTGAAAGGAAGCAAACTTTTGCGTTAAAGCTGCTCTATCGCTACAGCTGTGTACTTATCTGGATATGAAGCTCTTAAGACGTATGAAGAGCTCTCAAGAGGCTATAATTGTGAACGCTTCAGTGAAAATAACCAATGACAAAAAAATTGAAGCTAAACTTTCTACAAATGTATTTTTCAACATCTGGAAAAAATAGACGCACACACAAAAAAACTATTTTATACCTCCCCGTTTGCAGTGAGTTCCGCAGAATCCAGGCTTACAGTCACAGTGATAGGAGTTCCACTCATATTCAGGGACACAGACACCACCGTTCATACAAGGAGCACTTTCACATGGAGACTGGAAAGAGACCGAGAACGTTCAACAAACAATACAATTTCTGTTGATAAAAATACCTTTCCAGCACCAAATATGTAAGGAGAGCTTACCCAAGGACTGAAATGACTGAATTTGGCATTTGCAAAGAGCTTTCCAGTAGCTCTGTACTTGTCAGTGACCAACAACTCACAAAGATAAAGACCGTTGGAGTCAGGATACTCTGCCACGTTAAACGAATAGCACCTCGGTTCACCAACACAAAGGAAAGCGCAGAAAAACTGACCTTTTACCATGGACGATGTAAGTTTTTCTTCCCAAAGGTAATAGAAGGGGTCACACTTAAAGTTACCAAGAGAAAGGTTGCCTGTTGGATTTCGATAAAGAGCGCTGTTCTGCATAGCAAACATCAAGTTAAGCAACGAAGGGAAAAATGTTAAGAGTGGCAGGAGCAGCATGATGGTGGCTGTTGGACGACAACACATGAATAAGCTGCTTTAAGATATAAAGCACTTTAATTGTGAATAAGAAACTTATCCTTTTATAGTATTTGTTTGCTTTTTATGATTAAAAGCCACATCTAGGGAGCAGGTGCAACGCATGTTTGAATTACGAAATTTCGAGAGCTGGCAAAAATAATGTGCAAAGAAACCGCATTTAGGCGTCTGATATGTTGGCTGATAATGTCCATGGCTGAAAAATTGTCCATAAAATGAATTGTTGGCTGAGAAGCAAGGCTTCGAGAGGAAATTTAAAATTTTGAGGACAGTCTCTCAGCCAAGGGTATTATCAGGCGACAAGCCAGAAAGTTAGAAGGGGGTATATTTATTTTATAACCCCCACATTAATTTTCGTATCGTGCGTTCAAAACATTTTATTGTACTTTCCAAAGTAGCATTTGAGATCAGCCTTTTATTATAAACACCTGTGGACTCTACAAAATAAGGTCGTTTTTCTTCCTTTGTAAAATAATAGATTCGAAAAAATGAAACTCTCGGGCTTTTTTCGTCGGCTTTCTTGCCGGCTTTCTTACATGGGGTTATTGCCTAATTATTGTCCGTTGATTTTGTACCAAGTCAAATATAGTAGCCAATCGATAACAAAGAACATTATAACCTTCTCTTACGAAAACAGAAATGAAATTCGTAATGTAGAATGTACAAATTCCCTTCGAGCCCATTGCAGCTCTGTAACCTGTTCAAGGCGTGAGATACATTCTTTTAACTAATGTGGCTGACAATAATTTACCAAAAACGGTCAAGGTTTTGTTAAAATTCACTACAAAATTTCTATTAAAACAGTTTACTTACTACTCTATACTTGAGTAACATCATGCTGAGAAAAAGAAGAGAAGAGAAAAGGTTGTTATTTTCAATAAATGACTCGGGTTTACCCTGAGGCGATCCAGGCTTACGATGTTACGTTCAGATAAATAAGCTTTTCGATATGTATTGGAAATCGCGCCATCAAGAGGAGGCAAGTTTGTAACCTTTCACAGGGTTTTTGAGGCCTGAATTGACGGCACACTTAATGTGTTTCAATTCGCAGATATGCACATACTTTTTTTTGTGGAACATAGGAGTACATCATTTGTATATTTTTCGAGCAGCTGGCATGCTAAACCTTTGATATCCCGCTTAGCGTGAAGCCATTAAGGTGGCAGGAAACAGTTTTCCGAGACGCCTACCGAATATATATTCAAAGCGCCAAAAATCCATCTTTCCCTCTTCGCTATCAAACCAATTCAAACGTGACAACCAAAGGATAGAAGTATGAAAAAAGTGGGCGTGGAAATGTGATCGCTTTTATTATGCTAATGCTGTAGCTCCTAAGTATTTCAAGTTACACCCCCTGAAATACTTTTTTAATGCAATACTCTTTGTGTTGGTTATTTGGAGAGCTAGAATCTTGAGACGTCTACCTCAAAATGAATAATCACCATGATCATTGTATTGATATTTGACTGCTGATAATATTTTGTCTGTACCAGCATTGTTCACGTAAACAAGTATTGTAACCTATTAATACATTTAATAGCGCGAGCCTGCTTCGTTTTGTTATCGTGCTAGTAATGTTTTTGCGCACAATGAAGTGGAGGAAATCGTTCCTTATCATCCAAATTTCAAACTACCTTGTTAAGAATGTTAAATATAAAAGTAAATTGGCTAAAAAAACTCAAGAAGCTCGAGTTGCTCGAGGCATTTTTACGCATCTTTCTTGCTCCCAGCGTAAAAAAATCAAACGACTTATGGTGTTTTTATCTTCAGACTACCTAAAAATGACATGTTATCTTCACAGTTTTTTTAAACTTCTTACCCCAATCAATTTTGGAAAATATTGGAACGCATGTTTCATTGCCATCGACGGTGAGTCGAAGAGCAGCTTAACAGGTGACTTTTTAGTAGTATATGATTATATACAAGCATTATTGAAAGTGGCGGTGTTCGTAGTCGAATTTTAGTTATGGCTCATTTGAGAAAAAATTTCTGAAGGTTGAGCATGGAGGCGTATCGTTTGATAGAACATGAGAATACAGTCAGAGGGTTTATTGCGCGACAATCAAAAAGATTTTTGACGTGTCACCTATGTAAAAGGCAAACTTAGTTGGGGGAGGAGGGAAGGCTCGAGATTCTCATCCACAGTTTTCCGCGTCTCCACCTAGAACGCCAAGGAAGACGATGCAGGTTCGGCGACCAAAAGATAAGAAGAAAACCATCGGCTGGCATTTTTAGGCTTTAATGCGCCAAAAGTAAATGCGGCCGAATGGTAAGTAGCGAGTTGGACCTCGAGCCTTGGCCGGGTAATTGTGTTCCTTTCGTGGAAATGTAATTTATGTTTTTGATCAGTGCCACTAACACGCATGCGCATAGTGACATTGATCAGATAGCTACTAATGCAGTGGCCCCCTTTCTCACTCCACCCTTAAGAGATACTCGCCAGCCTCTGATTATCTCCTTTTTTCACTCGTCTTGATATTGTGTTTACCGTATTTCTGGTTTCTAGAATTGAAGTTGGAGGCATTGTTCAAGAATTGAAGCCAACTGCCCTCAAGGAAGTTAGCAGTATCCAGGCCGTTTATTCAATCGCACCTTGATGAAGTGTGTGCCTTTTGTCTTCATTTATTTTATGAAAGGATTTTTTAAACTAATATTTGAACGTCCAGCTTGACTTGCATTCTTAATCATATAAATCAGGCCAGTCATCGATGAAAGATGTCTTAACAGTTTTGGTTTAGAGTATAACAACTTGACCGATAGACTCTGAAGAGGAAGCTCTCTCTCGAGCCTCTCTTTACATGGTAAAGAATCAGGTAAGCAAATGTGGTACAACCATAACATTCCTCTTTAGGATTCTAATGCGTTATTCAGGAATCATTGGAGCTTATGTTAGCCTGTTATGCATGCAGACAGTTATATTATTAGTAACTAATTTGTTGTGGTCTGTATTATTTCATTTAATTTTTTGATAGTGATAGTGCCTCACCAACGGCTCAGTTAGAATGGGGCCTTTGAAATTTTTGTTGACTCAGTGTACTTGAGTTGCTTTCTTTAATCTAAGATAATTTATATCAACGAGTCTCAGGCGTACGGGAAAAAACCTAAAGGACCGAGTTTGTTGAAAAGTACAATTGTCAGAATGTTGGGAGACCAACAAGGCAAACGTACGTGGTTGTTTAATCGTCATATACTGTAGAACAATATTGTACAAATCTGTAAGTGATGATCGGGTTTTCTTTTCAATTTCAAGGTATTTGGACTACATGTTTATTGTTTTCACAAATGCTTTTCATACTGTTAACAATCTCTGTCTCAAAACTACAAACAGCGAAAATGGGCCTTGGGCGCCCAAAATTATGCTTAATATGCTAAAACATATGCGCTATGTATCAGAACCAAACATTTTTCACCTTCCTACTGATATTTGTGAGATGATTTCATTCACTCCATCACAAGTAATATGTTCGACTTTCTTTGAAGATGTTAGGAAACCCCTTGCTCAAATGACACCACGCGCGAGTCTCGAAGGAGTATTTCATTCAGTTTTCGCTGAATAGAAGATTCAACCAAACACATTAAAGGTTTTAAATACTTTTTTCTCCGTACACTTGCGCTGTTTACTCTAAGGAAAGGGACTTTCTACCAACGAGCGTCTTAGGCTAACAGAAAAAATCTGAATCATCTTGCTTGTTGATCTATTGCTGCGTACAATAGAATATAAACCTTAGGTTGAAGGTCAAGCTTTTCCTTTCTTTTGGCAAAACACGCCGATACAGTTAAATGTTGCGTAACTCTTTTTGGCCTTTTTGCATTTCCAAGGGGAAATTTTCATTTAAATCTTATGCTGCCAAAGGCCTAAAAGGTCGCAAATACAATCAAAGTTTTCCATTTTTAACTCTGCTAGATGAACCAAATTGTGAGATATCGGTGGAAAGCGAAACAATCTTCTCAGGTGAAATAATCCCGCTCGGTGCCTCGCACTTCTTCCTTCTCCATTCTTCTTCCCTTCTATGAGTAGAAGAAAGGCCTTTGGCACTTATAGGGATGTATAATAATCAACTACGCATACGATATGTGTCGAAATTAGGGTGGTTTTCACTTCATATCAAAATTGTTTCGTCGATTACGTTCGCAAAAAACGAACTGCAAAAAGCAATTGTACAGACAGCTAGTTGCTTTAAAGCAGTACGTCAACCGAGTCTACAAAAAGCAAGTGTATAGTTACAATGCACTTTTATGTATGTGAGTTTTAAATGAGTCCAAAACACTTGAGCTTTCCAAGTGTGTGGTATCCCTTGTCACCATAATAATAGGCATCTCCAAACCTCAGTTGTTTCACTGGCAGCTTGGATTTGTCTTTGAGGAGGCCGCTGTCCTCTCGCCATGTGTTGTCATTCGCGTCACAGTTGCATCCGCGGTTAATGTTTGCACATGTATTATTCAAGCCGCATGCGCATTTGTAATCAACAGAATCAACTCCTCCCCAGTACTTCATCTTCTCTCCATCACGTGACACCCACCAGCCATACATGTTACCATTGGAGAGGAGCCGCGAGTTGAAGCACTCGTACTTTATAAACTGCTCACAGTGAGCTGATGAAGCTGTCAGGTTTGCCAGTTGAGCCATATCAGCCTCCGTGTAATTGATGGAGCGAGAATAAGAGCCTTTGGCACTAAACCCTCGCACCAACGTCCTGCCTTCACTGTCATGACTGACAACTGTCACTCCAACACCGTCCTTGTCAGTCATGTTACAATAGACTTTGAAAGGTTTCACTCCGCCCTCTCCATCAGGGTCGATGACGTAAGATCCACTTGGGAGATTACATAGTTTGACCTGACTGCAGGTTTTATCTCCTTGGAAGCAAAAAAGTAGAAATTGATTATAATTAAGTATATCTTATTTAATGCGTTCTTGGCATCTGATTAAACTCATGGGGGTTTTTATGGGAAGGATTACATTTCGTCAGAGAATCCGTGTACAATCATTAGCGTGCTTCGTATTCCCATTGTACATAATAATGACGTACAGTACGCAATGAAACGTAGCAAACTTTTACGTGAATAATGCTCTATCGCAGCAGCTGTGTGCTTATCTGGATGTGAAGCACTTAAGAGGTATGTAGAGCTCTCAAGAAGCTAAAGTTGTAAACGATTCAGTGAAAATGACCAATCACAAAAAAAATTGAATCAAAACCCTCTGCAAATGTAATTTTCAACATCTGAAAAAAAATAAAACAAAAAAAGCACACGAGCTGTTTTATACCTCCTCGTTTGCAGTGAGTTCCGCAGAATCCAGGCTTACAGTGACATTGATAGGAGTTCCACTCATAATTAGGATCACAGACACCACCGTTCTTACAGGGAGCGCTTTCACATGGAGACTGAAAATAGACCGAGAATGTTCCACAAACAGTACAATTTCTATTGATAAAAATACTTTTCAATCACCAAATATGCAAGGAGAGCTTACCCAAGGACTAAAATGATGGAATGTGGCATTCGCAAAGAGCTTTCCAGTAGCTCTGTACTTGTCAGTGACCAACAACTCACAAAGATAAAGACCATTGGAGTCAGGATACTCTGCCACGTTAAACGAATAGCACCTCGGTTCATTAACACAAAGGAAAGCGCAGAAAAACTGACCTTTTACCATGGACGATGTAAGTTTTTCTTCCCAAAGGTAATAGAAGGGGTTGCACTTAAAGTTACCGAGAGAAATTTCGCCTGTTGGATTTCGATAGAGAGCACTATTGGCAAACATCAGGTTAAGCAACGAAGGGAAAAATAATAAGAGTGGCAGGAGCAGCATGATGGTGGCTGTTGGACGACAACACCTGAATGAGGCGCTTTAAGATATAAAGCACTTTAATTGTGAAAAAGAAACTTATCCTTTTATGGTGTTGTTTGCTTTTTGTGATTAAAAGCCCATCTATGGGGCAGGTGCAACGCATGTTTGAATTACGAAATTTCGAGAGCTGGCGGAAAAAATTTTGAAAAATAACACATTCAGGCGTTTGGTATGACGGCTAATAATGTTCACGGCTGAAAAAATTGAATCGGCGGCCGAAAAGCAAAGCTTCGAGAGTAGATTTGAGATTTTGAGGACCTCTCAGCCAAGGGCATTATTTTTCGTATCGTGGTTTTAAAGCAAAGTTCTGTTAACTTCTTTGTACTTTCCGGAGCAGCATTTGAGACCAGTCTTTAATTCCCAACACCTGTGAACGCTGTAAAATGAGTTTTTCGCCCTTGTAATGTAACAAAGTCGAGAAGGTGAAACTGTTGGGCTTTTTTCGTTGGCTTTCTTGCTTTTCGACGGAAATAATCGGACAAATATCAACATAAGGTTATGGCCTGATAACTGTCCGTGGATTTTGTACCACGTCAAATAAGGAAAGGAAATAGAGCCGCGCGAAAATAAATGGACGGGTTTGATATTGCATATGTCGATAAAAAAGAACATTATAACCTCTTCTTACGAAAACAAGAAATGACATTTGTAATGTAGAATGTACAAATTCCCTTTGAGCTCATTGCAGCTCTGTGATCTGTACATTGCGTGAGATACATACATGTAAACTAATGCGGCAGACAATAATTTACCGAAAACGGTAAATATTTTTTCAAAATTCACTAGAAAATATTCATTAAAAAAGTTCACCTACTACTCTATATTTGGGTAACATCATGCTGAGAACAAGAAGAGAAGAGAAAAGCTGGCTATTTTTCAGAAATGGCTCGCATTTACCCTGAGACGACTCAGGCTTACGATGTTAAGTTCAGATGAATGAGTTTTTCGATATGTATAAGAAATCACGTGATCAAAAGTAGGCAAGTTTGTGACCTTCCACAATGTGCTCAAAATTCACGAATATGCACATATTTATTTGTGGAATATAGAAAAACATTATTTGTATTGTTTTCGAGCAGTTGGCATACTAAATCTCTGAAATACCCCCTTGTGTGAAGTCATTAAGGTGGCTGGACACAGTTTTCCGAGAAGCCTACCAATTATATCTTCAAAGCCCCCAAAAGCTATCTTTCCCCCTTTGCAGTCGAACCATTTCAAACATGTTGACCGAAGGATAGAAGTTCGAAAAAGTGGGCGTGGCAATGTGATCGCTTTTATTATGCTAATGTCATGGCAAATCCTGTTTAACAGTTTTGGTCGAAGGTCTCGTTAATTCCATAAAAATTAATTAAAACCTGAGGATTTTTCTTTCTTGATATAAGGCATCTCAGCCGGTGAATTTTTGCAAATTAAACCTTGCTGTTTGAAAATAATGAGCTGTTAAGTTTGATGTTGAGTTTTCATCCTCTTCGTGAAACTATTTACAAAAATAATTCTAAATCACGTTTTACTGCACTTACATCAATAATTTTTCAACAGCATGTCGTGTCTGGATAATTCTTTCTTTCAAAGAATTACAGCCACAATGAGATCTTTTTAGATGGCTTTAATTAGAACAGAAGGGAATTTATTTTTGAAACAATGAAAATCACCATCGATCCCATACATCGCCAAAGTAAACACAAATGAATAATGCATAAAACACAGGTGAAACCACAGGTGGCCCAAGCTCGCGTTTCGAGAAAAAGCAAACGATTAATCATGAAAGCGTCACGCGTTGTGTGACTCGGTGTTAAGTAACGATAGGAACCGTGGAGAATTTTAACGCGTTATAAAGAATAGTATGGGGACCTCGTCTTTTGACAGGAATAACAATAATGGAAAAGGAAGCTTTAAACGGCAGAAACCGCCAGAAACCACAGCGGACACAAGATGTGAGTAAGCGCTATTGATTTTATATGTAAAATTTTCATATTTCGAAATATTTATCGTTGTAAATCGACCATGTTTCGTTCACCATACTATTCCTTATAGCGTGTCAAATTCTAAATGGTTCCCCTCGCAACTTAACACCAAGTCACACAACGCGTGACGCTTTCATGAACTAATCACTGGCTTTCTCTCGAGACGTGAACCTCCGTAAGCTGCGCAGCGAGAGTCAAGTGCCTCATTTCCAGACCTTCCCCGGTGCTCTAACATCAATTTTTTTTTTCACTGATCTTTTTCGGACTCACACGACGGACTTAACCGAAAGGAAGGGACTGCTCATAGTCTAAAAGAATTGGATTTCTGATTAATACAACTTTGGAAATAAGAAAATAAATGAGAAATCAACAGGGAAACCGCCTTCCCTTTCCGCTGCGAATGTATGACAAGTTGAATGCATCAAAATGTCAGAGACATTTGGAATATACGTAATTTAGACTGTTTTAAAGAGATGTCTTTGATATAAATTAAGAACGAGAACCGATGAATCGATTCTAAATTATCAGGTAATCAGTTCATAACCTTTGTGCTGCTGCCGAGAAAGCCTAGTCCTGTGGAGCTTAAATGATGTGCACATTGTCTGGGCTTTTCAGATGCTATACCGATCTACCACGAGTGTCATGATTAAAGAACTGTTGCAATTTTCCATGTAATCGCATTAAGGTCATACAGCTCGTGAGATCATGGGAACTCGATGCGTAAAGATACTGACAGCAACTACCCGCCAAAGGAGAAAAAAAATCAATTAATTCATTAATTAACTTCTGCTCATAATTTCAGCTCGTTATCCATGCAAGAGCAGAAGTAAAAATTTAACAATTGCATCCGTAAGAGGAATGTTATCATTAAAGTGAAGCCAAACTCTTCCATCTAACTCACAGGTAAGTGTATTGCAGTTGACAGGAGAATTACAAGATTGATCAAGGAAACTCATGTAAACTTGTCATACAACCAGGTAGTTAAATCATCAGCGATTTATTTGTTCTGATTTGTTTTATTCCATCATTATCTGTTCCTTTTTTTTGGAATGACGTCATGTCTCTGATTTGTTTTCATTCATTGTAAATTCTCAAGAGGGTGATGAGAGCTCACCAACAGTTCAGCTTGAATGGGGCTCTGATGCAGGACAGTTGCGTCATTTGTCTTAAACTCCGGAGGGATTCTCTTCCAACGAGTGTCCAATGCTCAATGGAAAATATAAATAACTTTGTTTGTCGTAAACTGCAAATATCAGAAGGTTGTGAGACTCACATGGGAAACGGGGTTATCCAGCCCTGCGTGATGATTATATTTACGCTTAGGTTTGAAGACAATACTGTAATAACTCTCGCCGTAGTAAGACCAGATAAGCCAGGTCGATACAATAAAGATCAACAGAAACTCGGGATGGAGTATCTCATAATTTTATTTTTGCTTTCCGCTTGGTAGATTTCATTTTAATCATATAGCGCCAAGAATTAAATAGTTCTCGAATACCAACAAGTCGATCCATTTTAATTCCACTTGACGAACTAAATTGCAATATAACAATGGAGAGCAAAAATCTTCTGAGGTGGAATGATTTCGCGTTACCTCTTCTTCCTCTCTTTTTTTCCTACTTCTAAAAACAGAAAATTGTGCTTTCGGCACTTCTGATTGTGTATAACAATCTCCTATACGCATAGAAAAACTACCAATTTTCTCTCTTTTACTGTTTATGGATTTATGAATCTTAAATAAGTCAAAAACGCTTCAGCTTTCCAAGTGTGTGGTATCCCTTTTCATCAACATGACCGGTATCCTCAAACCTCAGTTCCTTGACGGGAAGCATGGATTTGTTTGTGAGTAAACCGCTATCGTTTTATCAGCTAAGGTCTTCGTTGTCGCAGTTGCTCTCGTAATAATTGTCTGCACATGTATTGTTCAAGCTGCATTCGCATTTGTAGTTAGAAGAATCAGCTCCTCCCTAGTACTTCATGTTCTCGCCGTCATTTGACATCCACCAGCTTTACTTTAAGCCTGTTTTGTGATTTACTCACGATGATCGGGATAAAGCGTAGTCTCTCTGTTTTTTTTCCCTAAGTCAATACATATCACGCTCTATTTCTTAAAGGCATCGTGCTTATGCCTTCCCCTTCATTAAAGTGAATTTTGCGTCTGAAGTGTGAGGAGGATGCCCGCAGGCAACGAGCACGCGGAGTTGAGGGCGCCGATTACCGCGCCATAAACGTCAGCACCAAGGCAGGTTATACTTATTGCGCATGCTCATATTTATCATCAGGTTATTTCACCTTACTCTCCGCTACTTCTTCCTATGAAGTGCTGCGGTGACGTTGCCGGCAATTTAGACTTTTTCAGCTGCAATAGAGCGACTGTGAAGAAATAACAGGCCTCGATAGGCGAGAAGAATCCATCCACATAGCGACTTTGCGATCATCGATAGGCAGAGGATTTTGAGTGATTTTTTACCTTTACAAATCATTTTCACATCATTTATAACTTCGTCTTAAAACTGCTTTGTGGACCAAATAAACCATGACGATACAGTTAAAACTCAGGATTGAGTATCTCTTAATCGCTTTTTATTTTTCTGCTTGGTAAATCGCATTTTAATCATCTGACATTACCAATGGCCTCAAACTCAATCAAATTAATCCACTTTTACTCTGCTAGACAAACTAAAAGCGATATTGCGATGGAAAGGTAAAATATTTTCACCTCTAAAAATGGAAAAAATGAGCTTTTGGCACCAAAATATTCTACTGCGCAAAGGACATCTGTCCAAACTAGGATGGTTTTCACTTGACGTTAAAATCAATTCATTGATTTCTTTTGCATAAAGAAACTAACCGCCTTTCAAGAAAAAGTTAAACTTTAAGATGATAGATCAGGCCAGTCTACATATCGTTGGTATACAGTTACAGTGTATTATATTGTCATACTGTTAACAATCTCTGTCTCAAAACTACAAACAGCGAAAATGGGCCTTGGGCGCCCAAAATTATGCTTAATATGCTAAAACATATGCGCTATATATCAGAACCAAACATTTTTCACCTTCCTACTGATATTTGTGAGATGATTTCATTCACTCCATCACAAGTGATATGTTCGACTTCCTTTGAAGATGTTAGGAAACCCCTTGCTTAAATGACACCACACACGAGTCTCGAAGGAATATTTCATTCAGTTTTCGTTGAATAGAAGATTCAACCAAACACATTAAAGGTTTTAAATACTTTTTTCTCCGTACACTTGCGCTGTTTACTCTAAGCAAAGGGACTTTCTACCAACGAGCGTCTTAGGCTAACAGCCTAACAGTTAAATGTTGGGTAACTCTTTTTGGCTTTTTTGCATTTCCAAGGGGAAATTTTCATTTAAATCTTATGCTGCCAAAGACCTGAAAGGTCGCAAATACAATCAAAGTTTTCCATTTTTAACTCTGCTAGATGAACCAAATTGTGAGACATCGGTGGAAAGCGAAACAATCTTCTCAGGTGAAGGGATCCCGCTCGGTGCCTCGCTTCCCTTCTATGAGTAGAAGAAAGGCCTTTGGCACTTATAGGGATGTATAATAATCTACTACGCATACGATATGTGTCGAAATTAGGGTGGTTTTCACTTCATATCAAAATTGTTTCGTCGATTACGTTCGCAAAAAGTTAACTGCAAAAAGCAATTGTACAGACAGCTAGTTGCTTTAGGGCGGTACGTCAACCGAGTCTACAAAAAGCAAGTGTATAGTTACAATGCACTTTTTTGTATGTGAGTTTTAAATGAGTCCAAAACACTTGAGCTTTCCAAGTCTGTGGTATCCCCTGTTGCTGTAATAATAGGTATCTCCAAACCTCAGCTGTTTCACTGGCAGCTTGGATTTGTCTTTGAGGAGGCCGCTGTCCTCTCGCCATGTGGGGTCATTCTTGTCGCAGTTGCATCCGTAGTTAATGTTTGCACATGTATTATTCAAGCCGCATGCGCATTTGTAATCAACAGAATCAACTCCTCCCCAGTACTTCATCTTCTCTCCATCACGTGACACCCACCAGCCGTACATGTCTCCATTGAAGAAGAGCACTGAGTGGTAGCACTCGTACTTTATAAACTGCTCACAGTAAGCTGATGAAGCTGTCAGGTTCGCCAGTTGAGCCATATCAGCCTCCGTGTACTTGATGGAGCGAGAATAAGAGCCTTTGCCATCAAACCCTCGCACCAACGTCCTGCCTTCACTGTCATGACTGACAACTGTCACTCCAACACCGTCCTTGTCAGTCATGTTACAATAGACTTTGAAAGGTTTCACTCCGCCCTCTCCGTCAGGGTCGATGACGTAAGATCCACTTGGGAGATTGCATAGTTTGATGTGACTGCAGGTTTTATCTCCTTAGAAGCAAAAAAGAAGAAATTGATTACAAGTATTTTTTTTCATGCGCTCTTAGCATCGAATTAAACTCATGGGGTTTTAATGGAGAGGATAACATTTGGTCAGAGAATTCGTTCATTAGCGTGCTTCATATTTCCATTGTACACAATGATGACATAGTGTACGTATTGAAAGGAAGCAAACTTTTGCGTTAAAGCTGCTCTATCGCGACAGCTGTGTGTTTATCTGGATATGAAGCTCTTAAGACGTATGAAGAGCTCTCAAGAGGCTATAATTGTGAACGCTTCAGTGAAAATAACCAATCACAAAAAAGTTGAAGCTAAACTTTCTACAAATGTATTTTTCAACATCTGAAAAAAAAAAGTACCCACACAAAAACCATTTTCTACCTCCCCGTTTGCAGTGAGTTCCGCAGAATCCAGGCTTACAGCCACAATAATAGGAGTTCCACTCATACTCAGGGAAACAGACACCACCGTTCATACAAGGAGCACTTTCACATGGAGACTGAAAAGAGACCGAGAACGTTCCACAAACAATACAATTTCTATCGATAAAAATGCGTTTCAATCACCAAATATGTAAGAAGAGCTTACCCCAGGACTGAAGTGACTGAATGTGGCATTTGCAAAGAGCTTTCCAGTAGCTCTGTACTTGTCAGTGACCAACAACTCACAAAGATAAAGACCGTTGGAGTCAGGACACTCTGCCACGTTAAACGAATAGCACCTCGGTTCACCAACACAAAGGAAAGCGCAGAAAAACTGACCTTTTACCATGGACGATGTAAGTATTTCTTCCCAAAGGTAATGGAAGGGGTCGCACTTAAAGTTACCGAGAGAAAGGTTGCCTGTTGGATTTCGATAGAGAGCGCTGTTCTGCATGGCAAACATCAAGTTAAGCAACGAAGGGAAAAATATTAAGAGTGGCAGGAGCAGCATGATGGTGGCTGTTGGACGACAACACATGAATGAGCTGCTTATTGATACAATTTACTTTAGTTGTGAATTAAAAACTCATCCTTTTATGGTATTTGTTTGGTTTCTATGACTAAAAGTCGCATCTATGGAGCAGGTGCAACGCATGTTTGAATTACGAAATTTCGAGAGCTGGCCGAAATAATGTGTAAAGAAACCATATTCAGGCGTCTGGTATGTCGGTTGATAATGTCCACGGCTGAGAAATTGTCCATAAAATGAATTTATTGGCCGAGAAGCAAGGCTTCAAGAGGAAATTTGAAATTTTGAGGACAGTCTCTCAGCCAAGGGTATTATCAGCCGACATGCCAGCAAGCTAGAAGGGGGGATATTTATTTCATAACCCTCACATTAATTTTCGTTTCGAGCGTTTAAAACAAATTTTTGTTATCTTTTTTTGTACCTTCCAAAGTTGGATCGCCCTAACCTTATGGGAAATCCTGTTAAGCAGTTTCAGTCGACGGTGTTGGTAATTTCATAAAAATTATCTACAACTTGAGGATTTTTCTTTCTTCAGATAAGGCATTGCAGCCAGGTGAATCTTGCAAATTAAATCTTGCTGTTTCAAAACAATGAGCTGTTAAGTTTAGTGTTGAGTTTTCAGCTTCTACAGGAAACTATTTACAGAAAGAATTCCAAGTATTACGGCATATACGTCAATAATGTTTCAACAGCATGTCGTATCTAAATAGTTCTTTCTTGCTTTTATTATGCTAATGTTATGGGAAATCCTGTTAAACAATCTTAGTCGACGGTCTCGGTAATTTCATAACAATTATCAACAACTTGAGGATTTTTCTTTCTTCAGATAAGCCGTCGCAGCCAGGTGAATCTTGCAATTTAAATCTTGCTGTTTCAAAATAATGAGCTGTTAAGTTCAGTGTTGCGTTTTCAGATTCTACTGGAAACTATTTACAGAAAGAATTCTAAATCAAGTTTTACTGCACATGCATAAATAATTTTTCAACAGCATGTCGTGTCTGGATAGTTCTTTCTTTCAAACAATGAACTGAGCCAGTTACAGCCGCAGTGAGATCCCCGTAGATGGCTTCGAGTAAAACACAAAGCAGTATTTTTTTAAAAAAAATGGAAAACACCATCGAAGATTGCGAAAAATGTAGGTAAACTGAACAAACTCATGGAGGAACTTCTCAGTTGTCTAAATTTAGTGTCTGTAACTCCTGAGTCTCTCAAGTAAGACCCCCTTAGGTACTGTTTTTATGCAATATCCTTTGCGTTGGTTATTTGGAGAAGCTAGAACCCTGAGACGTCTACATCAAAATGAACTATCGCTATGATCATTATATTTGACTGCTGATAATAATTTGTCTGTACCAGCATTGTTCACGTAAACAAGTATTGTAACCTATTAATACATTTAATAGCGCGTGCCTGCTTCATTTTGTTATCGTGCTAATGATGCTTTTGCATACAAGGAAGTTTATTAGAGGAAATCGCTCCTCATCATTCAAATTTCAAACTAAATTTTAAGAATGTTGAACATAAAAAAAGATTGGCTCAAAAAATCAAGAAGCTCGAGTTGCTCTAGGTATTCTCACGCATCTCTCCTGCTCCCAGCGTAAAATAATCAAACGACCTATGGTGTTTTTATCTTCAGACCACCTAGTATAACATGTTATGTTCACAGTTTTTTTAAACTTCTTACCCTATTAATTTTGGAAAATATTGAACAAGGGAAAAAAGGGAAGTTTTCAACTTTCTTTTATCAGTTTTTGCGTGAATAATGAAAACATCGAAGAAACATCGAACGCATGTTTCATTGCCATCGACGGTGAGTCGAAGGGAAACTTAACAGGTAACTTTTTTGTAATATAATATATACATTTAGCCAAGCCTAAAGGCGGAGCTCGCATTTTTTTCTCGCACGTCTCAAGGGCACAACGCCTTGCCCCGGCCAGGACTAGAACCCGGGTCGTCCGACTCGGAGCCTAGTGGACTGACCTCTGGACTACTGAACAAAGCCGTGGCGTTGGCGTGCCCCCGGTACAATTGACCAAGCATGTTGAAAGCGGCACCTTGTACGGTCGTACGGTCGTACATCCAAATTTTTTCGGCTTGATGGGTTACTACTATTTTGTATAATTATGGAGCTACGCTCTACGTGCTCCGCTATGATTATATACAATATGCATTATTGAAAGTGGCGGTGTTCGTAGTCGAATTTTAGTTATGGCTCATTTGAGAAAAAATTTGTGAAGTATATAAAAATTCACACGGCAACCAGGTGGACAATCAGACATAGTTTGATGCTACTCTGGTTTGCAGATTTAATGAATGTAACCGAAGAAGTTACAATTCATAGACCCAACGTTTCGACACTCCTGTCTGGTGCCTTCATCAGGGGTGATCTAAACTCTGCAACAAGAAGTCCTTTTATATGATCACTGATTAGCGGCCTTTTTTCTGACGAGATGTAAATAGGCGTCAGGAAGCAAACCGCCATCGTCACGATTTAAAGGAGCGTAGGCGGAGTTCAGGCGGTGTGCGCACTCTGATTGCGTTGCATCATGGTCGTAAAACGAAAAGCGAGTCATTTACATCCTGTCGCGGTCGAGTGAACATCCTTGGTGGCAGTAAGATAGCGCGAATAAACTCGTAGAATGTGATGGGGATTCACTGCCTGTTGCCATTCCTTCGGAAGTTAAAAAGTGTTGGCAGGCCTGCGCGACTCCTGCTATTCCTCCGTGACAAATTCGTTGTTGGGAGGCAACTGAAGAGATTCAAAAAGAATCGAAACTGCAGCCTTGCCCAAGAATCTATTCATTTGACACTCACAGCCGATGGCTGTGTGAATAATATCAAATTCGCGAGTTATTTAACAGGGAATCAACCCTTGACATGCAAACTCATTACAAAGAGACAGCTACCTTCTTATACACGAATTATTTTTCATGTCATACACTTAAAAAAAAAAAAAAGGAAAGTCATTAAAAGATATATTAATAACAGCTAAGTTTTCAGGTCAGAAGATTTAAAAGCGCAAGCGAATGACAGGAGTCTCACAAGTCTATCAACACTTTTTCACGATCGACTGCATTTTGCTTTCCGGCTTACCCGGCATGTCGCCGTGTGTATTGTAGAGTTATTCAGTGGTCAAGTGACTTCTTTTATTACTCTAATTCAACTGTCCTTCATTCAATGATCAAGATAGTAGATTTACCATACAACACTCGCGATTAGTTAATTTGCTTCTACTTAGATTTACGACACAATTGAGTATACAATAGTAACGCGGTGTAACGCAACAATAGGCCTTTTCTTGGTCATAATCGGTCTCAAACACTAGCACTTAAAATGCGCGAAACAGATGTACCGTTGGAGAGCGTTTGAAAGCGTTTAGTCAGAGCTGTTGAAGAAGGATCAAAGCGGCCATCCAAATCTTTGAAAGGCTCCAAACTACGACGTACATCAAATCTGACCTTCTCGAAAACTGGTCTCAAATTACATACTAAAAAACAGTGATTGCGTTTGTTCTTGAGAACCATGGAATACGCGACAAATACGTACAAAAAATACTTTTACACATTCAGAATAAATCAGGTTATATTTACCTATGGTGAAAGGAAAAAGGAGTGGCCTAACTTTTACAGAATGTTCAGTCAAAATCTGCCGATTTCTGCCGCTTTCACCGCCATATTGAAAATGAAGCTACCACAATGCAAAGCAATCGGAGTGCGCACACCGCCTGGGCGGAGTTAATATGCCAAGCCTCCAAACAAAGGCGCTGGCGGTAACGCCGATTAGTGGTGATAATTTTAGAATTATCCCACCCAATTGTATGGTTAGTTAGGCATGTATGCTCCGATAAAGCTGAATTTTCCTTTTTGCAAAGGAAAACCGCTTTTTGGTGCTCTTTTAACCGTGTACCAAACTGATGTTTGGTCTGTCCGATGTATTCGTTATCACAGTCATTGCAAGGAATAGAATAAATGGCGTCGGTTCGTTGTTCTTTCATGACAGGATCCCTAGGTTTGGCGAAAATATGCCCCTGAGCAACTTTAACGTTGTGGCTATTCAAAATTCTCTTGATGGGTTCCGTAACACCCTGTATGTAAGGAAACAGCAAAACCAGTCGCTGGTTCCCTTTCATCAAGAGCGTTACTATTTGTAACTGGTTTTTGGCAGTTACGGAGAAAAGTTTTTGTATAGCCATTTGCCTTTAGGACATTGGAAACATATTTCCGCTCCTCAGGCTTCGGATCGAGTGAAGATGGTAGACAGTCAGCCCTCCTAAGTAAAGTTTTGGCTACAGACTTTTTATGGCAAATAGGGTGGTGAGAATCGAAGGCTAGGTATTTGTCGGTGTGGGTAGGTTTACGGTAGACACTTGTCTCTAAATTATCCTGAACTCCTCTGGACACATTTAAATCAAGAAAGGGCAAATGTCTATCCTTTTCACGCTCAAGGGTGAATTGGATCGACGGCTCTACTGAATTCAAATGCGACAAGAGGCGCTCCGCTTCATTTCCGGATACCGCAGAAATAACATCATCGACATATCGTTTCCAGAAAAAGGGTTTAACCGGTGAAGTGGCTAAGGCCCTTTGTTCCACGTCTCCATTACCATGTTAGTAATGACAGCAGAGATGGGCGAACCCATCGCTGTCCCAAAACGTGTTGATAGTAGGTGCCGTTATATGTAAATTGCGTGGTTTTGAGGCAAAAAGACAGCAGATGAATAATATCCTCCACAGGCAAAGAAGTTCTTTGTCCCAGGGAAGCATCATCTCTGAGTCTCTCCTCTGCAACCTTAACGGCAAGATCAACTGGGATTTTGGTGAAGAGCGAAACAACGTCGAAAGATACTAATTCTTCACAAGCGTTAAGAGTTTTATCTCTTCTGAAATCCGCAAATTCGAAGGAATTTTTGACAGTGTAATCAGTATTCCCAACAACAGGCGACAAAATTCTCGTAAGATAACCAGAAATTGCATAAGTCGGAGAATTAACAAAAGAGACAATTGGTCTCAAAGGAATTCCCGTTATGAATTTTAGGTAAGCCATAAAAACGTGGTGAGTGAGCGTAGTGATAAATTCTATAGATTCTAGGCGGGCCTCTAAAGCGAAAAGAGGCTAAGGGGGTTAAAATCAGTGTGGTGTGATGCGCCAAAAGTAAATGCAGCCAAATGGTAAGTAACGTGTCGGACCTCGAGCCTTGGCTGGGTAATTGGGTATTGCGTTAAAAGTGCTCTATCGCCACAGCTGTGTGTTTATCTGGATATGAAGCTCTTAAGACGTATGAAGAGCTCTCAAAAGGCCATAGTTGTGAACACTTCAGTGAAAATGACCAATCACAAAAATAAAGCTAAACCTTCTACAGATGTATTTTTCAACATCTGGGAAAAAAAGACGTACACACACAAAAGCCATTTTATACCTCCTCGTTTGCAGTGAGTTCCACAGAATCCAGGCTTACAGTCACAGTGATAGGAGTTCCACTCATACTCAGGGACGCAGACACCACCGTTCATACAAGGAGCACTTTCACATGGAGACTGGAAAGAGACCGAGAACGAATGAATGAATGTGGCATTTGCAAAGAGCTTTCCAGTAGCTCTGTACTTGTCAGTGACCAACAACTCACAAAGATAAAGACCGTTGGAGTCAGGATACTCTGCCACGTTAAAAGAATCGCACCTCGGTTCACCAACACAAAGGAAAGCGCAGGAAAACTGACCTTTTACGATGGACGATGTAAGTTTTTCTTCCCAAGGTAATAAAAGGGGTCGCACTTAAAGTTACCGTGAGAAATTTCGCCTGTTGGATTTCGATAAAGAGCGCTGTTCTGCATGGCAAACATCAAGTAAGCAACGAAGGGAAAAATATTAAGAGTGGCAGGAGCAGCATGATGGTGGCTGTTGGACGACAACACCTGAATGAGCTGCTTTAAGATATATAGCACTTTAATTGTGAATAATAAAACTTATCCTTTTATAGTATTTGTTTGCTTTTTATGATAAAAAGTCGCATCTAGGGAGCAGGTGTAACGCATGTTTGAATTACGAAATTTCGAGGGCTGGCAGAAATAACGTGCAAAGAAACCACATTTAGGCGTCTGGTATGTTGGCTGATAATGTCCATGGCTGAAAAATTGTTTATAAAGTGAATCGTTGGCCGAGAAGCAAGGCTTCGAGAGGAAATTTGAAATTTTGAGGACAGTCTCTCAGCCAAGGGTATTACATTACCAGCAATGCGAGTCATATTGCGTCTCAAATACCGTACGTCAATCAAAGATTACTTTCAAAATGGCTTCCCGAAGATACAAAGAAATGTATGGGATCTGAAATAAAATCTTATTTTTTGGCAGTTTAAATAAATTAAATTCTACGTGCCGACCTCTCGTTGATAAATAATATGCAACTGCACTACGAAGCGAAAGTTTTTTCACCGTTTCGTTTATTCGTCGAGCCGCGGAATAGAGGTAAAATAACAAAGATCTTCGGTTGTACTTCCTTTATAGTTTCATCCAAATACCTTCACTTACCTTCACTTCCATGCTTTGAGCTGTCCGTGTGTTTCATGCTTTCATCGGTGCCGACCCCTCAAAATTTTCTTCAGTTTACGATCTTTCAAATACGTTAAATAAAGCCTTCCATGATAAAATAGGAGGCCGCAAATCAATCTTGAAAATAGGGCTTTTTCACTATTAGACGTAACCTTTACCTGAGCTCGCGAATGTCCTGTAGGACGCGAAGAACGACCACTTTCCATCGTTTTTTCGTGAAAAAAAAAAAGTCGCCATATTTACTTCAGCTTAGCAGCCTAGCATTTCCACGCTTTTTACCGCTGTTTTAACAATCTGCAGACTCCTACAAGCGCCAAATCGCGCCAATTATAAAAAACAAAACTTGTATCACTGTGAGCTCATTCCAGTCTGAATCGTCAAAAAATGTCTGATGTTTTGCTCGATTTCGAAAAGAAATCCCTAGAATTTCAACTTAAGGTCACTGAATCTCCTCTTTCTTATATAAAACAGCAATGCGTTCAAGAATCTCGAATAGCGAGATAGAGCTGTTTATGAACTTACTTCGATTGTAGTATAAATTTCATCCGAAGTAAAATATAGCTGCAGGAACATAAAAGGGTCAATACACATACCTCGTTCTTCAATCTTCGCCGGCTGATAAGTCTCTCCACAAAATAAACTTTAGATCCGCTTTTAAATTTTCTCCTTCCTTTCAAATGAACTTCTAAATCCACTGTAGAAAGAACATTTAGTGCTTTATAATCAACTCGATTCCTCCGCGGAAATCTACTTCGCTCCATGTTTACATGAAATCTGACGCCATAGCGCATGAACAGTAGAACCTGAAGAAACTACTGACCTCGCGGACCGCGGGAGTAAAATGTCTCGGATTGCTGGTAATGATCAGCCGATAAGCCAGAAAGCTAGAAGAGGGTATATTTATTTTATAACCCTCACATTAATTTTCGTATCGTGCGTTTAAAACATTTTATTGTACTTTCCAAAGTAGCATTTGAGGTCAGCCTTTTATTATAAACACCTGTGGACTCTACAAAATAAGGTCGTTTTTCTTCCTTTGTAAAATAATAGATTCGAAAAAATGAAACTCTCGGGCTTTTTTCGTCGGCTTTCTCGCCGGCTTTCTTATATAGGGTTATTGCCTAATTATTGTCCGTTGATTTTGTACCAAGTCAGATATAGTAGCCAATCGATAACAAAGAATATTATAACCTTCTCTTACGAAAACAGAAATGACATTCGTAATGTAGAATGTACAAATTCCCTTCGAGCCCATTGCAGCTCTGTAACCTGTTCAAGGCGTGAGATACATTCTTTTAACTAATGTGGCTGACAATAATTTACCAAAAACGGTCAAGGTTTTTTTAAAATTCACTACAAAATATTTATTTAAACAGTTTACTTTCTACTCTATACTTGAGTAACATCATGCTGAGAGAAAGAAGAGAAGAGAAAAGGTTGTTATTTTCAATAAATGACTCGGGTTTACCCTGAGGCGATCCAGGCTTACGATGTTAAGTTCAGATAAATAAGCTTTTCGATATGTATTGGAAATCGCGCCATCAAGAGGAGGCAAGTTTGTAACCTTTCACAGGGTTTTTGAGGCCTGAATTGACGGCACACTTAATGTGTTCCAATTCGCAGATATGCACATACTTTTTTTTGTGGAACATAGGAGTACATCATTTGTATATTTTTCGAGCAGCTGGCATGCTAAACCTTTGATATCCCGCTTAGCGTGAAGCCATTAAGGTGGCAGGAAACAGTTTTCCGAGACGCCTACCGAATATATATTCAAAGCGCCAAAAATCCATCTTTCCCTCTTCGCTATCAAACCAATTCAAACGTGACAACCAAAGGATAGAGGTATGAAAAAAGTGGGCGTGGAAATGTGATCGCTTTTATTATGCAAATGCTGTAGCTCCTGAGTATTTCAAGTTACACCCCCTAAAATACTTTTTTAATGCAATACTCTTTGTGTTGGTTATTTGGAGAGCTAGAATCTTGAGACGTCTACCTCAAAATGAATAATCACCATGATCATTGTATTAATATTTGACTGCTGATAATATTTTGTCTGTACCAGCATTGTTCACGTAAACAAGTATTGTAACCTATTAATACATTTAATAGCGCGAGCCTGCTTCGTTTTGTTATCGTGCTAGTAATGTTTTTGCGCACAATGAAGTGGAGGAAATCGCTCCTCATCATCCAAATTTCAAACTTCCTTGTTAATAATGTTAAATATAAAAGTAAATTGGCTCAAAAAACTCAAGAAGCTCGAGTTGCTCGAGGCATTTTCACGCATCTTTCTTGCGTGTTTTTATCTTCAGACTGCCTGAAAATAACATGTTATCTTTACAGTTTTTTTAAACTTCTTGCCCCAATCAATTTGGGAAAATATTGGATAAGGAAAAAAGGGAAGTTTTCAACTTTCTTTTATCAGTTTTTACGTGAATAATGAAAACATCGAAGAAACATCGAACGCATGTTTCATTGCCATCGACGGTGAGTCGAAGAGCAGCTTAACAGGTGACTTTTTAGTAGTATGTGATTATATACAAGCATTATTCAAAGTGACGGTGTTCGTAGTCGAATTTTAGTTATGGCTCATTTGAGAAAAAATTTCTGAAGGTTAAGCATGGAGGCGTATCGTTTGATAGAACATGAGAATACAGTCAGAGGGTTTATTGCGTGACAATCAAAAAGATTTTTGACGTGTCATCTATGTAAAAGGGAAACTTAATTGGGGGAGGAAGGAAGGCTCGGGATTCTCATCCACAGTTTTCCGCGTCTCCACCTAGAACGCCAAGGAAGACGATACAGGTTCGGCGACCAAAAGATAAGAAGAAAACCATCGGCTGGCATTTTTAGGCTTTAATGCGCCAAAAGTAAATGCGGCCGAATGGTAAGTAGCGAGTTGGACCTCGAGCCTTGGCTGGGTAATTGTGTTGCTTTCGTGGAAAATGCAATTTATGTTTTTGATCAGTGCCACTAACACGCATGCGCATAGTGACATTGATCAGATAGCTACTAATGCAGTGGCTCCCTTCCTCACTCCACCCTTAAGAGATACTCGCCAGCCTCTGATGATCTCCTTTTTTCACTCGTCTTGATATTGTGTTTACCGTATTTCTGGTTTCTAGAATTGAAGTTGGAGGCATTGTTCACAGAATTGAAGCCAACTGCCCTCAAGGAGGGTAGCAGTATCCAGGCCGTTTATTCAATCGCACCTTGATGAAGTGTGTGCCTTTTGTCTTCATTTATTTTATGAAAGAGGTTTTCAAACTCTTATTTGAACGTCCAGCTTAACTTGCATTCTTAATCATATAAATCAAGCCAGTCATCGATGAAAGATGTCTTAACAGTTTTGGTTTAGAGTATAACAACTTGACCGATAGACTCTGAAGAGGAAGCTCTCTCTCGAGCCTCTCTTTACATGATAAACAATCAGGTAAGCAAATGTGGTACAACCATAACATTCCTCTTTAGGATTCTGATACGTTATTCAGGAATCATTGGAGCTTATGTTAGCTTGTTATGCATGCAGACAGTTATATTATCAGTAACTAATTTGTTGTGGTCTGTATTATTTCATTTAATTTTTTGATAGTGATAGTGCCTCACCAACGGCTCAGTTAGAATGGGGCCTTTGAAATTTTTGTTGACTCAGTGTACTTGAGTTGCTTTCTTTAATCTAAGATAATTTATATCAACGAGAGTCTCAGACGTACGGGAAAAAACCTAAAGGACCGAGTTTGTTGAAAAGTACAATTGTCAGAATTTTGGGAGACCAACAAGGCAAACGTACGTAGTTGTTTAATCGTCATACACTGTAGAACAATATTGTACAAATCTGTAAGTGATGATCGGGTTTTCTTTTCAATTTCAAGGTATTTGGACTACATGTTTATTGTTTTCACAAATGTTTTTCATACTGTTAACAATCTCTGTCTCAAAACTACAAACAGCGAAAATGGGCCTTGGGCGCCCAAAATTATGCTTAATATGCTAAAACATATGCGCTATATATCAGAACCAAACATTTTTCACCTTCCTACTGATATTTGTGAGATGATTTCATTCACTCCATCACAAGTAATATGTTCGACTTCCTTTGAAGATGTTAGGAAACCCCTTGCTCAAATGACACCACGCGCGAGTCTCGAAGGAGTATTTCATTCAGTTTTCGTTGAATAGAAGATTCAACCAAACACATTAAAGGTTTTAAATACTTTTTTCTCCGTACACTTGCGCTGTTTGCTCTAAGCAAAGGGACTTTCTACCAACGAGCGTCTTAGGCTAACAGAAAAAATCTGAATCATCTTGCTTATTGATCTATTGCTGCGTACAATAGAATATAAACCTTAGGTTGAAGGTCAAGCTTTTCCTTTCTTTTGGCAAAACACGCCGATACAGTTAAATGTTGGGTAACTCTTTTTGGCTTTTTTGCATTTCCAAGGGGAAATTTTCATTTAAATCTTATGCTGCCAAAGGCCTAAAAGGTCGCAAATACAATCAAAGTTTTCCATTTTTAACTCTGCTAGATGAACCAAATTGTGAGATATCGGTGGAAAGCGAAACAATCTTCTCAGGTGAAGTGATCCCGCTCGGTGCCTCGCACTTCTTCCTTCTCCATTCTTCTTCCCTTCTATGAGTAGAAGAAAGGCCTTTGGCACTTAAAGGAATGTATAATAATCTACTACGCATACGATATGTGTCTAAATTAGGGTGGTTTTCACTTCATAACAAAATTGTTTCGTCGATTACGTTCGCAAAAAGCGAACTGCAAAAAGCAATTGTACAGACAGCTAGTTGCTTTAAAGCGGTACGTCAACGGAGTCTACAAAAAACAAGTGTATGGCTACAATGCACTTTTTTGTATGTAAGTTTTAAATGAGTCCAAAACACTTGAGCTTTCCAAGTGTGTGGTATCCCTTGTCACCATAATAATAGGCATCTCCAAACCTCAGTTGTTTCACTGGCAGCTTGGATTTGTCTTTGAGGAGGCCGCTGTCCTCTCGCCATGTGGGGTCATTCGCGTCACAGTTGCATCCGCGGTTAATGTTTGCACATGTATTATTCAAGCCGCATGCGCATTTGTAATCAACAGAATCAACTCCTCCCCAGTACTTCATCTTCTCTCCATCACGTGACACCCACCAGCCGTACATGTTACCATTGGAGAGGAGCTGTGAGTTGTAGCACTCGTACTTTATAAACTGCTCACAGCGAGCTGATGAAGCTGTCAGGTTTGCCAGTTGAGCCATATCATTCTCCGTGTAATTGATGGAGCGAGAATAAGAGCCTTTGGCACTAAACCCTCGCACCAACGTCCTGCCTTCACTGTCATGACTGACAACTGTCACTCCAACACCGTCCTTGTCAGTCATGTTACAATAGACTTTGAAAGGTTTCACTCCGCCCTCTCCATCAGGGTCGATGACGTAAGATCCACTTGGGAGATTACATAGTTTGATCTGACTGCAGGTTTTATCTCCTTGGAAGGAAAAAAAAGTAGAAATTGATTATAATTAAGTATATCTTATTTAATGCGTTCTTGGCATCTGATTAAACTCATGGGGTTTTTATGGGAAGGATTACATTTCGTCAGAGAATCCGTGTACAATCATTAGCGTGCTTCGTATTCCCATTGTACATAATAATGACGTACAGTACGCAATGAAACGTAGCAAACTTTTACGTGAATAATGCTCTATCGCAGCAGCTGTGTGCTTATCTGGATGTGAAGCACTTAAGAGGTATGTAGAGCTCTCAAGAAGCTAAAGTTGTAAACGATTCAGTGAAAATGACCAATCACAAAAAAAATTGAATCAAAACCCACTGCAAATGTAATTTTCAACATTTGAAAAAAAAAATAACAAAACAAAAAAAGCACACGAACTGTTTTATACCTCCTCGTTTGCAGTGAGTTCCGCAGAATCCAGGCTTACAGTGACATTGATAGGAGTTCCACTCATAATTAGGATCACAGTCACCACCGTTCTTACAGGGAGCGCTTTCACATGGAGACTGAAAATAGACCGAGAATGTTCCACAAACAGTACAATTTCTATTGATAAAAATACCTTTCAATCACCAAATATGCAAGGAGACCTTACCCAAGGACTAAAATGATGGAATGTGGCATTTGCAAAGAGCTTTCCAGTAGCTGTGTACTTGTCAGTGACCAACAACTCACAAAGATAAAGACCGTTGGAGTCAGGATACTCTGCCACGTTAAACGAATAGCACCTCGGTTCATTAACACAAAGGAAAGCGCAGAAAAACTGACCTTTTACCATGGACGATGTAAGTTTTTCTTCCCAAAGGTAATAGAAGGGGTCGCACTTAAAGTTACCGAGAGAAATTTCGCCTGTTGGATTTCGATAAAGAGCACTATTGGCAAACATCAGGTTAAGCAACGAAGGGAAAAATAATAAGAGTGGCAGGAGCAGCATGATGGTGGCTGTTGGACGACAACACCTGAATGAGCTGCTTTAAGATATAAAGCACTTTAATTGTGAAAAAAAAACTTATCCTTTTATGGTGTTGTTTACTTTTTGTGATTAAAAGCCCATCTATGGGGCAGGTGCAACGCATGTTTGAATTACGAAATTTCGAGAGCTGGCGGAAAAAATTTTGAAAAATTACACATTCAGGCGTTTGGTATGACGGCTAATAATGTTCACGGCTGAAAAAATTGAATCGGCGGCCGAAAAGCAAAGCTTCGAGAGTAGATTTGAGATTTTGAGGACCTCTCAGTCAAGGGCATTATTTTTCGTATCGTGGTTTTAAAGCAAAGTTTTGTTAACTTCTTTGTACTTTCCGGAGCAGCATTTGAGACCAGTCTTTAATTCCCAACACCTGTGAACGCTGTAAAATGAGTTTTTCGCCCTTGTAATGTAACAAAGTCGAGAAGGTGAAACTGTTGGGCTTTTTTCGTTGGCTTTCTTGCTTTTCCACGGAAATAATCGGACAAATATCAACATAAGGTTATTGCCTGATAACTTTCCGTTGATTTTGTACCACGTCAAATAAGGAAAGGAAATAGAGCCGCGCGAAAATAAATGGACGGGTTTGATATTGCATATGTCGATAAAAAAGAACATTATAACCTCCTCTTACGAAAACAAGAAATGACATTTGTAATGTAGAATGTACAAATTCCCTTTGAGCTCATTGCAGCTCTGTGATCTGTACATTGCGTGAGATACATACATGTAAACTAATGCGGCAGACAATAATTTACCGAAAACGGTAAATATTTTTTCAAAATTCACTAGAAAATATTCATCAAAAAAGTTCACCTACTACTCTATATTTGGGTAACATCATGCTGAGAACAAGAAGAGAAGAGAAAAGCTGGCTATTTTTCAGAAATGGCTCGCATTTACCCTAAGACGACTCAGGCTTACGATGTTAAGTTCAGGTGAATGAGCTTTTCGATATGTATAAGAAATCACGTGATCAAAAGTAGGCAAGTTTGTGACCTTCCACAATGTGCTCAAAATTCACGAATATGCACATATTTATTTGTGGAATATAGAAAAACATTATTTGTATTGTTTTCGAGCAGTTGGCATACTAAATCTCTGAAATACCCCCTTGTGTGAAGTCATTAAGGTGGCTGGACACAGTTTTCCGCGAAGCCTACCAATTATATCTTCAAAGCCCCCAAAAGCTACCTTTCCCCCTTTGCAGTCGAACCATTTCAAACATGTTGACCGAAGGATAGAAGTTCGAAAAAGTGGGCGGGCGTGGCAATGTGATCGCTTTTATTATGCTAATGTTATGGCAAATCCTGTTTAACAGTTTTGGTCGAAGGTCTCGTTAATTCCATAAAAATTAATTAAAACCTGAGGATTTTTCTTTCTTGATATAAGGCATCTCAGCCGGTGAATTTTTGCAAATTAAACCTTGCTGTTTCAAAATAATGAGCTGTTAAGTTTGATGTTGAGTTTTCATCCTCTTCGTGAAACTATTTACAAAAATAATTCTAAATCACGTTTTACTGCACATACATCAATAATTTTTCAACAGCATGTCGTGTCTGGATAATTCCTTCTTTCAAAGAATTACAGCCACAATGAGATCTTTTTAGATGGCTTTAATTAGAACAGAAAGGAATTTATTTTTGAAACAATGAAAATCACCATCGATCCCATACATCGCCAAAATAAACACAAATGAATAATGCATAAAACACAGGTGAAACCACAGGTGGCCCAAGCTCGCGTTCCGAGAAAAAGCAAACGATTAATCATGAAAGCGTCACGCGTTGTGTGACTCGGAGTCACCGTGGAGAATTTTAACGCGTTATAAAGAATAGTATGGGGACTTCGTCTTTTGAAAGGAATAACAATAATGGAAAAGGAAGCTTTAAGGCGGAGCTCGCATTTTTTTTCCCGCGCGTCTCAAGGGCATAACGCCTTGCCCCGGCCAGGACTAGAACCCAGGTCGTCCGACTCGGAGCCCAGTGGACTGACCACTGAACTACTGAACAAAGCCGCGGCGTTGGCGTGCCCGCGGTACAGTTGACCAAGCATGTTGAAAGTAGCACCTTGTACGGTCGTACGGTTGCACGGTCGTACATCCAAATTTTTTCGGCTTGATGGGTTACTACTATTTTGTATAATTATGGTGCTACGTTCTGCGTGCTCCGCTATGATTATATGCAATATGCATTATTGTAAGTGGCGGTGTTCGTAGTCAAATTTTAGTTATGGCTCATTTGAGAAAAAATTTGTGAAGTATATTAAAGTTCACACGGCAACCAGGTGGACAATCAGACATAGTTTGATGCTAGTTTGGTTTGCAGATTTAATGAATGTAACCGAAGAAGTTACAATTCATAGACCCAACGTTTCGACACTCCTGTCTGGTGCCTTTATCAGGGGTGATCTAAACTCTGCAACAAGAGGTCCTTTTATATGATAACTAATAAGCGGCCTTTTTTCTGACGAGGTGTAAATAGGCGTCAGGAAGCAAACCGCCATCGTCACGATTTAAAGGAGCGTGAGCGGAGTTAATATGCCAGGCCTCCAAACAAAGGCGCTGGTGGTAACGCCGATTAGTGGTGATAATTTTAGAATTATCCCACCCAATTGTACGGTTAGTTAGGCATGTGTGCTCCGATAAAGCTGAATTTTCCTTTTTGCAAAGGAAAACCGCTTTTTGATGCTCTTTTAACCGTGTACCAAACTGACATTTGGTCTGTCCGATGTATTCGTTGTCACAGTCATTGCAAGGAATAGAATAAATAGCGTCGGTTCGTTGTTCTTTCGTGACAGGATCCCTAGGTTTGGCGAAAATATGCCCCAAAGTCTGAAAAGGTTTTTGAGCAACTTTAACGCTGTGACTATTCAAAATTCTTTTGATGGGTTCTGTAACACCCTGTATGTAAGGAATAACAGCAAAACCAGTCGCTGGTTCCCTTTTATCAAGAGCATTACTATTTGTGACTGGTTTTTGGCAGTTACGGAGAAAAGTTTTTGTATAGCCATTTGCCTTTAGGACATTGGAAACATATTTCTTTTCCTCAGCCTTCGAATCGAGTAAAGATGGTAGACAGTCAGCCCTCCTAAGTAAGGTTTTGGCTACAGACTTTTTATGGCAAATAGGGTGGTGAGAATCGAAGGCTAGGTATTGTCGGTGTGGGTAGGTTTACGGTAGACACTTGCCTCTAAATTACCCTGAACCCCTCTGAACACATTTAAATCAAGAAAGGGCAAATGTCTATCCTTTTCACGCTCAAGGGTGAATTGGATCGACGACTCTACTGAATTCAAATGCGACAAGAGGCGCTCCGCCTCATTTCCGGATACCGCAGAAATAACATCATCGACATATCGTTTCCAGAAAAAGGGTTTATCCGGTGAAGTGGCTAAGGCTCTTTGTTCCACGTCTTCCATTACCATGTTAGCAATAACAGCAGAGACGGGCGAACCCATCGCTGTACCAAAAACTTGTTGATAGTAGGTGCCGTTATACGTAAATTGCATTTGAATTTGCCCTTGGTTCTGAATTTTTTTTTAAGTCTTTATTTAAACCTTCAAAAAAATTGCGCTTAATCGAGCGCTGATTTAACATACATAACAGTCAAATAAAAAATTACTATGCTTTATGAAATCTATAAATCAAAACAGCTTAAATTCCGCCCCATATTAGCCTCAAAATTGTTGTTTTTGAAAGCAAACATTCGTAAAACGATGAAAATAAAATCGATGCTCACCTTTAAAGTTGTTCGTGTATTTTCAATGAGCTGAGTATGAGCGCCTGTGCCTGGGTCTACGAAGTTTAGGCTGTGGTTCACTGTGAGATGATTGTAGCCCTTGTCCTGTAGGCAATCATAAGCTTTCCACATGTCGCTCATCACGCATATTCCTGGTAATATTGGAGCTTGTATAATGGGTATAGGCGTATCTTTATCCAAGTGCTCTACCGGTACAAGGAAGCAGGCCTTGATTTCACAGCAAATGCCACCAAAGGTCTACTTTCCTTCGACGTAGCGACCGCGGTGATACATCTCATTTCTTTGTGCAAAATCTAACATGTTTTAAAAGTGAGGAAAATGATTTCAATGTTAATTTTTGGAATTTGAATAAGGTATTAGAAATATAATTTTGAAAGTTACCCTTTCACACATGTAGAACAATGGTATAGAGGATAGACTGCTAGTCTGACGAAGACGATAGAGGATTGAGAGTTCGAACCCTGCAGGTAACGTAAAGAAAAAGAAAAATAGACTGAGAGGGGCCTTGAAGGAAGGATAAATAGTAGGAATTGCCCGCCAGAGAAATGGGGAAAAGAAAGAGGGGAAGATGGAGAGAGAGAGGGAAAAACAGCGCGGAAAAAAACGCCTTGAAAAAAATCCTCTAAGTAAGTAATAATTAGGGATGTATATATTCAATTACCTAGGGAATTGTCTATTGTATTCAAAGACAAAGAGTAGAATGCATAATTAATAAGATGTGCAAGCATAATGAAGTATGGAGCTGTGCGGAAATTTTTCCGTCTCTCCTCCGCAATCTTAACGGTAAGATCAACTGGGATTTTAGTGAAGAGCGAAACAACGTCGAAAGATACTAATTCTTCACAAGCGTTAGGAGTTTTATCTCTTCTGAAATCCGCAAATTCGCAGGAATTTTTGACAGTGTAATCAGTATTCCCAACAACAGGCGACAAAATTCTCGCAAGATAACCAGAAATTGCATAAGTCGGAGAATTAACAAAAGAGGCAATGGGTCTGAAAGGAATTCCCGGTTTATGAATTTTAGGTAAACCATAAAAACGTGGTGAGTGAGCGTAGTGATAAATTCTATAGATTCTAGGTGAGCCTCTAAAGCGAAAAGAGGCTAAGGAGGTTAAAATCAGAGTGCTGTGATGCGCCAAAAGTAAATGCAGCCAAATGGTAAGTAACGTGTCGGACCTCGATCCTTGGCTGGGTAATTGGGTTGCGTTCGGGGAAATGCAATTTATGTTTTTAATCAGTGCCATATTTAATCAGTGCTATATTTTGTTTACTCCTTCCTACCGAAAAGTGCATGCGCATAGTGACATTGATCAGATAGCTACTAAAGCAGAGGCTCCCTTTCTCACTCCACCCTTAAGAGATACTCGTCAGCCGCTGATGATCTCCTGTTTTCACTCGTCTTGTAATTGTTTTCACCGTATTTCTGGTTTCAAGAATTTAAGTTGGAGCCATTGGTCAAGGATTGAAGCCAACTGCCCTCAAGGAGGGTAGCAGTATCCAGGCTGTTTATTCAATCGCACCTTGATGAAGTGTCTGGCCTTTGTCTTCATTGACCTTATGAAAGAGGTTTTCAAACTCTTATTTGAACGTCCAGCTTAACTTGCATTCTTAATCATATAAATCAAGCCAGTCATCGATGAAAGATGTCTTAACAGTTTAGGTTTAGAGTATGACAACTATACCGATAGACTCTGAAGAGGAAGCTCTCGAGAGAGCCTCTCTTTACATGGTAAACCGGCAATCAGGTAAGCAAATGTGGTACAACCATAACATTTCTCTTAAGGATACTAAGGTGTTATTCAGGAAACATTGGGCTTATGTAAGCTTGTTATGCATGCGGGTAGTTATGTTATTAATAGCTTATTTGTTGCGGTCTGTATTATTTCATTTCATTTTTTTGATAGTGGTAGTGCCTCACCAACGGCTCAGTTAGAATGGGGCTGAGTTCGAATTATTTGTTGGGGCAGTGTACCCGAGTTACTTACTTTAAACTAGAGAATTTATATCAACGAGTGTCTTAGGCTTACGGGAAAAATCTCAGCTACCGAGTTTCTTGAAAAAGACAATTGTCAGAATGTTGGGAGACCAACAAGGCAAACGTACGTTGTTCTCCAATCTTCATATACTGTAGAACAATATTAAACAAATCTGTAACTGATGATCAGGTTTTCTTTTCATTTAACGTTATTTGGACTACATGTTTATTGTCTTCACAAATGCTTTTCATACTGTTAACAATCTCCGTCTAAAACTACAAGCAGCGGAAACTGGGCCTTCGGCGCCTAAAAATTATGCTTAAAATGCTAAAAGACATGCACTATATGTCAAAATCAAACATTTTCACCTTCCAACTGATATTTATGAGATGACTGCATTCACTCCACCACAAGTAATATGTTCGATTTCCTTAGGCTCACAGAAAAAATCCGAATCATCGTGTTTGTTGATCTACTGCCGCGAACAATATAATATAAACTTGAGGTTGAAGGTCAAGCTTTTCCTTTTTTTCGATAAAACACACCGATATAGTTAAATGTTGCGTAGCTCTTGTTGGCTTTTTTGCATTCCCAGGCGAGAATTTGCATTGAAATCTTATGGTGTCAAAGGCCTAAAAGGTCGCAAATTGTGAGATATCAATGGAAAGCGAAACAATCTTCTCAGGTGAAGTGATCCCGCTCGGTGCCTCGCACTTCTTCCTTCTCCATTCTTCTTCCCTTCTATGAGTAGAAGAAAGGCGTTTGGCACCTATAGGGATGTATAATAATCTACTACGCATACGATATGTGTCGAAATTAGGGTGGTTTTCACTTCATATCAAAATTGTTTCGTCGATTTCGATCGCAAAAAGCGAACTGCAAAAAGCAATTGTACAGACAGCTAGTTGCTTTAAAGCGGTACGTCAACCGAGTCTGCAAAAAGCAAGTGTATAGTTACAATGCACTTTTTTGTATGTGAGTTTTAAATGAGTCCAAAACACTTGAGCTTTCCAAGTGTGTGGTATCCCTTGTCACCATAATAATAGGCATCTCCAAACCTCAGTTGTTTCACTGGCAGCTTGGATTTGTCTTTGAGGAGGCCGCTGTCCTCCCGCCATGTGTTGTCATTCGCGTCACAGTTGCATCCGCGGTTAATGTTTGCACATGTATTATTCAAGCCGCATGCGCATTTGTAATCAACAGAATCAACTCCTCCCCAGTACTTCATCTTCTCTCCATCACGTGACACCCACCAGCCGTACATGTTACCATTGAAGAGGAGCCGCGAGTTGAAGCACTCGTACTTTACAAACTGCTCACAGTGAGCTGATGAAGCTGTCAGGTTTGCCAGTTGAGCCATATCAGCCTCCGTGTAATTGATGGAGCGAGAATAAGAACCTTTGGCGCTAAACCATCGCACCAACGTCCTGCCTTCACTGTCATGACTGACAACTGTCACTCCAACACCGTCCTTGTCAGTCATGTTACAATAGACTTTGAAAGGTTTCACTCCGCCCTCTCCATCAGGGTCGATGACGTAAGATCCACTTGGGAGATTACATAGTTTGACCTGACTGCAGGTTTTATCTCCTTGGAAGCAAAAAAGTAGAAATTGATTATAATTGAGTATATCTTATTTAATGCGTTCTTGGCATCTGATTAAACTCATGGGGGTTTTTATGGGAAGGATTACATTTCGTCAGAGAATCCGTGTACAATCGTTAGCGTGCTTCGTATTCCCATTGTACATAATAATGACGTACAGTACGCAATGAAACGTAGCAAACTTTTACGTGAATAATGCTCTATCGCAGCAGCTGTGTGCTTATCTGGATGTGAAGCACTTAAGAGGTATGTAGAGCTCTCAAGAAGCTAAAGTTGTAAACGATTCAGTGAAAATGACCAATCACAAAAAAAATTGAATCAAAACCCTCTGCAAATGTAATTTTCAACATTTGAAAAAAAAAAATAACAAAACAAAAAAAGCACACGAACTGTTTTATACCTCCTCGTTTGCAGTGAGTTCCACAGAATCCAGGCTTACAATGACATTGATAGGAGTTCCACTCATAATTAGGATCACAGACACCACCGTTCTTACAGGGAGCGCTTTCACATGGAGACTGAAAATAGACCGAGAACGTTCCACAAACAGTACAATTTCTATTGATAAAAATACCTTTCAATCACCAAATATGCAAGGAGAGCTTACCCAAGGACTAAAATGATGGAATGAGGCATTTGCAAAGAGCTTTCCAGTAGCTCTGTACTTGTCAGTGACCAACAACTCACAAAGATAAAGACCATTGGAGTCAGGATACTCTGCCACGTTAAACGAATAGCACCTCGGTTCATTAACACAAAGGAAAGCGCAGAAAAACTGACCTTTTACCATGGACGATGTAAGTTTTTCTTCCCAAAGGTAATAGAAGGGGTCGCACTTAAAGTTACCGAGAGAAATTTCGCCTGTTGGATTTCGATAGAGAGCACTATTGGCAAACATCAGGTTAAGCAACGAAGGGAAAAATAATAAGAGTGGCAGGAGCAGCATGATGATGGCCGTTGGACGACAACACCAGAATGAGGTGCTTTAAGATATAAAGCACTTTAATTGTGAAAAAGAAACTTATCCTTTTATGGTATTGTTTACTTTTTATGATTAAAAGCCCATCTATGGGGCAGATGCAACGCTTGTTTGAATTACGAAATTTCGAGAGCTGGCGGAAATAATTTAAAAAAAAAAGCACACACATTCAGGCGTTTTGTATGACGGCTAATAATGTTCACGGCTGAAAAAATTGAATCGGCGGCCGAAAAGCAAAGCTTCGAGAGTAGATTTGAGATCTCAGTCGAGGGCATCATCAGGCGACATGCCAGCAAGCTAGAAGGGAGAATATTGATTTTATATTCTTCCCATTATTTTTCGTATCGTGGTTTTTAAACCAAAGTTTTGTTAACTTCTCTGTACTTTCCGGAGCAGCATTTGAGACCAGTCTTTAATTCCCAACACCTGTGAACGCTGTAAAATGAGTTTTTCGCCCTTGTAATGTAACAAAGTCGAGAAGGTGAAACTGTTGGGCTTTTTTCGTTGGCTTTCTTGCTTTTCCACGGAAATAATCGGACAAATATCAACATAAGGTTATTGCCTGATAACTGTCCGTGGATTTTGTACCACGTCAAATAAGGAAAGGAAATAGAGCCGCGCGAAAATAAATGGACGGGTTTGATATTGCATATGTCGATAAAAAAGAACATTATAACCTCCTCTTACGAAAACAAGAAATGACATTTATAATGTAGAATGTACAAATTCCCTTTGAGCTCATTGCAGCTCTGTGATCTGTACATTGCGTGAGATACATACATGTAAACTAATGCGGCAGACAATAATTTACCGAAAACGGTAAATATTTTTTCAAAATTCACTAGAAAATATTCATCAAAAAAGTTCACCTAATACTCTATATTTGGGTAACATCATGCTGAGAACAAGAAGAGAAGAGAAAAGCTGGCTATTTTTCAGAAATGGCTCGCATTTACCCTAAGACGACTCAGGCTTACGATGTTAAGTTCAGATGAATGAGCTTTTCGATATGTCTAAGAAATCACGTGATCAAAAGTAGGCAAGTTTGTGACCTTCCACAATGTGTTCAAAATTCACGAATATGCACATATTTTATTTGTGGAATATAGAAAAACATTATTTGTATTGTTTTCGAGCAGTTGGCATACTAAATCTCTGAAATACCCCTTTGTGTGAAGTCATTAAGGTGGCTGGAAACAGTTTTCCGAGAAGCCTACCAATTATATCTTCAAAGCCCCCAAAAGCTATCTTTCCCCCTTTGCAGTCGAACCATTTCAAACATGTTGACCGAAGGATAGAAGTTCGAAAAAGTGGGCGTGGCAATGTGATCGCTTTTATTATGCTAATGTCATGGCAAATCCTGTTTAACAGTTTTGGTCGAAGGTCTCGTTAATTCCATAAAAATTAATTAAAACCTGAGGATTTTTCTTTCTTGATATAAGGCATCTCAGCCGGTGAATTTTTGCAAATTAAACCTTGCTGTTTCAAAATAATGAGCTGTTAAGTTTGATGTTGAGTTTTCATCCTCTTCGTGAAACTATTTACAAAAATAATTCTAAATCACGTTTTGCTGCACATACATCAATAATTTTTCAACAGCATGTCGTGTCTGGATAATTCCTTCTTTCAAAGAATTACAGCCACAATGAGATCTTTTTAGATGGCTTTAATTAGAACAGAAGGGAATTTATTTTTGAAACAATGAAAATCACCATCGATCCCATACATCGCCAAAATAAACACAAATGAATAATGCATAAAACACAGGTGAAAACACAGGTGAAACCACAGGTGGCCCAAGCTCGCGTTTCGAGAAAAAGCAAACGATTAATCATGAAAGCGTCACGCGTTGTGTGACTCGGTGTTAAGTAACGATAGGAACCGTGGAGAATTTTAACGCGTTATAAAGAATAGTATGGGGACTTTTCTTTTGACAGGAATAACAATAATGGAAAAGGAAGCTTTAAACGGCAGAAACCGCCAGAAACCACAACGGACACAAGATGTGAGTAAGTGCTATTGATTTTATATGCAAAATTTTCATATTTCGAAATATTTATCGTTGTAAATCGACCATATTTCGTTCACCAAACTATTCCTTATAGCGTGTCAAATTCAAACGGTTCCCCTCGCAACTTAACACCAAGTCACACAACGCGTGACGCTTTCATGAATTAATCACTGGCTTTCTCTCGAGACGTGAGCCTCCGTAAGCTGCGCAGCGAGAGTCAAGTGCCTCATTTCCAGACCTTCCCCGGTGCTCTAACATCAATTTTTTTTTTCACTGATCTTTTTCGGACTCACGCGACGGACTTTACCGAAAGGAAGGGACTGCTCATAGTCTAAAAGAATTGGATTTCTGATTAATGCAACTTTGGAAATAAGAAAATAAATGAGAAATCAACAGGGAAACCGCCTTCCCTTTCCGCTGCGAATGTATGACAAGTTGAATGCATCAAAACGTCAGAGACATTTGGAATATACGTAATTTAGACTGTTTTAAAGAGATGTCTTTGATATAAATTAAGAACGAGAACCAATGAATCGATTCTAAATTATCAGGTAATCAGTTCATAACCTTTGTGCTGCTGCCGAGAAAGCCCAGTCCTGGGGAGCTTAAGTGATGTGCGCATGGTCTGGGCTTTTCAGATGCTATACCGATCTACCACGAGTGTCATGATTAAAGAACTGTTGCAATTTTCCATGTAATCGCATTAAGGTCATACAGCTCGTGAGATCATGGGAACTCGATGCGTAAAGATACTGACAGCAACTACCCGCCAAAGGAGAAAAAAAAAATCAATTAATTCATTAATTAACTTCTGCTCATAATTTCAGCTCGTTATCCATGCAAGAGCAGAAGTAAAAATTTAACAATTACATCCGTTAGAGGAATGTTATCATCTAAGTGAAGCCAAACTCTTCCATCTAACTCACAGGTAAGTGTATTGCAGTTGACAGGAGAATTACAAGATTGATCAAGGAAACTCATGTAAACTTGTCATACAACCAGGTAGTTAAATCTTCGTTAAGGAGTTTAAACGGACTTGACGCTTCTTGACAAGGCATTACTTACAGCAATACATATATATATATATATATATATATATATATTGAGTTAGGGGAAAAACAAACAAAGAGACTACGTTTTATTCCGATAAGCCTGTTTCGGGATTTAATCACGATGATCGGGATAAAGCGTAGTTTCTTTGTTTGTTTTTTCCCTAAGTCAATACATATCGCGTTCTATTTCTTAAAGGCATCGTGCTTGTGCCTTCCCCTTCATTAAAGTGAATTTTGCGTCTGAAGTGTGAGGAGGATGCCCGCAGGCAACGAGCACGCGGAGTTGAGGGCGCCGATTACCGCGCCATAAACGTCAGCACCAAGGCAGGTTATACTTATTGCGCATGCTCATATTTATCATCAGGTTATTTCACCTTATTCTCCGCTACTTCTTCCTATGAAGTGCTGCGGTGACGTTGCCGGCAATTTAGACTTTTTCAGCTGCAATAGAGCGACTATGAAGAAATAACAGGCCATCCACATAGCGACTTTGCGATCATCGATAGGCAGAGGATTCTGAGTGATTTTTTATCTTTACAAATCATTTTCACAGCATTTATAACTTCGTCTTAAAACTGCTTTGTGGACCAAATAGACCATGACGATACAGTTAAACTCAGGATTGAGTATCTCTTAATCGCTTTTTATTTTTCTGCTTAGTAAATCGCATTTTAATCATCTGACATCACCAAAGGCCTCAAACTCAATCAAATTAATCCACTTTTACTCTGCTAGACAAACTAAAAGCGATATTGCGATGGAAAGGTAAAATATTTTATGGTGCAGTGATTTCGCGTTTTTTTCCATCTTTTCAGCTCTAAAAATGGAAAAATGAGCTTTTAGCACCAAAATATTCTACTGCGCAAAGGACATCTGTCCAAATTAGGATGGTTTTAACTTGACGTTAAAATCAATTTATTGATTTCTTTTGAATTTTTTGATTTCTTAAAGAAACTAACCGCCTTTAAAGACAAAGTTAAACTTCAAGATGATAGATCAGGCCAGTCTACATATCGTTGGTATACAGTTACAGTGTATTATATTGTTTACGAGTCTTAGATGAGTCCAAAACACTTCAGCTTTCCAAGTGTATGGTATCCCTTATCATCAGCATTTGAATCGGTATCTCCAAACCTCAGTTGCCTCACGGGAAGCTTGGATTTGTCTTTGAGTGAACCGCTGTCATTTCGCCAAATTTGCTCCCCTTTGTCGCAGTTACAATCGTATTTGATGTCTGCGCATGTAGAATTCAAGCCGCATACGCACTTGTCGTCAACAGAATCAGCTCCTCCCCAGTACTTCATAGTTTCGCCGTCACGTGACACCCACCAGCCATAGGACTTTCGACCAAAGAGAAGGAGTACTGATTGGTAGCACTCGTACATTATGAACTGCTCACACTGATCGGATGAAGCTGTTAGACCTGCCAGCTGAAGGAAACTGGTGTCATGGTAAGTGACATTGCGTGAGTAACTGCTAGGGTCACTAAACCCATCCACCAGTGTTCTGTTTTCACTGTCATGACTGACAACTGTCACTCCAACACCGTTTTTGTCCGTCATGTTACAATAGACCTTGAAAGGCTTCACTTCACCCCCTCCATCAGGGTCGATGACGTAAGTGCCACTCGGGAGATTACATTGCCTGATCTGACTGCAGGTCTTATCTCCTTAGATGCAAAGAAGAAAGCAATGGTAAGTGATGTGTTTTAAGATAAATAAATTATCCACATATGGGAAAAAGGAACCTTCGAAAGAGTTCCTACCGATAAACTGTAATGATGGAAGGTTGCATTTGCAGTGAACTTTTTGATTTCTCTGTACTTGTCTGTGGCCAACAACTCACACAGATAAAGACTTTTGGAGTCAGGATACGCTGCCATGTTAAAGGAATAACACTTTGATTCTTCAGCACAAAGGAAAGTGCAGTCTAAGTGATCTTCCACCATGGACGATGTCAGTTTCTCTGCTCTTAAATAATGGAAGGGATCGCGTCTAAATTTTCCGATGGCGCCGTGACCTGTTGGATTTCGATAGAGAGCGCTGTTCTGCATGGCAAACATCAAGTTAAGTAACGAAGGGAAAAATATCAAGAGTGGCAGGAGCAGCATGATGGTGGCCGTCGGGCGACAACACCTGAATGAATTCGTCATTAGACAGAAGAGCTTAAGTTGAAACGAAAAGTTATTGTTTTCGTTTCGAACTATAATTATACAGTGTGGTAACTGTCTAGGGTAATGAAATGGTAATTATCTTATGTGGAGGTGGAAACACAGGTGTTGAGTGTTAAATTAATAGGGACGTTTAGAAATAATTGTTGCCTTTTTTGGATCAAATGTTACCTCTTTCTTGAAAGTAGTGTTTTGAACTGTCAGGAAGAAATGACAGAGACAAATAAACGAAAGAGACGCCGTAGAGAAGCAACGCTAGATATCAGTAGCAGAAGATACGCAAGTGATACGTTTTGGTTAGAGTTCCTCACATCGTTTTAGGCTGAGATCCCGATGACCAAGTAATGAAAAGTCTCAATTTACTATCAAGTGCCAAATCCAGGAATTGTAGTTCTTGATTCATTCTATAATTCACCAGTTTGCACATGGGTCAGGAGAAACTCTATGTCAAATTGTCCGTTTACGAATATGTTCTACGCACTAAATTAACAGTGATAAACCCCATTTTCTCTTTAAAACTTAAAATACTTATTATCATGTTCTACGAGCTAAAAGGAATGCCATTAGATTGTAAAAACCCATTTTCTCTTAAATTATAGAGCGGAAAAGACAAAGGATAATACACGAAAGAGATGCGGTGGAGAGGCGAACGTTAGATATCTGTAGCAGGCGAGAACCGGAGACGCTGCTTGTTTGATCAAGTAATGGCTAGTTTAAAAGTGTACTATTACATGTCTGATTCAGTGATTAGGGTTCTTTACCTAATTGAGAGTTGAGTACGTGCTTCATGCGAACCTTATATGTCAATTTTTCCATTTACGGAAACCTTCTCGCTTCTTCCATGATTTAGATACTTACATGTAGTAATATATTCTATGCGCTAATATAAATGCTTTTGTACTGACTTGTAAAAACACCTATTTTTCTAACAGGGAACGTCATTTGTTCCTCTTTGCCGTAATATCTCACAGTGGGAATGGCCGCCTTTGTGCAAACGTTCCAGTGGAAAACAAATTAAAGACTATTCGGTTGAAATATTTCCTAATTCTAAATTGGATGAACGAACACGGCCTCTGATCACATAGTAATGTTATATCTATAGTGGTATACTCAGCACTGCTTCACATGGCTTCACAAACCCAGTATATATAAAGCTTCAAAAATTGGAATACTTGAGACCACTGTAAAATTTCCGAGGCATTTGAAATTATGACGCTGGTTGCGGTTTATACCCTTCTAAAAAGAAAAGTCTTTAATCTGAATTCTAAGGGAAGACCAACGGGTTTGATTCAGATCAGTCCAGAACCTAGGTGCAGCAGACGAGAAGACCGACCTAGTGCTTGTGTAGAGTTAAAACGGACTTGAGCCTTCTTGTTGGGGCATAATTGACAACAAACAAGTGATAAATACCGTGTTAAGGTCATTCAATGACATTTTAATTTTTAATAAAATTGTCGCACTCTGTAATAAGATTGTTTGCCGCACCTTTTAATAAAAAAGCTGTCACACTTTGTAGTAATCTTCGCTCTTGGCAACAATTGTCGTTCTTTCGTAATGACACAGCTGACGCACTTTGTAATAAGTAAGCTGTCTCACTTTGTAATAATCTTAGCTCTTTGCACAAATTGTCGCACTTTGTACTAAGAAATGCTGGTTGCACCTTGTAATAAAAAAGCTGTCACACTTTGTAATAATCTTCGCTCTTAGCCATAACTGTCGCAATTTCTGGTTTGAAATAAACTTTCACACTTAATAAAAACGCCTTACGTACTTTACAATTAAAAAATGCTGTCGCTCAATGAAAGAACAGCCTAGGGCATTCGGTTATGAAATAAGTTTCCGCACCTCGTAATTAATTTGGTATCGATGATCGGAAGGGAAGAAGTCCTACAAATAGCTATAAGCCTTGTCAATAACAATGATTAACAAATATTTACCCGGTGGTAGATATTTACCGAGCTGATCCACCATCAGCCACCGAAACTGAGGCGAATATTTGTTTAAGTATATACCGAAACAGTGAGATAATACAACAGAAAAACATGATTTTTATCTCATTTATTCCTGCAACGATTATCACGTTTTCGGGCGTAAATCACACGCCCGCGTTGGTGGATATTCGGAGTTTGTGTAACCAATCAGAGAGCGCCTCGAACGCTATCCACTGCATTAGTATATACTTATAGGGCTGATAAAAGTTACCAGAGAAGTTTTCTTTAAATTTAATTTATTGGTGAGAACTTTCTGAGATGTGCACTCTGCCTATTACAATGGTGTTCTGAATTTTCTGCGTTTTCATATTTCCTGGAGTTTCTTAGACTTCTTTCTCATCGTCTTTTCTGTCACTGATGTGCAAAGTGTAAGTTACAAGTCCGTTCCACAGCTAATGTCTCCAGTGAGATCTTCAAAGTTGATATGGCCCCAGCTGACAGTCAAGCTGTTGTCAAGCAGTTTTGCTCGTGTATGCTGACCAATGAATTCTTGGACCTCCCAAGTCTTTCGCACAATCGTCTCCGAACATTTATTAGCGGCTTTCCTGACGACCCAAGGAGTCAAAAAGAAACTGGTGCTTAGAATCGGGTACTCTTCTTATTAAAGGAAAGAAATTAGGAGGCTGAAAAACATTTGTCGCATAGTGTTTGGTATTCTATACAGAGGTTTCTTATTTGGAAAAAACTTACCAAAAAAAACAACAACAACAGCAACAATTGAAAAATCTGAATGCATGGCTAATATAGAAACCTTTGCTGCATGCATGTTTTTTTTAGACATAAGGAGAAAACTTAGTATGCTGGTTGCAATTTGGCAGTGAAAATAGGTTCATCAAACTCGTTTTTAAGCAACATGTACTGAGTGCTTTTGAGAGTAAGTGGCGTTGCGGTAGCAACTTCTTGGAGTTGATAAAGAACGTAATTTCATTATCGAAGCAAAAAGGCACAAATTGTGATTGTATTGATCTTTCAAACTAAAAGATTACAGGGAAATTGGTTGATTCTTAATTACAAAAACCACTTCCCATAATGTGGATAATTCCCACGTTCAATTGTCAGAACTGTCCAGTAATTTATAGAAAAGGAGTGAGTGAAGTTAGAGAAGGAAAAGGGATGGAAGGGAAATGAAGGGGTGTTAAATCAATCACGATTTCGTAACATCCCACGAAGATTTCAGAAATAATAAATTCTGCGCTGCAAATCTGTTCAATAGAAATGAGCCTCATTTTTTGTCGAGCCTTACTTCGATTAATGTTTAACACTTCATATTATTCCCTTTTAGCATTTCATTTTTGACTGTGTATGGCAAAACATAGGTTAACGTTTTTCGCTAACAGCTTTCACATCCTGAAGTCTTCTCTTTGAGATCCTCCTCGAAAATGTTACAAGCGTCAGCAGCCTGTCCGATAACTTATCGTTAGGATACGTAAGGCATCCTCAAGACGGCATGTACCCCACAAGCCTTACAGTGTGCTTTTTTTGTTATTTTATCAAAATGCAACTGTCGACCAAGACTTACTTTTACACTAGCCAGAGCTCAAAAAAAATTAGAAAACTTTACACAATTCCTGCTACCTTTGCGATCACAGTTGATGCCACAAAATTCAGGGTGACACTCAGAGTGGTAGGAGTCCCACTGGTACTCAGGAACATAGACAGTACGGTTCTTGCACGGAGCGCTGTCGCATGGAGACTTTGTGAAATTTGATTGAACAAAACAGCAAAACAAAAAAGTTTTTAATTAATTTTGAAATTCACTTTTGTCGCTAATTCTTACGTAACTTGCTTTCTCGTAGAAGAAAACCCAACAGAGTAAGTAGAATCGTTATAAATATATTTTATTAGATGTTTTGGTTTTTAGTATCGTTGAGTATTTTAAAATAAAAAACATTCAGTGCATCTTATTAACTCCTGGAAGAATTATTGTTTTCTTACCGCTAGGCTAAAATGATAGAAAGAATTATTACCCTGAAGCTTCTTCGTTACGCTGTACTTGTCAATGGCCAAAAACTCACACAGATGAAGACCACTGGAGTCAGGGCAAGAAAGGATAATTACTTCTTGAGTCAGGATACGCTGCCATGTTGAATGAATAACACTTTGATTCACCAACACAAAGGAAAGCGCAGTCCAGTTGATCTTCCACCATGAACGATGCTAGTTTCTCTTCCCATGAGTAATGAATGCGATCACGCTTAAATTTACCAAAATTGAGGTTACCTCTTGTGTTTTGATAAAAGCTATACTCGATCATGGAAAAAATAAATAAGATTTGGAAGAAAGCCATCAGCCAAATTTGACAAAAAAGAGTCATATCAAAAGTCGGAGACAACGCGCTTGAATTCGTTTTCAAACGTCCGGCTTGAAGTGTGGACTGTGCACGCAATAATTCTGCCTTGAACGCCATAAATATTTATTATCTTTTACATTTCTCAAACATAATGCAAGAGACCGCAGAATACAAAGAGACTCGTCATCTTTATTCATCAGTTTAGGATAAATCATTTCATATTAATGTCGAAGAGTTTCTCTCATATTTGCGAGAAGGATGTTAATATTTTATTTGACCTATCTATTTCAACCGGTATTTTCTTCTTGGAATTAGCATTAATTGATTTGTGTCAAATGTTTAAGTGTGCGGTATTTTTAATGAACTGGTGACCACAAAGGGATTATTAATGAAATTTATTCATAAGTCCCGAGGGCAATCTAACTAAGCACGAACACATATTAAAAATACCGTAACTATTCAACCGATTCCTTTTTCTGAGGTTAAAAAAATCATTTAAAGTACTTGTTTTTCCTCTTACTTATTTGCATTACTCATGCTATTACTTGGAGAGAAGCGACCTATACATCACTGACAAAGTCATGGAAAACTTACGCAATGCCATAGCACTTAAACTTCCCAAGAGTGTGATACCCCTTTTCATCTCTTCCAGCCCCATCAAAACCAGTGTCTCCAAACTTCAGTTGCAACACAGGAAGGTCAGACTTATCAGTCAGTAAGCCACTATCCACTCTCCACACGCCATCATTGGCATCACAATTACATCCCTGATTTGGATTTGCGCATGACCCGTTCAATCCGCATGCGCACTTATTGATGTTAGATGATGCAACTCCTCCCCAATACTTCATGGCTTCATCATTACGTGAATGCCACCAAGCAAATCCATCGAGCAACAGAAGTGATCCATAGCATTCGTACTTAATAAACTGCTCACAATGGGCAGAGGCAACAGGCAGGCCAGCTAATTGTGCAACACTTGACAGCCCAGCTCCAGTGTAATGAACGCCGCGAACATAACTCCCTTCGTCATCATATCCATCAACTAGCATTCTTTCCTCGCTATCGTGACCAACAACTGTCACGCCAACTCTATTTTTATCCGTCATATCACAGAACACAGTAAAAGGTTCGTAGCCACCTTCTCCATCGGGGTCTATTACGTAAGAACCACTAGCGGCACGTGAGCTGTGAGATTTGATGTCACTGCATGTCTTTCCTATTTGATTAAACACAGAAGTATGTCAACCTTCTGATCTGATTCCATGAACTGAAACGTTGGGCACCAAACTACTCCCAATTTTTAGCGTAGTGAAACCTGCATTTATTGGATACCCTGAATGAAGCGGTCACTCGTACGAGCTGAACCCCGATGTTCCTTGCAAAATGCAAGATTCTTGTTACTTTTCTTTGTACAACTCTTTTGACAAGAAGAATAAAACGTTTCTCTATTTCATTACCCAGCCTTAAAGTAACCATTTTCCATATCGACTTGCTGACATGATCCTTCGACACTACCGATCCTAGAACGGCGCACAAGGCATATTGCACATGAATCTAATCTCGGCGTAGCTTACCACACAGTTCATTGTAGCTGAAGGCTCAGGGTAAACTCATTGCAGCACGGAATATGATGGTTTGGTACTGAATTCGTTTTCTTGTCTCACGCTTTTGTTCCACACATCTTATAGGTTTTATAGAGCTAAAGGCATTTTAATTTCATGTTTCTATACTCATTCAAACACACTGTGTACACTTTTCCTTTGATCCTGCCGTAAGAATCAATCGATAATTTCGAAAAAACGTAAGACCTAGCCAAATCATAACCATTACAATTTCCGCAAATGTGATTGGTGCATCAACTGATATATTTTTCATAAATCATTCTGTACACTTGTAATAGGATAATGTAATCGGACGGTTGGCTGTAATCGGACACCTGTAATCAGACAGTTGAAGCAGCCAATGATAGTCATTCCTTTAAGCCAAATCTACGGACCACAGAATTGATCACAATAACCATAGCAACAACCGCTTATCCAAAAGAAAACTGTGAAATTTCCAAAATTGAGGAACTTTTCACTTTATACATTGTCTCTACCGGAGAAATTTGTCCAAAATATTTTTAATTCATTCAGACGGCCCCTCTCGTGCTGCTCCTATACATTTTTGTCGGAAAATTATTTCTTTATCTGGTCAGCTGCTGTATACGGTACCGTTTTTTTTTTTAACAAACGGCCTGCAAATTTACCTACACATTTCTCGGTACATTCGAAATGTATTTGTTACTGCTGCGATGTATTAGGAGCACTCGAAATTGCCTCTAGTTTTCGTGAGTTCGTCGATAACACTGACTAAAATATGTTAAAAGACACACCTCTTTGTTCGCAGATAGTTCCAACGTATCCTGGCTCACATTCACAGTGATAGGTGTTCCTTTTATATTCAGGAACACAGACAGCACCGTTCTTGCAAGGAGCGCCTTCACAAGACTGTAACAAAGCAAAGAATGGCGCTGCAGTGTGAATTAAGATATAAACAAAAAATAGCTCTTAAACTTAGTAATGTTTTGAAAAAAGAGGGCAAATTTCTGAAGAAACTGTGGTGCTGCGTCAGTGGGAGAGTTGATAAAGTAAAATTGATCACCGTAAAGAATGTCAAAGCTGACGTTTCGAGCATTAGCCTTTCGTCAAAGCGAATAACGAAGGCTAACGCTCGAAACTTGAGCTTTGGGGTAGTTACAAAACAATGAAAGAAATCTAGAAGTGGGGGTAAAACATCCAGATGCGACAAAATATCGAACTTACCCTTGGGAAATAGTAATGAAAGGTAGAGTTGACGGAAAATTTCTCAGTTTCTCTGTACTTATCTGTGGCCAACAACTCACAGAGATAAAGACCTTCAGAGTCAGGATACACAGCTATGTTAAAGGAATAACACTTTAGTTCACCAATACAAAGGAAAGTGCACTCCAGTTCATCATTTACCACGGACGATGTCACTTTCTCTGCCCATAAGTAGTGGAAAGGAATGGCTTTAAATTTTCCAATAGTAACATCGGCTGTAGGGCATGGATAACCAACATGCTTTTCCTCGGCAAAAATCATGTGAAAAGCAAGAAACATCATAGATGTAACGAAAACCATGGCGCGCGAAATAGCGGCTGACAGTTTTGAATGCGTTGACGTGGAAGGCTGAGGAAAAGCAACCAAAAGTGATTAATTATTACCGCTCCTCTCTTGAAAAATCTCCATGAAAATATTCTTTTTCTACTTAATGAAGCATTTGATGTTAATAATTAATAGAGAGCGGGCAAGCTGATATCTAAAACAACTAAGGAGTTCATATTTCGTGAAATCCTCGGGTGTCTCTTCATTTTGCTCCGGATGATATCAGCCTCAATTCTAATAAATAAGATCTGGCTATTTTGGCTTCAAAACAACGAGCTATGCATTACGCTGTTATAACTCTTTTTAGTCCCTGCGATCGTTCGTTTTTATGAAGTTAGATGAATTAAATTCAAACTCCTAAGTTTAAGCCATTCTTGTCATAAACTCTTAACGAAAGAAAAAATCGTTGGAACATTTTGGTCGGATTCGGATCTAATTAAGGGATTGCTGGATTGATACATTCAACTTGATAATAAAAACGATGTTTTCTTGTTCGCAAGCGTGAACCGTTAAACATTTGCAGCTTCTAATTTGCGGATTTTAAAGACTGTCTTCACCTCGCTAATGTAAGTCTTAGAATGAGAAATCCTGAAAATATAGAAGAGAAACAATTTTAACCATCAGTTCAGTTTTCCGGAAACTGGATTGAATTGTTTGATGAATTGGCACAGGTAGACCACACGACGTGTTCGCGGTTAATAACTGTTGACATGAGACGAACAAAACGTATGAGGGTTATGAAGAAAGCTCTGAAAATTGCATATCTAGTTTACATTTCGGTCTTAATATCTCAATTAACTTAAATAAAATTTTAATCAACTCATTTGTGGAAATTTTCAGCCTTCATGGGCCGTTTGAAGCGTCTTTTTACGAAATTACTTTTGGACGAAATAACTCGCTGTAATGGCCTCTTTTCAACAAAGTAAGCGGTTAGACAACAAGAAATTCACTTTGGTAGTAAGGTGAGATATTTTTCATTGAAAATTTGACTGTTTTTTTACTTCCTAAGAACGAACGTAAATATTCCCATACAAACTCATATTTCCGCCATGACGCTTATTACGTAAGATGACTCATCTCACAGCTGGAGCTTGGGCTGCATGTGGGTACACAAAGGAAAATAGGTGTTGGTCACACACTAGAACAAACAACGTTACCGAAGATGGCGAGTCCACAGGTTCTTTTCCTGTGCTTCGTTTCAATCCATTCGGTCGCAATCGCTGATCTGTCTTCGGAGTTTGCTCATCATGCCGTCCTGGACCCAGCAGAAAAAATGAAACTATACTGGACCGTTGATTGGGACGCAAAAATGGTTTATTTCGCTGTGGAGGCAGCAACCACTGGGTGGGTAGGATTTGGATTCTCCGGCCGCTCTGGAGCTATGATCGGAAGCGATGTTGTTATAGGCTGGGTGAAGAATAACGAGGGATATCTTCGGGTAAGGATGTAAATCTACTTGTCTCATTTCGGACTAAGGGAACGGAGCATGTTTGGATTTGTGACTTCTACTGTTATGTAAAGCTCCCACTAAATCTGCGCGTAGTATTTCATTTCATTTCGATCAGGATCAGCAATGTCAATAGCGTGATGTTTGTAAATAGAATAAGAGAGTTTTGAGCTCGGTAAAGAAATAGGGAAAGATGTTTTTCGTCTTGCCACGAGCGTGACATTGCTGATCCTGCAGTATGCAGGACGTTTGTGAAATTCGTAATAGACCCTCGTGGCTCAGTGATAGAACACCGGAGCGCGGAATCCGAAGATCTGAGGTTCGATTTCTCATGGGAACTTTTCCTTTGTCCAACGCTCGTGACAAGACGAAAATCATCTCTCTATATTTCTCTGCAGAGATCAAAACTTACCATCTCTCTTATTCTATTAATAAGTGATCATGCTTTTACCGTTCTTGCAAATTCAACAGTCATTTCCACTCATTTAGTCTTTTTAATGAGAGATCAGTTTGGGACGTGTCAATCAACCATGTTTGACACTTTGAAGTTTATCGACCGACGTTTTTACCAAGCTGTTAGGGGTGTAAAGTACTCGTAGGTCAAGTGAACACTCTCATTCCTCTATATGAACTGTCTTTTATTCAATCATCAGGATAATATATATAACGTATGACACTCGTAATCAGTTATTTTACTTTCACATAGGAGAGTAGATTTACGGCGCGATTGGAAGTTCCTTCCAGTAGAGACCTTATGTAACGCAATATACAACAAGAGAGAGGTTTGAATAAGCGCTTCCCTCTGTACTTATCTTTTATTCCGTTACAGGATCGTTTTGCAGATGAAGAAAAACTTCCACCAGTCGATGAACAGCAAGACTACAAACTGACAGGATTTGAAGAGAGTGGAGGAAAAACTGTGCTTAAGTTTAAGCGAGAGTTTGACACGTGTGATTCGCGCGACAGGAAGCTGGAGGTAAGTGTTGGGATTTTGTACCATGTCGTTACGACATAAGGGAACGCGTTATTAAGATTGACAGTTTTGAAGGCGTATCGCCTAGATATGTTATTCATCAAGCAATACGACAAAAACAGGTTTATATTACACGAGCAAAGAACCCAATCGAGACAAAAGGTAAAAGCGAACAGGTCTTCAGTCAGAATAATTGTGTAAGCGAGAGAGGGTTTGCTGTTCTAATAAATTAGTTTAGGACAGTGAGTGTAAGGACGGAGTCGGTGCCATCTATTTTTCTTGCTATTTCCCCTCCCCCTCCCCCCCTTTTTTTCCTTTTTCGGATTTGGTATTCCCAAGCCCACACATAGTAAAAACTGAACTGCTGAGTCTGGGCCTTAAACAAGATAAACCAAAAAAATCCTGCAACTCGCTCAAAAAAAAAAAAATAATAATAAATACATGAAGTCAGGGTTAGGAAGGAGGATCTCCCGTTATTTTTCCACTGGACAATTAAAATTCATTCATGCTGTAGATACAAAGTAAGATTTAGAAACAAAAAATTGAGAATGTAATGTGGTTAATTTTTTCGCTTTTGTTCCGGAATGGAAAAGAGTTAAGTATATCTGACTACCATAACAAAAATACTGTTGTGAAGAAGACCAAAATGGAAATATAAATGTTAAATGCTCGCCTAATTTCTGGATAGAGCTTGTGTTATCGGCTAAGTAGAAGTTGTTTCTGTCTCCCAAGTTTTTTGTCTAAGATAATAGTTAGGTAGCATTGCCAATTCATGAAATGTGATCTCGAACTCAGATCAAACAGCTCAGTTTTACAGGAAACTAAGCTTGATCATGAATTTGTCGCTGGTGCAGCTAAAAGGAGAGAGTAAGTCACGAAGTTTACATCTATAAGCTTTAAGAACATGTTTAATCATCACATCGATATTACGAGATAGCATCTTGCAAGCTAGCAAACTTTATTTCTCTGATCACCGGTCGGTGTATGTTCACAGGCTGGAGCTACCAAAGTTGTGTTCGCATATCATGACGATGACCCGGCCTCAGAATCGAAGATAAAGTATCACACGTTCAGGGGAAGCAGGACACTTATGCTTCTTAACAGCATGGATAAAAGAAACATCAACGAAACTGGCTGGCTCTCTTTTCCTATAACTACTAAGAACGTAAGAACTATTCAGTTATTGTTAATACCGTCTAGCATGCCGTCGAAGCCTGTAATTATGAAATTTCGTTAATTGCTGCTCATTTACGAGGATCAGTTATTTACTTTATTTAACTTGAAAAATAATTTATTTCGTCTGATTTTGATCACACTTCTTAACGGGAACGAAGAATCTGTACTTCTTCTTCAACATGCACATATGGCTTGGTAACTAAGTCGGTAGAAATGCCAAACTAGTTACTGTGGAACTCTAACACTTAAGTTTCTTTAATCGCAACGAGGATCATTTCTTCAAAGACATTTTTACACCGATTAGTTTGAGAACTTTTTTGACCACTAACACTGAGCTTAGGCTAAAGTTTTCATGTTTTAGTATTTTAAATCAAACTTTCTGATTTGCTTTGAAGGTAACAATCCCTGCCAAGGAAACAACTTACTGGTGTGCTCTGATCAAAGCTCCCGAACTGCAATCCAAACATCACATCACAAAGGTATTAGCACTTGTAATTACCCGGATAAATTCGGACATTTAATTTCTAGTGAAAATAAAGTTACATTTTAATACTCTTCAACTTCAGCTCGAAAGTGAAAATAAAAGAAATTAACACATCATGGCTACCAAACATATGTGAATAATGCAACTGAAACCACCTGTAAACATACGACTAAAGAATTTTGAAGGGTTATCTCATTATTCATTCAGCCAATTAGTCCAGAAATTGGTGTCATCGAGATAAAAAAAATGGAACAGAGAAGGATACTCTAATGTCAGTTATTTATAAATAGTCTCTCAAAAGGAAGTAAGTAAGTTTCGTGACATCCGCATGAAAGTTAGTAACTACCTGATCTTAGTGAAATCGACATATCCTGGCCAACGCCCCAATTTTCAGTCTCTTTCCCATTATTTCCTCTTGGTGTCGTGCAATCCAAGCATAAGCATGCTCTTAATTACAAATCGCTCGGTCAGTTTGAACTGACTTACAGCATTACTTCCTTAATTATACACCAATCAGTCCGGTTGCCGTTTGTTTTCTTCCTTGCCTGGGTGGTTCTTGTGCGTCATTTCATTTGTTGATTTTCTATAAATAAATCATGACTAATACTGGAGATGTGCTTGACTATTTTAACGTATAGGAAGAAGACTTTTCTATCCCCTCGTGCTTGTCACAATCATAAAACAGTCTGCAACTCTTAATTTCCTTCTGTTTTGTAGGTCGAACCACTTGTACAGAAAGGCAATGAAGGTTTTGTTCATCATCTTATTCTTTACGAATGTGAAGGAAACTTTACTGAAAATGATTATGATCAAGGCAGGGACTGCATGGACACAGCTAACATGCCTTATGCCAGGTGCCGAGATGCCAGTATTGTCGTCGCCTGGGCTGTTGGGGGAGAGGTAAAAATTCAATTTTGTGTAAGCCTTCAGTTAACGTGATTCCTCAGCAATGCGCATCCCGTATTGCGCATAACATCATGTATTTAGGCGAATAAGTGCGCGGTACCATCTCTGCATTACTTCCTCGGGCCCCATTACCATTGGCATTTTTACCCTTTACAAATTCTCCATACTAGTGCCGCTAAGAAGATGCGAGAAGTATTCTTGTCTCTTGATCCTAAACTAACTGGCAGTTTTAAGAATAACGTGAATTTCGTCCTGGCAGTGACGAAATTCACTCGCATGGAAGGGCGACTTCGCCTAATGATGACGAGCTCCTAAAGGCTGTCAAACTTTTCATTCAACACATTTCTTTAGATGAAGTACTAGCAATAAATATATGTACCTAGCTTAATTTCTTTGGCCAGACACTTAAAATCTGTTTATATTTGCCAAGCAAACTAAAAAAAAAGGCGCTCTCGACATTGTACCAACAGTAAATTGTAGGCAGGCAGCCTCTTGTTATGTATGCACTTAGTAACAGTAGGTCACTATAGAGTTTTCTGTCTCTTCGTGATAGAGCATCAAAGCGTGAAATCCGAAGGTCTGTGGATCGATCCCTAGTGGGAAGCTCAGAGTTCTCTTTATTTGACAGCTCAAAATTTACTAAGATCTTCTAAAGTTCTATGAATTATTGTGCTATTTTACTCCATCTTTGTTTTTGTTTTTTTTAACAGTCGTTTTATTACCCTCTGCACGCGGGATTTCCACTCGGCGCAGATGATTCACCCAAGAATTTCCTGTTGGAAATGCATTATGATAATCCAAGCAATGTACCAGGTAAGGAGCTTATACTTGTCTGAAGTTTGCTTGGTAAATTGAGTCTCACTAAGGAATAAGTGAGAGTTTTGTGGTGATTCATTGAGTGAGTAAAGATGATCTAAAATCAAATTTAGACAATTGCCTATGATAAGTGGCAGACTCGATAAAGGAATTTAGGGTTTTATCGCACTCTTGCGCTGACAAAGTTGTCTATTTCGACTAATTTTTTGCTGGATAATGAAGTGGTATTTTACCGTGAGATATGCTGAATGTGGATCACATCTGAAGAGTTGGAGAGAGTTTAATTAAATGTTGTGTCATCAATGACGACGCAACGGCGGGAATATTGTACCTCTTTCCTCATACAAGGGCTCCTTTTACAACTGCTTATGCTTTTCGTATTCATCTTCAATGTTTAAGGCCGAGTTGACAGTTCAGGTGTTCGGATTTATTACACCGACAAACTTCGTAAGTATGACAGTGGAATTGTATCAGTAGGAGTGAAAGTAAATAACTGGCACATCATACCCCCCAAACAAAAGGACTGGCTAAGCATTGGATACTGTACAGCAGAATGCACCGAGGTATGGTATCATTTAATTCTTTGCGGTGCTTAATTAAGCTGACACATTGTATATACTTTTTTTTGGGGGGGGGGTGAGGGGGGGGGGGTGGGAGGGAGAGAGAAGATTACTGCTAAATCTTCAAGGTTTATTTGTTGTTGTTTACATTTAGCAAGTTCTCTCGTTATTGCTGTTGCTGTTGCTGTTGCTGTTACTGTTGTTTTTGTCGTTGCTGCTGTCGTTCGGAGCTATGAAAACTCCGATCCAAAGTTAGATTCAGTTTGTAGGCCTCCTTCATGGTCAAAATACTTAAAGCTGGGTCATAAGCGACGAAGGAGAAGGAGGATTGCATATCTATATCGAGACCAAATACGTAATTTAGGAAGCCTTGACCAAATTTTCGCTGAGTGTGCGAATTTTCAATGATAAGTTACTCAGAAATTTATGTGTAGTGAGGTGTAATCGAAAAGAAAAACGAAAGAGATGATCTATGATACGTCAAAGACTGTGCGGGGTACAACATGATGAGTAATCGCACATGTGTATGACCGAAAAACTGGCGTCTCATGGAATACTATTTCTGTTTCAGTCCATCTTTAACTCGACGTCTCTACAAGGGGGAGGCATCATTGTGTTTGCCTCCATACTTCACACTCATTTGGCTGGTAAGCTCACCTTCGACGAGGATAACAGTCATTTAATGCTCGAATGGATAAATTATTTCTTGTTCGGGTCCTTCGGCCAAAAAACTTTGGTAAAGTAACGAATCGGGGGGGGGGGGCAGGGAACGTAACCCATTAACCCCTACTTCGTACGCTTCCGCCCCTTTTGTACAGGAATCTGTTAGCAAATGAATAAACAAGCAAACACAGAAAGCCCTAATGGAAGTTGGATTACCGAAATCATTTACTTGCCTTTTTAGTTCTTCTCTGATATCTGTTTTCTGCTACAATTCTACTTACAGCAAGTTCACTTCTCTTTTCCTTAATCTCTCTGTCTCTGATCAAGTCCGATGGACTTTGATTCTCACTGACCAATAAATCTAGAGTACATGCTTTCATAGACAATATTGGTAGGCATGAGAGGGCGTGCGGGCCAAATAACCGTGAAACACTACACATTTATTATCAAAACGCTAACTCAAACATTTTCAGATGCACCTCACGAATTAGTGTAGATCCAAGGCAAGATCGGAAGGCAAACCAAACGCGTCCGTTAATAGAGGACACTGGAAGACTACCAGAATCAGAGAACTTGTTGAGATGGCTAAAACCCAAATAAATTTGGATTTTGAGTTCATATCTTAACTCAAATGCTGGATGTAAACAGATCACCATAAAATAAGCAACTTACTAAATGCTTCACAAAATATGAAACCACCGAACTTTCTCTTAAGTTTATTTCCCTTCAGCTCTCTCAAGTTTAAAGGCAGGTCTTCCAAAAGATAATCGGAGATTTCGTCGCCCCAAACTCTATTGGGAATCCCGGTTTTATTTTTTTCCCCACTATGTTTATGGCTACAAACAGATATTTATTACACCGTTACTACCATCATTAATTTGTGTGTTGTCGCGTGCGTACGCTGCAGATGAAAAAGTATTCTCTTTGAATACTAACGCATTCTATTCATAGGTCGAGCTATATGGACTAGACATATTCGAAATGGAAAAGAACTTCCAGAAATTGCGCGTGACGATCACTACGACTTCAATTTCCAGGTAGGGGTACTGTTGGTGCACTTAAATCTTACGAACAGGATGTGCTCTGTGAAGAAGTACTACCCGGTACTTCTTTTCACTTCTCAGCCAGAAATAATAAAAGCAGGGGCTAGAAACATTTCCTGTTGGGATGTCAGGCAGACACATCCTAAAATAGTTTCTTGCTGGTATTTGTTGGCATGGTTGTTTTGTCATCATAGAATATAATGATTTCTTAACAAAAAGGGAAATCCATGCAAATTAGGAACTTCCGTCTTCCCCTTTTCTTCCACCTTCCTTCTCCTCCAAACGCGAGCAACACCCCAGCGAACAATGATGCCATTCGTTCTTGTTCACAGGACACACAAGTTCTCAGAAAAGAAATCAACATTCAGCCGGTGAGTATACATGTAAAATACTACATAACCGATGAACTACATTTTCGAAATAATGTTACCAATATTATCATATGTAAGTCATTGCATGCTGTAAATCAGTGCTTGACATAACCGATGCTCTTGTTTTGCCTTAATTTTTCCTTTAAGGGAGACGAAATGATTCACTACTGCAAATACAATTCTATGGACAGGGATCAGCTAACGAAGGTAACAATTATAACGATCCGTTTTCTAAAAAGGTGATGATCTTGCTTCATAGTTTCATTATTTTAAACAGGACGCGAACCAATGTGTTACAGTCCTGGTAAAAGACCTTGGAGCACCCTAGGAAAACACGCAAAAAATTGTTTCCCTGAGGACCGCTAATTTTCACTTATCCACCCTTCCAATCGTCCTCAATAACTTAGGAATTAATGCAGGCTACATTGATTGCACTGCTTCTTTCCCTACACCTATCCATATTTAGGGAGGCGTTGCTTCGAGAGAAGAAATGTGCTTGGACTTCTTGTTCTATTATCCACGTGTACCCAAGATCAAATTGTGTCAAAGTACTGCATATGGTCCTCCATACAAGTTCATCAAAAAATACTTGTGAGTCTCGTTTAAATTCGTATTTGACATTTCAAGGTTGTTGTATTAGTTGGACGGTTCCCTTCCCTACCCCCTCCCCCCCTCCTCCCAGGCTTCTCAGATGTTCTGTGGGCTGACAGCCAACTGTGTTTTGAAAAAAACTGCATGTCCTCGTGTTCTTTAAAAATGAGCCAGAAAATTATGGTTTGTTCCCTTGACTAAACAAGGTGCAATGTACGTTTTTAACATGTCATGCCACCTGATTCCGAGAAGATCAACCTGCAGACTTGTTCCATCAATCGATAACTATTGGACCAACTTGTTTAGTATTTTGTATTTTGTCATTATTCAACTATTGAAAGCTCAACAGAAATCGAAGCCGTACGCTTAAACAATAGGTTCATTTGTGATATACACGCCTCGTGCATAATGTTTGATTTGCAAATGTTAAAATATCAATGGCTGTGAATATATGAAAATCATATATGTGAACTGCGGATAAAGACGTGAATATGAAAGCGATCTTCGCAGTAATAAACACTACTTGAGAAGTAGCAAAAATAAGGCCTGAAAAAAATTCAGTATGTTAAAGTAACCTGTGTGGAATTCGCTAGCGAGCAAATAAATATTTTGTTTAAAAAAAAAAAAACTTTCACGAGCATGGCGATATGCTTGATTATTCGTTTGTTTGATTTGGCCTTGACTCCAGGAAAGATGCTAACTTAACCTCTCCATACCGTAATCCTATGACCAAAACGTCATTGGACTGGACTGATGAAATGGTGGCTGACTTCAAAGAGTACAACGAAGAAGTTCAGAGAGTATTTCCTCGTTGTGGTATTCGTAAATTTTCCTCTGTTACTGTAAGTATCCACGTTTCTTCAACATCCGACCCTCCAAACCTTACCTGTAAGTTAATGAGTGAGGCAAACTTGGCCATGACGAAATTTTCTAATGGAAGTGACTCCAGAAGGGGATTTCTGACCATGTTTTATCTACAGATGTATAAAGCGAACGCCTTATTCCTTGACAAGGCCATTTTTCTGGGCAACATTTTGAGTACAGATGCGAAAACAAAATTTAAAATGGAGAATATTCCAGAGATAATTGCACTGCCGAGTTGTGGAAACTCGATACTTATGCACAACCACAGTCGTCTCGAAGTTCAATTTTTATTATTACACTTTCTTCTGAATTGACTTGCGCTATATTTGTTTTCCTCAGGACACAATGAATCCAAACTTCACGGTGCCGATACCAAAAATCGCTGAGCCTCTTCCAGCCGAGAAGTCCGACTGTCCACCAATCCCAGTTGCTGCAGGCCAGCGCATGTCACCTGGGGTTTTCGCAGCGTACTTTGGGATACTGCGTGCTGTCTTTTGTATTGTAAACCAATGAGTGATCGCCTTGCTGAAATCTGCCTTATCATCACTTTCTCTTTCTCCTTTTTTCGCATTTTTTGTTTTTTGTCTTGTTGTTTAATCATGACTAACGTGAAGGCAAGTAAATATTATGAAAAGTTATGAAGGCGGCCTGGAACTTTCGATCATCAGTCTTCTTATTTCTTCTTTTTTTTTATGAACTGTAACTTCTAGTATCTGACTTGGGATCTTCCTGATAACATAAATTGAACCGGGCCTAACATTTAGCGAAGAGAATTTGGTGTTAAACTGATGCAAAACACTCGAGTTGATAACTTTGTCTTTCCCGGCCTTATTAGTCACTTGTAGGCTTTGCAGGTTTATCAAATGTTGCACAGCTTGATTCCTGTTTAGAAGTCCTATAATGAATAAAATTATCGACTACAAAACCGTTTTCCACCTCTTGGAAAATACCTATCTAAATGCGGAGCTGCCGCGTAAGAAAGGGTTCCTAGTCGTCACGTGTCAAGATACAACCACTTTTAGAATTATCTTACATTGGATTGTTACGTCAGTATCTCACGCACTTTAAGGATTCTCTTTCATTGAAGTGTTACGTCAGTATCTCACGTACTTGTAGAATTATCTTTCATTGAATTGTTACGTAAGTATCTCGCGCACTTTGAGGATTCTCTTTCATTAGATTGTTACGTTAGTATCTCGCGCACTTTGGGATTATCTTTTATTGGATTGTTACGTTAGTATCTCGCACACTTTTAGAATTATCTTACATTGGATTGTTACGTCAGTATCTCGCGCACTTTAAGAATTATCTTACATAGGATTATTACGTTAGTATCTCGTGTTCTTTTAGAATTATCTTTCATTAGATTGTTACGCAAGTATCTCGCGCATTTTAAGGATCTCTTTCATTAGATTGTTACTTTAGTATCTTGCGCACTTTTAGAACTATCCTTCGTTCGATTTTTACGTCAGTATCTAGCGCACTTCTAGGATTCTCTTTCATTAGATTGTTACTTTAGTATCTTGCGCACTTTTAGAACTATCCTTCGTTCGATTTTTACGTCAGTATCTAGCGCACTTCAAGGATTCTCTTTCATTAGATTGTTACTTTAGTATCTTGCGCACTTTTAGAACTATCCTTCGTTCGATTTTTACGTCAGTATCTAGCGCACTTTTAGGATTCTCTTTCATTGGATTGTTACGTCTGTATCTTGCGTGCTTTAAGGATTTGCTTGCAAAAGGTTTTTATGTTAGTATCTGGCACTCTTTTATATTTTAAAATAAATGCACCTTTCCTCTGGACGCGAAACTCTCCACCAAGCTGCTATCGCTTTTAATTAGGCTGAATGCTCGAGATTCGAATCCTCATTGTGGACCCTGATTGTTTGTGAGTCCCAGGCCCAAAACGTAAATGCAAGGGCAGTCCACCGCGATCATCAGACCTGATGATCTGATCATTAGGTCTGATGATCGCGTAAGCGTGAAACTCAGAGTCACAGAAAAATTATGTCGTATTGATTGGTTCAACCTTCAGATATATATATATATATATATATATATATATATATATATATTATACTACCACGTCTATAAAGCAAAGTTACTCTTATCATCAGGGTTGTAGCCTGGAAGTCTAGATATTTTGCAGAATTGTGGAACTCGGAATGGAGTCTTTCTCCCCTGGAGTTATCCATTACAACAGACGAATAACACCAGTAAAACTTAATTCAGTACCGAATGTGAGACCCTGATATCTGTATAAGTGAATCGAGGATCAGATTTGGGATCAGTTTCGCGGGAGTTTTATAATATAAAAGGTCTGATAAAACTCGTAAGACTCATCTATGTTTTTCCGCTGTCTTCCTCAACCACACATTCGGACAGTGCCTCTAAATGTAATCGTGACATGAAGGATACCCAGTAAATCAATTTCTTTTCAATGTCACAAAGTAAACAATCACCGTTGGAAATTCGGCTGAGCTGCGCATGGTGAGAGAACAAAAATTGTTGGAATTCACGTGGTCTACAATCAAACTGGGCGCGAAATGTGCGCATACATCGCTACGCTTGCTCACTTTAATACTTGCGTATGCGATTATTTTTTTCTGTTTTGACTCGGATAAAACGTGACAATTTTTCATCAGGTGAGTTATGGAATCACAAAAGGAAGCTTGTAGTACATAGTTTATCTGTTTATATGTATTTATCAGAGGGCGGAGATAAGAAAAAAAAATCATGCTTTCTGGGGCATACTTCTCTTTTAATGAAAAGAACGGGTCCTTTGCCAGTGTCTGCTTAACCCTTAACCTGTAATAATCTTAAATTTCTCCTTACACCATTATGGTCATGAAAATGACTGGAACGATCATCAATTTAAAACCGCAGAAGGCACTATTTATACGATAAGCTAAATTATACATGAATTTTGATTGGTTCTTATCAGTCTAATGGAGGACAGACGCATAGATGACGTCACCATTAGCAACAGACCACGAGCAGTCCTCCTCTTCGGCACAATCCTTACCAAAAATCAGCGGAAAAATAGATATTTGTACGCCGCACAGAACTCCGGGAGTGAGGCACACGACGTGTAACAAAGCCCCTTGAAAAGTCCGCTGAATATAGGTATATGGTCACGAAGGTCACAATTCTAGAGTCTACGTTTGCTTTTCCTCTGAATACAGGTCATTTTACGATGAATTCGGTATGATATGCGCTAGATACAAGGTTTCTGTTTAATACAGTCGATTCGCAAAAAAATAATAATAATTAATAAATAAAAAACAAAAGAAACTGTCTACCAATCACAGGTTTGTTTTTCAAACACATGCTCGATTAGTTCAAATCAGGATTCAAACCAAGATCAGTTTATCGCAAATGTTTCACCTTTTTGCTTCTTTTAAGGGAAGAGTCAGCAAAGTTCATAAAGTTAAAAAAAATCCTCTTAAAAATCGCCCTTAGTTTGATGACTAATTCTCAATAGGAAAATTGGGTGGTTCTTATATAACAGGTACTTAGCCGCTGAGGATATAAAAGCCTTGATTGGTCAGATAGAACATATCGAGATGCTGATTGGTTGATAAATTTAGCTTAGCTATATAAACGGCCTGTGACTCACTTTCCATGCGCGATATCTGTACCCGGCTTCGACCTTGATCAGAAAAAAAAATTAGCACTTTGCGCTGTGGAAAGTAGACTATATTAGAGCGGAGACAGAAGTCGTGGATAGTTTGGTGTTGGTAAGCCATGACTGAATACAAACTGGTGGTGGTTGGAGGTAATCAGATTCTGGTGCTCTCCATCGATGGAACGTTTGATCTTTCAATGTCTGTTTGAACCGATTGCGCTGAACATTTGATCCTTCCAACCTAATTCTGCGCTTTTGTTCCTCTTGCAGCCGGCGGTGTTGGGAAAAGTGCGTTGACTATACAACTCATTCAAAATCAGTAAGTGTCTGTCTATTGAAGAACCAGTTCGTGCACAGTTTAACTTGTTGTTCTGTTTGGAAGTTGTGTTGTGGCGAATTATGCAAGGGTTGAGTGTAGTTACATTCAAGCGGGACTCATTTACGCCCCGGGATGAATTTTAATTCAGAATATTTCACCGAGTCGTTCGATTTTGGAAGTACTGTAAACTTCGATTTAAATTTGCATGTCGTATTGAGTTCTTTCCCTCAAAATCGTTGTAGCGTGAGTCGGTACATGTTACTTCTAACAAACAACAAGCTTTTGAAGGCAACTTACCTGTAAATTCAACTTTATCAGACGCTCCCCGATAAATTCGATCGAACAACAGCATTTTGCAAAATCGTACTATTTACTACAAGTCCACAAGCCTTCATTTGATTTCATATCAAACGATTGATGTTTTGCAAACATGTGTTTAAACCTCCCCTTCATCGTATGAATTATTGTATTCGCCCTTGTTAGCTGAAACAGGAACTCTTCGCTAAGACTGTGTGCGGAGTAGGGTAATTTTGAATTCTCTCACTTAGTCTAGAAAGCTTCTTTCTTTCTTTCTCTCGTAAGTAAATTTGGTTAAAGAGTAATCCATATGGTTATTTCATGAGCATATTTGGGCCTTTCGGTTTTATTCCATTATAGTAGGGGAGTTGTTGATGTACATGTGAAAAGTTTACTGTATACCATGGGAGGGGAGAGTAAAAAGGGTGTGGACACAAATTTCAAGGTGGGGTATAGAGTTATGAGTTCGGGGTAGACTAAGACAGAGGTGAATTTTTTTAATCATACTTATTAACAAAAATAAATAGGACAAGTAGAGCAAGAATATGCATATGTTTTACATTATATGCTCATTGTTTAATTTCTACAAACAGAACTTTGACTAATGAAGGACATTAGCTGGCATTTATGCCCCTCTTTATAAATATTTCTGGCAGTAAAAAGGTCACCTAGTAGCAGTGAATGTCATTTTAATATTTTCTAATTTATATTTTTTTCATGCTCTGATTTTTAGAGGGCAATGCAGAAATAGCACTCTATTATAATTTTCTGTTCATAAGTCCCCCTCTATTATGGGCCCATCTGCTTGTAAACAAAAAAAATACAACCATTATAACCCCCCCTCACCTTGTGGCTTTTGTTATTCTTTTTTTAACAGCAAAGCAGAAAGTGTCACTGATATGAATTAGACGTTAGAATTTTAATTTTGAGAGGGCAAAAATGATTCTCAAGGGAAATGTCTGACCTTCCATTGTTGTTTTCCAGTTTTGTTCCTGTTGTCTGTTTTAATTCTGTTCCAATCTATTGAAATGTAGTTATTGTAAATCACATTTTGAGGCTTACTTAAACAACCAGTAAATGCAAAGTGTACACAATGTATTTTGTTCGGTATCATTATAGCTCATTTCGAAATGCTTTTTCTATTTCGGTTCAGGGCGTGAAATTGTGCTTAATACAGGTGCCAATGTGACTAAATTTTTCACTTTGGCGAGCAAATCCTGAAAATTAGTCGCCAAATTGGCGACTAGAATGTTTCATCATAACCTTACCTAGAGATATAGTGAATTAAAAAGATTTGCAAAGACAAATCCGTGGCAAACTTCCTTGTTAAGTTTGTTTCCAAAACGCAGCAGATGCATCTTAATCGATAACTAGATGCCATCTTGGATTTAGGTGTGCTTAAACATTGCATATTATCCATCCTAGTGTCCCCTTAGTAGCACGTGAAAGATCTTTTCCCTTACATAATTTCTAGAACGATGACAGCATAAAAAAAAAAAAGGTTTTGTTAGTCTTTCAAAATGGCGACCAACTTTTTTTGAATTGGCTACCACTTTGATGAATTTAGGAGCCAAGTGGCTATTAGAAAAAAAAATTAATTTCATGCCCTGCGGTTATCAGTCCTCTTCAAGTTAGATGTAAGCTGCTTCATTCTATAGTTAAGTGAATTTACACATTTTTTTTTTTACTTTTAGCTTTGTAGATGAATACGACCCAACAATTGGTGAGTAAAGACTGTGTTGAAAATTTTGATATACATCTGCTTGCCCAAGGTGTTTGTGTGTTTTCTCAACATTGCTCCATGTGTATACAGTAGAGCCTTATTGGCTCAAAGTCGGTTAAATTCTTTCCTCAATTTAATGGGAACTCCCTTAAAACTTGTTTATGTTAAAGCTGTAAATTTAAATTTGTGCATTTCTTGTACAGGTATAAACTACAGCTTTATACTAAATAAATATTTCCTTTGCTGCAGAGGATTCTTACAGAAAACAAGTTGTCATAGATGGGGAAACATGTTTATTGGTGAGTTTGAATGTGCTTGTATTGTTCAGTGCATCAAGACTGAGATCAATTGTAAGACCTTTTTGATAACTCAAAGTGAAATTTTACATGTAAATGTCTTCTATTTAGATTAATGGATAACCTATTTAACTCCCTTTTCAAATTTAAGTACATCATGAATTCAAACATAAAAGATTGTTTTCTTATGTGTCTTATATTATGTACTGATATGTGTTTCTTATCTGCCATTATTTTGGCTACATTTTCAACTCCGAAGATCTCTTTGTCAATTCTCCCCTTTTGGTGCTTCACATTTCCTTCAACTTAGTTACAAGAATTTGGTTGTAGATCAAGATAAAAACCTCTACCTGATAAGTTTGAGTATTCTCATTGCCTGGTTGCTGGATAATATATGGGTATTTTAGGGAGTAGTTACATCTTGATCAATTCTGGTGGGTAAAGAGTTAAGTGACAGCTCAGAAACGTTCTATTTTGTGCTAGAGACATAAAATTTTTCAAACTTTTTTTTCATTTATTTCCTGTTATTCCTTTATAGGATATTCTAGACACAGCAGGACAAGAAGAATACAGGTTATTATCAAGATGACAGCTTTAGCATGAAATATAATACTATTCTTAGATGCGGGGACAAACTTATTTCTCTAAGTCAGAATTACTCAAATGCAATAGCCACCTCAATCTGATCAGCTTGAGCAGGAGCCAGACCATTCCTGTAATAACATACAGTCCTTCAAAATTTGATCTTCAATTCTCAATCTTTGGATCTTGTGACTTTCAGGGATTGAGGCATACAGATGTACATGTATCTGAATTTTTTTTACCTTAAAAGGTTTTTTGATATTCAAGGGTTTCCAAAAAATGTTTCAAATCTTTTCCTTGAAACAGCAAATCAGGATCCTCAAAGAATTCTTAGAGTGTCTTGAGACTCAAAACTCAAGCCCCAAAACTGCAGCTTTCGAACTGTGTTCAAGTTTTTCAGGAGACAGAGAATCAAGTTTTGAATCTAGATTGTCAACTTTTGAGTACATGGGTGGTATTTGTGCAAGTAATTCAGAAATTCTAGCTCTTTTGGGTAAGGCCTACAAATTCTACACCTATTATTCTGCTTGGTCACTGGTTCATGGTATCATAAAACTGAGAATTTTATGTTGGAAGTGTGGCTTCTTTTCTGCCATGGCCAAAACTGCAGCTCATCAGGGAGGATCATACACTTTACACCTTAACATCATTATGCATATTCTCCATACTGTTCTCCATACATTTCCAAGGTTCTAACAAGGAGAAATTGTAAAAACATCAAGAGCTTTGTTAGTTGCTAATCATTTCCTTTATTATGGTGACTTTAACATTTGATTCAAGGGATAGATTGTAAAGAGAAATTAGAACCTTGTCACTCTTAGGGATGAAAGGGTTAACTTGACATATTATATTTTTTTCATTTTTAGTGCAATGAGAGATCAATATATGAGAACTGGAGAAGGATTTCTTTGCGTCTTTGCAGTCAATAACAAGAGATCATTTGAAGAAATCCATGCATTTAGACAACAGGTACTGTATACTATTGTAAAACATGCGCTGTAAAAAAAAAAATTGGTTAGTCATGACACACTCAGTTTGTTCACTGGTGATACACTCAAGTTATGTACGAGTTCAATTTATTTTTAAGGCTTTTCACAAATGCACTTATTGTAAAACATCAATGTGAGGATGATTTCCTTTGACTCATTCCCAATGTTTATTGATGTACATTGAATTTGTTGAGAGCATCATTCAATTTTCCTTTCCAAATCATTTTTTAATTTCAAATTTGTTCTCTCCCTACACAGATTAAAAGAGTGAAAGATGCAGATGAAGTCCCCATGGTTTGTAAGTAGTCAAAAGAATTCTCGGTTTTAAATAAAAAAATAACTCCAAGTCAGCCCTGCATTGTGTGTATGATTTGTCTGAGGTCATTTCAATCAGAAACATTGCAAAAAAACAAACAAGCTCACAATGCTTGAATAATGAAGAGATCTCATATGAGGTGTGGTTTATCATGCACTGTAAAATTCCTTCGTTGCTTAACCTTTTAAACCCAAGCGACTGTCATCTAATTTCTCTCACAATAATACTGCCAAATCATTCAAGCTAAGAAATGGTGACCATTCAACAAATTATCCTCATCTTTGCTCAAATAAATGTGTGGAGAAGGGGAAAAATAGGGATACTGATATTAGGATATGAAAGGTTAATCTAAGCAAGTACATGGTGTACAATCTTCATTCATCCACTCTGTATATGAACAGAGACACATGAAAGAGCTGCTCAGCTACTGTGGTACGAGGTGTTCCCTTTCATGGTCGCATCAATAGAATTGGATCACAACAGCTTGTCATAGGGGTAAAAAATTGACACAGGAATGGATACATGCACATGTATGTATGTACCTGTGCTTGCCTTTTCCCTGTACATTGTGGTCTTTGAAGGCAAAAGGGTCAATCCATGTAATTTCCTCTCGTAAGTAGAGATATTAGCCATTTCACATTTTACTCATTTTTAATTCATGTTATGTTATTCTTTGTAGTGGTTGGAAACAAGTGTGATCTTCAAAGGACTGTAATGCCAGCAGAAGCATACGACTTAGCAACAAGTTATGGAATTCCATTTATAGAGACATCAGCTAAGACAAGACAAGGAGTTGAGGATGCCTTTTACACTTTAGTCAGAGAAATCAGACGGGATGTAAGTGACTTTAATTTCAGAAATTATTTTCTTTGTTTTAGGCTGTTTATACATGTAAATATAACCTAAACTTTCTGTTTTTTATTATTATCTTACAGAAAGGAAAGAAACCAGTGAACGCTCCTAAAAAGAAGAAAAAATGTATAATCTTGTAATGTTTTTTCATTTCTTATTTGTTCAGTTAACAGCTCAGTAAATTTAGTCCCTTCAAAGTATTGTAAGTTTTCTCATAGAAGATTATACATATCCAACCATCATGAATCAGTCAGTGGAAGAAGGCTGAGCTGATTTGTGTGTGTAGGCCTCACTACTCCTTCCAACCCATTGTAAGCATTGACTCCTTGGTGAAAGTAAAAGGTACCTTAAGTTTGGAGAATAGTTTAAAACAAATTCAAATTGCATAGCCAAGAAGTTTGACAAGATTGAAGGAGAGACTTCAAACTTTGTAGTGATTTCACAGAGGTTATTTTTTCTTTTTTGGAGCTGTAAGATTTATAATGGCTGAATTTGACTCAGTTCCTGTTGTAAAACTTACAGTAGTGTGACTTGTAGAAAATTTTAAAAATTTATTTATTGATATTTTAAAGACAATTAACCAATAATAAAACAGAACTGCTGCATTTTTTGTGAGATTTGAAGGAGATAAAGCAATGTGTATTACAATTTTTTTTTGTTTGTTTTTACTGTTGAAGAATGTGACTATAAATTCAAAGCAAAATAGATCTGTCACCAGAATTGACTGTAAACTTGCAAACAAATAATTCCGTTTGCATGTACATGCCAATGGTATTTTTCAGGGGAAATGTTCTGATGTTGTGGGAGAGGTCAGCCAGAGGTTTCTGCAGGTCAGAAACATTTTGCATTTGAGGATAATAGTAAATGAATGACTGATAACCATACGCATGTACTTGCAGGGTATACATAAAAATAAGGTGACAGTGATTTTCCCTTGGATTCATTGATAAACTCTTTGTACACCAAGGTGTTGCTCAGCTTCCATAAACAGCTTGTTAGTCATTTTTAGCAGTAAATTGAAGGCTTCAAAGAGAGGGTCACTTAGTAGAACATTTATTGCAATTACTATGCAATGTGAAGACTAATGGAGTTAGGTTGTATTCTGTAACGTGTTGGTTGACCACAGCAGTCAAATATCAGGCATGAGCCAGTGGACAGCTAGAAAACATAAGAAATGACTGCTTTCATGCAAAACGTAGGGGAAAAAGTGTTCTTAGAAATCTGTAAAGAGATGTTGAGACTCTCAAAAAGGGAGCTAACTTCACATCAGCTGTGTTGTTGAATTTGCCTGGAAGCACTTCTGTTACTCATTAAAATATTGTCACGTGTGGAGATGTTTGACTGCTGGGTTCCATTTTAAGTGAATTGACTGATCATGTGACTCTTCCCCTGTCTGTACAGTAGACTCCTTATTTTACAATCAAACCTTTTTATAGGGCACCCAAGAATTTCATTTTGATAAGCCAGTTGGAGGTTCTCATAGGCTAAGTAACTCAAGTGGCAAAGTTGTTAGAGATGCTGGCTCATCTAAAACAGGCCTGGGCTGTTGCACTTGTGAGAGCTTGTTCTGAGAGGGTGATTCAAGTTCTTAGGGTCAACTGTACTTAGTCCCCTTTGTTCTTTTGTGTTCTCAGTTATAATACTTAACCTTGTAAACATGTAGGTAGGTGTTATTGCTTTATTTGGTGTTTCTTTGTATCCTGTTATGGTACTGTGTGTATTTTATCCCCTTTTTGTTCCTGGAAAAGAAGTCCTTTTTCCATAAGTAGTTTTAAATTTAGTCGTTTGAGTAAAGCAGAATTGAAAATAAAGTAAAATAAAACAATCTTGTTTTTCTGTCTTTTTGTTTATGCTTAATCATAACTGGGGTGTATATTGCACACCAGATAAGGGGTTGGGCAAGGAAGAAAGAGAATGTATGTACATACAGCATTACAATCTAGTAGGAATGTGGCAACGCTAGCGTAACTGAGGACATGACAAAGGTCACTGTGCTCCTGCTTTCAGATACGGTTCCCATTCTATTCATTGCTTATTGTTTTATTTATTTAGTTATTTACAGCCATATGAGGTCATTAAAAAGAGCTCAAAGACCCATTCTGGGTGATAACTATGAACAAAAACCTTCAAAAAATGCAAATTTGCAAGATGAATCATACAAAATACGAATGATACTACAACCGACTTTTTAGAATTGCCTCGCTTCCAAGAGTAGTAGAAAAGAAACTGGGCACTAATACCGAGGAACGCCTATGGCTTTTTGTTCATCATGGCGGAGTCATTTCCTTGTGAACGGAACCCGTTATTCCAGCGGTGTGTTGGTAAAATGAGTAAAAAGTGTTACCGATCGTTTCTTTTAGACCTTGCAAACGTCTACCTTGGTCTGAAACCCTCGCTTCTCTTCGATTACGCGGTCATTGATGCAACGAACGCAAGCATTTTGATCGATGCCCTGGTTTCAGACAGTGTTGTTCCTTATGCGTTGGACGTTCTTCGAGTTGGCGACGACACATTCTTCGCTGACTTGAGATATTTGGTGAGTCATTTAAAGACATCTGTGGAGCGAGAAGAGCTTATTTTAATCGACGTTTCAGGAACATTGTCAGAGCCTCGTATGTTGGAATCAGATGCTTCGAAAAGCGTTTACAAACAGTTCTCTGAGATTGTGAACATTTTAGATCAGAAATTAGGAAATCAGCGTTCGAACGAAACGCGAAGAGACAATGCCATTAAAAAATCAGAGGTGATAGATTTAAATAGTTGTAATATTAACGATAGCATGTGGTGTATTCCTTGTGTTTTCGGCTTTCTTCTTGGTTATCCAGTAATTTACTGGTGCAACGATCAGGATACGTATATTAATTGCAATTGCCTCAGCATGCTACCACTCAATCGTTACACTGTGACTGTAAAAGAATCATTTTTGATCCATTCTTGGTTGATGAAACATAATAATGGACTTATTCAAGCTTTAGGCAGAGGTACAAAAAGCTGCAGTGAACACGCTCTGTTTTCATTCTCTGCCCCAGTAGCCCTCGAATCTTGCTATGAATCAGAAGTTGAAGGGTGGAAGAAGAGAATAAGGGAACCTGGAACTAGTGAGCACCTAAAGGTTCAGAAAACAGTAGTTACATTACCTCATCTGGCTTTGTAATATTCTATATTCGATGATTTTACAGGAATTCATCTTATTTCATCATTACATATTTGCTCACAACAACCAAATTTGGAAGTCTTCCTTGCAGCCATTCTAATGCTTGTCACACAATACTCCTCTCCATGAATAATGAGAGAGGTGTGTTGCTTGACAAATCAAGGAATGGCTTCGCAGGAGGGTACAAAATTAGGTGCAAGTTCAAAATTTGAGCCTAAGAATACATGACTGAGGGACTGTCCTATCTTAGGAGATTGTTTCGCCTCTTTTTCATCCGTACTGGCCATGTAAGGGGATTGCCCTTTTATTGGATGCCTTGAAAAAACCTGTTGGACACCCAGGTGTCCCTGAGGGATTGATGCCAGTTACCTGGAAGTAGGCTGCATTTTTAACCATATGTGATAACAAAAACAAAATTTTCTTTCATGTTCATTAAAATGTTCATTTAATAGCTGCTGTCAGCTGACGCATTGTTTGATGTTTCACGAATTTATTTAACCAACCTAAAATTATTTAGATAGAGATGTAGATCTATCTTATTGCTGGCCTCTGTGGGCAGGTTATTCAAACAAAGTTTAGCCTTAAAGTTTAGCAAAACCACATTCAAAGTCATCTTCAATTAAGCGAAACCTTTTTATCTGAACATTTATTTTTTTGTTAACAGCATCAAGAGGGCCAAAAACTGATAGTGGAAAGACATATAAATCAACCCTCTTCTAGAGAATCCCTGGGTCCCACTGCTTGTATCAAACCATGGTTTGGGTTAGACATACTGTTAATAACCAGCCCTATGAGTTTCTGTTTGTAGCAATTTTCTTATATTTATAAATGGACGATATGATTTTGTTTTGGATTCTTGGTTACATTTTATCCTTGCTGAAGCTCTCGTCAATTGTTCAATTTCTTCTACAAGCTTTCATTGGTTTCTCAAAGTTTTTGACTGATGAACTGGGAATCTCCAACCTGATTACAGATGGCCTATGAATCATTGTCGCAGTTCTTTCAGCTTAACATCATCAATAGCTATTTAATAAAGGTAATAAACACATTTATCCGGGGTTAATAACGTACTGAACCCATTTAGAATGTTGCAAGAACACAAGAAAAGCTTGTAATTCACTCACTTAAAGCTCATGATTGAGGCTTTTTTTCTTGTGTTATCCCAACATCCTGCTGAAGTATATCGCACCTGGAAATCCGAAAAAATGTTTCTATTGCTTCAAGGACTATCATATCTCTTGCTAAAATTTTCTGACTTTTTCTGATTTTCTTTCCGTAAATGTCGGCTAATTTACTGCAGTTGGTTCATCTGTTGGGCATAAAATCTTGGTTGGGAATAAAATCTGGTAACTAAACTAGCGATCTTATTTTGCATTTCCTACAGCCTTGGAGGTTACGTAATGGGTGTTTAAAATTAAAACTGATATTGCTTAAAAATTCCTTTCCTTGTCGTTAGTTTAAAATCGCTATTATAATATACCAGACTGAGAACTAACCAAAATAGCAATCACGTTTCCGTTGTGTCATGTTCACGTTGAAAGTCATGAAGTGAAAATTTTCCAGATGCATCCCGATCTTAACTCAGAATAATTACTTTGTTCCTGTCTGGAGACGTCCTTTCTAAATAAAAATTCTTCCTTCCCTCCCGACTCACTGAAAATTGTCGAAAAATCCTAGCCCACTTCTACTTAGGCATACACCGTATTTGTCTGAGCGATTCAAATTTCCTTTGGCGATTAAAACTAGTCGTTGAAAGATTATTACTAATCCATTGAGCCATGACAGACACTGGGAAATTCGATTTGTTTTTTTCTTTCCGCTCTTTTTTCAAATGAACTGGGCATGAGTTTTTCTGTTTATGTTTTTCTGACCCCGAATAAAGTTGTTAATCTACCTTAGCCTACTCACTATAGATTAAGGTTTGAAATCTCATTGTTATAAACATGATAATCTATGCTACTCTTGCTTTTCCAAGAATAATCTAGAATTCCTGTCAATGAAAAACATTCCTTGAGGCAAACTGAAAACGTTTATGTTTTATGATGTGCTTCTGCTATCAGAAATTACTTAAGATCTGAATGATTCGTTTCTGAGTAAATGCAGGCGGATAAGCTCTACGTCGATCGTTTCAAATAAATTGAGTTTCTTAAAAAACACATGACAAAAAAATTGAAATGAAATGCTTTTCAGCGAGAACAACATCTTTTGGAAATGAAACATTTGAATTATAATTGGGAGCCAAAAGTCTACGTGCAGATATACAAGTTAGATTTTCCTTTTCACAAAGGTGGTCAAAGCACTCAAAGCGTAAGCAATTTTTGACCAAAGAAAATACATGAGGGCAAAAACACATTTCCAAAGTACAACTTTAAGTTTAATTGGAGATGTCCAATTTTACTGAGTATTATTATTAGTTGATGAGGACGTGGTCAGCTCATGAAATTGATATCGCTTTGGTAGACTTAAAGTCTACGCGCAGTTTGGAATAAGATGAAATGACTTAAATCCTGTAACGTTTCTGTAAACTCAGTGTGGAAGGATAAAGGGATTTTTTCTTCATGATATATTCTTGATCCAATACCCTCTACCAAACCTTAAAAATGGGTAAGGAAAGACATAGATTATCACGTTGGTGAATTTATTTTTTTCAATAGTTTTTTATCGCCTGAGCGCTATTACAGAGCCATATTCTCAATAACAAGGATTCAGCAATAAACAACAAAAGCGATTCTTAGGCCAACACACTAAAGATGTAAAATTGCTCCCTTCAAAAGTACGTCATCCGCAATCCGCTAAAATGCAATTAGCTGGTGCAGTGGACAATAAAAAACAACAAACATCCTGGACGATTTTAGTCACATCTGCTTGCCCAGCATGGCAAGCAGTGCTCATAACTTGGCCATAGAAGAAGGAGATCGCTCACAAGGTGGCCTTTGTTACGTTATTAGTGCTCGGTGTCAGCGTCTTCTTCGCTGTTTGTTGTTGCCGATGTGTCTGGGATGTTTCGGTACAGCTCTTGTAGGCAGTGCTGTGATTAGTTGAAGAAAAACTAGAGGATTGACGTGAAACCGAACTCTTGAGAAAGCGTGCATACATATATTATGTATTATACACCGCTGCGAAGTAATTAAATTTTTTTTTCTCCCGCATTCTTGAACAAACCTCAGTATTTATAGTAAGACCATGCGGGTTGTACTCTATGACAATCAGTTTATTTGTGAACTAAGCAATTATCTATAGCGTGGTAATGTGAAATGATTTAAAAAATAACGAAGGTGCAAGAAGGGGAGAGATCATGAATGAAATAATGAACGTTATCTGAACACGACAAAAATTATTGCACGTGAACGTTTTGATTAAAGGTCAAGAAAATATTTATAGCAATTGATTGCAACAATGCTTGGTTAAGAACGTTTATAACACCGAATTTACCTTTGTGAAATAAAAAACTTATTCAAATATCCATAACGATCGGGTCTTTTTGGGTTTTGATGTTGATAATGCATAGAATGATATCAGAAAATAATTTGACAATGGAATTCTCTGGCAGTTATGATTTTATCTCAAGTTGCGTAATTTCACATCACATTCATTTTTTAGAGGCAGCGCTGCAATTTTCCAATATCAAATTAGACTTCTCATTTAATAATAACTAAACTGAAATTCACCAGAACAATTCTAATTACAGCAAAAACGGTTCGGGGCAGTTTTTCCTGTCCCGAAAGTCCAATAAGTTAATATTAAAATTTGTTGCCAAAGGCATCGCGTCAATTCCGATTCACAACAAAGGCGAGGCTATTGTGTTAGAGAAGAACTGATGCAATTGTACGTATATTTATATTTTCTTTGTGTTTGAACGTTGATTTAGAATCATTCTTTCAGAATCAAAGAAAGAAACGCATTCCTGTGCGAAAGTACTGAATCAAAACTAACAAACTATTTTTGTTTGCAACAATTGTACCATTTCATTTTAAGGGATTCCGTATTGATATTGAACTTAAGGCAGTAAACTTACCAAACGCAAAAGATATATGATAGTAAGATGGCAGAGACTTCAAGCTTACACGTTGAATTTAGAACAAGTGTTCTTTCTTAAGTCTCCAGCCAATAATGCTCTCGTGAAACCCAAATGGGCCGTTTATGAGGTTGCACAAAACGCCGGCAGGTGTAATAAATTAGGCATGAGTTACAAGACACCACTCAATAACAAGTCGAGAAAACAAAGCAAACGTGCTACTTCACATGAAGAGTCCTTTTGTAAAGTGCAGTTCATTAGGGTTTCACCGAAATTCAATCTGTCACCTGCTTTAGATACAATGGCATTTCTTGCTTTCGTTCTACTTCTTTCCGCCCAATTTAAGTTGATAGTTCCTATGGAAAAAGTTCAGCTTTATCGTTTTCCATCGGGTTCTGTTTATTTTGGTAACTTTATGCGCAATCCATTTAGATATCTATGGGAAGAGAAACTAGCATCGTCCATGGTAGCAGATCGGTCGCATTGTGCCTTGTTTTGCGTTAACAAACCGAAGTGTTATTCGTTCAACATGGCAGCGTATCCTGACTTCAAAGGTCTTTATCGGTGTGAATTACTGGCCACTGACAAGTACAGATCAACTGAAAGGTTCCACGCCAATTCTTCCTACCACCATTACTGCCCTTGGGTAAGAATTGCAGATCGCAACGAGCTAAATGCTTCCTGTGTTGGTTTGTTCGTTCCGTTTTAATCTCATTTTTTTGCCATTTTCTGGGTCTTTCCTCCTTTTTTATCTATTTTTGCTGTCAAAGTCATAACGGACGGTTTACTTGAAGCCATTTTTCCTCAGTCTCCATGTGAAAGTGCTGCTTGTATGAACGGTGCTGTCTGTGTTCCTGAATATGAATCGAACTCCTATTACTGTGACTGCAAGCCTGGATTCTGTGGAACTCACTGCGAGCAAGGAGGTATTAAGTCAGTCAATATCTTATCTGATACATGTATCATAAGTTGAAAATACTGCTTTAAAATATTAATGGACATTATCTTTTGATTTTTGATTTACACTTGGATAGCCATGTACAAATAAAATAGCTAAAAGTATTGTGATACAATGTTTCCGTCTGGTCCGCTCATGTCTTAGAGCACCTGACTGCCGTGCGGCAGGTCGAAGGATCAAGTCCCAGACCGAACCAATACTTAGGGTCTTAAAATCAGTGTAAAAAATCGTTAACTGTTCAGTGCGTCTGGTTAAAGTCTCCCGCAAAGTGTTCTAAAAGCGCCATGAGCCTCCGGATATGGTGCTATAGAAATCCTTCATTATAATTTATGATAATTGTCAATGGCGTCGAAAATTGTTTTTCCGGTATTAAGAACACATAAACGAAGGAAGACTGCTGTGTCAATTGTTTTCTTCTTTGTTCCCAAGGAGATAAAACCTGCAGTCAGATCAAACTTTGTAATCTCCCAGATGGTTCTTACTTCATCGACCCTGATGGAGAGGGAGGAGTGAAACCATTCAAAGTCTATTGTGACATGACCGACAAGGACGGCGTTGGAGTGACGGTTGTCAGTCATGACAGTGAACACAGAACACTGGTGGATGGGTTTAATAGTAGAGGCAGTTATTCCCGAAATGTCAAATATGATGAATCTGATTTTGTTCAATTGGCAAGCCTAACATCTTCATCTGCTAACTGCGAGCAGTTTATAAAGTACGATTGCTATCACTCAGTATTCCTTAAAAATGGTAAAATGTTCGGATGGTGGGTGTCACGTGGAGGGGAGAAAATGACATACTGGGGAGGAGTCGATTTTGTTGACTACAAATGTGCATGCGGCTTGACCAATTCATGCGCAGACCCTATCGACGGATGTAACTGCGACAGTAACGACGATGTATGGCGAGAGGACAGCGGTTTACTCACAGACAAGTCCAAGCTTCCTGTGACGCAATTGAGATTTGGAGATACCGGCATCGCTAACGATGGTTCAGATGAAAAAGGATATCACACGCTTGGAAAACTTAAGTGTTATGGACTCAACCATGATTTACAGTGACCAAAAAATCGCCTAAAATGTACTTAAGAGCCTTAAATGTTACATATTGGTAGAGTTTTTTCTACCAATGATTTCACGGTCGTCTCTTCCTGCAAGTCCAAGGCGACGAAAGAAGCCTTGGCCGATCAAGGCAAACACAGTCTCTTCATCTCTTATACTTCCTTCATTCTCACAGTGACATTTCACCTAACTCTATTACTCTGATCAACTGATGGGTAACTGTGCTGCCCTCTTGTGAACAAAGTGCATTGCAAGCTGAATCAACCCGCCAAAATTTGGTACCGTTGGACCTTTCAACGATCTATCGTGGGTATAAAATGTCACTTAGCATGCGCAGCCAGCTTCATTGCGGGCTCATTTACATTACCATGTTCAGCGGACAACTAAAGGTATGAATGCATCCGAATTTGGTTGATGCTACTTTTAACATGCGTAGCCAATGCATAGCGGGCTCATCCATACCGCCGAGGTATTCTTGTTCAGCGGGCGACTCAGCGCCACACATGTGCAAAAGTTACACAGAGTTGAAAAGACTCTGAGTTTGAGAGTTATTCTGTGAGTCCTTTCAAATGTATATTTTTCAATTTCTACTGAGCTCATGGTGAAACCGTTTTAATTAAATATGTCGGTGGAAGATAAGGCATAATATTAAGGTTATATTTTATGACAAGGCTGGAAAAAGGAAGGCGAGTTACATCTTATTCAAGTTTTCTTTACAAATTGCCCAAAATTTTTGATTCGTGTTTTAAATTTCCTGGCTTATTAATGGCTCAGTCATCCACTTACCCACTGCTACTTCCACTGCTACTTTTACTCTTAATCAAAACTTTCTAATGAACCTACTGATAACAAATCCATTCATTGACGATGGCCTCTGATTCCAAATCCTTGTTCACATCCCACACCTTCTCTCCTAAATATTAACTAACATTTTTACTGTTATAAATCATTGCGTTTGTCTTTGTTTGCCACATTCATCGTATTATCAGTTGAAAAGTGTTTTGAATAGATATAAAATACTACATAGCATTATAAAGTTATTTGTTGAGAATATGATAAAATAAAAACTGTGTGATCTACGAGTGCATTTCGTGGTTTATGATTACTTGTGTTGTTTTGAAAGGTTTTCATTTGCACTCGTCAAGAAAAAATTCCTAATCTTTTAAAAAAAAATGCGTGCTTTAACGTGCTTTCACGTTTTAAACAAAACAAATTCGCTTTTAACTAAGCATTATAAAGTTATTTATTGAGAATATGATAAAATAAAAACTGTGTGATCTACGAGTGCATTTCGTGGTTTATGATTATTTGTGTTGTTTTGAAAGGTTTTCATTTGCACTCGTCAAGAAAAGCTTCCCAATTTTTTAAAAAAAATGCGTGCTTTAACGTGCTTTCACGTTTTAAACAAAACAAATTTGCTTTTAGCTAATTTGGACTTTGACCCTTAGTGAGTAGATTCCTTGAAAACTATCTGCATTTACAACGATTTCCAAATGTAGAGATAAAGTCGATAGAGGCAACAGCCAATCATGAAAGAGTAATCATTGTTATGCTCACGTGAAAGTTTATGAATTTATCAACCTCTTAGCCGAGGTTGAAAATAGTTTACGGAGACAGGAAAGCATGATCAAGAAATCCGAACAATTATCATCTAGCAGATGGACATTGAACTGAACCAGGTGCGAAAGTTCCTTCGTAACATGAAGATAACTCTTTCCTAAATGATTCTCCGAAAATTCTACGTTCTCCTCTTGTCTCTTGTTAATTTTCGGGCTAAGCTTGCTCCCAACCGCACCCTTGCGGCTTGGCCAAACGCATGCAACACTTCAACGCAGCATCTTAATTTACTCGCTAACTTTGTTCCAATCGCACCCTTAAGGCCTTGCCAAACGCGCACAACACTTTAACACAGCATCTTACAATTTTATCAGATCGCGTGTTGAGATGTTGTGGAGGAACTGGCCAAACGAGAAATACAAAATCTGTGAATTTACAATTTTGTTCGCTGTTCGTTGTTCGTTCCAGGGGCCGTACATGCAAATATAAATAACAAATAAATACTTACCCATCATATGACAATATTGATAAACCTATATTGCTTTCATTTTAGGTGTTTAAGGGTAGTAATACATCGTGTGGAAATACTAGTCAAAGAGAAGAAGAATAAGGAAATACAGAGTCATGCTCTGTTCGATCTAAACTGACATGCGTCCTGTGTAAACTTTAGTCGTGGTGTTACCGGTATTACATGCATCTTTGTTTCAACACTTCGACGACCCCTAAACATTGGCTGCAGATTGCTATTTCCAACCTTAGCTCCTATTTTTCCGATAGATATATACTAACCGATAAAAATTAACTAAGAAAGGTATATTTATGCGCATAATCTTTTTCTTAATCTAAAAAATTTCCCAAAGAGTCAATTCAATCCTTTACACGAACTCCACTTCTTTTAGTTTCTCCGAACTTTATGAATAGATAAGCAGTTCTTTTCTCATAGATATCAACTAAGTGAGTCTAAAGAATATGTTATGCATCTAATAACCAAGAAAAGTCAATATTCATTCTCACTTAAGTCCATAACATTTCAGTTTTCCAAGTGTGTGATATGCTTTTTCATCTATACCATCATCAGTAATGCCGGTATCTCCAAATCTCAATTGTGTCACTGGAAGCTTAGACTTGTCAGTGAGAAAACCGCTGTCCTCTCGCCATGTGTTGTCATTCTTATCGCAGTTACAGTTGTAATTGGGGTCTGCGCATGTGTTGTTCAAGCTGCACGCGCATTTGTATGGATCAGAATCGACTCCTCCCCAGTAAAACATTTTCTCGCCGTTGAGTGCCACCCACCAGCCGTTTGCTTTACTGTTGCGGAAGAGTACCGTGTTATAGCACTCGTACTTTATAAACTGCTCACAGTGAACGGATGAAGCTGTTAGACTTGCCAGCTGAACCAGATCTGTCTCCATGTAAGTGATATTGCGCGAATAACTGCCAGGGGTCTCAAACCCATTTACCAGGGTTCTGCTTTCACTATCGTGGTTAACAACTGTCACTCCAACACCGTCCTTGTCAGTCATGTCACAGTAGACTTTGAATGGTTTTACCCCACCCTCTCCATCCGGGTCGATGTCGTAGGAGCCACTTGGAAGAGAACACAATTTGATCTGACTGCAGCTTTTATCACCTTGGAAAATAAAAAAAAATTGAACATAGTACATACGGTGTTTCTTAATTGATGTGCTACCCTTGATGGCAGTATTTTCACTTTCTGCGACATGCAAAAGAAAAATAAAAAATAAAAGAGATGGATTAAGTACCTCCTCGTTTGCAGTGAGTTCCACAGAATCCAGGCTTACAATCACATTGATAGGAATTCCTTTCATATTCAGGAACACAAACACCGCCGTTCTTACAAGGAGCGCTTTCACATGGAGACTGAAAAGAAATAAAACGTTCCGAATAATGCATTTTCTATTAATTAACATACGAGTAAAATCACCAAATATATAAGGCGAGCTTACCCAAGGACTGAAATGATGGAATGAGGCATTTTTGAAGGAATTTCCTGTTCCTCTAAACTTGTCATTAGCCAACAACTCACACAGATAAAGGCCTTCGGAGTCCGGAAACGCTGCAATGTTGAACGAAGAACACTTTGGTTCACCAATGCAAAAGAAACTGCATTCAAATTGATCTTTCACCATGGACGATTTAAGTTTCTCTTCCCATAAATAATAGTAGGGATCACACTTGAATTTACCAAATGAAACACGGCCTGTTGGATATCGATAGAGAGCGCTGTTTTGCACTGCAAACATCAATTCTAACAAAGAAGGAAAAAATAGTAAGAGTGGCAGGAGCAGCATGATGGTGACTGTTGGACTGTTGGCATCTGAATGAGTTGCTTTAGGTGTCCTTTTTCATATAAAACCGTTTAGCGTTTCTGTTTGAGTGCGGAAATTTGTGCACAATAATTCAACCCAACATTTTGCAACATTGTTGCCCTGAACATGTTACACGCGTTTTGCCTCCTCGTAGCGACATGTTTCAAGATTTTGCAGTTGTTTGATGGTATTGAATTGAGTCTGATTGTTTAGGTAGCTTTTGGAGACATGAGCATGTTAATTCTGCTCTGTAGATCCTGTTTTAGCTATGACGTTCTTCAGCGTAACCTGCGGAAGAATTAATTTTTTTGTAACAGAAAAAAAATTAAAATAATGGAGTAAAATTAAAACTAAAAATACTTCAGCACTGTTCGAAATTTCTTTTTCGGGTATAAAGAAGATAATGTCAGAAGAAAAATATATTTTTTTTATCTAAATTCACGTCCAACCGCTGGAAGCTCAAGCTCAAACAGTGAACTTCTGTGAATATGCAAATATGTTCACGTTGCGCTATGGGTGAACGCTCTCAACCTTAAAACGATCTGGACTAGTATTAAATAAAGACAAATTTACCCTGCTCGAGTGGTTGTTTTTGGCATGGTATGAATTTCTTGGGCTGATCTGGGGTAGTCTAGGTGGGTTTTCGTTTATCCTCTTTGCCTTCCACGTAATACTTTCTAAGATACGTCTGTGAGAAACGCCAACCAAACGAATCCACCGGAAGTAAAACGCTGTAAATTCGCCCTGGTCTTCCCGATCACCCCGAAATTCTATATGCATCTCGGGCGATGATGTTACTTTACGCCCGTGGGCTTGTAAAAAAAAATAGAATTAAACGCCGCCAATTCTAGCCTAGACGTTTGCTAAGAGCCTTCAAATGAGGCGGTGTTCGGATATGGCAAACTGTTAGAGCTTTTAAATCGTGACATTACATACCCTTGAAGGGTGAATGTTTTATTGTCTAATACAAATAGACTTTCCCAAATTTTTACATTCCAATCAGAAGTTCTCACACTTAACTGCGGATTCAAAATCCCTAGAGATCAACCTGAAGGTTTTTTTAAGCAGATTCGACCACTGCTGTGAACATGTCAACGTTCCAACAAATTCGCTTCCAAAACATCCCGGATAGATGTTGAGGAAAAAAAGCTACATCGAATAAGATTAACGATGAAACAAATATTCGGTTTTAGATAACAAGTCAATATTTTTTCTGTTCTTGAAAATAGAGGCCAGAGAAAGAAAAAATAGGAAAGAGAAAATACAAAATCGTGACTCAGTCTCTGTGAATTATTTCCATACCCCGCTGTGAAACAATGAATTTACAAACTTTAACTGCACTGTTTTCGTTATTTCACATTTTGGAACTCAAAACAATCACCAAATGTATTTATCTATGTAGGTATTTATGAACCCTATTTGTGATCCCTTTTCGTTACTTTGAAACCTTCGTTAAAAGTACTTTTAAATTTATTAACTGTCTGGAGAAATTAAAATATTATGGCTCTCCTACCCCTCAAGAAACAGGCATTTGGTATTTCATGGCATGCAAATAGTAAACAATTAACGTTGTAATATAAAGATCCTTTCGAAAGAAACCAAAAGTATTTAAGTATTTTGGGGGAGAAAAAACAATTTTCATCAAAGGCGTGTGCTTGTCTCAAAGAAGAAAAAAAATGAAAGCAACATAAGCGTGTGGACGTGCTTTTGATTAGAAATTATCCACTAGTGAATGAAACAAAGCAAAAAATATAATACAGCTTAACAGCATTTGTTTTTGTAATGTTAAGTTGATAATTCACTTAGTCTATCATCTGCTTCAGTTATGAGACAGCACACCATGGCGTCTCTTCTGTCGGTTCTCCTTCTTTCTGCCCAATTTACATTTATACTTTCTGCATCTGGTTCATCGTCATCGATCTCCAACAGGTGCTGTTTCTTTTGGCAGCTTAAGGCGTAATTCCCCTAAGTATCTTTGGGGAGGGAAGCTAACATTGTTCAGGGTGGAAGGTCAGTCGTCCTGTGCCTTGCTTTATGTGAATAAACCAAAGTGTTATCCGTTCAACATGGCCGGGTACCATGACTCTAAAGGTCTTCATCTGTGTGAGTTGTTGGAAACTGACAAGTACAGAACTGAAAGTGGGAAGTTTCATGACAATGTCATGATATCAGTTCTTCGGTATTATTTCTTTATATATTGGTATTTTACTCGTATTTTCATTGCAAGAAGATCCATTTTACGTTGGTAAATGCCAAATCTAGTTTTAATCGTTTATACCGTTTCTAGAAGTACTTCCTCTTAAAGGCGATCCAAATCGAAATGGAAGCCAAAGTTAATACAGCTGAGCGTTTCACCCGTAGGGTTTCAGCTCGAAAATGAACATAAATATTCTGTGATGCCTATTCCAGATGTTTTGAACTTTTTGTGATCTTCAGATAACAAAACTTTTATGACATACATCTCCCTATCACGCGTGTCAACCTTAAGATTATAAACCGGCTATTAGCAAAGGTTTCTCTCAAAAAGATATTTAGGCTATTGCTTTTATTTCTGTTTATAATAACGTATTTAAACCGGTAAAAGACCCTGTCTATGTGGTTTTTCCTCTGCTTTTTCTGATTCGATATAAAAACATTTTTCCTCAGACGTTCCTAAATGTTCTGATGCACCCAAGTTTCTGTGGAACTACAGTCTGTTTCAGATCTTTCTCCAGTCTTAGTTTGACCACGATCACTGCAAATTCAATTGAAGAGTGTATTCAATGCCTCGTGGATGCTCTGTCAATAGTTCTTCGCTCGAGTGTCTTGAATTTCTAAATCCTCCATTCGATAGGCAGTCACCTCGCCACCAGGAAGTCTCGCCACTAGCCAGCTCGCCATCAAAGTGTAATTGATCTCGCCATCAAGGCGTGTTACCAGGCCAACAATGTATACGTGTACACACCTTCTTTGAAATCGCCTTTTCTCTAGAGGCAGCCACTTGAGAACGGCTAATGCCTCAGTGGAGGATAAGTACAACGGTCTATTTAAAATAACTTTAGCGGCCTTATTTTTCAAAACTTGCAAGCTAGACATAAGGGTAATATTATGTTTATCGTCCCATACAAGATCAGCATATTAAAAAAGGGGCATAACAAGACTTTTATAGAAAAGTAGACGCGCCCTGAAAGGCAATAAATGCTTTATACGCTTGAGAAGCCCAAGCCTCTGATTGATTTTCCCAGTTAGGTGTTCAATATGATCAGTCCATGTGAAATCCGAAGATATATGTATGCCGAGGTATTTAAAGCTGCGAAAATTACTTATACTATGATCTAAAATTGAGACAGTCAAATCAACTTTGCTTTCGCGTTTCCTATTACTACCGATAAGCATGCATTTAGTTTTGTCCAAATTTAAAGTCAGTTTGTGATAATGAAGCCATTTCGCCACACCCAGTAAATCGTTATTTAACTTGTCACTCAACTCCTTTTAGGATGTACCATAGCAATAAATCACAGTGTCGTCTGCATAAAGTGACGCGTAGCAGGAGTTAAGCACATTTGGCAAGTTATTTATGTGAATTACAAACAACAGAGGCCCTAAAATGCTACCCTGTGGCGCCCCATGCGTGACTGGAAGTTCCTCAGATAACTCATTTCCACATGAGGTGCACTGTTGTCTACCAGTTAAGTAAGAACGGAACCAATGAAGAGCTGTTTCAGAAAGGCCGATCTCGGATAGCTTGCATAACATTATTTGCTGGTCTACCGTGTCAAATGCCTTGGTTAGATCGATGAACACGGCCCCGCAAAGCTTTCCTTGTTCCATGTTTAAGAGCACTTCATCAGCAAATGAGGTCAAAGCTGTTGTAGTTGAGAAACCCTTCCGGAAACCAAACTGCTTGTTGGACAATAAATTATTGGTAATCAAGTACTGATACAACTGCAAGTGTACCGCTCTCTCCAAAATCTTGCTTAGTGTAGGGAGGATTGAGATGGGGCGGTAGCTGGAAGCGTTAGTCCTGTCACCTGACTTAAACAATGCCGTGATTTTCGCGCATTTCCACAATTTGGGAAATTGACTAGTGCGAATTGAGAGATTGAAAAGTTTAACAACAGATGGTGCAATTGTGTGAGCTGAGATTTTAAGAAGTCTTGCGCTAATTTTGTCAAGACCAATCGCTTTGTTTGCTTTCAATGACAAAAGCTGCTCAAGCACAAAAGATTGATCCAATTCAGTCAACTCGAACGGTTGTGTCCTCGTGTACCGGTACAAAAAGGAAGGAAACATTAACGAACTGCGTCATAACTCCATGTATGGTTATGAAAACAAAAGAAATTCCCTCGTGTACCGGTACACCAGGACAGCCCCACTCGAACTGGAAAAGCGGGTGTTTTGAAATGGAATTTAAATTCAAGACGGAAGTCTGTATTCTACTTGCTAGAATTCGGCCAATGGAAGCAAAGAAGCTATTCATTGAAGAAGCAATGGATTGGGATGTTATATGCTGAACACCATCAGAGATAATACACTGAATACTCTCTAAAGATGAGTTCCGATTGCATGCTTCGTTCACTGCTTTCCACACCTTTTCTGAGTCACCCTTGGCTTCCTCGATCATGTCACAGCAATATTTAGACTTGGCAGTTCGTACTAAGCCATTAACTTTGTTCCTAATCTTTGCATACATTGACCAATGACGCGCCGAGTTCGATTTTTGCGCCTTTCTATGCGCCCAGTCACGTTCTTTCATAGTATCACTTTTTTGACTGTTCATCCATGGAAGAGGTGTTCCCTTGACACGCCTTCTTTTTACTAGTGCGTGTTGATCAGCAACCTCCGAAAACATTTTATTCCACGTAAACAAGGCATCGTCGACGTTGTCCTCGTTTTCAACAATATGCCAGGGAATATTCCTAAGATCATCATTAAATAAAATCGGATTAAAATTCTTATAGGAGCGATACTCGAGTATTCTCGGTTTAGTCTTTGTTGTAACACCAGCTTTAATTATGCGAAATACCAGAAAATGGTCGCTAAGCGGTACCGGAACAACACCAGATTTGACAATGCGGTGTTCATTATTAGCAACAACCAAGTCGATCATTGTCCGCGAGGTGTCAGTTATGCGCGTCGGTTCTTTTATTAACTGAGTGAAGTTGTAGGCCCGCGAAAAGTTAAGAAGTTCTTGTTTATCTCTTTTGGGAAATTTAGAACTCGCCATCATGTCTGCGTTTAAATCGCCTAGAATTACCACATCCGATTTTTCCAGATCTACAGATGACATACTCTCATGTAGCGAAGAAATAAAGGTCTGAAAGTCAGAATCCGGTGCTCTATAAGCGCAGCAGACGAGTGTTGGCTTGCATTTGTTTCTAATCAACTCAATTCATAGACACTCCTGACCGCCAGTATTAATATCATTCCGCAGGCGAAAAGCCAAACCCTCTCTTACATAGATAACTACACCACCATATCCCTCTTTAATGCCAGTGCGATCCTGACGAACGCACACGAATCCAGGAAGATTAATTTCTGTGTCGCAAATATTCCCATCCAACCATGTCTCGGACAGAGTTAAAATGTCAGAGTGTCAGGATAATTCATTTGACTTTTGCTCCCCAAGTGTTGGCTATTAATAATTACTGACCCTCATAAAATCCTATTGTTCTCTCTCAGCATTATATCGGCGATTTCAGTTGCATTGTTGGTGTACCAAAACATCAATATGAAGGGGCGACTGAAATCGTCGATGTAATGCAGAGAGAGAACAATAGGATTTTATGAGGGTCAATAATTATAATAGTTAATTACTTCGGTTCGCAGCATTATTGGGTATAATGCTGCGAACCTCAGTAATTATCTATTAAATAATACTTGTAAACTAATTTTTGTCTCTGTCTCTTAAGAACTGTTCCCTCACAGGCTGGGTGATAGTATTTAAAGTTGTTGGTGGCCTTTCTCTGCCAGATGTTGGTAAAATTTGGTTTTCACGCTCTCCACATTTTGAAAGTCTCAACGGAACCTTAGACGTGACTTCAGCTTATCCGATTCATAATAAGAACAGTATTGTAATGAAGTGGGAATGTTTCAAACCGAAGAGGATGGGAAAGTTATGAATAACTACTCCAAACCTTCTGTGGCACAAAGAGCTTTAATTTATTAACCCTTTGATTGCTAACAATGACTAGAATTTAATTTCTCCTTTCAATATATATCACCCCTGAAAAAAAGGCACAAGGAAATGATCATCTCGAGAAGCTTCTAGTTCTAGTTCTAGTTCTAATTCTCCTTATCAGCACTTTGGGAAATGTATAGGAAACAGTGCATAGAAAATGCGAACTTATGGTATAAACAGATGAAGGGTTAACTGCCGATTACTCTTACTACTGACATAGCTCTCGTAATTAAACTGGTATGTGTTTTCGTAATGTTACTGTCAGTTGAAGGCAGATGAAAGACGCTGCCAATTTGAAAAACTGGTTGTGACCAAGAGAAAATAATGGCACATAATTCCATTGTTAAACTGTTATTACATACTGTTAAAAAATTGTTTTCTTAATAAAGGTTTATTGTGAGCCGATTTTAACTTCGCCCTCACGTTCGCATCGTTTTGTACAAGGACGGTCGACAAGTCATCTCCCTCAGGTTCAGTGCCACTGTTACAAACAACTCGAATTGTTCTTCACAAGAAAACCTAATACATTCGCCGTGGACCACCTTCAGACGGCAGCAAAGATACATTTCGCCTTCTTGCCGGGAGTCTCGATCGCTTCTCTGAAATAAGCGGTCCTTACGACGGATGCATAAACGATTACAGTTGGTCGGTAGTTACCAGTTACAAGGTATGTCAATGGAATAAACGAGTCCCTAAACCCAGTATCCAATGCAGCAAGCTGCGGAAGGCGACGATCACGCAAGATTACCGTAAGTTTAACACTGAACCCGTTTTTCATTGTACTCTGTTTAGAGTGTGACTAACCAACGTGTGAGCAGTTTTAAAAGGCAAGATTCTTGAAGTTCTCTTATTATTTGGCCCTTCCTCGGCTATCGAACGCAAAATCTAATAAATACCCACCGACCGTTGTGCACGGAGGAAGGGAATTAACGCAGCTCCCGTCCCTTGTTTGCCAGCATGTTTTGAAACAATTTTATACCGTTGAAAGAATAATTTATATCGCCAGATGAAAGATTTTCCATCGGTGGAGGATTGGCT